TCGCTTCCTAGTCCTTCACCTTCAGGAATAGATTCCATGTATTTCTTGAGGTCCATATCAAGGAACTCGAAAACAAGATAAATCTTGTTGGAGTTGGAGTGCACAATGTCATACAGAGCAACAATGTTGTCATCACGAAGCTCCTTCAGAAGCGAGATTTCACGAATGGTGGTAGATGGCACTCCCTCGTCCTCAGACTCCAACCGGATCTTCTTCAGTGCCACTACGCGGTTGTTGTGTTTGGTATCTAATGCCTTGTACACCACTCCGTAGGTTCCTGGACTGTTAGTAGGAAGGCCGCATGGCTCTGTGAAGCTACTTACCTTCTCCAATCTTCTCCAGCTTTTCGAAATCGTTTAGTTCTGCCATGGTGTTTTGTAATCTAGTGAACTTTTTTTAAAGGGACGTGATTTACGTATGTACAACCAACAAAAGGTTTCTTGTGCCACAGTACTTGGTTTTATTATCGTCTCTCTTGCTTTTGGCAGGTCTAGATCTGGGGACGTCGTATATTAGGTTAGATTAATACACTCAATTCCACTTCGATCTGATGGTCGTTTTCGTGATCTGTCTTAAAAGAGGAAAAGTTTGTTTACGTTTTTGGCGGTGCACAGATGTGGTATCCAGGATGGCTCCCGTGTGTCTTCAAACTATGTAGTAGTAGTCCATACGTAGATCCCAGATTTACTCTGCTTTGGCCTCTTTTTGCTTTTGTAGCTTCTTCAGCCTTTTAGCTCTCGTGGCCTTCATTGCCTTGAAAGTGGTGTTGGCCAGGAACTCGGAATACACCCCAAGGGTATTATGTGCAACGTATTGTAGCAAGGCGTGGGAAGGATACGGAGAGCTAGTGGCAAACCTGTCCTGAGCGCCGCCTCTTCTGCCCATGTTTCTCAAAGTAGCAGCCACAAAGTCTTTGGGAGTAGGAATAAAGAAAGAGCTTCTTCTGATGGCTGAGAGAGCAGTAGTGACGAAATAGGCCAGAACCAGTTGGACGTCGATCTTTTGGCTTTTGAGCTCAACAGATAAGGCCTGAGAGAAGTTTTGCAAGAACGACTTTGATCCAGAGTAAGTGGCGAGGTACGGAGTTGGGAAAAGACCTGCAAAGGAACCAATGTTCACAATAAGACCCCTGTTGGCTTTCTTGGACGCAATGGCTTTGTCAATAACAGGAATGCAGAGTTTGGTCATTTTGACCAAAAATAGGTTGTTGATGGCCAGAATGGATTCCACTTCCTCGTCCGGAGTCTCAACAAGAGGAACAGGGCCTTCGTGCGAACGACCCACGTTGTTGATCAGCACCGACACAGGCAGGTCTTCAATCGACTTGGAGATGAGTGCGTACAATTCAGGGGTGTTTTTTGAACAATCAGCAGCCACCACTCTGGTTTGCACCTTGTACTTTGTCTCGATATCTGTGGCAATCTGCTCCAGCTTAGACTGAGTTCTGGAAATCAGGACAATATTTAGGCCCTTGGAAGCAAGCTGCTTGGCAAACTCCTGTCCAATACCTTCGGATGCTCCGGTGACGACAGCCCATGCGCCCTTTTTGGCACCGTAAACCTTAAAGTCAACAGGAGGGAGAAGAAACAGACTTGCAATGAGTGAGAAGAAGCTAAAGATTTTTGAGGCAATTTTCAACAGCCCAATGGCGGTCGCCGTGTATATAAGGCCGGTAATCAGTTTGCTATCAAATGTTGGAAGAGCTGGCATTTAAAAAAGAGGCAAAAATTTAGTTCTCAAAAGCTCAGCTCGGAAACTTGTTACAGGAATCGCCCTTAAAAGGAATCGTCGCGTTCTCATTATTAAATAAAGCTAGTTATATACCGAACTGTTCAGATGAAGTTAAGCGCCTCCAACTTCTCTTCTGCTAATCTACAGCGTACCTCCTCGCTTCTGCCCGCCCTGGAATACCTTTCCACATCCATCTCCAGATGAAGACGTTTTACAGCCGACTCTGCTAGCACTTTATTGATTTTGTCCAGCTCGTCAAAAGATTTGCTAAGCGATGTCTTTGTTTCACCCGAAACTCTGAGCCGTATCACCCAATGATTTTCATTTGAGCTTGTGAGGTCTGTTTCAGTACCAAAAGAGTCCTGCTGTTTTCGATCGTGCTCACTTCTATCCCCGTTTCGCGAGCTCGGCTTGGAATGTAAAAATTCGCTGTTCTCTCTGGACGACCCGGATCCATTCATGGAATGCGACACACTGCTTCTAGGCCGTGACTCACCATCACGTTCTTCATACTGGTCATATTGCTGGTCGTGATGATTCTCTGTATATCCGCCGCGATAACTTCCCCTGCCTCGTCCCCGCGGTCTGTGCGATCCCCTATACGGCCCGCCTCGACGTGGATAGTCTCCGCGATAATCTTCGTTTGCCGGCTCAGGATATGAGTTCGACTCGTATGGAGCATCGTCATCGTTGTAGGGCCGCTTATATGGGTAAGATCCACCTCTCCCGCGTCCCCTGGAGTAGTACGGGTCTCTATAGTTATATCCATAACCATATCCATTACCTCTAAAACCACTCATGGTGAAGCAGAGATGTGCGTCGAAAATTAAAAGGAAGAAAATATAAAAGAGTAAGTTGAACTTGTTAGTATTTTGTGCAACATAAAAAATTGTCGCAAAAGATGGCCAAAGTTTCCCTACGCGTTTACAAGAGTATGAGTATATGAGATTACTTTAAACTTGGGGACGGTTTGTCATCTACGCCTGTCGTGAATAGCATAAGGAGAATAAACATAAGGGTTGTCTGGAAATCCTTTCTTGGCTGGTCATATCCACGAGCACCATATTGGTTTCTGAATTCAGCACGTGTAGCTCAGTGGTAGAGCAGCAGATTGCAAATCTGTTGGTCCCCGGTTCGAACCCGGGCACGGGCTTGAATTTTTTTTTTCAATATTGAATTATTTTTTCTGGGTGATAGATAAAACTTAGCTCTCATCGATTATAAATCTATCCACTAGCTTGGTATTGAATATGGACATAACGACCCAATTCCACTCCACTATACGGTACTGCTCCTTATCAGCCAATTTGCGAAAATGGTTCTGCAGTGGTTGATCCTTTGCCTCGCAGAGTAAGTATCTTGTAGCTGCTACTCTTTTGGGCAGCCTCTTGGTTTTTTTGTCGATAATCAGGCACTCCCGGCAACCAAACGATTTCACAATGCTACTGATTAGATCTGGCCCGCCTGGAATGGTAGCTGACACACAAAAATCTCCCGATTCGAATAGTTTAGAGTTGGAATTTTCAATCAGCTTGACGATATTCTGGGCCCCTAGCGAGGGATCCAAGAATATCTCCTTCATCTTGGGGTCTTTCTTGAAATTGATATGTTTTGACAAATCATATTTGTCGATGTGTGGTTTGACGCGCTCAAAATCGTCCAGTTTATGCGAGCGTACGGTAGCGAGAACGTCCATGAGGAAAATCGGCGTAAGTAAATATTTCGGGCTTTTGCTCAGTGACTTGAGAAACTTTTCCGTTCGAAGAATGCCAGGAGCAATGATGCAATTAAGGGAGTTTGTTGGCTGTTCAACAACTTTAATACCCACTTTGTTGAGATTTCGGAGATCGGAAGCACTGAACTCCTGATCGCAACCGGTCAGTATTGCAACGATGTTGTACGGTTTGCTGTTTGGCTTGGCCTTTTTGCGTGGCGTTTCAAGTGAGCTAGACACATTTTGGGAATCAGTACGCGGGTTCTGGCTACTAGTCAATCCAACATCCAGGCTTGTATGGCCAACAGCGTGTGCAACGCCCACCTGGTCCCCAAACTTCAAGTATCGGGGGTCAGAATCGTCTTGTAGCTCCCATTTGGCGTAACTTTCTTCGAGCCACAAATGATTCAGACATTTAATGTTCCACTCTCGTGCGTATTTGTATTTTTCGCCCGTTGGTTTCGCGACAAGCAGATGTGTAGTGGTGAATTGTCGAAGGTTTTTTGTAAATGTTCCGCCCATGATTTCCACCAGCTGCTGTAAATACAGGCGTGAGTCTCCGGTATAATGCGTGACCGAAACCACTACCCTATCCATTCCTTCTAGCGCCTCTCTTGGATATGGATAGTGGAGCATTATTTTACCTGGAGCGATCCACTCCTCGCGTAATAGCATCCAAAACAGCCAATTCAGGTTTCCAATAGGCCATTTCTCCTCAAAGGCGAGCTGGTACATCTCGCCACCTCGATACTTCCCAATGTAAGTGTTTGCCCGATCTTCAGAATCTACCTTGCCCCCGTGCTGTTCTATAAGTGTTTTCAGGCTAGAGCTCACTCGGCTCGAGATATTAAAATCTTCATCCAGAAAAAAGATCCGTCCTTTGAACAAAACAGAAGTCGCCGGCTCTGCGTATCGATCCTTAGAGCCAACGCGGTATCTGTCGTCCTCGAGTTTGCGTTTGGATATTATACTGTCCAGAAGCCATTCCGGTCTCACGATCGCAATGAGCTCCCGCTCACAAGCCTGGTTGAACGCGATAGCCATACGGCATATGTCGTCGTCTGTGTCGAGGGCAATCAGATGGGTTGTTCTTCGGGACAGGTAGTCTGTGTGTATTCCGCCAAAGGAGCGCACGGCGCTGAAAAGGACCTCCTTGTCGCCTTTGCAAATCGAAGCTGCGCAACATATACTTACAGTGCTAAGGAAATATTTGGGATCAGGTGAGTACGATCGCAATGTTTCTATCAGATTCGCAGCAATCGAGTCTACCACCCACGCATCTCGCACAACAGGGATCATCAATTCTTCCGCGAGCTGGTATTCCACAAAATCTATTGTATTTGAGACTATCAGCGTGACGTTTGCCAGTTTGTCGTTAGATATTGGAATCAAGTCAGAATTCCTCTTGAGCAAGATGCCACCATCCTCATTGTACCCAGTGCTAATGATCTGTTTTTTCAAGTTCTCTGCCTTGGTTGCAGACAGCTGGCTGGACTGTATTATAAGGAATCGATGGCCCTCAAAGAGAGACATGCGCGTTTGAAGTAAATATTTCACAAAAGAAAATAAAAAAAATATATTATCTCAACATGTCTGAGGAACCCAAGTTTGCTGAGCAGCAGGTCTCGGCATCTCAGCTGATGGCTGAGGCGTACGAGAGGAGACAGAAACCTGTGCAGCCAGCCAAGATCCAGATTCAGGACTTGGAAGAGCTGCGGGAGTACCAAGGCCGGAAAAGAACAGAGTACGAGAAAGCTCTACGTGTAAAGCGGTTCGATTTTGGCCAGTGGATGCGGTATGCACAGTTTGAGATTGACCAGAAGGACTACGCGAGGGCACGCTCAATATTTGAGCGTGCTCTCGAAGTCGATCATAAACAGGTCCCTTTGTGGATCAGATACATCCAGACAGAGCTTAAGGGCAAGAACATCAACCACGCCAGAAACCTTCTGGATAGAGCGACAAGGCTTCTTCCTCGTGTGGACAAATTATGGTACCAATACGTTGCGGTGGAAGAGTCTGTGGGGAATGTTGTAGGAACACGCCAAATATTCGAGAACTGGCTACAGTGGCAACCGGGTCCTGAGGTGTGGGAGCACTATATTCGTTTTGAGACCCGGTACAACGAGTTCCAGAATGCCAGATTGCTTTTTGAGAAATTTGTGGTGATGCATCCCGGCTCTGCAACCTGGCTTCAATGGGCGGAGTTTGAGAAAGAGCACGGGGATGAGGTCAATGTCCGCAACGTTTACAGGCTCGGAGTCGAAGATTTGCGACAAAAAGGCAAATTGGACGCAAGGATCATTTATTCGTGGATACAGTTTGAGATATCGATGAAAAACTGGGAGCAGGCGAAGCTGCTTTTCGATTACGGGTTTGAGCATTTGCCAGAAGAGGAGAAGGTCGAGCTGCGCGCCGACTATACGCAATTTGAAAAACAACATGGCCAGAAAGAGTCGATCGAGACGTCAGTGGTGAGCAAGCGGATGGCTGTTTACGAGCAGGAGCTTGCAAGCAAACCGCACGACTACGATACATGGTGGGTGTATTTGAAGCTTGTGGAGCCAATTTTTGACGAAAAACAATACGAGCGCAAACTAGAGGAGGCAACAGGTACGATTCCATCGAGTGCGTTGAAAAGCGGGTGGCTCAGCTATATTTATCTCTGGATGAAGTACTTAATATGGAGCGAAAAAAGAGACGTTGAAAAAACCAGAGAGCTATACCGGAAACTGATCTCGCTCATTCCTCACAAGAGTTTCACTTTTTCGCGCATATGGGTGATGTATGCAGAGTTCGAGCTTCGGCAGGGCCAGCTGGCTGCTGCGCGGAAGGTGCTAGGACGGTGTATTGGATTGTGCGGTGATATGAAAGTTATGAGGTTCTACATCGAGCTGGAGACACAGCTTCGCGAATTTGACCGGGTGCGGATGGTATACACGAAACTGGTAGAACTGCATCCCCGCGATGGTTCGAACTGGATTGACTTTGCTTCGTTGGAGGCAGATTTGGGGGACAGGGCGCGCTGTGTTGCAATTTACCAGTTGGCGTCCGACGAGGACAGTTTATCCTTGAACGAGAAGAAGAAAGTTCTGGAAGCATATTACGAGTACGAGATGGAGGAGCGCAACTATGACAATGCTCGAAAGATCAGGGACCGCATAATACAGCTTACCGAAGGCGACGCGAGAAGTCTGGTACAACGGTGCATGATGGAGCTGAAAGTCCCGACGCAGCAACAAGTTGACGAGTTTGTGCGCCGCCTAAAAGAAACAGGAGACGACGAGTTCCAGTTCGAGGTCACGCCGGAGGCCAAGGACCGTTGTCGCGACGTTTTCAACAGAACCATCGACACTACAGAGGGTGCAAAGAAGAAGCAGATAATAGATGCATTAATATTGTTTGAGCGCAAATATGGTACAGATGCACAGGTGGCTGCCGCAGAGGCGCGGCTCCCGCGCATGGAGAAGCGGTTCCGGCATAATGCCGATGGTGAAGAGGAGGAGTATTATGAATACATTTTTGACAGTCCAGAGCCTGTCAGGGCTTCCGGACTTTCACGCTTCGAGGAGTGATCAGACCTCATGCTTTCGAATAGGTATTTCGAAGATGCAGGTATTCACCAGACAGCATGTTGTGACTGCAATCAAAGCAAATGAGTAAATGGTGCTTGTGATTTGGAAGCCCAGCCAGCCGGTATGACTGTACAGCTCTGACTGGGAAACGGCCATGGTCCCCAGCGGGAACGTCGATGCCCAAAGCGTCTTTGACCACTTGTGTATGAGGCCGTATTTGAGAACCCCAAAAATGCCTATCGCGGTCACGCAGATGCCCATTGAGACGAGAGACATGGCCACGTAGACGGATCCAAGCTGAAGCAGTGCGGCCACTACTTGCAGAGACTCTTGGCTGAGCAGGGCTGTGGCCTTGATGAGTGCTGGCTCGGTTTGGAGAAGATCGGCCAATTGTTGGAAATTGAGCAGTATGGCGAATGCACCCTGTCCCAGGATGCCGATAGGGATGAAACACGAGTAGATGCTAGGTTTGGAGGGCAAGCCTGATGTGAGTAGTTTGTAAAAATAGACAGATAGGAGCGGGAAAGCGAGCAGAAGAGCGTTGCTTAGGAGCATGAATGTGATGATCTCGGAAGAAAGCTTCCAGCTGGCAGAGTCGAGTTTGCCGCTCACAATAGAGCCCGTGGAAGAAGCAACTGTCAGGGTGACAGCGGGAAGAAGAATGGTGGCGTTGAGATCGCTCGCATCGAGGTTGTTCACGGCCATCATTAAAAACGTGACTCCCCAGGCACACAACAGACTGAGAGCTACCTGTATCCACCAGAGCGTGTACGTGAAAAGCGTCCATTCGGGTCTCAAATAGTGGATCATGTTGATCAACGAGCCGAAACCCATGACCTCTGCTCCAAGGAATACGCTGAGCCGGTGGTCTTTGAGCAGCCCCCAAAATGAGACACGGTCGTAGCGGTTGAATAGCACAAAGTAGCGCAGGAAAAAAAGCGCGTGGATGATGATAAACGCAACGAGGTCAATAAAAAAGTACAAGATTCCCACGTATCTCATCCCCACACGGATTACCTCGATCGGAAAGTTGTACATCACCAAGCTTGTGATACCCAGTCCCATATTGATGACAAAGTAGATGGGGTGGAAGTTTGCAAGCACGTCATTGAGGAACGTCCCAATTCGAGACGGAGGCACCGTCGTCCTGGCCTCAAATGATGAGAGAGAAGATGCCATTGCGAAAAGGCTTGGGCAAATGCACCATATATATCATGCTCGGAGTTTGATCTGTCCCCGAGATAGAAAAAAAAAATCAAATACCGAATATACGGGGATTGAGTAGCGAAAATAGTCACGGTCATGATTCATTAAAAAAACTACATGATCACGTTTCTCACAATTTGGGCTCGCGAGCAAGCCGTTTCAGTAGTTGTTCGGGATACAACTCGGTGGTCACAAGGGGCCCCATGTGCCAGAATCCCCCGTCGACTATCTGCACAGTGCCGGTGATGTACTGCGCAGCGTTGCTGAATAGGAAGATGGTAGCCTGCGCAATGTCGTCTGTAGAGCCCAGCTTCTGTAGCGGGATCTTCTTTTGCATCGGAGATCCCGAAGAAAGCTTTCTGTACCCCTCCGTGTTGCCAATTGCGCCAGGAGCAATAGCATTCACACGAACACCGATCGGTCCTAGTTCAACAGCCAGAGCGTTGGACAGAGCATCAACCCCTGCCTTGGCAGCCCCTACATGTGCCTGGAAAGGCACCCCGTAGTAGTGGAAGGTTGCAGACACGAAAAGAACCGCGCCCTTGTTCTTCTTTAGCTCGTTGTAGCACGCTTTCACTGTGTTGAACGAGCCCAGCAAATCGATATCCACGACAGTCTTGAACGCATTGGCACTTAGAGAGTTGAAGTCGGCAATGAAGTTCCCAGCCGCGCCACAGATGACAAAGTCAATCCGACCCAGCTCGTCCACTGTCTTTTTGACGGCACGAACCACATCGTCCAGCTTGCGCACGTCGCAGTCTCCGATGCCTATTGCCCGGATGTCTCCTCGTACTTGGTTCAGTTCCGAGGCAACAGCCGTCGCCTTCTCTGTGTTTCTGCCGATTATTGCTACCGAACAGCCCAACGTGACAAGCGCTTCGGCCTGACGTTTGCAGATAGTGCCCGAGCCGCCAGTGACAAAGGCAACTTTGTCTTTGAGTAGGTCTGGCTGCCATACACTCAGGAAGGGAGAGGAACTCATGATAGTTTGGGAAGGTGGTTATTTCACATGCATTTATTCCCCACAATTTTTTTTCTCACGTCTCGCTAGCTTCCTCCTCTTCGGTGTAATTATTGATTCGAAAAGTTTTTCCTGCCTTAAGAATGATGTTATTCAGCTTTTTCTTCTTTTCTGGCGTCGCAAGGTCATCTTCGATCCGTCGAGCGTTTTTCGACGTCAGCGGAGAGTTTTCTTGTTCCACATCATCGGGAATATCTGGGGACGTGGGACTCACCTCTGTAATCTCGGCCTGCAGAGACTCTTCTCGTGCGTCTTGGCCGGATGCAATCAATTCCAGTCCAATAGGGTCGAGACTCAATGTGTCTAAATACTTAGCCACCAAGTAGTTGCGCAACGCCTTGAAGTTCATAAGAGCTTTGTTCTGTAGCACCAGATGCAGAACACTAAGACAAGCAGAATTAACCAGATTATTCTGCCGAGCTGTCTCCCGCAGCAGGTTCATAAACTCATGGAGCACGTCGTTCTCAATAAGGTAGCGAACATAGTCCTCGTCGTCCAGCATGATGATCGATTTGATGCAACGCAGGGCACTGAGCCGTAGTTGCAACGAGTAGCGTTTGTGGTGGAGATTGCCTATTCCTCGAAGCAAATGGTGCTCCAAAATAAACGTTTTGCTCAAGGTTCTGTCGTGCTCTCTTGCCACGAAGTTGAGCAGCTCACACAGGTTGGAGTATGTGATGGTGGTGGACTTGCTTGACGGGCTGGAGATGCTCTTTTTAAGTGGCGAAAACAGTTTCTCTGCAGCTCCCTTATAAAAACTTTGGAGATAGCCCGATTCAACCAGGCTCGTGTCGACGTTGCTGTCTGCATTTCCGAGAGTCGAATTAAAGGGCAGGGTCGATTGCGCGATGTTTGCAGGGTCCAGCAGAACTTTGATGGCCTCGAATGCTTGCGTTTTCAGTCCAACGTTGGGATCCTGCAAAAGGACTTCGATAAGGATGGAGATCAAAGTGGTGTCGATCTCGGTCTCGTTCTTGTTGAACAGAAGCACATCGTGCTCTATTATGGCGACAATAAGCTCCGTCGCCAGTATTCGGCTTTCTGTGGCGGAGTCTTTGAATGCAAACTGTATGAGTCTCACTAGACCTTGGTCGATTAAGGCTTTGTAGAACTCGGATCGCGGCACGGGCTGGAACTTCTTGGCAATGAGAGTGAACTGGTGGATCAGCTTTATTCCGTCGCGTGCCTTGGACACGCTGAGGTCGTTAATGTCGTCGTATAGCTTGAATAAGGCGGGCAGGAACTCGGGATCCAAGCGAATGAATTTGAGAATCTGGTCTTCGTTGAGATGAATCATGGTCGAGATACAGTTGAAGGACGCGTCGTCCAGCAGTCTTGCCAGCACCACGTCCTTGAGAAAATAGAGCCGGAAAGTGCGTTTTACGAGATCCTTTATTTCGTCGTTCTGAATCGGGATCACCTCCTTGAAGCTAGTTTTTTCAGCAAGGTACTGTCGGTTGTTGGTCTTGTAATTTGGGAACTCGGAATCGTATTCGAGGATTCCCACAATGCCGTCGATCGCGTCATCGTCCACAAATGTTTCCATAATGGCCGATTCACTGTAGAAAACCAACGTCTTGACAATATCACACAAATAATACAGGTTGACCAGATTCTTGTTCTGCTCGTTTCTGTGGAACGTTTCAATGAGCTTTGTCAAAAAGCCGTCGTTTTTGATGAAATCCAGTAGAGTATCCTTGAATTTATTGGACTTTGCGCCCTGATTCAAGAGTTCCAGAAGCTCAGAGAGGTTCGTGTCGGTGGGGAAACATGGCTCAGGCACAGGGCCGGCAATCACCTCTGTGACTTCGCCGTCCTGGCCGTTCGATACCACAGCCACCAGCGATATATTGGGCTCGATTGTGTGCTGGATGTTGATGAGAAATTCGCATAGCGACAGACAGCCGTCTGGCTCCTGGAACGAAAGAGCATAGTCGTTCCCTTGACTGTCTGTCCAAACAATTAGCGTGTCTTGCTGTCGTTGGTACTGCGTGGAGCCCTCGATTGTGGCCTTGAGTAGCGTTTGGGAGGTGTCATTTTCGTTTCGAACAAGGAAATGGGGGCCTCCCTCCAGCATTCCTGAACAATACCCTGTGCCCCGATCGACCCACTTGTCATCTTCCAGAGTGTATACCTTCACGCGCCGCGGCGAGGTTGGCCGTACAGCATCCATTGGGGATATAATTACAAAGCTTGGAAGCGGTGTGGACGCGAAATATTGCACAACTCTAGGACAACGTTCAAAAATGTGAGGTTTTTCGACTTTACCTAATCGTCCGCGTTCGACTGGCAAAAAAAAAAAAAAAAAAAAACAGACGACGCGTCGGTGCTATCTTTTTTTCTGTGCTTTTAAATACATCTACTGCTCCTTGTCGTCTCCAGCTACAAAGCTAGCGGTATCCGCTGTAGTATCCGCAGGTTCTTCCTTAACAAGCAGCTTCTCTTTCTTCGCCAACTGCTCTTTCAGCATCTTCTCCCTCTGTTTCAGCTCCATGGCTTTCTTCTCCAGCTCCGCAGCACGCTTAGCCAGTTCTTGTGCAGACTTACGCTCCAGCTCTTCGAGTTTCTGGTGTTTACTCATCAAAGTCTCATGCTTGAGCAGATAAGGCACGGTCTCACTGATCTTACGAAGCTGTCTGGCGTTGATCGATGGAGATCCAGAGTACTGAGACGAGACAGAAGCAGAGTGCGGGAGCCGAGGCGTCGTGGTGGGTGTAGCTGGGTTCGAGCCCGCAAGTCCGGCGACCACAGGCGTCTCGTCCTTGTCATCCACCAAAGAGGCCAGTTCGTCGTCTTTCTGGAACGAGTAGTCTGACTCTGGCTTGCCCTTGATGATCTCTGGGGGCTCTGTCAGCGAGGTTGCACTCAGTTTCGAAGCCACAGAGTCCACCTTGTTGTCCTTGGTGATCTTGGTGGTGCCTGTGGTTCCCGTGGACAGCATAGACGAGATTCTCTGCGAAGGCGCATCGAACTTGGCCATGGACTTGGAGTTGGCAATATCGGCGAGGTTCGACATCGAAGGTGGTTCCGACACGATTCCTCCGGCCTCAGCAGAATGCAGCTCCTCAAGATTGGTGACACTCATCAATTTTTCGGTACGGTAGTTCTCGTACAAGAAATCGTGCGTAATGTCCTTGAGGTCTTGTAGATGGGAGCCAAGAAGAACAGACTTCAGAACTGGGAAGTCCGAGTACTCTGTATTGTTAATGTCGATGGACCCCCATGGATAGGTTCTGACGCGTGTCTTGACGCCGTTGATCTCTGCTTCGTCGTCAGACGTGATCACGGCAAACGGCTGCATCTCGCTCAGATACCGGTTTTCCTCCACGACGTCGTCGTCGTCGTCTGCTTCGTACTCAAACTGGTAGATCGGAATTTTATGATGGTCTATGTCCTGCATGATGTTTCTCTTGAAATTGAGCAGCTCCGTTTTCGTGAACGAGTCGGCTCTGCCAATGACAGGAATCACGTTCACAAACTTCGACAGCTTCTTCATCGTGTCGACGTCCAGCTCTCGCAGCCCGTGACCTGTAGGCGTGATGAAGTATAGGCAGACATGTACCCTGGTATCGACAAACCGCGGGTTTCTTCTGACCCTGGTCTCCTCTGCCAGGACGAGATCGAACTGCTGTTCGAGGAAATTGATGATTTCCGTAGCACACACCTCGTTGTTGATGTTGTCACCAAAGCCTGGCGTGTCAATGATCGTCAGCAACAGTTTGGAGTCGTCCTCGTCCAGGATCTCAACAGACGTCTCTGTGATGGAAATTCCAGGCTCCTGGTTCGCCACTTCCGGATCAAAGACTCTCTCGTACTCGGTGGCGTCAGAAACCACTCCGCTGAGGTTGGCAAACGTAATGGTCTTGCGGATCGTCTCCTCTCCGGTCGGCTTGTGGTACTGGTACCTGTGCGGAAGAATGTTTCTGTCGAGAAGCGAGTTCACAAATGAGGTCTTGCCAGTTCCTGCGCACCCGCACACCATCACCGTGAACCGGATGCCTCGCTTCAGGTCTTTCTGGCGCCTCAGCACCGCAGAAGAGTTTCTCTTGGACATTTTACAAGCTGGTGATGAGTGTCCTTTTTTGTTGTTTTTTCACGCGTCCAAATAGCTCTGATTTTCTGTCATGCTCAAATCGGGCAGCTTTTCAATTTCCTGAATTATCTCCATGTCTTTTAGAACCATTGAGGCAGCCCGTGCAGCGCTGCTGGATCAGGAGCTCATGTCCACCATGGGCTTCACAATTGACCAGCTCATGGAATTGGCAGGTCTGGCCGTTGCACAGGCCATCTACAAAGAATACCCTCCTTCCTCCACCAAAAATTGCCTGATCCTTTGCGGCCCAGGAAACAACGGTGGAGACGGCCTTGTGGCCGCCAGACACCTCAAGCTGTTCGGCTACACCCCAAAAGTGTACTACCCAAAACCAACAAACAGAGAAATATTCACTGGACTGACTACCCAGCTGCGCAACTTCAACGTTCCATTTGTGTCTGACCTCACACCAGAACTAAAGTCCTGCGACCTGATCGTGGACGCGCTGTTTGGGTTCTCGTTCAAGCCGCCGATCCGCAAACCGTTCGACACAGTCATCGAAAGCATGCTACAGGCGCAAAAAAACAAGAAGAAAATCATCGCCGTGGACATCCCGTCCGGTTGGGATGTCGACGAGGGCCCTGTTGCCAAAGAAATCTCGGATTACCAGCCTGACCTGCTCGTGTCTCTCACAGCCCCCAAGCCATGTGCAAAGCTTTTGAAGAACGGAGCGTTACATTATGTGGGAGGAAGGTTCATCGATAAGACGTTTGCAGAAAAATGGAACATCGACGTGCCAGACTACCCCGGCATCGACCAATGCGCAAAAATCGATTAGTTACCATACGGACGAAATGGTTAGCAAAAATATATGCAATTCATACGAGAATGAAATATGGCAAGCAAAAGAACCGAATAAACACACTTAATGATATGGAAAATGTCCCTTATTCGCTGGAAAAATCGACAAACTTATAACAAGAGCTAGTAATACAATGGAAAATTCATGATCGACAACCAAGCTCATTTCGGATACTGGGAAAGTGGCATTTGTTGATAGGAAAACTGTTGGAATCCATTGTACTGACTTCCACCATTCTGCACAGCAGCCCCGGTAGCATTGCCGTTCTGCGTTGTATTATTCTGGGAACCGTAGTTTGGATTATTGGATCCCCGTCTGTTCTGGCCCGGACCCCTCACACCTAGTGGATTCTTGCTGAAACTCAAGCGGATTCCTCCTTTATTATTCGAGGTAGATCCATTGGCACGAGGAAGGGTGCGGCCATACAGTTCTGCCAAAGCCCGTGTAGCGTAAGCAACATCTTCGAACTCAACAAAGCACATTGGTCCATGATGCGAGCTTGATCCGTTGCCAGTATTTTGCTTCGTTCGGAAGGACAGCCTGCGGAAACCTTTCTGCGGCTGGAACAAAGTACGAAGTTCAAGCTCTGTAGCGTCAGGTGGCAGATTACCAACATACAGTGTGTTGCATGGCGGATTTTGATCAGCTGGATTCGCAGGTGGAGGCACTCTGGCCAACAATGACAACTCGGGAATATGCTGCTGCTGTTGCTGTTGAGCAGGCTGAACCAGCGATTGCTGGAATGGAGGCGATGTGATTGAAGGCGTTGAAGCTCCGTTAACAAGCATCGATTGTTGTGTTCCGTTAGGCTGCGAAGGGGCACTTGTGGCAGGCGTCGATTGATTTCCATTGAAAAATGCAGAACCTTGTCTTCTTCTGTCCCATTCGTTTGTGATCGGGGTGGGTAATCCCGTCGGAAGGGAGGAAGCCAGACCGGTGTTGATGGTCAACGACTCAGGGATGTTCTTCGTCGGCGTATTATTTGCGGGAGAGGACCCACTCTTAGATGTACTCAGATTATGCTGCGATGAGGCTAGGCCATTGCTTCCCGTGGACCACGGTCTGACCATCTGGTCGTACTCATTATGCGAATCCATCAGAAGCACCCCTTTACTTGTTGATGCCAACAAAGGTGAGGTCAATTGATCAAAAACGTTCTGCGCGGATGACGTTGATGCCACAGGAGCTGTGCCCTGTTGCCCTGGTACCAATCCGCCTGGCAGGGCTGAAGTCGGTTGAGACGGAACAGTTTGTGCTTGCGATGCTGATGATGAGGTTGACGAAGTGGAAGAGCCTGGAGGAATATTTGGATTATTATGACTTGAAAATGGATCGCTAAAAAGAAATCTCGATCTTTGCGTGCTTAGCGGAGGTCTTTTATTAAGTCCAATATTCGATGTCTGAGGAGGGCCGAGCGAGCTGATTACCGGAAGAGCTGATGAGTTGTGGGATGGCGATGTCTGTGCATAAGGCGAACTAGCAAATGATGAAGTTTGGTCGAGTTGGTCGTTAACCAATTCCACGTTAACCGGCTGATATGCAGTACTGAATAGGCATTTATCGTCAAGAAGCTGCGCAACTTGTTGCGCAGTTTTCAACGAGCTGAATTTGGCGATGATGACGGGGCTCGATGACACAGAACCATGACTAGAAAGCGATGTCGAGATCGTGCCGTTATTCAAAGGCACGGGAGACGATCCATGAGTTGGCGAGTCCACTTCATGGACAATATCGACGAACACAACTTCATCTAGACACAGTGAAAATATGAGAAATGCCTCCCTTAACGTGGTATCCGATGGCACATTCTTGATTTTCAACACAGCACTCGGTATGAGGTTCGATGTTTTCAATGACAGATTCGACATTTGTTCATTTAGCTTAGGCTCATCGTGATTATCTTCCCTGGTGCTCGGAGTCAATGTGTCTTCCGACGTATTATTTAGCTTTGTTTCCATTTCTCCAGACATTGTTATGGCGATAATAATATGCACCCAAAATACGCGTTTTTCGCTAGCCCTGAAAAAAAAAGTTTGAGCCAAACAGCCGAATGGAGATAATTGATAAGTCGATCGGTGATAAAATGTTATAAACACTCGATAACTTCGGGAATTTGTAGACTACGTGATGTAGTGAGCTTGAGTAATTTCACGTGGTAATAAAAGACTCTAAAATGACCTTTCTAGTACCCAATCCAGTGGGAAAACCTTGCTGTTTGTTGATAGATGGTTTGATGTTTATTATATATTGGAGCGATAAAAGCGTATCAAAGTCAACAGATTGAGAGAACAAATTGACTGGCACTTAATGTTATTGATTTGACCCTTTAAAAGGGATAGAGCATAGTATTATGGCAAGGTATCCACTTGGTTGAAGATAGAGATAGGTTTAACTTTTTCTTTTGTGGAAATGGGAAAACGTCGATTTTTTTGCCCTTCCAGTCGGCCCAGTTTACGTAATGACGATTTCAATTCTTATTGGCTAAAAATGACGCAGCTGGGGTCGATTTTTACTGAATTTTGGCAGCACTTTCCTAAAACGATAAAATATACTGCCTAGCTCGGTCAGCCCTTTATGCACTCGGCCGGGTAAAATGTATCTCCAACGGTATTACCCTGACCAGGTTCCACTACGCATAGCACAATACTGATTAGTGCTTTCAGGCCCATGGATTATGTAAATTCTGTAACTTTATGTATCTAATTTATGCATGTCACAAATCCATACATGAAGAATACCACAATATTGACTTTGCGATTGTTGTGATTCGTCTTGTTTCCTCTCCCCTTTAAATAGCAAGTCCATTCCCTCGAATTTCGTTTGCGGTTTTGTATATGTGTTCATCATCTTTGCAAATGGGAGGACAGGACAGAAGATTTGGAAAGCGTAAAACCCAATCTGCTACCAGACAGAAAAAATCACAGGGAAAAGATCTGGTTAAGGATAGCACCAAAGAAGCCGGTTTGGAGAAGGATAGAGAGTCAGTCTGTCTCAATTATAACGATTTGGCAGTATGCTGTCTTCCTTTCATCATACCGGCCAATTATCACATCAACGAGAGCAAGTATTCGAAAGACATTAATTTGAATCTATTATACAAGGAAACTTCCAACCCCAGATCTCTTTCCTATAAGAGCGCAACTGAAATCAGTGAACAGCACCTCATGAACGATTTGATTGGATCGATGCAAATGCTGGGGCTTATTACTGACTCGACCGAGAAAAAGCAGTCGAAAGTACCACTATCTGGCCTGTACTACTCCGATTCTGAGGAGCCAGATCTGGACGACGACGTGGACGTCGAGAACCGTCTTACGCAAACAAAAATGGAGCACAGTCATTTATTCGATCCTATGGGAACTGACATAATGAAGACACAGAATACAGTAGACTTAGTTACACACGAAGACCCTTTCAATCTCCAATCGAAGAACATGGGACAGTTAGGTTCAATGGAGCTGTATTGAGCCCCTTTTGGTTTGCATTTTCGCTATATTTGATTTCGCTCAATGCAATTGCTGCGATTGAGGAGTGAAGCTTTGCAATCAGATATTGATTATTCGCAACACTTCGTCATCTCGCCCTTTCGATAAGGATTTCTTCGCATATTCCTCGAGCGATATGTTGACTTGGATCAACCACTCACTTCTGAGAACTTCGTTGGCGGTGAGTCTTCCATCTGGATCCGGGTTCAGCATCTTTACGATGGTTTGTCTGCTAATTTCAGGCAGTTTCAAGAAGATGGGGTCCAGGTTCTTGTTCAGTTGGTAGGAATCCAGCTGATTGAGCGACGCCAACTCATATTTACTTTTATATTTTTTGAACTCATAGTCTTTGGAAGTTGATTCCGCCCATGGTTTCTGTAGGATGGCGATGTTAAAGTACAGGATGGCCAAGGCCCATATGTCGATGGCTTTATAATTAATTTTCTTTGCGTCAATCTCGTCGTCTGGAATGCTTTTATAGAGATACAGCTCCGGCGACTTGAAAGAGGTGGTGCCAAGTGAAAGAAACTCGGACGTTACCGCGTAGCTCTCTATGCGGTTTAGGTCCATCGCGTTGCCGAAGTCGCCCAGCTTGAGCTCACCTTTCTCATCGATCAAAAAGTTCTCTGGCTTGATGTCTCTGTGTACTATGTTTCTCGAGTGAAGGAACTTGATTGCTTGCGCGCACTTGAGGAAAAGAAAGTCCTTGTTTTGGGTTGGAATTTGCAAATTCAGTTTTCGAGCTTTGGACAGCAGCGACAAGAGGTCGCCGTTTTTGCAATACTGGATCAACATGGAATATAACGGCTGGTCTTGTCCCCTTTCTAGGAGAAATTCGTAAACACCCAGAATGCAGGCATGTCCCTGAACGGCTTTCAGTGTGGCAAATTCATTGAGCGAGTTGAACAAGTACGCCTTGATGGACTCTTGCGGTCTGCGCTTGAAGCTCTTGAGAACAACTATTTGGTTGCGATCCGAGTTCAAACGACACTTGAAAATTGTTCCTCCCGAGCCCTGGTCAATTTCACTTTCTTTCGAAACGAGCGAATTGACACAGGGAACGTCCAGTTCGAGGTCCTGAGCCGAGCCCAGTCGTGCTTGCGACGAAAGTTTCTCGAATAGCCGGGCCGCGTCGTACATTTGCTGGTTCTGCAATTGCAGTCGAGAACAAGTATGTTTGGTTTCCTATCTTGGACATTCACCAACGGAGATAGGTGCAGGAGAAGAAACGAAACCTAGCCCCCCACTCTTTTTGAAATTGGGTGGCATATGGCCAGTGCAAAGATGTGTTGTATTTTTTAAAATTTGGTAAGCTCTAGAATATCTGCCCATTCCCTCAAATGACGACCGCAGTCCCGGAAGTGTCAGTTTCGGTCGTCACTCCTGCCCATGGCGGTGGCTCGCCCGACCACGTCAAGTCCTCGTGGCTAGTGAAACGGCTGTTTGATGCGTTTGCAGATGCCGTTGTCGAACAATCCAACGAGGCAGGGATCCCTGGGAATCGCAGCAAGTCCATGATCTCGTACTGTATTTCACCATTTGCGCTGCTGTGCATGCTGACAGCAACCATTCTCAACCGCATAGTGATTTTTGCCAGCACGAGAACCAACAAAAGACTACCAAAAGCATCCAAGATCCTGCTGCGACTGACAGCGATCTACCTGCTGATGGAAGGCGCCTACGGCCTTCTTGCCGCGCTCAAACTATACACGCAGTCGCCTCTGCTCAAGAAGTTGATCCCCCGCTACTACGACTTCGACAGAGACACTTTTGCAAGCTACACGTTTCTGGGGCTCAGCTACAGTCCGGAGTATTTTGCACGAACGACAATCTATAAAGGCGAAAAGACAACATTTTACGGCCCGACACCCGCAATTTTGAAACCGTTCTACCTGGCGTTGTGTCTCAGCCAGGTGCTCGAGACGTTTATCGCCGTCACGAGCGGGTCTGAGCCCTGCATCGAGAACGGGCTCACGCTGTTCGAGTATTCGCTGGCGTTCCAGGAAGTGCAGACGGCAAACCGGCCGTCGACGGAACTTTTGCTTATCGCGGCCACTGCACTTGCACACCAGCTCAATATCCATCTGCTCGGGCTCTTTGACAAGCAGAAATACCGGCTTGTTTTTTCCGTGCTTATTGGCACCTTCACACTTACATTGTACACCAAAACGTTTATATCCGGCAGAATCACGTACATGCCGTTCACCGTTGTGATGGGATATCTGCCGCAGATGATCACGTTACTCGTTATAATGTCCAGTCTGCTCATTTTCCTGCTGGCGGCGCTGTTTAAAGGCTCCTTTTCCGATCTCACCTTCAGCACGCTGACCCAGCACCTCGACTCGATCGACGTCTCCCTGGCAGACGATTTCTACACCGCCCTGATCAACATGGGCACGTTCGTCATTAACGCCGCGTCCAAACAGAGCTACGTGAAGGAATTCGACACCGTCAAAGTGCCTGCCACCACCTACCTGGAGGCTGCACAGCCCGGATACGGCAGAAAAGTGGACAACCATCCGGAACTGGCTGCGCACCAGCTACAGCAGCGGAAAAAACAGTCCAAGCTGTGGATGGTGATGCGACGGACTCAGGACATGCGGCGACTGCTGTTTGGGTTCGCAAAGATGCTGGGCGTGCTGGTCTGGGGACCGCTCTCTGTGGCCGACGACGACCGTGTCGTGAGCGACGTGCGTGAGGAGGACTGGCGCAGGCTGCGCGAACACAACGCTCAGATGCTGCTCAGCGAGCGGGTGAACGTTGATGAGCTTGACGAGCAGCAGTTGCAGCAAAACTACGCACAGCTCCTGCTCAGCTACCAGCTGTCGGACTTCGATTCCTCGGCAGACTACAGCCCTGAATTTTTGGAGAGCGAGAGTGAGCTCGAAGACGAGAGCGGCGAGGAAAACGAGCTAGCCCAGCTGGTTTCTGCACAGGACCTGGAGTCTTTAGTCGATCCGCGGTCGCCAGAAGAGATTCAGTTTGCGCGCATTCTACAACAACACCTGCATTCGTCGTCCACCCTCACGCGGCGTCGGTTTAGCGAGAACTACGCGCCCGACCTGCGCCTCATGGACCTCATCAGGGAGAAACGCGTCGTCCAGGACGCAGACCTGGGAAACTGTGTGATATGTCACGTGAACGCGCGTCAGGTGATCCTGTGGCCGTGCAAGTGTCTTGCGATCTGCGAGAGCTGCCGCGTGTCGCTGTTTGTGCGCAACTTCAACGAGTGCGTGTGCTGCCGATCGAAGGTTGACGGGTACAGCAAAGTGTATATTCCATGAGCTCCCTGGTTTTGGAGCCCTGGAAAGATAATAGCTCGAATGCATTAATGAAAAGTAAACAAGGCGTGCGCGGCCAAATATTTTGGCGTTGGCAAATGTTTTTTTCAAAAGCAGTAGTTCATTTGTTTACATTTGTTAAAACAATATACCACGGCCTTTCTATTGGAACTATTAGAATTATTAAGGTCTTTAAGCTTTAACAACACCGCAAGTTGCAATGAGAGAAATTGTAAGTGTGCCAGGTCTGGTCTGCGACGCGTATTTGCGTTGTGTGCGCCTGAAAATCCACAACCCACCACGAGTTTCGTGTGGTGGGTGTTTCAACCAAATACTAACTATCTTCAGATCCATTTGTCTACTGGCCAGTGTGGTAACCAGATTGTAAGTATATCTAACGCGTTTTATGTGTGCTAACGTATCAGGGTGCTGCCTTTTGGGAAACCATCTGCGGCGAACACGGTCTAGATGCTGACGGAAACTACCACGGAACAAACGACATCCAGAAATCCAGACTCAACGTCTACTACAACGAAGCAAGCAGTGGAAAATACGTGCCAAGAGCAGTTCTCGTTGATTTGGAGCCAGGCACCATCGACACTGTCAAATCGTCAGAGTTTGGTAACTTGTTCAGACCAGATAATCTCATATACGGCCAATCTTCAGCGGGCAACGTTTGGGCTAAGGGCCACTACACAGAAGGTGCCGAACTGGTTGACTCTGTCTTAGATGTCGTCAGAAGAGAGGCTGAAGGCTGTGACTCCTTGCAAGGTTTCCAAATCACCCACTCCTTGGGTGGTGGTACCGGTTCTGGTATGGGTACTCTGTTGATTTCCAAGATCAGAGAGGAGTTTCCAGACAGAATGATGGCAACCTTCTCTGTGATGCCTTCTCCAAAAGTCAGCGACACCGTTGTGGAGCCATACAACGCTACCTTGTCTATCCACCAACTGGTCGAGAACTCGGACGAGACCTTCTGTATCGACAACGAGGCCTTGTACGACATTTGCGTCAGAACTTTGAAATTGAACCAACCATCCTACAACGACTTGAATCACCTTGTGTCCTCAGTTATGTCTGGTGTCACCACTTCGCTCCGTTTCCCAGGACAATTGAACTCCGATCTCAGAAAGCTTGCCGTGAACCTTGTGCCATTCCCAAGATTGCACTTCTTCATGGTTGGCTATGCTCCGCTGACCTCCATCGGATCGCAATCTTTCAGATCGCTGACTGTCCCTGAACTGACCCAGCAAATGTTTGACTCTAAGAACATGATGGCGGCTTCCGACCCAAGAAAGGGAAGATACCTGACCGTTGCTGCTTTCTTCAGAGGTAAGGTTTCTGTCAAGGAGGTCGAGGATGAGATGCACAAGGTGCAGACCAAGAACTCCGACTACTTTGTCGAATGGATTCCAAACAACGTTCAATCTGCCGTTTGTTCTGTTGCTCCAAAGGGTCTCGACATGTCCGCCACGTTCATTGGAAACTCGACCTCCATCCAGGAGCTCTTCAGAAGAGTTGGCGATCAGTTCAGTGCCATGTTCAGAAGAAAGGCGTTCCTGCACTGGTACACCTCCGAGGGTATGGACGAGATGGAGTTTACCGAGGCCGAGTCCAACATGAACGATCTTGTCAGCGAGTACCAGCAATACCAGGACTCCAACGACATTGAAGAGGAGTTGGACTACGCTGATGAGGCTCCGTTGGAGGATATAATGGAGTAAGAGCAAGGTATCTAATTTTCCGCTTGGTTGAGTTTCATTTCTTTGGGTTTATGCGAGATTCCCCTCTTGTGCCTTGCTTTTGATAGCCGAACACTTGCAGACGACATACGAATGGAACTCTGCCAGAAATCTGTCTCGACTAGTTTTATTCAATATACCCCCTTAAATTGTCAAGTAATCAGATATAATCGTTTTCTGTTCAAGGCTGTGTTCTCGCTATTTTTTGCATTTAAATGTTTTGGCCCAACCTCGTTGTCTCTTGCCAGACTCTACCCGAGGTCCAGGAATTGGCCGCGGGGCCGATTTCCAAAGACCGTTCTGTGATTATTACGTACGAGCCGACGCCGCACCGCGATCCAATACTGCAGGTCGTCACCAACGTTCCCAACTTCCCGTACGTCGTGATGACGTATCGGTCGCTATACGTATTTGACTCTCGGACAAATGCTCCCATTGGAGCCCATATACGCTCCAACAACTCGCTGGAAGAGTTTGGGTCCAACATAAAGATCAAGCGCTCGCCAAGTGGGAAACAATTTGCGGTGGAGACCTCCAAAAACATACTTCTTATATTCACTCTTCGGAGCGACCTGAGCGACGAGCTACTCACGATATTCAACACAGAGGGCAAGGTTATACAGAACGGACTACCTGCTTTAACAGAGACGGCTAATGGTGCGAGCGTGCCGGACAATTTGATGAAGAGCTTTATTAATGTGCTCCTTAGCGAGAACCAGATGGAATTGCCGAACTACGACTACGGGCTTCGTCTGAAGCTTGTTCTGAACGTTCAGAGCCCGCTGGCAGACTACTTCTTTTCTTCGAATGGACATTTGCTGCTGGTGAACTCCGATCCGCACGCTTTCCAGCTGATCCAGCTGGCGTCTTCCCCGTCGCAGTCCGACATCGACGCCAAGGACGAGGGCAAGCATATAAAATTCATTCTGGTCAACGAGCTGGAGTGGTACAAAAGCAACAGCGGGGCAGTGACGCGGGAACTGTTCTATAGCTACGAAATGGGCTGTTTCCTGTGGCTGGACCAGAACGGTGGCTGTTGGATAGTCCAGAAGCGTGGCGGGCCCGATAACGTGGACTTCGTTGGTGAGCAAGTGCACCATGCTGAGGACGGCAGGGTTGTGAAATGTTTGGTGAACCATTTTAAAAACCTGGCATATTTTGGGCTGGAGAACGGGGATCTCGTGGTAGTGCAGCTGCTGCGCAACATGACGGTGCAAAAATTAAAGGTGGTGAAAAAACACGTTTCGTCGCAGGGGCTACGGGACTTGGTGCTCAGCCCGGACGGCGACTCGTTGGTCGCGCTGTACGAGAACGGCTGGAACGTGTATTCGACGCTGGGGAATCTGAATTTCTCGACGTACGACTACGAGAGCGCAGCCTGGCTGAGACCCGACAACATTGGGTTTCTGAACAATTTCGAGCTGATTCTCTCGGTTGGCAGCAAACTGTACAAGCTGAACCTGATCACTCTTAACCACTCGCGGTTCCTGAGTTCGGCAACGTTTAAACGGCCCGTGCTGATGGCCGCCGACCGGCTCTCGCTGTTTCGCGCACTTGACAAAAATCTTATGGACCATTTGAAGGGCAAGTCCACAGTTACCAACAAGGAAACCAGTATCTGGCTGGATGTGATGCTGCCGCTCTCGTTCTACATCGGCAATCGCGACATCCGCTGCTGCGCGATGAGCGACGACGGGAACAATGTGTGTCTTGTTGGTAGCAGCGATGTTTTCGTGTACAGTCTGCTGACTGACGAGTGGAAGGAGCTCAAGCTGACCGAAAAGGGCGAGAAACCAGACGTCAACCCGGTACGCGTGTGCGCGTGGTGGAAAAATCATTTAATTCTAGGGTCCAGGACTTTTGAGACCGAGGCCAAGTCGGAGGTGATTTTATTTTCCACCAGAGTTCTCAGCAAAGGTGTTCCATTCACGTACGAACAAATTGTGTGGGGGTTCAACTTTGCCGAGACCGCGTTTGACGAGAACTTTCTGCATCTCAATATCGACATAGCCGGCGATGAGCTGCTGGTCATGAGCGACCGATTGAACTGCTACACATGGAAAATGAGCTTCAACAGCCAGGTCCGCGGCGCAGGCTCGATTTTGCTGAAAAAATCGAACGTATACCAGCTGCGCAACTGTTTTGAGGACGACATCGAGTCTGTGGTGCGCAACTTCAGGGCTGTCGTGAAAATCAACGAAGACGACCTGCTGGTGCTGTCGAACTGCGAGCTGGCGTACATCCGCAAAGAAGTTTTATCAGCGCGCGAAAAGGCCGTCTATCATTCGTACCACGTGAGTTCTACCGTGGAGTACGTGGCAAAGCTGACGCCGAACGTGGTGGCCGTGTTTGACGGCTGCGAGATCTGGCTATACGACTTCACAAACGAGAAAAACATGATGAAAATCCTGCCCATCGCTGTCCAGACCGGCAACCAGACACAGGTGCGCGAAAACGGCGTGCTGCTGGTGGAGTCTAACGGCACCAACTCTTATCCGCTCACGATTCTGAGCGACAAGAACATGATCTTTGGCATCGAAATCGACTCTGCTCAGGGCTCGAACCTCAAGGTGGAGCCGACGCGCAAAAACTACCTCAATAACGTTCTGGACCACTATATCCGGCTCAATCTCGAAGTGGACCAAGGCAATAACAGCAACATCCTGAGCTTATCCTCGATCTACAAGCGGTTCCACCGGTTCAAGCATTTTGTGTTTGTTCTGGAGCTGCTGTTGATGAATTACATCCAGAAAAGCTACGAGGGCCACGACGACGGGCCGGAATATTTCGACCGGCTCATCAAGCTCATCAAGATGACAGGCATCGAGTATTTGGTGTACCTCAACTGTCTCAAAAAGATCGAGGTCCACTACTGGTCCACGTTTTTCTCGCGGTACTCAGAGACTCCGCGAGACATGCTTTCCAAAATATACAACCTTGACAAGGATTTCAAGCTGTCGGCGCACTACTTTATCATCATGTTGAATTACGAGCAGACAGACGACAAGATCGGCGAGAAGGACGTCCAACTCATCAACGACATTCTTGTGAAGCTGGTGCTGACCAAAGATTTCGAAACGTCGTTCGAGCTCGTGCGTTTCATCAAGTTGATCGACGACAAGATATGCAACCGCATCATCGGTAGCCTCGAGTCGGAACTCAACACCTACTCCAATGGCCGGATAAACAAATAGATAATAAATAGACACGCTATCTAACTGGCTCCCTTGAGGAACTTGTCGATGAAGGAGTCGTTGGCGGTGGTGTCGTAAGAGCTGAACGGCTCGAAGTACATCATCACGTGGCATCGCTGTTTCCAGAAGTTCACTAGCTCTTGGAACTCCATCTGCGCTTTCATGTACAGTACGTTCTGCACGGCCAGGTCGTTGACAAACCGGTGTCTCTCAAACTCCTGACGGATCTTGGTCTTGACCTGGGAGGCAGGCAAGTCCAGGTCGTAGTTATTGACAAAGTTCCGCGAGTGTCTCAAATACCGTCTATACAGATTGAGCACGCGAGTTCGCATCTCTGCACTGGACGTGGAAAACCGCGTGGTCGCTGCAAAAGCTGTAGGAAGCGTCATATCAAGAGAGATAAGTTATTTTTCTCCACTTTTGGGGATAATTTCTGTCAAAAAATAATTTTATATTATAATGGAATCCTGTGCTATTTATCAGAATCCGTCTGGATTTGGGTTTTTGATAGGCTCTCTACTGGCATTGGGAATTTACGTGTCCTACATCCCCCAGCACCTCAAGATCGTCAACCGAAGAACCAGCGAGGGTCTCTCGCCCTTGTTCCTGCTGCTGGGGTCGACGTCGGGCTTTTCTTCTCTTGTTAACCTGCTGCTGGTCAGCTCTCCAGCACGCAAATGCTGTCTGACCGATCTCAACAAATTCCAGTGCATCTACTCCCAACTTGGCCTTATCCAGGTCGCTGCCCAAGCCATTGGCTACTCGCTCATCCTGATTCTCTGCGCGTACCTCACAAGGCCCCCTATAGACGTTCCCGGCTCGAATGAGGAGAAAATCGGCCGAGCGTACCGCTTGTTTCTCATTTATGTGGTACTTAACGCTGCCCTCGCAATATACTTTCTCTTTTTCAACGCAGACTTCAACAAAACAATGGCTTTCGCAAATTTCAGCGGAATCTTGTCCACAGTCCTCGCAACGGCACAATATTTGCCCCAGATCCGTACCACCTACACGCTGAAACACGCAGGAACGCTTTCCATGCATATGATGCTGCTGCAGACCCCAGGCGGGTACCTGTGGAGCTTTTCGCTGTTCATGCAGCCCGGCTCAACGTGGAGCAGTTGGCTGCCCTACTTTATGGCCGCCAACTTGCAACTCGTGCTCCTGATCATGTGTCTGTACTACAGGGGCCGCGACCCAGAAGAAACACCGTTGTTGGGATGACAGTCTAACATTACACAGAAATGGTCTTCCAGACATTCAAACCGTCCGTTCCCGTGCTGACCAAAGCACCGGGAATCTGCTTGTGCCATCTCACGTCCTTCACGTCTTTCTGCCAGTGCACAAACAGCAGCTGAGGCGGAATGTCCGAGAGCTCTTTGGATTCCTCTTTCTGCTGCTTGATCTCCTCGTCGTCGGCCTCCACAGCCAGGTCCCATAAGGTCACCGTGTTGTCCTCGGAAGAAACAGCAACAATAGACTCGTCCAATGGGTTAAATGCAATAGAGGTGATGGCAGACTTGTGGAAATCGTAAGAGACAACCGGAGAAGGCTGGCTACCAGGCTGGAAGTTTCTAAGATCCCAAACCCCCCAGGTTCCGTCGTCATGGCCAGATGCTAGCAGATAGTCGAGCTTGTCGCACCAGGAGATCACGTTCACGTCGGTCTTGGAGGCCACGACGTTGAGCGCAGGCTTGTGCTTTTTGGACCTGGTATCCCATATCCTAACGTAGCCGTCTGTTCCTGCGGTTGCGAAAACAGTCGTTTCAGACCGAGACCACTGTATATCCTCGATCGATGCGTTACTGGCCTGATAGGCCGTTTTGTCCGTCACCCACTTGCTGCCCGCGCCGTTCGTCAGGTAAATTCTGCCCGACATGTCTCCACTCAGCAGGGAGCCAGAGTCAACAAGCGGCGACCAGTCGAGTCCATATCCCTCGACGTTGCCATGGTTCTTGACAATATGCAGCGGCCGCTTATTCTGTTTCGGAATCACGTATCCTGGAGTGTCGAAGGCCTTCATTTGCGCGCTCAAATCGAAAATCAACACCTCGGCACTCTCGGACATGGTGGCAGTGTAATACTTGCCAGTTTTCAGTGCTAGAGGAGATACACGGAGTCTGTTGGTCGTGTGGCTGAGAGAAACGGTCTCGCTTTCCAAAATAGGGTCGTGCTCGTCCTCGTCCTCGTCCTCGTCGTCTTCATCCTCTTCGTCGTCGTCTTTCACCAGAGTCTTGGCCAACGACGACAGCTTCATCACTATCATCTCATTATCTTTGTTTCTTTGGGCCTGCGTGGCCGTGGTCACGTACATGGTAGCCGGATATCCCCGTCTCTCCGAGCCCAGATTGTCTGGCATCACATCCAGGGTGAGACAAGGCCATGGCATGTTCACGTTGTGCAACATTTCATAGACACTGGGGTCTGGCTCGAGCACCTCGTCTGGTCCCAGGGGTCTAGATCGATGAGGCAAATACAGCTCTTTTTGGCCTTTCGCAGGCTCTGTGTCTTCCTCATTTGGCTTTTGCAATGCCTCCTGCACTTCCTCCATAGGCTGGTCGTTGTCTTCCTCGCCAGAGGTGTCTATCTCGATGATTTCTCCTTCACTCTCATAGTCGTCTCCGGAAAGGTCTTCCATGTCACCTTCCACCTTCGAGCGGTAGTCGTCGGCATCTTCAGCATCGTATGGTTCTGTGTTGGCATTTGGGTCTCTTTTGGCAGAATTGCGGTCCACAATGTCCTCAGCTGCTCTTTTGGACATACTAGATGATAATTATTTTTTTCAAAAATTTTTTTTTTATATAGTCAACCCAAAATGGAAGTAATTAATATATTTTGATCAAATTTATTTGTATGGAGAGAAAAAGCTTCCTAGATCAAGAGCCCCCGCCAGGCTATATCGCCGGTATAGGCCGCGGAGCCACAGGATTTACTACACAGGCAGATCTAGGGAGCTCTCGACGTCTTCCCGCGGGCTCTTTCGCTTTGGAGGACGAGAACAACGTGGACGACGATGGGAGGTTTTTAGACGCAGACAACGACGACACTGGCAGGTTTGGTAGCGTCTCCGATGATGACGGTGATGCAGACCGGATATACGACGCAATTGAGGCCAAGCTGCAACGCAAAAAAGCTAGGCCCCGAAAAAGAGCACAGAAAAATGCACTAGAGGACGAAAACAAGGTCCAAGTAGAGGAAATCAGTATTGGGCAGTCCATCCGCACAATCGGCGAGGAGTTCAAGGAGTACAAGGAGAAACTCTCAGAAGTGTCCGCCGAAGACTGGCTGAATCTGCCGGATTCTGGGGATTTCACAAAACGGAATAAAAGAGCACGCAAAGAGATGCAGGAACGCCAGAGATTTTACAGAAATTCGGACTTTGTGACCAGCGGGCTGCGTGATGTGGGCAGCACAGGTGATCAGGCTCTTTTGGACGAGAAGGACGTGGATCTTACTGGGCTCTCTCTTGCCAAGGAAAAAGTGCTTGCTGGACAACTAACGAGTCTCCGAGACGACAAGGCGGAGTCTGTCGACGCAGAGACCTATTTGAGCCAGTTGCAGGATGTTTCTGGTGAGATTAGCACGGAAATCGGGGATTATCATAAAACGCGGACACTTTTCGCCAAAATGCGAGAAACGAATCCATACAAGCCAGACGCATGGATAGCCAGTGCGCGGCTCGAGTACGAGGCAAAAAAATACAAGCGTGCGCGGGAACTGATCCAGCAGGGCTGCGAGAAGTGCCCAAAGTCCGAAGAGGCGTGGCTGGTGAACATCGAGATGAACAAGCAGGACGCTTCTGTGTGCAAGGTGATCATTGCCGAGGCTGTTCGGTACAATGCCAAGTCTGTGCGTCTGTGGCTCTGTGCTGCTTCTTTGGAAACGGACAGTTTGTCGAAAAAACGAATTTTAAAGAAAGCCCTTGAATTTCTGCCACGGAGCAGCGAGCTCTGGATGGAAGTGGTAAAGTATGAAGAGGATGAGACCATGGCGCTGCGAATGATGCAGAAAGCGACGGAATTGGTTCCTGGCAACGTTTTGTTGTGGCTTGAGTACGCACGGCTCGGGAACTCCAAGCAGATTCTTGAGGAGGCGTTGGAGAAGGTTGACTCTGCCGACGCGCACATCGTCTGGATAGAACTGGCCAAGGAAGAGGAGCAAAGGACTGGCAACGAGGTCAAAATAGGCCACATTGTTGAGTCTTGTTTCGAGCACACGTCTTTGGGTCGAGAGACGTGGCTGGACATTGCGTCGCAGTGCGAAAAGGATGGCTTCTCACTGGTAGCCAGAGCCATTGTGTTCAACAGTATGAACTTGGGCGTCACTGACGACGACAAGCTTGATATTTGGAAAGCCGAAGCGTTGGAAAGATCACCCGAAATATCCAGATCGATATACATGTTCATCACGGCCAACTTCCCACAAGATATTGAAAGCTGGATGAACTTCATCAAAATGGAGAAGACACTCAGACAGTATGACCAGCTTTATGTTGTCTATGAGATGGCCACACGTGCAAATCCAAATTACGAACTGTTTTATCTGATGTATGCCAAAGACAAGTGGAAAGAAGATGGTGATGTTGAGAAAGCAAAGGCGATCATTGATGAGGGACTGCAGATGAACCCAGACTCCGAAGATCTCTGGTTTGCAGCACTCAAGCTGCGCTCAGGAGAAGAAGCAAGACAGCTGTTCGTCAAGTGCAGAGAGCAGCTTGGCAAAAAGACCGCTCGGGTGTGGTACAAAAACGTCACTTTTGAGAGACAGAACGAAAACTTGATAGCGGCCAAGGAACTTGCTGAACAGGGCACCCAGCATCATCCTAAGGAATTCAAACTATACCTGCAATGGGGCCAAATTCTAGAGGAAGAAAACCGGCTGGAACAGGCTGCAGAAATATACTACAAAGGAACGTTGCTGTGTCCAAACAGCCCGTTACTTTGGGTTTATCTTGTGCGAGCCTACGAAAAACTAGGCAATCTGATCAAGGCGCGCTCGATTCTGGACCAGTCAGTGGTCTCCAATCCGCTCAGTGACCAGATCCAGCTGGAACGTGTCTTGCTGGAAGAAAGAGCACACAATCGTTCCCAAGCCGAGCGCATCCTGTCCACTGCTCTGAAGAAGCTCCCCCACTCGGCGGTGCTATGGCGTCAGAACATCCTCTATGCAAAACCGTCGCACCGCAAGAACTTATACACCACGGCTCTAAACTCCACCAACGATCATCCGATGATTATTCTTACCATTGCCAAAGATATGTGGCTTTCTGGCAAGGTTGCACGCGCGAAGCAGTTTTTTGATGCCTGCTACGAAAAGGACCCCGGCTATGGCGACTACTATATCCACTATTACGCATTTTTGATGAAACATGGGACGAAGGGTGAAATTCGGGAGCTCGAGGCTCGTTTCAAGGAAAATGATCCTCACTCCGGCGAAGAGTGGTGTGTACTAATGAAGGATGTCCATAGGAAGGACACAGATCTGGAATTGTTGAGAAAAGCGGCGGAAAAGGCAGCAGGGAAAATTTGATTGGAGTGCAACTGGCTGTAGATGGATGTACACTAATTGTATTATTAATATGACGGAAAACAAAAAACAGTTTGTTGTCAGCAGGGGAATTACAGAAAAAGGGCGGCCCCTGCTGCTCGTAAAATGAGTCCATGATGCCAAAGCGATTGTCAGCTCAGCAGGTGCGGGTCCAGCAGAGGGAGGGAGAAATTTGCACGCCGATGAGAATCCTGCTACGCGACAAAAAAAATGTTGCTATCGCCGTATCGGGTCAAATAAGGAAATAATTTCTTAAATTATTCTTTATTCTCTGATGAACAGATTAATTGTCGGCATCCGGTCTGGCAGGCGTATGATGCCCGGAGCCACACCACGGACGAGTGTGGAATTCCTCTGGAGAAATAAGTTCTATGCGACGGTCAAGACGGACAACATCGATTGGGATCCAGTGAAGACCTCAAAACAGTTGATCAAAGGAAGAGAGTTGGAGTCGAAAACCAGCAGGCGAATATTTTTTGGTCTGCTGTGCCTGACCCCCGTCGTGACGTTTTTGCTTGGTTGCTGGCAGTACCAACGTCTAAAGTGGAAGAACAAGCTGGTTGCCGATTGCGAGGACAGACTCACGTACAAGCCGCTTCCACTGCCAAAGTCGGTCACTCCAGACCAAGTGGGCGATTTGGAGTACCGCAGAGTGCTGCTCACGGGTAAATTTGACTACAGCCGTGAGGTTTTTGTGGGTCCGAGGCTGGAAAACGGCCAGAAAGGATATTTATTGATTTGTCCCCTGATCCAGTCAAACGGCGGCGGGGAAGTGCTGGTCAACCGTGGCTGGATCAGAGAGGACAGAGTGATACCAGAGAGCAGACGGCTGCAACATCTTTCATGCCCGCAAGGTGAAATCACGATCGAGTGTCTGCTAAGAGTTCCTCCGTCCAAAGGCAGGTTCCACATGGAGCACGAACCGGGCTCGAAACTCTACACGTACCTCGATTTGGAAGCGATGGCGGAAGAATTGCACACGCGGCCGCTATATGCCGTTGCCATCCAGAACTTCAAAGACCATCCGGAATGGATACCAGAGAAAAAGCACGAGAGCAATCCGTGGTGGAAGTTTTGGGCCAAATCGCCTCCTTCAAAAGAGGCCCCCGCTCAGGATGCAGACGCAGAGTTCAGCCCCTTGCAGTTCATGAGCGCCGGCGTGCCTCTGGGAAAAGCACCTACCGTGGACTACACCAACAACCATATGCAGTATATGGTCACGTGGTGGGGTCTATGCTTCATTTCAACCATTCTGCTGCGCTTGGTGATCAAGAACAGCAAAGTGATCAACCCAAAGATGGAAAAGATGGAGAAGCTCAAGCACGCCAACAAGTACCTGGGCTAGTCTGTACATAATATCACTCCGTCCGACATCCGTACACCTGTAAGTAGCGACGCGTATTTTGCGGAAACTTAAAAAAAAACATCCCTAATTTAATGAGACCGTTCGAAACCGACGGAACGAGCTCGCGGCTGCCCATAGTGCGGCCGGCCACTCCGAACCAGAACAGACGTAGCATGCGGTCGTCCAACCTGATTGGCACGTCCACGTCGCCGGCGTCTAAACAGCAACACTATCCTCTCTCGTCCCCTTATCGTTCGCAACACAACCCGCCCTCTCTGTCGACTCCGGGGTCTTTAGCGCAGAGCGATTCCACAGAGGCCCCACAGGATGGGGGTCCAGGAGCTGCGGAGTCCGATCTGCCCTTTTTCGATAAGGCCCGACAGTTTGAGTTCATTGACCATCTGGACAGCATACACATGAAACTGTTGAAGCTGAACGAGATCCACGAGTCGCTGACAAATTTCAACGAATCGTTTGGGTCGTTCCTGTTTGGGTTCAATATCAATGCATGGTGCGTGAACTTTGAAGAGGCACCGACCCCGAAGACATGGAACCAGAAACAGCAGTTGGACGAGATCCAGAGCAAGATCGACTCTCTGCAAGCAGAGATAGAGAAGCTCGAAACAGAACGCAAAGACAGAACCACCATGCCTCCTCCAGGGCCCGGCAAAACCGCGCAGATAAGACAAACTTCCGCCAGACGATCGTATCTTCGAGGCAGTAGCCGCACCGTCTCGAGCTCTACAAGACGCCAGTCGTCGATTCCCAAGCTTGTGAGATCGCATTCATCGTCATTGGACCAGACGCCAGTACAGAAACCGGCCGCGACGCCCAGCAGCAGACTCAATCTGTCCTCTGCGAAAAAGACTAATATACGACCGGGAAGCTCGCAGGAGGACGAAAAATGGCAAGTGAAGGGACGCAAACCTTTTAGATGAATACATAATGAATTACGGCTTAGGGATTCTCAAGCTCTTGCTAATCATCAGACAGCCCTGGACGAAGAACAGTCCGCTGAAAGGGTGCCACTCATAAAACTTGCCCTCCCACAGAAGCCCCAATGGCAGATCGGCGGCAGTCCACTGCTTGTAAACAAGGAACGACATTAACAACACGAGCCACAGGGAGGACGGAATAGGTAGTCCTTCAAAATACTTGGACTTGCCAGTGAAGTCCTTGGGGATGTTGGAAACGGTGACGTTGAATCTGGCAAGTCTGCCGAGCCCACACAGAACGCAGAAGGTGAGACAAAGAACGTCGAGAGTGGTTTGGAGCCCTATGGCAAACGCAATCGAGGCGGGGGCAACTCCAAACGAGATAAGGTCAGCGAGCGAATCGAGCTCCTGGCCAATCAAAGAAGCCTTGTTTCTGAGTCTGGCGACTTTGCCATCAAAAAAGTCGAAAAACAGACCCAGAAAAATGAAGAAGATTGCCCGTTGCACGTAGTGACTCTGGCGCGTTAGCGTGAATCTGAGACACGAAATGATCGAGTAAAAACCACTAAAGCCGTTCAGCATGGTGATGAAGTCGGCCATATGTAGGTTTCTAATGAAAGATAGATGTCTATTGTCCGAAGTGAATGCTATGATATCAGTTTCGTTGGGCGGAGGCAGAGGCTCGTCGGTCAGAGAGAAGATCGAGGACATCGACGAGGACCGTCTGGTCTTGATGTGCTCGATAGATGCACCTTCAGAATCAGAGGCGTCAGACATTGCCGACTCTGGCGGTGGAATCGAGGATTTTTTAGCGATCCGCGACGGTCTCTGAGACATTGGAGAGGCGAATAGAAGCAAGCAATATATGTATATGTTTTAATTTTTATAGGATACTTTTGGTGTAGAGGTGCTTTTGTACTTGGTTATCTACACACTTCTCACCACCTCGTCAATACATTTGGCCACGTGCTTGACGTTGCCCTCGTTCAGACCGGCAATGCTGGCTCTGCCAGAGCTGACAAGGTACACGCCGTGCTTCTTTTCCAATCTCTCGACCTGGGCTGGAGTCAAGCCGGTAAAGGAGAACATGCCCTGTTGCTCGACAATGTGCTTCCACGAGCCCGGAGTACCCAGCTTCTCGAGCTCGGCAGTGAGCGTCTGGCGCATCTTGGAAATTCTTGAGCTCATGGTCACAAGGTCGTCCTCCCACTGTTTCATCAGCTCGGGCGTGTTGAGGATCAGAGACACGATCTTGGCTCCGTATGCTGGCGGGTTCGAGATTTCGGATCGGATAATCTTGGAAAGCTGCGAGAGCACGGCCTTGTTGAGCGCTGTGTCGTGTTCCGGCAGCACCACGTGCACAGCGCCGACTCTTTCGCCGTACATTCCGGCGTTCTTAGCGAACGACTGGCACACAACGATGGGGAAGCTGTACTTCTTGTCGACGGCCTCTCGCACGGCCCATGCATCTTTATCGAGCGATCCGGACGAGAAGCCCTGGTACGCTGAGTCAAATAAGGCCAAATGGTTGCCTTTTTCGATGGCCTGTAGAATTTTGAGCCACTGGTCGGGTTTAGGGTCGAGCCCGGTCGGGTTGTGAGCCGTTGCGTGGAGCAGGAACACAGAGCCTTCTGGAGCCTGCTCTATGGACCTCACAAAGCCGTCCAGGTCCAAAGTCTTGGTTTCGTTGTTCCAGTACGGGTAAGAGGCCGTCTTCAGGCCAAGGTACCCGAATATCTGCTCATGGTTGGCCCACGTAGGCTTCGAGAGGTAGACGGTGGGAGGCTCCTTGGACGTATTGGACACGTAAAACTCCTTCAAGAATTTGCCCGCCACGTGCAAGGCGCCAGTGCCGGAAAGCGTCTGGATAGACACGAGTCTGTCCTCGGCAATGGCTTTCGACTGCTTGCCAAGGATAATCCGGGCAGCGGCGTCGGTGAACGCCTTGTAACCGGAAATCGCCAGATACTCATGGTTGTACTCCTTGGAGTTCTGCAACAGGTTCTCGGCGAGCCTGACAGAGGGCAAAATCCACGGCTTGCCGTCGTTGTCTCTGTAGGCACCGATTCCAAGATCGACCTTGTTGGGACGCGGGTCCTCGCTGTATCTGGCCTTGAGACCAAACAATGGGTCTGGAGGCAGCTGGGGGATGTTCTCGATGCTGAAGGATCTTGTCATGGGGGAGAAATGGGAGGAAGTAAATGTTTAACGTTTTTGTCTTATATAATAAATAGGCTACTTGGACCCGGAGGCCTGCATGGGGTGAGCGGAGAAATGACGTACTATGGTTGTGTGTGTTTGGGAGGGGGGTTACCCGGCCACGGAGCAGGACCCGCGGTAGCGCACGGCGTGCACACAGAGCGTGGCTGGCAAGTGGCCGTGGCCACGACGGCAACGGTGTGGCCCTTGCGTCGCGACGGAAGTGTGTTTTCGTTTGCAATTTAACCCGCTGAAATTCGTATCTCGGGTGTGAAAATAAATATTTTTCCAGTTTACTAAGCTATCTAGAATATGGATCTTCTGGGCGACATTGTCGAGCACGACACGTCCACAGAGCCCCAGGCGCCTGTTGCGGCGATTTCTGGGTCTGCCACGGGGTTCCCCGTGGCGGCCAAGAGAAAGCCTGTGCGGCGGCGGAAAACGGCAGAGCGTTCTTCTGACGGAGTCTCTGAAAAAGAGCAGATCCATCTCGAAAACATCGAGCGGCTAAGCAAGATGTCTGGAGAGGAGCGCGCACAGGCCAAGGAGGAGCTGATCAACACTCTGGACCCGAAAATCCTGCAAATGCTGTTGAAAAGAGCAGAGCAAGACAAGAACGAGCCGCGGGGTGCTGTGGCAGATAGCGACAGCGACTCGGCAGCAAGCCCGGCGCTGAAACCCGCGCTGCGCAGGGACAGCGTGTCGTCGGCAGACAAGAAGGTGCGGTTCAACAACGAGGCGTCCGTCAAGTACGTCAAGCCGTCGTCGCCGCTGGCAATGCCGAAAACGAGCAAAGAGGACGAGGAATGGGAGGATATCGAGTATCTGGACGAGTCGGGGCCGAGCTTCGAGGAGGCGCAGCGGCTGAAACAGGCGTCGGTGCATTTCCCCAGACCGAGCAGCGAGAAGCTGGAGAAGCTCGATATAAACGACCCGGACTTCAACGACAAGCTGCACGAGAAGTTCTTCCCGGACCTGCCCAAGGACCCCAAGACGCTGGAGTGGATGAAACCGGCGCCGGAGACGCCGAAACAGGTGACGTACACTGCGGTTGCGGAGCTGCGGTTTGACTTGAATGGGGATCTGATCACGTCGGAGAACATAGAGAAACACGCCCAGGCTCCGGAGCTGCGCCATCACGCAGCAAGCCCAGAGTTGCCCGGGTACACGCTCGCGGAGCTGGCACACTACCTGCGGTCGGCGTTCCCCGGGCAACGGTGCATTGCGCTGCGCACACTGGGCCGCGTGCTGTACAAGCTCGGACAGGCCGAGTACGAGGTGGTGGACGAGGACAACCAGACGCAGGACTTGAGGGAGTTTGAGCGGCGGTGCTGGGGGCTCGTGCTCGACCTCAAGATCGTCGATATCGTCAGCGAGTATGCGTCGGACCGCCAGCGCAACCTGAGCGTCAAGAACTACGCGATCGAGGCGCTCTATCTGTGGAAGCAGGGCGGCGGCGACGGCAAGATGCAGGCGGTGCTGGAGGAGCGCAAGGCGGCTAGTCGTCGAGCTGGCTGATCTGGACCTTGTTAATGGTGGAGTTGAGCCGCTCGTTGCGGATCACCTTATAATAGTGGTCGGTGAAGTCGACGGCGTTCATGGCGCGCAGAAACTTCTCGTCGTGCGTGATGACGATGAGCTGGAAGTTGCGCTGTGTTGCGCGCTCCTGGATGATGTTGGCGAGCGCCTTTGCGAGCGACTCGATGTTGTCGTCGTCCAGGTTGGTTGTCGGCTCGTCGAGCGCGATCATGCCGAAGTTGAGCCCGAAACACTCGGCCAGCGCGAGCCGGATGATCAGCGCCGCCAGCACGCGCTGGCCTGCAGAGCACCGCCCGCGCATGTCCAGCTCGGTCCCGTTCTTCACCATCACCACGCGATAGTTGTACGAGCGCATCGTGGCCGCCGTGCTGGACTTGATCGGGTCTGCCCGCACCATGATGCTGTCTACGTCGTTGCCCATGTAGGTTTTCTTCCATAGCTCGTCAATGATCCGGTTGATCTCTTTCATCTTCACCTGGTGGAACTCCATCACCGCAGAGTCGATGGCCCTGTAGTACGTGGTCAGGTCTGTCACCATCGACAGCTTCGTCTGCAGGCTCGCGTACTCCTTGGTATACCGCTCGTCGATATCTTTGTAGTCGCGTTGCAGCTCGTGTTTGACCGACTGGATCTGCCGCGAGAGCTGGGTCATCTCGCCCAGCTTGGTGGAGTACTCGCTCTGGAGCTGTGTTTGGCGCGCGCGCAGCTGCTTGCTCTGCGCCACGTACTCGTCGCGCCGCGATTCGGCCTGCTGCTGCGCGAGCTCGGCGATCGTGGCCCGCACCTCACTTTGCTGCTGCTCGAGCGCCAGCAGGTCTAGATTGTACCGCAGGTTGCGCTCCGCGTTGTCGGCGTCCTTGATATCGTTCTCGAGCTCTCGCAACTGTGCGCCCGCCGCGTCAAGCTCGACCTCATCGCGCGCGATCTGCTCGCGTAGCCGCGCAGACTCCTGCTCAAACGTGGTCTGGCCCGCGTGCTTCTGTTCGAATTCGCCGATTTGCGCGTCCAGCGCCGCGATCTGGACCTGCGTCTGCCGAAGCCGCTCAAGTTCCGGCATCAGCTGCGCCAGCTCGTCCTCTCCGCGCCGCTTAAGCTCGCCGTACCGCTCCTGCTGCGCCGCATGGCTCGCACGCAGCACGGAGGCCGCCTGCTCCGCCCGGTCCAGCGTAGCGCGCAGCTGCCCGATCTCCGTCTCGAGCTCGCGCAGCGTGTTGCGCACGTTCACGTTGTCCAGGTCCGACTTCTCCAGCTCGATGATCGCCAGTCGCCGGTCCTTGATCATGCTCTCCAGCCCCACCACCTTGCGCGAATACTGCTCGCGATCGGCAACGTGGCGCTCTAACACCAGCCGCAGCCGCTTCACCTCGCTGCTCGTCTGCGCCTGCGCCAGCTCCAGCTCCTCCATGGACTGCAGTTGCCCGCCAAATAGGGCCATGTCTTGCTTTAGGCCCTCCAACTGCCGTTGCAACGACACCTGTTCGTCCCGCAGCCTTGCAACCTCGTCCACCGCAGATAGCAGCGACGCAAGCTGCGCCTTGTGGGCCTGCTGCTTGTCCAAGTCACGCTGCTCACTCTCAAACTGCTCGCGGGCAACCGCCTCCCGCTCCCGAGCAGCTGCCACGTCCCTTTGCTGCTGCTCGAGCTCCACAGCAAGCTTCCTGTGCCGCTCAACCTTGCCCGACACCTCCTTGAGCCGGTCCAGCTTGTTCCGTGCAGCGCGCAGCGCTTCTTCTGCGGTACGGTCGCTCTCCAAAACACTCGTCTGCTTTGCAAGCAGCTCCAGCACGCGGCTCCTCTCGTCCGCCGCCCCAAACTCCCGATGGCACAGCAGACATGCGTTCTTGTGGTTGATGAGGTCAATTGCGCGCTTGTTGAAACCAATGCAGTACTCCCGCACCTTGAAGCCGCCGTCACTGTCGCTGAACTCGTACTCTGCGTCCTCCAGTAGCTCTTCAAACTGCGCGAGCGGCGCTGCGCCAATAACTGTGCGAACGTCTTTCTCGAGCGCGGCGAGTTCGTCGCGCGAGCTAGCAAGCTGCTGCGCGGCGTTGCGGTGTGTGATGGCCGCCTCGTTGAGGGTCTCGCGCAACTCCTGCACACGGGCAGCTTTCTCCAGCACCAAGGCCTCTGTCTTTCTGTAGCGGGCCACGAACGCGTCCACGTCGCGCGTATCGAGCCGCAAATATGCGCTCTCCAACTTCTGCTCCACGGCTTCCAAATTTCGCCGCAAATAATATGCCTTCGCTGTGCTGTCGGACTGTCTGCTGGCCTGGCTCACCTTCCGGAGCAGATCTTCCTGCTCCATCTCCAGCTGGCGGATCTGTTTCTCGGTCTGGGCGATCTTCTCGTTGATGGCGGCAAGCGGGCTCGAGTCGCGCAACTGCTGCAGCTTTAGTTCCTCGGCAGCCAGCTCGGTACGCTCGCGTTCGAGCCTAGCCTGATTCGAGCTCGAATGAGACAGTATCTGCTGCAACTTGGCGCGTTTCGTTTGCAACGCGTCGACGTCTTTGCGAACATACTCGGCATGCTGCGCTTCGCGCGCAAGCTCCTCCTTGAGCGTTGTGAGCTCAAACTCAACGTCCTCGAGAGCCGCCTTATGTGCGGCCTCCTTGTCGGCGTATTCAGCCGCCAGCGCTTCCAGCCGCGGCTGGTCCAGCTGCTGCTCAAGTCGCTTTTTCTCGCTGCGGTTCTGCTCGTGGCGCTCAAATAGGCCGCGCAGTCGGCCCTCCTCGCGCACGCAAGTGTTGTACTCTTCTCGCGCACGGGCAAGTTGCGCGCTTCGAGACTCGATCTGCGCGCGCAGCTGCTCAACAGCGCTCCGCTTCTCAGCTAGCACGTTGGCAAAGTTGTCGAGCTGCTCGCGGATCTGCGCATCGGGCAAGTCGACGCGCGTCGTCGTCGACCGGATTACGTCCATCTGCTGCGCGAGACTGCTCTCCTGCTGCCGCAGGTACTCCAGGCGACTGATTGTTTTCTCGTAGTCCTGGTTCGTCGCAAACAGCCGATCGGCCTCCTTGTTGACCGCTTCGATCTCGCGCGCAAGCGTCTCGGACTCGGCATTCAGCCGATCGACCTGGCGGTTCAGCTCGGCAACCTGCGCGTGTTTGTGGTGCGCGCGCGCACGGTCGTTGCGCAAGTGCTCGACCGTGTTGTTGATCACGCGGATATCGACGTTCATCTCCTTCTGGATGGCCCGAAACGTCTCCAGCACCTTGATGAACTTGACCGAATCGAAGATCTCGTCGAACCGCTTCTTGAGGCTCGCCGAGTCGCTGATCGGCCACAGACTCTCGTCCTGGTGGCAGAAGATCACGTAGTTGAGCACGGCGCGCGAGACGCCGAGCTGCTGCGGAACAGCGGTTTCGATGTCGGCAATTTTCGACGTGACGGTCTGTTTTTCGCCGTTATGGATGGCCACAAGCTGGTTCTCGCGGGTCTTGAAGCTGGTGGTCCCCGTGCGCGCGTTCTTGAACGCGGCGAGCGACTTGGTGAGGACCATGCTCGTGCGGTTGACGTTCTGGAACGCGAGCTTGACCTGAGCCTTTGTCTCTGTGGTGCCCGTCATGCTGGGATCGTTGACAAAGGCGCCATTTTTCGAGTTGGGCGGAAGATCGCCTGTGGTGGCGTACCGCAGGGCCTCGATGATGGTGGTTTTGCCCGAGCCGTTGGCACCGACAATGAGCGTGAGCGGACGCTCAAACTGGATGGTCTCGTGCGTGTCGCCGCTGAAGGAACGTACGCCCGAGACAGACAGTTTGTAGATGCTGGCCATGGAAAGGGAGAGGTACTTACATAAGCGGGTGTGGAAAAAAAAAAAACCATGAAAATTTGGGCATTTTCTGCGGCAAGAACAAAGCTTCACACACATTCTTCTTTAGCCTTGTCCAAACTGTTCATGACGACGTGGGTGCAGCCAGAAAAATTACCGGACGTGCCGCTGGTGCTCTACAATACGCTCACGCGGTCGAAGGTGCCGTTTGTGCCCAGCTCCAACGATGAAGTCACCTGGTACAGCTGCGGGCCGACTGTGTACAACTCGTCGCACATGGGCCACGCGCGGAACTACGTGACAATTGACATTAATCGCCGCATATTGCAGGACTATTTTGGGTACAACGTCAAGTTTGTGCAGAATGTGACCGACATCGACGACAAGATCATCATCAAGGCCAGACAGGAGCATCTGTTTGGCGAGTTTGCCCGCAAGCACAGTGCTGTGGACTCCCAGTTGCGCGAGACGGCGCAACGCGCGCTGGCGGCGTATCTGGCGAAAAACTTGCCCGAGTACGAAGGCACCGTGCCCTTCGACGAGTGGGCGCGCTCGCTCGACCTGGCAGCGCTCGGTCTACAGAAACCCAAGCTGCCTATGCATGTGAAGGCGTGTGTGGCGGCGAGCGAGGCGATTGCCGGCGAGACCGACCTGACGCGGTTTTTGGAGCAAACCAAAGACGTGATCGTGCCCGAGCTCGACAAGGAGCTCGGTCACACGGTTACAGACCCGGAGATCTTCAAGGCGTGCTCGTCGTTCTGGGAGCACAAGTACGACGAGGACATGGCTGCGCTGAACGTGCTACCGCCGACGATCGTCACGCGCGTGTCGGAGTACGTGCCCGAGATCGTGGCGTTTGTGCAGCAGATCATTGACAAGGGCTATGCGTACGCCACGAGCGACGGGTCGGTATATTTCAACGTGGCCAAGTTCGACAAGGACCCGGCGCATGAGTATGCCAAGCTGCAGCCGTGGTCGAAGGGCAACCTGGAGCTGCTCGAGGACGGCGAAGGGTCGCTGTCGGCGGCGCAAGGCAAGCTGAACGCGTCCGACTTTGCGTTGTGGAAGGCATCCAAGGCGGGCGAGCCGTCCTGGCCATCGCCATGGGGACCTGGCCGTCCCGGTTGGCACATCGAGTGCTCGGTCATGGCGGCCGACTTCGTTGGTGACAAGCTCGACATCCACTCGGGCGGCATCGACCTTGCGTTCCCGCACCACGACAACGAGCTGGCGCAGAGCGAGGCCCACTACGACTGCAAGCAATGGGTCAACTACTTCCTGCACACGGGACATCTGCACATTGAGGGCCAGAAAATGTCCAAGTCGCTGAAAAACTTCATCACCATCGAGGAGGCGCTTGCCCGGTACTCTGCGCGGCAGCTGCGGCTGTGTTTTGCGCTGGTGCAGTGGAACAATGCGCTAGACTTCAAGGAGAGTTTGTTGAATGAGGTGCGGTCGACGGAGTCGTCGCTCAGCAAGTTCTTTAAGAACGTGCGTGCAATCAAGGCGGACACCGACCACCGTCTGCGCGCGGGAGAGGTGATGTCGAAGAAGTACGGGGAGCTGGAGAAGCGGCTGCTTGCAGAACTCGCGCAGTGCAAAAAGAACGTGCACGGCGCGTTCTGCGACAACCTTTCCACGCCGCAGGCGCTGCGCGCTCTGCTGGAGCTGGTCAACAGTGCCAACACCTACATCGGCGCTGTGGGCGCAGACCTGCGCGTCGAGCCACTCGTCCAGAGTGCTCTTTACATCACGAGGATCCTGCGTGTGCTCGGTTTCGACACCAGGAAGGACGGCCTTGGCTGGGAGGACGAGCGGGGCGAGACCGGCTCGGGCAACTTGGAGGAGGCGCTGCTGCCATACCTAAAGGTGTTGTCGAATTTCCGGGACCTGGTGCGCAGCTCGGCGATCGCGAAGGCAGACTACAAAGTGTTTTTGGACGCCACAGACACGCTCAGAGACAAGGAGTTGCTCCAGCTGAATGTTTCTCTGGACGATCGTGCGGGTCAGGGGGCCCTGATCAAGTTTTTGAACGAGAGCGAAAAACAGGAGCTGCTGAGACAGCAGGAGGAGAAAGAGCAACAGCGGCTGGAGAAGGAGAGACGGCGGTTGGAGCAGCTGCGGCTGAAGGAGGAGAAGGAGAGGGAGATGCTGGCCAAGGCGAAGATCGACCCTGCAGAGATGTTCAAGACGGAGGAGTACAAAAAAATGTACTCCGAATGGGACGAGAACGGACTGCCTGTGAAACTAGTGAGCGGGGAAGAGGTGACAAAGAGCGCCAGGAAGAAGCTGGCAAAACAGCAGGAGCAACAGCGTAGGCTGTTCGAGGCCCATAGGTAGATAGATGCTATATGCAGTAAGCTATTGTTCAAATCTGTGAGATTCCGATTTTGGCAAAAAACGGCTACATTTCGCAATCTACTCCGGCGCCACTAAATCGCGGGGAGAAGGAACAAAGTATCGCGAGACCGTGGTGGACAGTACGTCATTTTGAGATGTCTCGGTGCACATGACTCATGAATCACCAAGCAAGTGGTGCGATTCTGGACTGGGGGTGTGCGATACATGCAGTAACCCTGAGGGTAGTATTCCACGGAAAGCGACTTCTGAGTCTGGTTTTCAGCCTCTGTGGAGGTAACGCACTCCAGCGGTGTTGGTTCGGTGTGGGTACGCACACCTATGGAGACGTGCACTCCGTCGGACTGGGCTCCGAGCTGAAATTTCTGCACCCCGTTTCCACGGGTTGGCCCCGTAGAAACCCGGGTTCAAATGTCCGCGTGATGATTCCCTTTTAACAGCCCGCGTTACGGAGCAGCGCGCGGTGCGCATGGGGCCAATCAAACGCATCGGACTCTCACCAAATCAGGGTCATGTGCGCATCTGGCCCGACATGTGATTACAGGCTGAGCCGTGTTCGTCGCGTCCAGGTACCCCATCATGCCCCCAGTGGCTCACCCGCGGGGCGTCTTCTTCCCGAACCGGAAACTTATACACCGTCCGGACTTACGGACATCGGAGTTCCCCCCTCACAGTCAAGCACCCCATGATATGTCCCTCCAGCATTAAGGGTGCATTTTCCGCGGAGACTACCCAAGAGGTTATTGCATCGTGCTATAAATCGGACATATTTTCCCTCCAAATCTCAAAGCCCATGTCTATTCAAAACTACGTCAAGTCCAGAGTCCCCATCACGGACCTTTCCAACTACTCGCTATCGCTCAACGATAACATCCCCACGTACAATGCGCCGCTGCCCAGCGTGCCTCGCATCAGCCTTCCCACGCTGCCCAAACTCTCCCTGCCAAAGCCCGAGCCACAGGCACCAAAAGTGCTGGCGCCTAAAAACCCGCCAAAGCCATACTCCAAGTTCGACCTCCTTCTCCAGACAGCAGCAATGCATAGCGTCCACAGCGAAAATCCCTCCGCAACACCTAATTATGTCTTAGCTCCGAAAACGACGCATATCTCGCCCAAACTGGAGATTTCCAATCTGGTCATTCAAACAACGCCTCAGCAGAGACCCACGCCCGAGCTCACCTCCATCAAGCTGGCATCGCCTTCCACAGCGTCCAAAAGGCAACGGTCCGGCCCTTCGTGTGACTGCTGCCGCGCGCGCAAAATCAAGTGCGACTCCGAAATCTTTGTGCTCGCGGAGCTGCCGAAAAACAAGTCCTCAGCGGCCTCTACCGGTACCGGTTCGGAAATTGCCAGCTGCAAGTTCCTGTACGAAGACGAGCACAGGTACCAATATTTCGAGATCGATACGTCGCAGTATCAGAACCAGCGCTTCCACACCAAGCTGAGCCGGTTCAGGTACCTCAAATTCAAACCGTGCTCCGCGTGCAGCTCGAAAAAGCTCGCGTGCTGTTTCTCCAAAGGGTTCACCAGAAACGACATTATAAAATTCAACAAGTCCGAACGCATGCACCAGACGCCCGAAAAGGACGAGCCCAAAGACGAAGTGTCGCTACCGATCGTGATGGGATCGTACGGCAAGCACCCCAAAAAGACTTCCTGTAACACTTGCAGGTTCAAGAAAATCAAATGTATCAAGCTCGAAGACAAGCCGTCGTCCGACTGTCTGAGCTGCTCGAAGAAACATTTGGAGTGCGCTTATGTGTAACATAGATACCTTAATGATTATGAAGCATGACTCAACCAGTGTCGGAGTTCCCGTGGAAACGTATCAGTCCGTATCGGATTTCTTCGTAATCGGTAGCTTGAGGTGTTTGGGCATGGGTGGAGGCGCCATTTTAGGCGGCGGACTCATCTTTGGCGGCGGCGGCGCAAATATCGGCGTGGTGCCCAGCTTCATCCCGGGCGGAGCGGCAATGGCTGGCGCAGAAGACGAAACAGCTGTGACATCAGCCGTGGGGACAGCCTCAGGCGCAGCATTGGACCACTCGATCTGTGTAGCCTCTGAGTGTGCGTACCCGTTGGTCTCTCCTTCTAAATCGCGCATCATCATCTCAAGATCTCTGCCGTGTCTTGCGGTCTCCTCCAAGTCCGCCTTACAGTCGCGTGCCAGATGACCAATGTTGCCGCAGCGCGAACACACCAACGACTGCGCAAAGCTCTGTTTCCCAAGATTTGGACACTCGTACCTCTTGTGGCCCTTCTCACCGCAGTTCAGACACAGCTTCTCGTCCGAAGCCCGCAGGGTTCCGTTCAGAATGGCCAGCTGCTTGAGCTGGTCCCGTTTGTGCTCGTTCTGGCCCTCGGGAGCGCTGATCGCGCCCTGGATGATCTCACCGCATAGCTTCATGGCCTTCTGGATCTTCTCCTCCGAGTCGGCCGTGATGAGGCAGTGCAAATCGTCGTCTAGATTGTTTTGGTCCGGTCGTATCAGGGCCGTGTTTTTACCTTCTTTCACAGACCCTTTGCCTCTGATCCCGATCTTCGCGCCGCTTTTCTCCTGGATACTCTTCAATGTGTGGCCTCTGGGCCCCATCAGCAGCCCAATAAAGTTTATTTCGGGGTGCTCACGCGCCGGGATGTACAATTTGTCACTTGTCTTGGTCTGTCTGCGATAGTCGGGAGGAGGACGGTAGTCAGGGATGTTTCGCAGCGCGTTTTCTATCAAGCGGCCTCTTTCGGTCTCGAACCGTCTTTTGTAGCGCTGTTCACGTGTGTTGGTTCTTTTCCCGCTCGCATCGTACACCGGTGGCGGAGACGGCGACCTTGTTCTTGTGGGAGGAACAAACGAATCTGTCTGGATCATCCGGTTGATTTCCTCGATCCGCACCATAACCTGCACCGCCTCAAGCTGTTCTGGTGTCAGGGACACATTTAGTAGCGTTGGGACTTCAAACCCGTCCAGTCTCGCGACTCTTTGTGCTTCCCCAGAAAACATTAAAAAATAATTAAAATATTTTTTATTTTTTCATACATTTATTCCCATGGCTCCTCTTCAGCAAGTGTCAAGACACGGCGGGCCAAACAAGTGTTTTGGTCTTTTCCAGAGTGCGCTGGAGTGCATGACCAGCTCCACCACGGCCGACAGAACAGAGTGCTTGCCGCTTCGCCAGGACTACATCGAGTGTCGCAAACACCGTCTGGAGACGTACAAGATGTTCATTGTGGAGAAACACCTCAACGAGCGCGAGGACCTGGACAGAGACGAGGTCGGGGCGCCATACCTGAAGAGACGGGACTTTCTGACGCCAAAGACGCTCGGACTGGCCGACGGAGAGGACCGGCCGATCCTCATTCACAAATTCTAGGCTGGTGAGGGGAAGCCAAATACTCTAAATATTTATTTATTTTATTTATTCACACATCTCGTTATAAATCGCCGTCCGTCTCGCTTTCGCCTATACTCTCATTGAATACTGCCAAATTGTCCTCCTCATTGGAATCTGGTTCCATGATGTTGTAGTCGTAATTCGTCTCCTGTGCCTTGGTGCCTATCACGTTGGCCTGGAATTTCGTCTCGTCGTCCTTTCTCTCGGTCTCGTCTTTCTCGTAAAACTCGATCTTGAGCTCGTGCACTATGTCGAAACATTCCGCCAGCAGCGCGTTCAACGTCCCCTGGCCCTCAGGTATTTGCCCGTCAATCATAAACTTCCCGTCCTCCCGCATGTTGTCAACGGACGCCAGCTTCATCTGGTACGGATACAGCTCGCGGATCGACGAAATCCCTCCCATCCGCTTCAAGTCCAGCAGACACCGCCGCACCGTCGTCAGCTGGTTGTGCAGCGGCTGCAGGCTCTCGCTGACGGGCTCAGAGCTCTCCAGAAGCTTGTATATTATGGCATAGCACCGTCTCAGTAGGTACAGCAGCACCGCCTGGCCGCGCAGCTCTTTCTTGCCAAAGTAGCCGTCCACACGCAGCTTGTCGATCTGGTTGAGCGTTCGCTGGTAATTGAAGATGTCTGTTGTTCGGAGGACCCATCTTCTGGTGACCAGCAGGTTTTCGAGCGTCGACTTGAGTTTTTCCAGCTGGTTATAAATGTCTGCGAGCTCTGGACTCACCATGTCCTCGCCGATCTTCATGTCCTGGATGAGATAGTGACAGTCATCAATGAGCCCCTTCAGCACACCCTCGCCCCTGGGATGATCCTCTTTGGAGAACTCGAGCTCGCATGCGAGCTGGATCTGTTCCAGCTGATTGGAAAACACCTTGAGGTCATCTCTGTTGGCAGCCTCGTCGCTCGTGATCACCTCCAGTATGCGGTACTTGAGCGTGATCAGTCTGTCCATGATTTTCTGCACGTTTTTGGGCAGCTTGTTGATTTTGTCCTCCAGAACTCGATACTCCCTATACGACTGCTCCAACTTGCTCTTGAGCAGACTCAGCTCTTCCGAAGACGTAGTTTCGTCCGAGTTGATAATCTTGGCAATCTCGTCCAGCCGGTCTCTGATCGGGTCCAGGTCCTGGTGCGTGAAAATCTCGTTTTCGTTCAGGTGCTCAAGTAACCGTTGCACAGTGGACAGCGAGGCGTACGTAGCAGGCGCCGTGTTCTTCAATCCGCACGTGACAAAGCACAGGCTCAGCAATTGAAAAATCTCGTCCACCAGAATGTCCACCTTATTGGGGTACTCGCCTTCGGCGGCCCCTTCTGTGGGCCGAATTGCCCGCAGCTCTTTGACTTTGCTCAGAACCTGGTCATATATTTCTCCTATGCTCTTGGAATTCATGTATGTCTTGTGGTCGCGCTTGATCAGCGACAGACGTTGCCGGATGGCCGTCAACTCATCGTATATGGCCTTTTCGAGAGGCGGGACGGTGGTATGCATCAACAGAAAGAATAAAATAAATTGGCTTTTTTTGAGTGTTTTTTTTTTCTCCTGACCGTCGATCGACGGCACCCGACGCGGTCGCGCGCCAACCCCCCATTCCTTTTTCACTCCTTTAAAAACTTTTCTAAAACAAGATTCTTCACCCTAAACACATCGCCGGATTCTTTCGTTTTTGATCTATCGCGCAAGCGCGACCCTGGACTCTTGTTACACCATGAAAATAAATCTATTCATTCTCGCTTTGATACCCGCGACGTCGGCCTTGTCCAGCATCGGTTGCTTTTCCGACATCCCTTCCTCTTATGTGTCCAAGGGCACCTACGCCTGGCAGTCCAGCTTCCATTGCTCGTCAGAGTGCTCCTCCTACAAATACATCGCCCTGACAAACGGAAATGAGTGCTATTGCGGCGATGACGAGCCGTCGTCGTCCGACTCTTCGAACAGCTGTGACACCTCTTGTGATGGGTATCCATCTGAGAAGTGCGGAGGAAGCGACGCCTACACGGTGTACGGGCTGAGCGACAACGACGCGTACGACAACTGGTCGAGCTCGGGTGTGTCTTCGAGCACCGGCTGGTCCAGCGTGTCGTCCAGCACGCTGTCCCCATCCTCGTCGTCGTCAATCCCGTCGTCGTCCTCGTTGAGCACCGCACAAACAACACAAACATCCAGCTCCTCCAGCTCCACACAGGAGTCGACATCTTCTACACAGACACCCACAGAGACACCCACAACCAGCTCCCAAAGCTCGAGCTCGTCCACGTCTCCAACCGTGACCGCCACGGTGCTCACGTCGACGGTGAGCAAGGAGGGCTCGAAACAGACCACGGTGGTGTATATCACGCAATCAACAAGCTTGTCGTCTGCATCCGCATCCGCAGACTCGAGCTCGCGCTCGGACTCCAAATCGTCCAACAAGGGAGCCATCATCGGAGGAGCGGTGGGCGGCGCTGTCGGGGCGTCGATCCTGATCGGCGGAATCTTCTTCTTGATTTTCAGAAGACGCCGCGACAGCGGCGACGACATGGCTGTGGACGACCTCGCGTACGAGGAGGCGCTCAAGTCAAACCGTGATCCGTTTGCCTCTGCCGAAGACGACCTCTACTCCTCCGACAACGGGTCTGGGTCTGGGCGAATAATGCTTGGCCGCAGACGCCTGAGCGACGGCTCGCTCGCCGACGCGGCCGACTACTACAAGAAAGTGCTCAAAGTTGCGAATCCCGACGACGATAAGAATTAGGCTCAACCGTTCTGTTTCTATAAGTACTTGTATGGGTTCATGATTCCCTGCGGATCAAACTTGCTTTTGATATCTTTCATCAACGCAATTTCCACCTCCGACTTGGAGTAGCCGATGTAGTTTTTCTTCTGGAAGCCCAGGCCGTGCTCCGCCGAAATCGACCCATGGTGGTCGCTGATCCACTGGTAGACGTACGGCTCCAGACATTTCTCCACCGTTTTATTGTACTCTCTCACAACAACGTTCACGTGCACGTTGCCGTCGCCAATGTGGCCGTAGCCGACAACGTCGACGACGGGCTTCGACGCGTCGCTGATCGAGCGCAGCCCGTGCTCGTCCAGTCTCGCCCGCAGAACCTCAATCAGGTCGTACATCACCGGCAGAGGCAGCGACACGTCGTACTTGTACACCCCGCCGTCCATGTTGGAAGCCTCACTGATACCTTCTCTCCAGGTCCAGAGAGTCTTGAGCTGCGACTCGTCCTGCGACACCACGCCGTCTGCGACCGTGCCGTCCTCCATCACCGACTCCAAAAACATATCCAGCTTGGCGTCGTCGTGCTCTTTGCACGAGCCAGACGTCTCGATCAGCACATAGAACGGATACTCGGGCACGTCGACGTCCGGGTCATCCTGCGCAAGCGGATGCAGGGTCTTGAGGAACCGCTTGGCCTGCCACTGCGACTGTCTGTCCATGAACTCAAACGCGGACAGAATCTCGCACAGCTCCGACCTGGCTCTTTTGAACGTGTTCTGCACAGCCTCGTACGACTCGAGTCCGAGAAATGCAATGTTGACGGCCTTGGGCCGAGCCGGACACAGGATCGAGACGCCGGTGATGACACCGAGCGTGCCCTCCGACCCAATAAACAACTGTTTCAGGTCGTATCCCGTGTTGTCCTTCCGCAGGGCGTTCATACTGTCGTAGATGGTGCCGTCCGGTAGCACCACCTCCAGACCCAGCACAGAGCCGTGCAACGAGCCGTATCGCAGCAGCCGCAGGCCGCCCGCGTTGGCCGCAACGTTGCCGCCAATGTGGCACGAGCCCTTGGCACCCAGGTCGAGCGGGAAGATGTAGCCCTTCTCCGCGAGAAAGTTGTCGGCATTTTCCAAAATTAAGCCTGCGTCCGCTTTCAGAATACCCGACGTGTGGTCGAATGAGCGGATCTTGTTCATCCCGCTCAGCGACAGCACGATCTCGTCGAAAACGGGCACCGACCCGCCCACAAGCCCCGTGTTGCCGCCCTGGGGCACCAGCGCCAGCTTGTGCTCATGACAGTACTTCACGATCTCTGACACCTGCTGCGTGGTCTTGGGCTTCACACACAGCGACGACTGTCCGCGGTACTTGCGCATCTGGTCCTCGTTGTAGAACAGAAGGTCGTCCGGGTCCGTCACGACGGCAGAGTCGCCCACCACAGACTTGAAGAAGTCGACTGCCTGCGGCGTGATCTGGCCGAAGTCCTGCCGCTTTACCTGCGGATACGACTCTGCTGTCAAACGCACGGTGGACGACCACCGCAGCAGCGCGCCGGCAGGCCCAGCCACGCGCGCTTTCGACACTCTTTGCAGCATCAGCATTATTTATTGGAAGAAATATTTCAGCTGGCGAGTGAGTTTTTCATCGTCACATGACATAAGCAACGCATCCGGAGTTTGGCAGTGCTCCGCTGCCTGGTGCAAGGTGTGCGCGATCACCAGCATGGCCACCGTTTCTCCGTTCGAGACTAGCTCTTTCTTTTGGCTTTGAGTCATCACGGAGAAATGGAGCAAGTCCCTCTGGCTGGCCATTAAAAACCCCCAACGGTCGCCAGTCTGATCGCAAGATCTGGTTCGTGCGTTATCTCACCTCGCCCGGCGACCATCGGCCCCGCAACGTTGCAACAAAATCTGCAAAATCTCATATTCTGCTTGCTTGCCACAAATCCGTGACCCTGTCGGAGTATCACTGGGAAAAAAAAATTTAGGGGCAAGATAAGAGGGGCCACGAAAAGAAAAAGTTTAACGACCTTGTTGGACCTGTTTATTTGCCGCCAAAACAAATGATGGACCCCGGCGACACAAGCTTCGGGGCTGCCACCGTGGCAAGCTCGCTCGCATCGTCCAAGTTCAACTCGCCGATGATCATGTCGAGAGCCTCGTCCTCGTCCGCGTTGACGTCCGCCATCTCTATTCCTGGCCAGACCATGAATTTGCACCTGGTGAATAGCAACGGTTCGGAGCAGAATCAGCTGAATTTGCTGCCGTCGAAGGGCGATACGGGCAGCGAGGCTCTGAAGCTGGCTATCATCTGCGTGGGGCTTCCAGCCACAGGCAAATCGTACATCACTAAAAAGCTTCAGCGATATCTCAACTGGATGCAATACAACACAAAAATCTTCAACGTGGGCAACACGCGGCGCCAGAAAAATGCCAAGCCCAGCGGGTACCCCGTCCAGGGCCCGACGCTCGACAGGACCAGCCACGACGCCAATTTTTTCGATCACTCCAACAAAGACTCCTTCCACCAGCGAGAACAGTGGGCACGCGAGACGCTCGACGACCTGATCCAGTTTCTGCTGGTTGAACAGGGCAACGTTGGCATTTTTGACGCTACAAATACAACCAAAGCCCGCAGATCGTGGATTATCGAGACGATCACCAAACGCACCGAGGGCGCCGTGAAAATCCTATTTCTAGAAAGCATCTGCACGGACCAGGAGTTGATCGAGAAGAACATCCGTCTGAAGTTGAGCGGACCAGATTACAAAGACATGGACAGAGACCTGGCCTTGAACGATTTTCGCAATAGACTCAAGAACTACCAGGCCGTCTACGAAACCATCGACGAGGAGGAAGAGCTGGAAAACGAAAAGTACGACATCCAGTATGTCAAGATCATGAACGCGGGGAAGAAGGTTGTCTCGTACAACATCAGCGGATATCTTTCGTCGCAGTGCGTTTTCTTTCTTTTGAACTTCAATCTGTCTGACCGGCAGATTTGGCTGACCGTCAACGGCGAGTCCGAGTTTAACTTGGAGAATAGAAAGGGAGGCGATTCCAAGCTAACCAAAAGAGGCGAGCAGTTTGCTAGAGCATTGCCAAAGTTCATTTGCAAAAAGAGACAGGAGTTTAAGCTTCGTCACCTTAATAAAGAATATGTCAACGACGAGTTTTCATTCCACACCAAACCGCAACTGGAGCAAGAATTCAATATATGGACGTCCAATCTCAAGCGCACGTTGCAAACAGCCTCATACTTCCCACAGGAAAAGGACGGAGGCGATTTCCATTTCAAGTCCTTCCGCATGCTGAACGATCTAGGCTGCGGCTCGCTGGACTCCATTACCGAAGAGGAGTTCAGGACCAAATACGCGGATGAGTACAGGTCGCAGATGGCGGAGAAACTGACATATAGATATCCAGGGCTTGGAGGAGAGTCGTACTTAGATGTGATATCCAGACTGCGGCCGATGATAGTGGAGCTGGAACGCCTCCGTGACAACGTTTTGATCATTTCGCACAGAGTGATTACGAGGGTATTACTTTGCTATTTTATGAACCTGAACAAGGAGATGCTGACGGAGCTGGACGTCCAGCACGGCTATATTTACTGCATAGAGCCCAAGCCATATGGGCTGGACCTCAAGATATGGCAGTACGACGAGATGACTGACGATTTCTACGAAGTGGATGAGATTGAACTCATGAAGAAGAAGCGGAAACGGGTCTCAATCTCTATCGGGAGCAATTTCAGACCGATCTTCAAGAAAACTGTTTCGCCAGACTCATCAATTAGCTCGTCTGAGTACTCCAGTTCGTCGGAGGAGGAAGAGGATGGCATGCGCCGCAGAGGGCCGCACGGTCATCCCGGCACGGATGGCGTCGAGCCCGAGTCCTATGAGTTCTCCAAGATGTGCTCTGATACAGCATCGGAGGATCTCGACACCGTCATAATGGACGAGAGGTTTCCTGCAGACCAGGATATAGAGCGCCAAGTCGATGAAATCCTTAAAAACGAAAAATTGGTTGGGCTGCTTCGGGAGAAGCTGCAGACCCTCGCTTTATAGATTTAATAAATAATTTAATGTTTCTGATTTCGATTAAATTTATTTAATAAAAACTAGTTTAATTTTTATGGCACATTGGGTGGATGTTGGCGTCATGCTATCGCAGCTGGCCGAAGCAGACACCGGCGAGTTGCTACCGGCCAATGAAAGCAACATTGGCCTTGGAGTGACACCCAAAGACCAGGTGCGCAAGTTCTACGAGCAGAGCTCAGACAACAAGACACTGGAGTCTAAAGCCTGGCTGACCGACCCCCATTTTTTCCATACTGTGCACATCAGCAGTCTGGCACTGATGAAGATGTGTCTCCATGCACGCTCAGGCGGGTCCATCGAGATCATGGGCATGATGACGGGCAAGATTTTCGACGGCAACATCGTTGTCCTGGACAGCTATCCTCTTCCCGTTCAGGGAACCGAGAGCCGTGTGAACCCGCTCAACGAGGCGTACGAGTTTATGCTACAATTTCTGGAACATCAGAAGAAACAGTCCAATCGGTCGGAGAACATTGTTGGCTGGTACCACTCTCACCCTGGCTTTGGCTGCTGGCTATCTGGAATTGATGTCAAGACACAGGAACTGAACCAGGGATTCCAGGATCCGTACGTCGCTGTCGTGATCGACCCGGAGAAGTCGCGGAAACAGGGGTTTGTGGATATCGGAGCGTTTCGCACATACTACCCTGAGCATCTTGCGATGCTGGAGACGCAGCAACCCAAGTCAGCAAAACGCGACCTGGGCCACCACGCAGACAAGTACTACTCTTTGGACGTGAGCATATTCAAGTCGGAGAAAGACGAGCAGGTTTTCGAGAGTCTAAATTCAAAATTCTGGTACAAACATCTGGTGCAGGCGCCGGAGCAGGACCAGTTGCTGGAGATAAATAAAATTGGCCACGTCTCGAAACAAATTAGTCGACTAAAGCCTGTTGTGAAAAAAAGCGTAGGGCCGCCAAACTCGGCGAGCTCGACGGGAGCCCCAGAAACCATGCTACATCGCTATGAATCGGAAAAAGAGTCGCAGTCCGAGGAGCAGGCTAAAAAAATCGGCCAGCTGCTCAACTCGCTCGCCATGACCGAATACGATCGCATCTTGAAGACGGAGGTCTCGCGTCTCCACAGGTAGCCACTATCCCTGTTCCTCCTGGAATTTGCGGATCTCGTCCTTGCTGATCTGCGCTGCCTTGACGATGTTGTGGAACGTGGCCTGCAGCGTCTCGCTCTTGATTTTCTGCGGGTCAGGCTGCTGTTTCTTGATGTTCATTTTGTCGAAGTTCTCCATTAACTGCGAATCGGTCGAGTTGCCATGGAAAATGAAATCCTCCTCGCCTTCCTCGAAACTCGAGTCGCTCGCCTCGCGCAGCTCGTGCAATTTCTGGAGCTTGTTGCGGATAAGCACAAGTCGGAATGCCTTGCGCAGCTTGTCCTGAGCATTGAAGCCCTCGCGGATGTTTCCGATGATGTTGGCCTCGTTTGCGGGCTCCTGTTGGGCCAGGTGCATGAGAATCCACGGATGTTGCAACAGCTGGGCCGCGGAAGGCCTGCGACGGTTGTCGATGTCCAGACTCTTGAGAATGAAGTCTTTTGCGTTGTCGGAAATATGCTGCCAATACTTGTGGTGGAAAATCACAAAATTGTTGCTGCGCACCTCGTCGAGAAACTCCTCTGGCGTCTCGGCCCGGATCGGCGAGTAGCCTCCTATCAGAATGAACGTAACGATGCCCAAAGACCATATATCGCAGGACATGGTGTAGCCGCCTTTTCCCAGCCCGTACAGCTCGCCGTAGCCCTCGGATGCATAGATCTCGGGAGCAATGTAGCCGTACGAGCCCGCCACTCCGGTGAGTTTCTCCGTGGCGGCCTCTCCCAGCTGTCTCGAGACACCAAAGTCCGCAAGCACCACGGGCGACTGGTCGTCCGGCGTGAGATACAGCACGTTTTCCGGTTTGATGTCTCTGTGGACAATTCCGTGGCTGTGCAAGTAATCAATGGCCGTGAGCAGCTGGTAAACGATGTTGCAGGCGTCGGACTCGGTGAAGGAGGTCTTCTTGATGAGTCTGTCGAACAACTCGCCTCCTGTCGCCAGCTGGGTCACGATGTAGAAATTGTGCTTTGTTTCGAACCAGTCCAGCAGCCGGACTATGTGGTCGTGCCGGATGGTCTCGAGAACCTTGATTTCGCGCAGAACGGCGTCCAGATGGCCCTTGAGCCGAGACTTGAGAATGATCTTGACGGCCACGGGCTTGCCTGTTTTCTTCACCACAGCCTTTCGCACAGTACCAAACGAGCCTGCTCCAAGCGTTTCCAGAAACTCGTACTCTCTTTTCTTGTCGGAGTGCGGGAATTTGTCGAACAGCCTGTCCATACTGAGGAGTTGAATAAATAAAGTATTTTCCGCAACCCTGATGCTGATAAAAAATACACTCCTTTGCAGATCTCAGTCTCGAACCGTGGCACCTTTTGTTGCAATTAACTGCTGGTGCTTTATTTAGAACGCTTGCTTGCTAATCTACGCCCTTGACTTAGCCCTGCTCAGCCACGCTTTGTTTTTTACCAACTTGTTTTTCCAGCCATGGACCGTTTGGTGTCTTCGTTCCAGTTTGAGCGGCTGCTCAGCTCCGACTCCCAGCTCAAAACAATTGCACTTTTGGGCACCATAGATGGCCAGCAGGCCATCTTGCAGCTCGAAAAGTCGCATTTCGACACCGCCAGACTCCCCGACCTGCCCGTCCAGCAAATTCGCGAAATAGCCTCCAATGACGTCTACCACTGGGCAATGACCACTCTGCGGCAGTCTGTGGACCGCGACCCGGCAGCCAAGCTCAACCTCATCTACCCTGCCACAGAGATCCACATTCGAAAGTTCGAGAAGCCCGTCTTGCACATTGTCCACGAATCCCCAGAGCTGTACCGCAGCGTCGTGGTGCCGTATATAGAAACCATGCGTGGAGACCGAATCAGATGGGTCCGCAACATCCTGTATGAGGGGGCCGAGGCCGATCGCGTCGTCGTCAGGAACGACGATTTCGTGCTTCTTCCCGACATGAAATGGGACGGCTCGACGCTGGAGTCGCTGTATCTCTGCTGCATCGTCTACCGCGACGATATCGCGTCGATCAGAGACCTCAACGAGACTCACATCCCGTACCTGGAACGCATTCGGGACGCTCTGAGGACGGAGATCCCGCGCCGCTACCCAATCGCGGGCGACCAGCTCCGCATTTTCGTGCACTACCAGCCGTCGTACTACCACTTCCACCTCCACGTCGTCAACACGGCGTATAATGGGCTGGGCGAGTCGATTCTGGCCGGAAAAGCCATTTTGCTCGAGGAGGTGATCGACACTCTGCGGTTTCTGGGACCCGAGGGCTACAAAAGACGCACTCTCACCTACGCGATCAGCGAGTCGCACAAACTCTGGGAGCTGGGCCTCAAGCACTCGGCTATGTAAATATAAAGGTGTGAGGGTGCTGGTGCAAGATGTACACCACATCTCCAAATTATGTTTTTCCATGTGGCGTAATCACAGAGAGGTGGAAGAAGAGCACTTTGGAACCTCTGGCCAAGTAGACACTGTTTTCGCCGCCATCGCACGCCCGGACCTTGGAAAATGGGAAAGAAAGGGTACCAGCAGCCAAGCGTAAGTCTTTTCTGATTCTATCTACGGCTAACCATAACAGGAAATGTCCCAGGTGAACGATTTTATCTTTGGCACCGAGGGCTACCAGAGTCTCCAGCAACAGCCGTCGCTGCTCAGGACGCTGACTGGCCTACGAAAGTTGCCGATGGACAACTCGCCGCTGACTGTGGACAGCCAGAAGGTGATTGGAGCGTCGTATTCTCATCTGGACCTTGGTGCGTCTGATACACAGAAACGCAACTCGTCTCCGGATTCGCGCTCGGTCCACTCGAGCGGCTCCACCAAGTCTCCGCGCCCGAGTCTGAACCTGGCCAAGGCGAAGAAACTGTACGATTTGTCGGCCAAGATCGACGACGACGCTGACTGGAACGACGACATCGACGATCTGACCACACCCTCGCCCCAGGACCCCAAACCGCAGTTTTACCCCGACATCTCGGATCTCAAGTTGCAGGAATCTCCGATGGACCGGCCGACGGCGTCCACGGAGCCGCCAGCTGAGCCACAGCAACAGGCCGAAGCGCAGCCAGCACAATTTCTCTGCCCGGACTATGAACGCATCATGAAAGACCCCTTTGTGATTCTCGAGAGGACCAGCGACCAATCGAAATACAGCAAGATCGTCAAGGCGCTGAAAAACCAGCCGTTTGATATGGCTGAGCTCCGCAAGCAGACATGGAGCGGCGTCCCTGCTGCGCTCCGACCGCTCGTTTGGCAGGTGCTTCTCGGGTACCTCCCGGTCAACAGCGCCACAAGAGAGTCAGTCTTGAGACGAAAGCGTAAAGAATACACCAACAGCATGACACAGCTATTCCGAGCGGAGAAGGACCAGGCGGTGTGGCATCAGATCTCCATCGACATCCCGCGGACCAATCCCACCATCAAACTGTACTCATTCGAGTCCACACAACGCTCACTTGAAAAAGTCTTGTATTTATGGGCGGTCAGACACCCTGCGAGCGGCTACGTGCAGGGAATCAACGACCTGGCCACGCCATTCTACCAGATTTTCTTATCTGCGTATTTGTGCGACCATGTTGACATGGAGGCGTTCAACACCAACCAGCTGCCGCAGGAGCTGGTCAACTGCATTGAAGCTGACACTTACTGGTGTCTCACAAAGGTGCTGGACACCATCCAGGACAACTATATCCACGAGCAGCCGGGAATAATCCGCCAAGTGTCCGAGCTGCGAGATTTGGTGAAAAGAGACGAGCCGTACCTGGCTGAGCATTTCGAGCACGAGGGCATCGATTTCATCCAGTTCTCTTTCCGATGGATGAACTGCATGCTGATGCGCGAGCTTCGAATGGAGCTGATTGTGCGGATGTGGGACACTTATCTATCAAGCTATCCAACAGGATTCAACCAGTTCCATATCTACGTGTGCTGTGCGTTTCTGCGACGTTTCAGCGAGCAGCTGCTGGAAATGGACTTCCAGGATATGCTTATGTTTCTCCAGGACACGTCCAAAACTAGTGACTGGACAGAGGCCGACGTCGAGATGATGCTCAGCGAAGCGTTTGTATGGCAGTCGCTCTACGAGAACGCCACTGCTCATTTCAGAACATAATATACAGATGTACCTATAATCTCCCCGTTTTCTCCTTACGCTTTCTTGCTGCGCTTGGCACTCTCCAACAGGTTATCCAGAACCATCGCCACGGTCATAGGCCCGACTCCGCCAGGGACCGGGGTGATTTTCGAGGCCTTTTCTTTGCACGATGCGAAGTCCACGTCTCCACACATTCTCTGACCCGACTTCTTCGTCGCGTCCGGAACGTAGTTCGTCCCCACGTCGATAATGACACATCCCTGCTTGACCAGGTCGCCGGTGATAAAGTTGGCACGGCCAACAGCACTAACAATAATATCTGCGTTCGAGCAGTAGAACTTGAGCTGCTCAGGACTCGTTTTCGAGTGGATCACTGTCACCGTTCCGCCTGCCTTTTCCAGCAGCTTCGAGAGCGGCCCTCCGACAATGTCCGATCTGCCGCAAACCACAACGTTCTTGCCTGCAATCTCTACCTGCTCGTGCTTCAACAAGTACATGATCCCCTTTGGTGTGCACGGGATGAATTTGGCAGCAGCGTTCTTCTTGAAAATGGCTGCCAAATTGAGTTCCGAAAAGCCGTCTATGTCCTTTTCCTGCTTCACAGCGTTGGTGATCCGTTCCTCGTCCAAATGAGCAGGAAGCGGGAGCTGCACCAATATCCCGTGCACGGACGGGTCCTCGTTCAGCTCGTTTATGCGGGCCAGGAGATCTGCTTCCGAAACATCAACAGGGAGTTTTTGCAAGAACCCGTCGATGCCCACCTCCTGGCACGACTTGAGCTTCATCTTGACGTAGGTAGACGAGTCAGGACGGTCGCCAACCTGGATGATCACGAGCCGTGGCGCGAACGACGGATCCTGTGCCTTGAGTTCTTTGATTTCGGCCGCAATGGACGCACGCAACTCGCTGCTGATTGCTCTGCCGTCAATGATGGACATGTTTGTACGAGGATATTTTTTTTCCACGTGAAAATAGATTTGGAGCAAATTGTTGGCCTGCGTGGTGCGAGGAGTCTGGTCGGTGCGAGGAGTGACATTTTGCTCTCTCGCCACCAGACCCTAGCTTAGCGTTTGGAGCGCCAGCACAATCGCCCGCTCATGTTCCAGCGACCGATGTTTCTACTGTGCTGGCCGGGCAAAACAACTGTGTGTCTTGTGGGCCGTTTCAGATGGCATTGTTCTGGGCATTTACGTCGTGGACAACAAACAGCAATCAGATTACTCCTTTGGGAAAGACCGATCGTCTTGAGACAATAGGCAGCTTCCTTGTTTGGGCGAAAGAAAGAAAAACTAGTGCAGGCGATGTTGTCCGTGGCCCTAAAAGTCAACGATTGACACCGGATTGAGCGAAATGGGCGCAGATACTGCCAAAATCTTACCCCTTTGAAAATCACAGAGGCCAAAAATAGTCGATCAAAAATTCGAAAAAAAATCGGTATATCAAATCTCTGGTGCCTATGATCCTGTGCTATGCAGCAGCAAGACCAGGACATCCCCACGCAGCGCCAGGCGTCTCCCCTGAGGAGAGTGCTCAACAATACGTCCGAGTCCGAACAGCAGCCTGCTCAGAATCATTCCCAGGAGGTGTTGTCCCAACTACTGGGCTTCCAAGTGGAATCGTGGCCACACTCCCAGGAACAGCTGGATTTGGTGATCCAGCTCAAGATCGAACAAGAGCGCACCAAGTTCGAGCAACAGAAATCCAGGAATCTGGAGATGGCGATGGAATTACTCAACGTGGCGCGCCAGACAGGTATCCCTCCAGAACTAATTCCATTTCTCTATGCCAACCTTTCTCCGGAGGAAATTAAGGAACGCATCGACATGGTGCTCAAATACCCTCTGCCGCCACAGGGATATCAGACCCCGGGCCCGCGTGCCGACGAATCGCCCTTGCGAGAGTACTCCCACCGGCGGTCGTATACCGCATCGTCTGCCGCGTCGTCTGCGGGTGGGGTCACATCTGTTTGGAGAGTGAACCTGCCGCAACAGCAGCAATTCCAGTTCCACCACTGGTCTGGGCCGGGCGCTGGCCCCATGCCCTCGAAGGGCTCCTCTGTAGATACCGCGGCGTCGTCGGCGCCGTCTGTCAACCCGCAGACATACCCAGACACGCCCTCTGCGCCCTCCACGTCGTCGCCGACATCCACCCACAAGCGCAAATTTTCCGACCCTCTGGCCCCCACGCACCATCGTCAGCCGTCGTCGCCCACCAAGACGCGCAGCATATCACTCGACAAGCGGCAACCTGCACAAAATCCCCTTGCATCGCCCTACGTCTACAGAGACCCGGCTTACGGCGTGCCATCGTACCCGCCACACCAACCAGGGGTCGCTGGTGTGTCGCGATTTGCACAACCAGGCTCGCCGTACCCGTCGCGCCAACAGCCCCCACCTTATTATTATTCTTCGCCCTACCATCAGCAATCGTACCAGTTTCCGGCGTCGAAGCCGCAGGAGTCTGTGCTTCCGCCGCTCAGGCCTCTGGAACCGGATGATAAGTCGAAAAGCAAATTCCTTATCAACACTCCTAGAAACCCTCCCAAGTGATACCCGTGCGCAGCCGCAACAATAGCATTGACATAATAAAGTTACAGCATTTCTTACATAGTGCGGAAAATATCCGCAGGTAGTACGTAGAAATTTTCTGGAGTTTAGCTTCTACGTCCGCATTTTCATTATGTATCAAACGTTTTTTTTCCTTTCACTTAGTATTTATAACTCCAAAGTCATGGTTTCTAGTTGAAGATTTCTGCAGCGGTCTCGAAAATGACTTTGGATCCCAAAACAGATAACTTGCTCGATCAGGAACCGCAAGAAGTGCCCCACACAATCCTCACCAAACGTGAGAAATTCTTTATGACAATCCTGCTCTCTCTTATTGGCGTGGCATCTGCTATGAGCATGCCTATTTACTGGGTCGCACTGACAGAAGTGAAGAAAAAGTTTCGAGTCACTGAGGAGCAGATCAATCTCACCGTCGTGGCGTACTTGGTCCTACAATCGCTATCGCCAGTGTTTTTCTCTACTGCAACTGATTATGTCGGTAGACGTCCAGTGGTGCTGGTGTGTTTGGCGGGCGGTCTTGCAATAAATATTGCTCTTGCTGTCTCGGACGCATACTGGATGATCATTTTGTTCCGCTGTCTTTTGGCCTCCTTTGTTTCGCCGCTTATTAGCATCGACTCCTCCATCGTTAGCGATTTTACCACCAGAAGGGATCGTGGTGGCTACAACGGAACAGTGAACGGATTTCTCCTGGTGGGCCAGGGTTTGTCGCCCTTTTTCGGTGCTCTGGTCGACAGTGGGTGGGACTGGAGAGCCATCTTCTATTTCAGTGCCATAATAGACGGCGTGCTCCTGGTTATCGCATTTATCTGTCTTCCCGAAACGAAACGGTCCATCGTCGGAAACATGTCGGTGAAGCCGGACCACTGGTATCATAGGGCTCCTGTTCTGCTTTATTTTGGCAAGAGGCTATCTGATACATCAAAAAGTACCGTGGAGCACATGGAACTTCCTTCATACAACCCGCTTCGAACAGTTATGATTATGCGATACCCGCAAGTGACCATGGTTTTGATCCCCAGCTCTGTGATTTTTGCCACGTGGACCATGTCACAAGCATCGCTTTCCACAGTGCTTTCTGAGTCCTACGGGTATTCGACTTTGAAAATTGGTCTCTGCTTTTTTGCTTCCGGAGCAGCTACAGTTCTCGGAGCCATTACAAGCGGCAAGGTTTTAGACTTTGCCTACAACAACGCTCGCCAGAAACAGTTGAGATCTGACAGCTCCAAGCCACTCAACATCATCAAGGCAAGGGTGCAGTATTTTTTTATTCCATCGATAGTTTGTGCAGCTTCGTCAGTGGTATTTGGCTGGTGCTTCCAGAAAAAAGAAAATGTGGCCATCATTCTTGTCATGACATTTTTAATCACTTTCTCGACCATGTTTCCGATGAACGCTGTTCCCACGCTGCTGATCGATATGTTTCCGGGACAGTCCGGCTCTGTTGCATCGCTTAATAATTTGGGCCGCTGTGGCATGGCTACCATTTTCATGGCATGTTTGTCCAAGATGACCGCATCTATGAAGCTCGGCGGCACTTACACGCTGATGGCGGGGCTCATACTGCTCGGAAACATTTCTGTGTACGCTCTTCTCGCAAGAAGCTCTAAAATTCTCGCAGACGTTGAAAGACGTAAGCAAGAGCTCGATAATTAATAACATGGATTTCCTCTGTTGGAGAACCAAGATAGAGATTATGAGTTGTATCAGTCATCGCCCGTGTTGATTGACGATCGGCATCATACTGTTTGGCCGGTTGTTTAATTAATATTGTTGTGACATACAGTTAATTGGAATTATTTGTGTAAAAAAAAAAAATAATAATATTTACCATAAATAAAAAAATCATAGTTTCTCTTCATGCCCACCCACGCCCAGGGCGACTCAATAAAACTGCTGACATTCAACCTATGGGGTTTGAAATACGTCTCAAAGCAGCGCCGTGAACGCATTGTGGCATTTGCGCGCAAGCTTCGGAGCCAGCCCGACTACGACGTCGTTGCCCTGCAAGAAATCTGGACCGACGAGGACTGGAAATCCATTGTCGATCTTTGTCAGGAAGTTTATCCGTATACACGAAGATATTCTTCCGGGATTCTCACAGGCCCTGGTCTAGCAATTTTGTCGAAAGTGCCAATCAGACGGACGTTTTTGTACCGTTTCCCTGTCAATGGAACACCCACAGCCTTTTACAGAGGTGACTGGTACGTTGGGAAGTCCGTTGCTGTGACGTTGCTGGAGCCACCTTACGAAGGGGCCTCGCCAGTGGCACTCCTAAACTCTCACATGCATGCACCCTACGCACTTACCGGCAGCTCTGCATACGCCTGTGTTAGAGCTTGTCAGGCCTGGGATATCGCGTCTGTTGCTCAGACATATAGCGAGGCCGGCTACGCTGTTATTCTGGTTGGCGATCTCAACTCGCGCCCGGGCTCGTTACCTTACAGAATCATGCAGTCCGAAGCAGGTCTCACGGACAGCTGGGAAGAAATCCACGGCCCCACTGATTCTGATAAACTGCGACAGATGTCGCCGGAGGATCAGATCAAACTTGGGGGAGCCACTTGCGACTCGACACTCAACACCTGGCGTGCAGATAGAGGCCCAGACGAGGCATGTCGCCTGGACTACGCCCTTATAGATAACACTCGGCTCCGTGCTCTGGACGCATCCGTGCAATTTACAGAAAAGATTCCTGGCATTGGCTCCTACTCGGACCATTTTGCGTATTCGGCAACCTTCGAAGTACTTGCGACATCAAACATGCTTCCATCGCGGCCGCCAAAATCGGAGAGGTTGCAACTCTATCAAGAACTCACCGATTTGGTGGCAGAATATTTGGCCTCCAGAAATTCGTGGCAGAGCCGGCTTCTTCTTTGGCACTTTTGGGTCTCTGCGTTTGTCTTCATTGCATTTCTGGCCGTCATCGTCGTTGTCTCGTTCCTTGCTCCCTGGGCATCAATTCTTTTCCTCTTTTTTGGAGGCCTCGTGCTGGCTACTGGATTGCTGAGCGGCCAGATCGGATTTCTGTTTTGCAGATCTGAGCGCAGAGCCATGACGGAAATCATTCTACAAGTGGCAGATGCTGCCCGCTTGCTACAAGACAGCTGAAATTATCAGCGGGATTATTCTCTCGGTTTTTTTCGCGTGCCTTAAAACAATATACCGGCTGTCCTGTTTAGGAAATACAATGTCGGAAGCCAAAAAATCAGATCTTGAGCTCTTTTTTTAAAATGACCACATCGTTCTAGTCAAAATGCCGAAGAAGGAACCCACGACAGAGACGACAGAGTCTCCAAATGACGGCGAGTACGTCTTGTCGCCCGAAGAGGAAGCCAGGTATGGCCGCTTTTCCAAGAACCAGAAACGGCTATTCATGACCATTATGGCTATAGCCACATCGCTTGGGCCGTACTCGTCTTCCGCGTACATGCCAGCAACACAGATGATTGCTGACGAATTCAGCACCACCGGATCCACCATTAACCTGTCTGGGACCGTTTTCAACGTCATGACTGCCATGTCGCCATGTCTGTTCAACCGCTTGTACGAATTCTATGGCTGCCGTCCAATTTTCATTTTCATGGCCACTCTCCTGTTGATACCCTCGATCCTCACTGCTGTTTCTGTGAACCTGCCTATGTTTTTCGTGTTTCGCAGTCTCACCGGCCTGTTCTCTTACTCGTTCATCAACATGGCCGCATCAATCACCGGCCACATTTACCAGCCCACCCAAAGGTCCACGGCATTGAGTTGCTGCTTGGCAGGCACCCTGGCAGCCAGTGCATTTGCGCCAGTCCTTGCGGGAGTCATCATCACCTACGCATCCTGGAGAATCATTTTCTGGGTGCAGACAGGCATCACTGCTTTGGTGTTGGTCATGGCCATCGTCTTTCTCAAGGAAACCACGCCAGAAACTGAATTCTCCATCTGGAAACGACAAACGTCTAAAAAATTCAAGCTCATCGCTGTCAATCCGTTCAAGGTTGTCTTTGCATTGCGCATCCCAACACTATTTCTCTCGGGCATCACCACGCTCTTGCTATCGTTCAATTATTTTGCATTGCTCACTCCAATCAGGTACGTTGTGGACCCGCGGTTTGGATTCACAAGTCCTATCCAGGGCTCTTTGTTCTATCTCGCTCCTGGCTGCGGCATGGTCATATCCACCCAGTTTGCCGGCAGATACGCCGATTGGGTGCTGAAACGCGCAATCAAAAGAAGACACGGGCGGCTTGTGAGCGAGGACAGACTGCAGGCGTGTTTGCCGGCCATGCTGCTTATGTTTTCGTCGATCATAATTTACGGCTGGTCCATCCAGGAGAAAAAGGGCGGCCTGGTGCTACCAATCGTCATGATGTTCCTCAACGGACTGTCCCAGACGTTTGTGTACACGCCGATAAACTCTTATTGCATTGGAAGCTTGCCCGAAATAGGCTCGCCGATCGCGCTGGGTTCCAACTATTTTATCCGCAACATTGGAGCTGCTATTGGGTCCGGAGTCACCTTGCCCCTGTTCGATGCCATCGGCATCGGATGGTCCAGCGTTATTAATGGGATCCTCATAGTCGTGGCCTTTGGCTCCACTATGCTATGCTACAAGCTGGGCCAAAGCTTGCGCACGAAATGGCTGAAAAAAAACGGTTATCGCTCTGTGGACGGGGACGACCGAGAAGGGTAGAATTAATATTCTCCTATTTAGTTGTTTTGACAGCCTAAATAATAAATATCTTGCTTTCGCGTGAAACACAAGAATCTCTCAATTATAAGTTAATCAGTCTCAGTCATGTCTGGCATCGAGTCGACTGAGGAGCCTTGCGACAGCATGACAGAGTCGCAGAGTCTGTCGCCTTTGGAGCCCGAAGAGCGGCAGACTCGCAAGGATTCTGGCTTGCAATCGCAAAGCCTTACCAAACGACACTTCGCCTTCTCGCCTCACCGACTAATCACATCGATATCGCGACATACGTCGCCTCACAAGCCACGACCGAAATCCGAATCAAGGGTGCCCGTGCCGAAACTGCATTCTCTACCGCCACAACGCCTGGCTAGCCCTGAGAGAGATAAGCCTTCCATAGAAGGCATATCCAAATCGTTTGTGAGTTTCCTCACTGCAGCCAGCGTCTACGCTGGGTTCCAGGACTTAGAAGGAGAAGACCAACAGGTATCGCCCGATGACGTTTCCGCGGGCGAGTCAGAGGACCAGCAAGCTGACGAATCGTCCGATGAACAGGAGGACGACGATCAGGATGACCGTACATTTTACGCCACAGACCCTTCGCCCACCGAGCTGACCATTAATGAGAATACGCCATTGCCAGAGCCAGAGCCACCGCGTCGGACCCTCCGCAAAGCCAGATCGCGGTTCGAGTTCTCTGTGGTGAAGAGGCTCTCTGAGAACGAAAATGACCAGCTGGCGCAGAAAAGAGCGATCGCGCTCTCGAACAAGCTGAAGAGAACATTTGACATTTCCGATACAGACGTCTTCATCAGTGATTATCCGTGCTGGTTGATGGGAGACGTTCTGTTGCAGGGCCATCTCTATATCACCAAGCACCACATCTTGTTCTTTGCATTTTTACCCAAGAAACAGGGCTCCATTTCGAAATCGGGCGCGCTGACCACGAAATCGTATCCGTCTCTTCGAGAGCACCGCAAATGGGCTGTCCTACGCAACAACACCTTCAGCGTGTATTCAAATTCGACAGATCTGTATTTTCCGCTACTGGTGATCGATCTCCGAACTGCTTTGCGCGCAGAAATTCTGCAAAGCAGTAGCACGAAGCAGAATCCAAGTAAACCGGTATGGATTCGGATCATAACAGAGTCAAGAACGCACTGGTTTCTTGCTGACAATTTGGCTTCAGCTAGATCCTGGGTCTCGAGTCTCAAGAAGCACATATTCGCCTCAAGGAACAAAGGCGACCAGGTGGCGATCAAGATCCCTCTGCAGAACGTGGTTGACCTGGAGCTGACCTCTGTCATCGGGGTGACCAAGAATTTGAGGATCAAGGTCATTGAGAGTGCAGATACGTTTGCCATAGATGACTACTTTCTGATGTTCTTTTCAAGAGGAGAAAAGGCCGTGGAGGATATCAAGAAAGTGATTCACGATGCGGGTATGGAGATCTCAGAGGGAACGAGCACGGAAAGCGAGGACGAGCAGGGTGTGGACAACAACCTTCTGAAATCCAAGATCGAGCTACTGAAAAAGTCTCCGTCAATGGTGCAGACCTCCAGTAAGTCGAATGTCCCCGTTATCCGAATGGACGAGCCTGCGGACGATTTCAGCCAAGAGCAAGAATCTGCAGAAAGCTCCAAACCTGTATCGGACGATGAGATTGTGTCGGCAGACGATAACCAAGAGTTGGAGGAGAAGCAACCACAGGACAATCTGGCAAACGCTGAAAAAGAAAGTCATGACAAAGTTTCAAGAGCTAACAGTCGTCGTACGTGGTCGACAAGGTCATTAGTGCAAGGCCTAACAGCTATCACTCAGGGATGGATGTCGCCCTCTCCCATGGCTCATTTCGATGAGAAATACGCAGTTTTGCGAGGAGAGGAGGATTCATACTTTGTCAAGGATGCAGAGCAGCGTAAAGCAGCTACAGAGCGGTTCAGAAAACATTTCTCTCTCACGGATGGTGAAAAGCTTATTGCCACATACCATGCATATCTGGTCAAGGGGATTCCTGCATACGGTAAGATATATCTTGGGTCCAATGAGATGTGTTTCCGTTCGACGTTGCCCGGAACAGGAACAATAATGATCCTCCCTTTTTCGGATATCGAAAACGTGAATAAGGAGAAAGGTTTTCGATTTGGATACTCTGGGCTGGTTGTCGTCATTCACGGACATGAGGAACTGTTTTTCGAGTTTGCCAGCGACCAAGCGCGGGACGATTGTGAGTTCATGCTTCTGAAGCAAATGGATATGTTCAAGAAAGGAAGCACCGATAGCAGTCCTCCGAATGCGAGCGAAGGTTCGAGCGATGAGAGTTGCAATTTAGCAGAGTCCAATACAAGTTTAGCATCTGCCAGATTGAGGATGTTCGAAAATCGAATCCATGATGCAATTGGCCTGGACGTGCCGATCATCATAGAAGAGCATCCATTGACCAAAACCAAAGTTAGGCCGTTGAAATCTTACAGATTCACGCTGTTGACGATTGGATCCAGAGGAGACGTTCAGCCTTATATTGCATTGGGAAAGGCCTTGATGAAAGAGGGCCACCAGGTTCGTATTGTCACGCATGCCGAGTTCGAGCCTTGGATCAAGAAACATGGTATTAGGTTTGCATCGATAGCGGGAGATCCATCAGAACTCATGGCATTGATGGTCACCCATCCAACCATAAATTACAACTTTATAAAGGAGGCCAAGTCAAAGTTCCGGAGCTGGATCGATGACCTGTTGGTCACATCATGGAAAGCCTGTCAGGACACAGATATTCTGATCGAGTCTCCGTCGTCAATATGTGGTATTCACATTGCTGAGAAGCTGCAAATTCCTTACTTCCGTGCTTTTACCATGCCGTGGACACGTACGAGAGCGTATCCTCACGCCTTCATGGTTCCCGATCAGAAACTGGGCGGCGCATACAACTATATGACCCATGTGGCTTTCGAAAATGGATACTGGCGAGGAACCGCTCATCAGGTGAATAAATGGCGTGTTGAAACGTTAAGGCTGCCTAAAACGTCTCTAGCAGAGATGAAACAGAATAACGTTCCTTTCCTTTATAACGTTTCGCCAACCGTCTTTCCTCCTTCTGTGGATTTTGCTGAGTGGGTCAAAGTTACCGGTTACTGGTTTTTGGATGAAAGCGAGACGTACCAGCCACCCGAGGTTCTGACTAAGTTCATCGAGCAGGCGAGAAAAGACGGGAAAAAGGTGGTTTACATTGGATTTGGGTCCATCGTCGTTTCCAAGCCTTCAGAACTCACCCAAGCGGTTGTGGACGCTGTTCTTGAGGCCGATGTCAGGTGCATTCTGAATAAAGGGTGGTCAGATCGTCTGGGAACGAAGACCGAAATTGAGGTGGTGCTTCCACCTGAAATATATAATGCTGGAAGCGTGCCCCATGATTGGCTATTTCCTCAGATCGATGCTGCTGTTCATCACGGAGGCTCTGGAACGACAGGAGCTTCGTTGCGGTTCGGGGTGCCGACAATCATCAAGCCGTTTTTTGGAGACCAGAAGTTTTATGCAGGAAGAGTCGAAGACCTTGGATGTGGTGTTAGTCTGAAAGATTTGAACTATAAGAGTCTGGCGAGGGCTCTCAAGGAGGTGACCACCAACACAAGGATTATCGAAAAGGCTAAACTTGTGGGAGCGAGAATCCGGTCCGAAACAGGCGTTCAAACTGCCATTGAAACAATTTACAACGAAATGGAGTACGCTCGGAGTTTATCAATCAGCAAGGTGAAACCAGTTTCTGTTGTAAAGAGCGACGAGGAGTTTGATGACGATAAAGACGAGGAAGTTGAAGGCTCGTGGTTACTGGTTTGAAATACTTGTCAATTAATAATATCCTTTGTTATACACTCTATCACCAATTTGCAACGTCCTCAGCCTCACCGAAAACGCTTTCCTTGTGTTCTGTGTCGTCGTCCTGCCAATCTGGATTATTGCCCTCGTGGTCCATAATCTCCTTGATATGGGCTTTTTCGAAATTTAATATCAAGTCATTGATTTCCTTGAATTCTAGCAGGAACGCATCATGTCCTTCTGGAGAGTTGATTTTCTTGAGCGTTGAGTTTGGCATGTTTTTGGCAATGAAGATCTGCTCACTGAGCGTGAACAGCGCGTCCGAGTCGATTCCAATAATCAGGGACGGCTGCTTCAGGCTCTGCAGTGCTTTTGCGGCGTCATTGTCGAATTCTGGGCGGTCGCGGCCGACGTCGTGCGTGTCGAGCTTCCTCGTGATGGATATGTAGCAGTTGGCGTCAAATCGATGGTGGAACTTTTGTGCTTGGTACCTGAGATAGCTCTGTGCTGAGAAGTAGTGTTGCGGTCTGCGTTTTGGTCTGGTTCTAGCCGATGTGGCAGAGCTTAGGCTTTCTGTGTCTGCCGAGGAAACTGATGAGTCCATTGAGTTTGAGCGACTAGCGTGTCTCGACTCAAACGATCTCCTGTGCACAGAGGCACCGTGGTTGTGGATTTGCCAATGCTCTTCCTTTGCCGAAGGAGAGTCCTCGATCGCATTAGCCTCGTCGGGGCCCGGAGTGCTCTGTTGGCTCTTATTCTTCTGCTGTTCTGTTGGCTGTCCACGACCAAATCTGCTCTCAAACGAATTTCGCGACCTGTATGTGAGTAAAGCTGCCATCCGCGCAGCTCCAAGCCCATTCACAGGAGGGTCTTCCAGACTATAGTAGCCGTCGTCGTATTTGGGGTCGGAATATATGCACTGTCTCTGGGCCTCTCCCCACGAGATGCACCATGCCGAGTGTCTCGCACTGGTTGCCAGCGCAACAAGGTTTTTCACAAACCGTCCTTCGTCAACAAAACACCATTCCAGAGCGAGCATGCCTCCCATGGATCCACCCACACACATCGCTATCTGTTTCACTCCCAGAGAGTCCAGAACCAGCTTATGAATACGCACATCATCACGCACCGTGCAGATCGGAAATTCCGGGCCGTACAGCTGGTTATACTCGGGATCCATAGTCACAGGCGAGGCAGATCCATACGGAGACCCTAGCGAGTTCAGGCAGATGATGAAATACTTGGTAGGGTCGAACGCACGGTCGCGTCCTATCAATGGTCCCCACCAGTCCTTTACATCCGCAGAGCCGGTCAGGGCGTGTGCTATAAGCATGCAGTTGTCTCCTTTGTCGTTGAGCTTTCCCCATGTCTTGTACGCCACCGGCACTTTGTACAGCACGTCACCCGATTCGAGCTCGAACTCTGGGATCTCTACAATTGTCTGGCCACTCACGAGCTTCGAAAATGGGTTTTCGGGCTGTTCTTTGACGATCTTGTACCCCATGTCGGTGTGCGAGTTGAACTCTGACTCTTTTTTTAAATGTATTTTGTAGTTTTTTTTTTTGTGGTTGCACTGCCTCTCATTCTCAATGAAAAAACCACCTAAAATCAGAGTACGGACCGGCTCCTGGACCGAATGTGGCGAGGAGGTGGCCAGACAGATCGAGAAACAGAACTTCCCCAACAGGATTGATTTTTTGGTGCCGAAAAACGTGTTTGTGAGCAAGAACATCGAGGCCAGACTCGCCGATCTCGAATACAGCTACGGTATTGTAGACTGCTCGCTGCACAAAATACTGCAGAGCTGTGTGAAACTGGCGTCGCAAATTGACATTGGAAGTATCCAGGTGGTTTCTGTTGCCCAGCATGCTGAGCATGAAGACACTGTTTCTCTGATACGAGGCATTCTGACGCTTCGCCTGACCGCAGAATCCTTCTACAAATCTGGACTCAAGGGCGTCCGTTCGGCTCTTTCACAGGGAAATACAAACATCAGACAGCAGCTGTTTGTGGTGCAGCTCGATCTGAGCCAGCTGGCGACGGAAGACAGAAACTCGCTTCGACTCTTCTGGTTTGCGGAAAAATACCAGAAACCGCTCCGATTCGCAGTGGTTGGAGACTTGCAGCTGGAGGGAGTGCGCAAGGTTACTTTCCAGCCCACTGTTAGTAGACTGGGCCGTCTTTGCATGCCCAGCCTGGTTCCGCTGGACGACGAGGAGTGGCTGTCCACGACGCTAGAATGGCTAGCATATGCGTCCATCAACGGCCCGCAGCTCTCGCCGTTCGACAAAACGGACGCCAACGTCTCGACCTACCGCGAAACCGTGGAGCTACACAACGAGGAGGAAATTTATAGGGTGTCCTTGAGCGGTCTGGTGTCCACGTCAACGGCAGAGCAGCTCCTGCAACTGTTCGACGCAAGCTGGGTAGCCATGCTAAAATATGGCGTGCAAGACTCCAACGTGGGTTTTGGCAGGTCGGAACACATGCCAGGGCCAAACGTCCAGGCATTGCTGAAAAACGGCGACGCATTTGCTCTGTGGCATCAATCGCGTTGATATATGTACATTATTATTCTATTCACTCATCCTTTTCTTCCGTCTCTTCGCCGCTCTCGCTCTTGGAAAGCAGTCTGTTGAGCTCGCTCTTGGGGTCCGCATACAACTTGTCGAAATTGTCGTACTCCACAATCACACCCTTATGGTTGAAAACCACAATTTTGTCGCTGGTCTTGATGGTGCTTAACCGGTGAGCGATGCTGATGGTGGTCAGACCAGCCTCCTGTCTCAGCTTGAGCGTGCGCTTGATGGCCTCCTCCGACTTGGCATCCAGTGCAGACGTGGCCTCGTCCAGAATCAAGATGCTTGGCCCAAGAAGCAGCTCTCCACGCGAACTGTAAGCCTCAGGAACCGACACTTTCTTGTCGGTGCGATGGCCCAAAAGCAGCGTTCTTGCAAGTGCTATCCTCTGTTTCTGTCCTCCGCTAAGCTGAGTGCCCCTGGAGCCGACCACAGTCTCCAGTTTGTCTGGGAAGTTGTTGATGAAGTTAGTGCAGTTGGCAAGATCGCACACTTTTTGGATCTCCTCCTCGGTAGCATCCATCTTTCCGTATGTGATATTCTCCCTTAGAGTGCCAGAAAAGAGCATGGGCTCCTGCTGGACAACTCCCGTCTGTTCTCTGAAACTAGCCAGACTGACGTCCGTCAGAGGTTGGCCGTCGATCAGAATGCTACCGGAGAGTGGCTCGTAGTGGCGCAGAAGTAGCTGAGCCACAGTACTTTTTCCGCACCCGCTCGGCCCAACGAGACAGACATGGTCACCCTTATTGATTTTGAGGTTCAAAGAGCCAAACACCTGGTGGGTCGGCCGTGTTGGGTACTTAAAGGCGACGTTTCTGAACTCAATGTTCCCCAACACGTTGATTTTCTTTCCCTCAGAAGGAACAATGGCCGGTTGCAGTCTGATGAGCTCAAACACACGTTCTGACGCTCCCACGCCCTTCATCAGCTCGGAATAGAAGTTCGACAGCGAGTACACGCTTGACGCGCTAAATGTCGTGTATAGCATGTACGACGAAAGCTCTCCAATGGAGAGTTCTCCTTGACGCACCATCTGTACGCCCAACGACAGCAGTCCTATGAGGAAAACGTTACCGACAAAGCCATTGCCTGCAAAAAAGTAGCCATTAAGCCGTCCTTCATAGACAGACAGGTTGTACAGTTTCTGGACCTCCTTGCGGAACTTGCCCACCTCGTACTCCTCGTTGTTAAAGCTCTGGATAGTTTTTGTGAAGTTGAATTGCTCCTCAGACACTTTGGTGAGGTTTCCGAGCTGTTTCTGGATATCTTTGGATAAGGCCTTGATTTTTCTTCCAAACACTAACGACATAAAGATGAGAACAGGGAAGATCAACGTCATGTAGCCTGTAAGCTTCACGGAAATAGTCACCATCATAACAATTCCAACAAGCCCGCTGATAGACGAACGCAAGCCGTCACTGATATTCTGGGTAACTGAGCGCGCCACAATGGTCGAGTCATTAACCAGACGTGAGATCAGATCACCCGACTTGTGGTAATCCCAAAACTTAGCATCCTGGTAGAATATTTTTCGCAAGATATCAAGTCTCAGCCTGGCCATGATCCGCTCACCGACTTTGCGCAAAAGAATGATCCTTCCAAAGTTCGCAGACGCTCCCAGGAAAAAAAGAACCCCCACCGCGGCGTAGAATTGGTTAGCAGGCACTTCATAGGACAGTATGCTAATCGCGGACTTCTGATCCTCGGCTTTCGCCATGTCTATCACTTTTCCCATTATCATAGGAAAAACCATTGAAACAGAGGACGAAACAAAGAGGAGCAATATGGCAATTGACATTGTAGGGATTTCTGTCTTTGTGAGCCTGAGCAATTCCCATATTTCTTTGAACGACGACTTTTTCTTTTGTCCACCATCGGTGCCATCCTTGGGCTCCGCTTTCGATTCTTTTTCGGATTCGAGTTTCTGGCTGGTCGAGCTGAACCTTCTTGCAACCTGCACTGGACTGAAGCTAACAACAGGCCTCACAATGTCCGAACGACTGAGGGGGGCCCGTGTTCGGCTCAGCATTCTCACGCTCGAGAGCGGAGCAATGGCAGGATGGCACACACCACGATGTATCACTAATCTGCCGAGTAATCTTGGGAACAACAGCATGTATTAAATAAGACCTTAGATTATGAATGGAGACACTAGTGGAATATTTTGTTCATTTAAGAAATTCCGCGACTTGATTAATTCGTAGTAATTATAAATAGTTGGTTATTTTCACCGTCTCGCTGAATTTTTTACTAGAAACCATACTCGCTGCCACCGAAAACGCCAAACAGATCGCCCACGAGGTTCGACATAGCCATATTGTCTGGATTCGTGGCCCCTGTAATATCAGGAAACCCGGAGATGTCGAACGATGGCAGCCAGTTTTCGTCTATTAGTTCTGTGAGAGACGGCTCCAGAACTCCTGGAGGCATGTCTTGAGTGCGCTCATTTAGTAAAGCAGGTTTCCGTCTGGAAGGGCTCTCTGTAATATGGGGTACAGTCGACGGCTCTCTAAGCTTGCCTCTCTCTGCGCTGACGAGCGGTGTACCGTAGTACCTTCTCTCGTCCGGCTCGTATCGTCGCAATGACTCATCCAAAATGGCACTCGTGTATAGCGTCCGCCGTTCTAAGTTGACCTCCTTATTCACGGTATTCAGTATGCCCCGAATCAGCATCTGCCGTCTTGACTTGTCTGTCAGAAACATTTTGAGACTGAACATCACAAAATCGGCCATGGGCCACTTTTTCTTCGTCTCTGCAAGAACATTAATGCACGCAAGAATCGACCGATGTGCGATCTCCGAGATCTTCGGGTCTTTGTTGTACAGGTGGTACACCATCATCGTGCCTGCGCTCCACATACTGTAGATTATCATGCCGTTGTACTTCTCCTGAAGCTGGTGCTTTGTGAAATACTCACCAATCAGCATAACCGTATACGCTGCTTTGAACGAGACGCTCCACGACGGGAGCGCGTCCAGATTCTCTGAGGCTCTTTCTGGACGCGAGCTGCTCACAATGTTGCTGCGGTGGATGAAAAGCAGCACCGTATGGTATTCCAGTGCGAGACAAGCGGCGTAGAAGTTAGGAGGGCTCGTTTTGTCGCGCACATCCAGTTTCAGCGTGTCGGGCAGCTTCTGGATCCATTCGTAAAGCAGCATGTCACACTCTTTGAGCAGGGAATACGTGGAGGCGCTTTTTTCCGTGATTTTAGAAATTAAATTCTGGTTGTCCATAATGTTTCTCGTCACTTTGGCGAGAGCCAATTTATGCAGGAAAAAATCCTTATCCAGATCGCTTGTGTCAAACTCGTAGCCAAAAGAGCCTTCTTTGCTGTCCACAAGAGTCTCCCTCGTCGGCCATGGAACCTCGCACTCGGAAAGATCAATGGAAAACGGTCTGGCAAAGGTGAAAGAGCTGTAAGTGTCTCTGATGAAAATGGCCCACCATATTCGCTTGTAAAGGTTTTTCTCCATGATAGACAGCTCTGGCCGCTGGTCGAAATTTCGATTAAGCCCAATGCACAAGGCAGTCGACGCTGCCAGCTTGATGGTATTGAGGAAAATGCCATTTTTCGTGTTCCCAACATGGGAATCCCAGTAGTTTCCAAAAACTATCATCGATTGAAGCAACGGGATTGGCTCTGTCTCCACGTGGTGCTCAAAAAGCGCTTTGGCACGGCGGTTGAGAAGCATACTTAATTTCTCCTGGTGGGCCCGTTCTTCGTCTGTCCAATTGGGATCGCCATAGACTCGGGAGCCTGCAAACAGCACAGACTGCAGCAGGAGTAAGCTCTGCGGATTTTTCAGCGTTAGATAATCTTCCAGAAACTGCTGCTTATTTATCACTGGCAGCTGGGGGTGCAGCACCCGGAAATAGCTATCAATGTAACTTTCGAACAATTGCTCGTCCGGAATATGGAAGCAACCCAGCCCTTCCAAATAATTATACTCCACCTTATTCAGGTGAAACAATTGCAGATATTCCGTTCTTTTCTTCTCGTCCATGTACTCTTTCAACGCCATGTGCAGGAAAGTCGAAGGCCCGTAGTACTCATCAATAGCAGACGACGTGATATCCCGTTGCAACATTCTGTTCGGGTCGAGTCTTCGCGCATATAACTCAGGTAGCTCGGTCCGCGGGTCCTTGCCGATGAACTTGGGTATATCTGGCATCTTGCTCGACTTGAGAAATTTGCTGTCCGACCTGAACTTATCCACCTTTTCACTGCTTCGTTTTTTAGGTTCAGGAAGTAAACAGTCGATATCGAAGTGAACGCAGTTGGAACATTTATCGGGGTAGGTCAGCGTAACGTCGCATTTAACTTTTCTTTCACGGCAGACCAAGCAAGCCCGAGCAGATCGCCGTCTTTTTTTGAGATCATTGATCCCAGGTCGGCCGGAGGCTTGCATTTTGAAAAGTAACCATAAATTAGTTCCACTTTTTAATGTATAGATTTATTATTTTTTCCACTTTTTTAGAGTTTGGGATAGTATTGCACTTGTTTTTTCAGTTACTAGCAAGGGAGCCGTTGGTGATTAGAATATTCTATGGGAGCTATGTCTCCTGAATACAAACAACTCTACATTGACAATCAGCCCTATCTATCGGTTATTCAAGCCGACTCTTGATAAGCCTATAGAGATGGGGAAAGATTATATCTGACGTCTCGCCTCCAACTCTGTCGTACACACCTCGAGACTGGTAGAACCGCTTGATCGGCTCCAATTGCTCGTAATAGGTTTTTAGTCTTTTGCGAACTGTCTCCGGATTGTCGTCTGGCCGCTGAAATAGTGGCTCGCCGGTAACATCGTCCCTAAACGGGACCTTGGGAGGATTATACTCCAAGTTGTAAACTCTTCCCGATGAGTGCATCCACCGATTTGCAATTCTTCCAACGATTACATCGGGCGGAACGTCTAATTCAACAACCAGATTTATACGATTATCTTGAAGCCGACGTTCCAGTTCCAGTGCTTGGCTGCTAGTTCGCGGAAAGCCATCTAGCAGAAACGACTTGTCTATAATGTTTCTCCTTACAAGCTCTGTTTCCACCATTCCTGCCATCAATTCGTCGGGAAGCAGTTTCCCCTCCTTGATATATGCATCAGCAAGTCTTCCTATTGGGGTTGAGTTCTGGATCTCAGTCCGCAAAAGATCGCCCGTGGAAATAGAAGTGAGATGAGGTATTTGTTTCAATAACCTCGATGTAAGTGTGCCTTTGCCCGATCCAGGTGCTCCCAGAAGAACAAGTCGAAGCGGCATAAAGGAATAAATATATTTTTGACGGGGAAAGATTTCTGAGATAGCCCTTATTGTACAAATGGTGCGGCTGGATGGAAAGTGGCTGAATGCTGATTTTGCAACCTTACGATAGACGATTTCTGGACAGCAACAGTACTAAAGGTTTTCTCACTTGCCCAGAAAATTGTCCCGACACAGGCTTCATGAGGGCGAACTAGTTTCTGCCCTAGCCCGTTCTCGCTTATCAGATAGTCGTAGTCGTGTATGCGAATAAAAAAAAATTTTTTGAAAATAATTTTGATTTAATTCCAAGACCCTAGCGATGGAATTATCAGTTTCTGACAAAGACAAGAGCATCCTGCTTGAGAAGAAGAATGTGCTGAGCCCAAGTGTTCTTGATAAATATAGGTTGGCAGGCCAAATTACTCAAACTTGTCTTGCTTACTTGACTGGGCTCATCAACGACTCGTACCATCTTGGGAAGCATGAACCCTATTCTATCGCAGAACTTTGTCTGCTTGGAGACTCGCACATGAAGGTTGCGCTTGATAACGCATACAAGAATCAGGTTAGGGAAAAAGGTATTGCTCAGCCCGTCACTATCGACGTCAACGATGTCGTAGTTGGGTATTCACCTGAAGTTGACGATGAGACAAACTTTAAATTCAAAGCCGGAGACATTGTTACCATCAACCTTGGCTGTCATATTGATGGATACACCTCTAATCTGTCGCACACACTTGTGATATACCCTCCAGGAGCTTCTGTGGGCCCCCTGCTTGGCTCCAGTGCAGACGCAATCTGTGCTTCCTATATTGCATCTGAAACCGTGATCGCTTTACTTGCATTGTCTCTGACACCAGAGAAAATTCCTCAGTCTTTGGCTGATGGCTCGGGCTTGATCCGAGGATCCACCATTAGACAGATCGTGGACTCCATTGCCGAGAGTTTCAACTGCGTGGTTGTGCCAACGTCCAAAGTTAGAAGGATAAGGCGGTTCCTCGCGGGTCAGGCAGAAGGAATTGTTGCTGAGAGGGATTTCAAAGGTGTTGTTTGGTCTGAAGCTGATCAAGAGCTCAAGCTATTGAAAAAATCGCCAAAGTTTAATGCTAGTCAGGAGCTCGCGACTTACGACAAGACCAAGAGTGCGAGGGTGACAGCTTCTTCTGCAGTTCCAACTGACGACTTTGTTGTGTCTCCTGGCGAAGTTTACACAGTCGACATCAAGATGGCACCTTTGCAGGCAACCGAAGGACCTGGCTTGATCACTCTCCAGGCCGTTGATAATGTGACTGGTGCAAATCACTCTAATGAAGCCTTCAGACCTAGACCCAGTATATTTGTGCGAGACGTTGCCATCTCACACCAGTTGAAACTGAAAACGTCAAGGAAACTGCTCTCGACCATCGACAACAAGTTGTCTGTCTACCCCTTCAAACTCACGCATTTGACATCTGGCTTCCCATTTGACCTTTCGGGAGACATTGAGCAGCAGCTCAGGTCCATTCAGCAGGAAATGAAGCCAGCTCGGTTGGGACTTGTAGAGCTCGCTAACAGACACCTTGTTGTCGCAAAGCCTATCTTGAGGGCCAGATTTGTGCCTCTGCAGGTTATCTTGAATGCTTCAACTTCCACTGGTGTCAATGGATATGACGCGGAAAATCCTGTTCTGCCGGGCCTGGAGCTGCCGCTGCCCCGGCTGGGTTTGACCTCTTTGAAGCTAAAATCGTTGCTAAAGGCCTCAAAGGAAATTCCAGTGGCTCGTGAACTGTCCACTGTTGTTTTGAATGGCGACAACAACGAACTGATACGCTTAAGTGGTGGCCTTTCGACCTCGAAACCAAGCTGGGTGCACTCTAAATTCCAGCTTTCTGGAACTGTAGCACAGAGCGTGAACGATCTTGTGCAATTGACGCAGGACCAGAGATTTGGACTGAAAATCAAGGAGTGTCAGCCAATGAAAAGCAGTAATTAGATTATAGATAAGCTAACAAGGACACATCCTTTTTCTTTGCAATAAAAGGGCTAAAGTGCGAAGGAAACTTTTTGCATCTCTGCACCTGGTAGGGTAACGGGTCATTTCATTTATGGAGGGGAGCAGCGCGAATGGAAATTTTACTGCGGCTCTTTTCGCCAGGCGGCGCCTGCAAATCGGAATTTGTACTGGCTCCTTTGTGATTTATTTACTTTATAATATTTTGAATATACTATCTTCAATTTCATACCAGCTCTTGTGTTAGTCAAAAGTGGCAAAACATCCGGTGATAAAGTCATACTCAGTCATATTTGTAAGTATCGGTAAAACGTTTTGTGCAAGTCGGAAGCATATTGTGGCAATCGGTTATCCTTAGCATCACAGCGGCCCAAATCAGATTCAGATGGTCGGGATCGCTCATCCAGAAGTGAATAAAACGTCGACACTGTTATGAAAAGCTTTTCAGTAACGAGAATCTGCCCTGGGTGGTCAAATTGTTTGAGATGATGCCATCCAGATATTCCACTCGCAGAAGACGACAAATAAAAGCTCAGGTACGGGTTTCGACTTGTGGCACTCGAAATCCATGTCACTTGAGAAACACGTATACGTTGAGAGTCCTGAGATCATCGTTTGTGGTCACGAAACCTGCTGAGGAGCCTATCACAGGTCGTGGAAAACGCAACATAACGAAATGACTGTTATGGTGTAGAGTTGTTGCCGATTCAGGTGAGATGTTTTTTTTTTCATTGCTAAGCGGCGGTGCTCACAACCGATTAACACGTATTTGGTGGAAAAAAGTGAAAACAAGTGAGGAAATCAAAGGGATACCCGTTGTCTACTTTAATTGCTACCGACTTGTAAGCATCAGGTTGAAGCCCCCCAATACTAACAGTTTTTGCAGATTCGCAATGCCAGCTTCCCGTGAAGATTCTGTTTATTTAGCCAAATTGGCCGAACAGGCCGAGAGATATGAGGAGATGGTCGAGAACATGAAGGCTGTCGCCTCCTCTGGCCAAGAATTATCCGTTGAGGAAAGAAATTTGCTGTCTGTTGCCTACAAGAACGTGATCGGTGCCAGAAGAGCCTCATGGAGAATTGTGTCTTCGATTGAGCAAAAGGAAGAGGCCAAGGGCAACGAGACCCAGGTTTCTCTTATAAGAGAATATAGAGCCAAGATCGAAGAGGAACTTTCAAATATCTGTGAGGACATTCTGACCGTGTTGACTCAACACTTAATTCCAACTGCTCAAAGCGGTGAGTCTAAAGTGTTCTACTATAAGATGAAAGGTGACTACCACAGATATTTGGCAGAGTTTGCCGTCACAGAGAAGCGTAAAGAGGCTGCTGACCTTTCGTTGGAAGCTTACAAGGCTGCCTCTGAAGTTGCTGTGACCGAGTTGCCACCAACCCACCCGATCAGATTGGGTCTGGCGTTGAACTTTTCCGTTTTCTACTACGAGATTCTCAACTCTCCAGACAGAGCTTGCCATTTGGCCAAGCAAGCTTTCGATGACGCCATTGCCGAATTGGATACACTATCAGAAGAGTCCTACAAAGACTCGACTTTAATCATGCAACTCCTAAGAGACAACTTGACATTGTGGACCTCCGACATGTCTGAGGCTGGCCAAGACGAGCCAGCTCCTGAGAAAGCTGCTGAAAAACCAGATGATGAGTAAGTTTGCTAACTGTTTTCTGTATAAAAGTGCCTTCCATCTCAGGTTACGTTGTCGTTGCTTTATGATTTATAGTTATTAGTTAGCTAGACCCCTTTCTCTTCTAAATGGCACAAATTTAAACGTCTTCCATTTTTTTATAAACAGATAAGCAAGAATTTAATTGAAATGGAGGGCATCGACTTTGAAAACACAGGATCTGATTTTGGTGCCGTCTTCAAGGTTGTCAATTTGGTTGTGGCCGCTATTTCGGTAAGTATGTTTGTTCCTACGACTAACCTTCTTAGGTCATAACTGGTGTCACTGAATTGTTTAGCGGTTTTGCGTACTTCCTACAAGGTCTGTATATTTTGGGCCTTGGAGGCATTGTTGGCTACTTGGAGTTCAAGAATCCGCCTCAGCTGTACGCCTACGCGTCGTCATTCTTCTCCTTCTTGGGAAGAGGACTCATATATGTGCTAATTGCAATTCTGAATTTCCACGGATCTGTTTTCAGAGTTTTGGCAGCGGTGCTTGTGCTGTTGGCGGGAATCGTTTACATCGTGCTCGAATTCGTTCCTAGCATACAAGCACCAGAAAACATGCAGGGAGAACGTGGATTATCTACGGATGAGCTAGAGGATGTAATCTAAAAAAATACTCCATCTTATTTGATGTATGCAAAAAAATCGACAACAGCAGGACTCGAACCTGCGCGCGAAAATCGCAAAAGATTTCTAATCTTTCTCCTTAACCGCTCGGACATGTTGCCTGATGTTGGAGCTTTTGGGTTTGTGAACCAGACATTGTTGGTGCAGGATGATCTACGGAGGCTACTAAATGTACACTCAAAATCGTTTACAAGAGTCCCGATGAGCCCATCTGCTGAATGATCCCTGGTCTTTTGTTTTCGGAATCATTCCTACCACCTGCTTCCTTATCAGGCTCTCGGTGCGTATTTAAAATTGGGACAAAATAATATTGAAAATTTAGATGCTTCCCATATCTGCCAACACAGAGCATCGTAAAGCAGTGTTCTCGTTATACAGGCTAATTCTGAGGAACACTCTTCGGTGCCAGAACCTTAAGGATACACTTAAACTCAAATGGATCGCCAAACTACAACAGTTGTTTCGAGGGAGAGCCAAACTAGAGAACGCTTTTCAAATACAAAGCGCACTGGACGAAGCTATCAAATACAACGAAAACCTCCGCGGTCTCAGCAATGGCGACCAGACTTGTTTCCGGGAAATTATCAGCAGACTACAACACAACAAGAGCCCTCGGTCTAGCCTTGCCGTTCTGCAACAGATCGTTGAGGCCGAGGCTCCCAAAATGGATCCAGAAGAGAAAAAACAGCGTCGTCAGCTGGCCAGTTGGATGAAATTGTACATAGAAAGACGCCAAAAATCACACACGCTCCCTTGGAAGGCGGAGCTGGACCCAAAATACGTCGAGAATGTGCTGAAATCAAAGATGTTGTACGAGCGGGCAGAAAAAGCTGTTAGACGACTGGCAGAAAAATACTCAAGATCATCGACTGCGCGCGTGAAGTCTGTGACAGGCACAATGAACAGACTGTCCGTGATTAGCACTCCTTGGAATAAGAACATCCACGTGACGGGGCGCCGGGGTATTTTTCTGCAACGAAATAGCCACCAGCAGTACATTGATGAGCTCAACCAGATGAGAAACTGGGAAAGAGAGTGGCTGTTTTGGCTGCAAAAAGAACAGGAGTGGGAGAACTTGGTCACAGGCAAGAATGGAAAGGACTGGTTTCTGCCGATAAAGAGCTACAAGCGCGACTTAGCGTCCCGCGGAAGGGAGGTTGAGGAGAAAACGTTCTGGCACAACAAGATGCACTATGCTTATTTCGACAAGCTCAAGCCCGAGTTCGACGAGATGTGGCTCAAGAGCGGCAACAACCTGGCCAGAATGCGCCAGTTCATGGTTTTGGAGCAAATGGGCCCCTTCACGGACTGTGTGGACGGGTCGCTGGGCAAATTGATGCGGGAACACGGGTTCAGGTCGCCAACACGGCTGTCTAAACTGGGTATAGAATAATAATAGTTCATGTCATTAATCGTTATTCAATATTCTTTTCACGGATCACAATGTTGTTGAACTGGTCGATCAGGTTGTCGGTTTCTAAATGCGGGTCACTAATACTCATTTCCCGCAGGAGAAGCATGATATCGTCTGGATTCGCCTTGCCCTCGGGATCAAAGATGTCGTCCAGCAGAATAATCGAGGACTCGGGAGCCTTTGGGTGGAATTGGGGCAGGTCGAGCTTCGTGCGCGCAAAAAGAGCGTCGGTGCCAAGCTGTTGCTTGTAGAATTCCGAGCACTGGTAATGTTTCTTGCAGCAGTACTTGTGGTTGTATGATCGAGGCAACTTGAGTTTCGATACAAGCTTGTTGATCTGCATCTCCTTGATCCGGCCTGGATCTCGGAAATCGCACAGCGGATATCCACAGTAATGGTTGATGATTCTTTCCGTGACTAGTTCCTCGTAGCTTTGTTTGGACAAGTACCTGGCCAGCAATTTCAAGGTGGCCTTGTCGCAAGAGTGCTCCATCAATCTCTCTATGAGCTGGTACGTCAGCATATTTGCCTCTTTGGGAATGAGAAGGTCTTTACCCTCGTATGGAGCCAAAATCGGGTCCAGCGTGTTCACTGAGGGCATGAATATGTTGGGGAAGAAGTTTAGCCAGTGTAGTTAATCTTGTTATGTGTTGTTTGCACGAGCGTAGAGAGATCTTGGCCAATCAGAAGCTGTCTGGAAGCGTCAAATGTAGTTTAATTGATCTTACCACTTTTCCAAACGGTGTTCTTCAATTCTCTGCTCCGACCCGAATTCTTAGCTGAAATCCTGTAATATTTTTTTTGGATCATTTTCTTGTTCATGAGAAGACGTCTTGGGAGCTCCCCAAGCGCCAAGCCGCCTTCTGCAGACGACCACCAGCAAAAGACATGCGAAACACAGCTGGGAAGCGGAATCGAGTTCCATAAACCGTCCAGTTTCACTCTATGGCGACTGCTGCTCACGGAGTTGAATATATACAAAGACGATCAGACAGACAAGACAAAAACACCCGATGAAGAGGACGCGGTCGTGAATTCAGAGCTGCTTTTGAATTTTGTCAAACTGCCTATATTTCTGGAAAACTTCATGTGTTTCGGGCTAGTCTACTGCGTGATTGTATTCCTCAAACAGATAACTGTGGTGCCCCTGCGGTTTACGCTTCATACATATCATTTGATCAGATCGTGCTTCACAAACAGAAATAGTTCGACGCTGCGTTCGGACCGAACCAAAAACGACTTTGTTTCGATGATGCTTATCCTGTCCAGCCTGGTGCTCCTACGGAATCTGGATTCCAGTAAAATGTACCACAACATTCGCGCCGGAACGGCAGTGAAGCTTTACTTCATGGTTGGTGTTCTGGAAATCGCCGACAAGCTACTGAGTGCAATTGGCCAAGACATCATCAAAGTGGTGTATTTCATTCCAATCGCCACCTCGCGAAATACACTCTCCAAGTTTCTTGTGGTCAGTGCAGTCAGTGTCTGCTACTTGACTCTGCACTCGTACGTTTTGGCATATCAGGTGATGGCCCTTAACGTGGCCATCAACTCCTACTCTAATGCTCTTCTCACACTAATTTTGTCCAACCAGTTTGCCGAGCTGAAAAGCTCGGTTTTCAAGAGATCTGAAAGAGAAGGCCTATTTCAAGTTACGTGCGCAGACCTAAACGAGAGGTTTCAGATGTTGGTGATGCTATTTATTATCTCGTCCCGGAACCTGTATCAACTTTACACAAACACGTCGGCCACCGCACTGTTCGATAATCTGAGACCAAACTCTTGGTACAGCCACGTGACGTTTTCCACCACCCTTAACAACTGGATCGGCTTGTTGATGGGCCCCATGTTTACTGTGATTGGCTCAGAACTGCTTGTGGACTGGCTAAAGCACGCCTACATTACTAAATTCAACAGGATAAAGCCTACAATCTACAACAAGTATACCCGAGTGTTCGCGAGCGACTATGTCAGCAGCTTCCGGTCCAACCTGACAGCGTCGGACGAGTACCCAGAAATGCTGATCAAGAGAACCGGACTGCCTGTATTCACGCTCGCGATAGTGTTCATCAAGATGTGCGTGTATCCGTGGACGAAACGGTTCATATACAACGAGACCACCGAGTCATCCAGCATTACAGGGCTGCTTTTGTCCTTCCTTATATTTTCCCTGCTCACAGTCGTTCGCCTGGTTCTATCGTTGGGCCTGCTCCGCTGGTCTAATCGTATACTTCGTGCGAAGCCTACCAAACAGGACTTTGTAAAAGGCGATCCAAACGTGACGTTGGCAGATGTCAAAGGCCAACGGACTCAGCTGTATGACTCACATGAAAAAATGCCGCCTTCTCTTGAAGAATTGAGGTCCGCAAAAAAAGAACGACTCGATTCCGTTGTCAGATTCGAAATGGTTGATAAGAGAATTTGGTGAAAAATGATTCCTCGGCCAAAATATTTTTTGCACTCTTTTTTAATGGAGGCTACACGCAAAGTCCCCGATTACGGGGCTGTAGAAAGCGACAGCCTGCAGGATCAGCCTGCGGCCAAATTCAACTACGTCACCGAGCTCAAACTGATATGGAAAGACAGCATGCCGCTTATCGTCGCGTTCTTTTTGCAATACTTCCTTAGCGTGAGCCCGTTGCTGATTGTCAGCCGTGTTTCCGCACAGGCACTGGGTGCTGCTAGTTTGGCCACCATGTACATGAACATCACGTATTTGGGTGTTATCCAGGGTGCTGTCACCGCTGTGGACTCGTTTGCTCCTCACGCTTACGGAGCAGGAAACTATGCTTCAGTTGGCGAGGTGGTACAGAAAAACCTGGCCGTCAACGTCATCCTCCTAGTTCCGATGGTTGTTCTGTGCTGGTACAGCGGCAAAGTGCTGAGTGCTCTCCAGCCTGACCCCGAGCTGGCGTCTCTTGCCCAGACTTATCTGCGGATCGTCACGTTCGGTATCCCTGGTCTGTTGATATTCGAGGTCGGCAAGCGGTACTTACAGGCTCAAAAGATATTCCATGCGTCCACATACGTGCTTCTGATAGTATCCCCCCTGAGTTTGGTTTTGACCTATGTATTTGTGTTCACTTTTGGTTGGGGATACGTCGGCGCACCAGCGGTGGTAGTTTTGTCGTTCTGGCTGATGGCGCTGCTACTAATAGCTTACGCGGTCCTTGTTGATGGCAGCAAGTGCTGGAGCGGGTTCAGTTACAAAGCGATGTGCAGCGGCTTGTACGACCAGATATATCTGGCCCTGTTCTCACTGATTTCCGTGGAGGCCGAATATTTCGCGTTTGAAATCATGGCGCTGGCCGCCGCATATTTTGGAGAAACGGCGCTCGCATCCCAGTCGATCTGTGCAGCTGTCGGGTCTCTTATCTTTCAAGTCCCGTTCGCTTTGAGTTGCTCCATTTCCACCAGAATAGGATCATTCATTGGGGCCGGCGACCTGGAACTTGCCCAAAAGTCGACAAACATGTGCATGAAGGCCACTTTCGCTTTAGGAATCAGTGTCTGTATCTTTCTGCTGATCATGATGAGGCCGATCACAAGAGTTTTCACGGATGACTCAGTTGTTGCGGCAGAATGCTACAAGATATTGCCTGTACTTTTTTTCACGCAATGTTACGATATGGTCAACGTGACCTGTCAGGGGCTGCTGAGAAGCCAACGTCGCCAAGATGTTGGCTCGGTTTTCAGTTTGTGTTCATACTACATTCTCGGCTGTCCTCTTGCATACGTACTAGCGTTCAAGCTCGGTTTGCAGGTGCGTGGCCTGTGGATCGGACTCAGCGCGGCTGTGTTTCTGCTCACATTGGTGGAGATTATGCTTTTGGCGCGCACGAATTGGCCAAAGGTTATGGAGCTGGCCAAGCAGGAGGAAGACGAGTAATGTTTATAGAGAGAATTCGATTCCATGCAACCTTAATGCTTTATTTACCCCACGACGAAATCGTTTGGTAGCTCGTATACACCATCATCGCCATTCCAATAATCAGAACCAGGCCGTTCGCCAGTTTCGAGCTCCATCTCAGCTCCTCGAAGCTGCTAACATAAAGCAACGGCGGATAGATGTAAATCAGAGGAATACACGTGAAACTTCCTATGAGTGACACGAAACGGTCCAGATCGCTCGAGCCCAGGTATGCGATCGCACACATGGCCAAAACAACGAGCACGCGCATCGCGTTTTTGAGCCATTTGATGATAGAATCGCGTTTTCCAGACATCACGCCCTGGTCGTCAACTGCGTCCTCCGGCATACTTTGGATCAGCTGGCGCAGATCGCGGGACGTTGAGTCGTAAATAGGGACACCAGAAAACAGCTGCTGTGTCTCGCTCCGCATTTTGTTTTCCGAGTCCTTTCTGATTTTATTTCTCCAGGTAGCTCTATCTCGGTGGAAAAGATACGACTCAAAAATTTTGATAGCCGGGAACAGTTGCAAAGGAGTCGACAGCAATATGGCAAGCGCATAGCATATCTGAATTATTAGAGCAAAATTGGTTTGAGGGAAGTTCATCAAAATCACCATCTTCACGTCGTCACCATAACTCAGATACGAGATCGTCGACAAAGTCACGAAAATCACGGTCACCACCACCATAACCAAGATAAGCAGTTTCTGGAACTGCTCCGGATGTTTCATAGACTCCTTAATTGGAATCAGGAGACCTATACCTTCGTACGCAAACACCGCTGTTCCCATAAACAGAGTCCATGTGTTTGGCTGGAAAAGAGACACTTTTGGCGAAACGCCGTTGATAAGTAAGTGTGCCCCCGAACAGGAGTAAATGTAAACCAAACCCAGCAAAATAAAAGCGTCGGCAATCAGAGCAATCAGGCTGAGCTTACTAATGTTTCGCGTTAGTGACAGCGGAAGGAAAATAAACAATTGGACCACCACAAACAAACCAACACCGTAGTCGCTCGAAAAAAAGGTATTGACAACCACACTGAAATTCTCCGCAACAAATACAACATAACTGCTTGAAAAACCGAGCTGTGACAATGCCAGCGACAAAAGAATCAAAAATTGAAGCTTTGGTCCAAACAGCTTGAGACCCAGATCACCGTAACCAGACACTCGACTGCGCTCGGTACACCAGATTAGGGTCATAAAGCAGTAGTATGAAATAACGGAAAAGGCCATAATCATCAGATTGCAAAATAGAAGACCCCCATTTGAAAACGATTTGGGCAGAAACACCACTCCTGTTCCAACAAACGCCTTGAGCAGAAGCAAAAAGGCCTTGCGGTTCGACGTTTTATGCGGCGAATAACTGCGAACACGGGGCTTGGTGGCGATTCCGCGTCTTGTGCGCGTTCTGTTGGGGTCCCCCACAGAAATATGAGACGATCTCGCACGCCTGTCACTTCTAAAGGTGGGACCTGGGGAAATAGACGAGGACAGCAACAAGTCGGCCTCATCAACTGCTTCGTCCCCCTCTTCGAAGTCGCTGGCGTCACTGATGTCACTAACATCGCTCTGTTCCAACTCCTGTTCGTCTCCTGTCTCCTCTTCCAGATTTTCACCAGCGAAATGGCCGTACAGAGACAGGAACTCGATGAAATTGCGCGTCATAAAGTTGGCTTTCGGCCGTCTCGCACGTCTTCGAGAGTGATGGCTGACTAAATCGACATCTGCAGGAGTTTCAACTTCGGCATCGGAAGCTCTGTGCGCAATGAAATCGCGGCGAAACGCCCCTGGCATTCGTAGCTCTGACGACGTTCCCGTGGATTGTAGTGAGCCAGAGCTGGCAACTTTCCGTAAAGGCGTGCCAGAAACCTTCTGGTCACTCACCCAGTTGTATATATCTCTAGTGATGTCTCCGCCCTGGCGTTTGAGCGAGTCGAAACGGGTGTCAGCCGGCGAATTTGCGTCCCGAACAGGAGAATGGTTCAAATGTCGTTCCACGATTTCCACCGCCTGCGGCATCGGTGAAGCGCTTCCACGTCCTGAAGACCGCGGTTTGTCGGTGTATGTGCTGGCCATTAGGTTCGAAAGCATACTGGGTCTTCTATTGCGCGGCCCCACACTGCCAAGGGGAGTGGTGACGGGATGCAGCTCGCGAAACCCACCAGTTATCGTGACAGGGTTTGAGACATTGGTTTCCGGGACCTCTTGCGATGTCAAGCTGCTGAGCTCTTGCTTAGTGTCCTGGCTAATGTACTTGGCAGAAAAATTGCCGTCTTCAAACACTGAAGATGCCACCTGCTCATGACCCTCATTGGGTCCTGGTTTCGACCCAAAATGTCTCGGCTGCTCAGAAATCCTCACCGACTCCTCGGAATCGACGTCTTTGCCTTGCGAGGCCGACTGAATGTTCATCGGTAAGCTCATGCTGGAAGACGAATTTAGTTTTCCTCAAAAAAATTTTGTACGGCTGTGCTAAATTCTCGACTGTCGCATAAGCAGCTCAAGTTCCGAGTTCTTGTGGAGCGGGAAGGCCAGGTTGTGACGGTGGACGACGTATTCAGAATCAAAGTACTCGATGGCCGACGGGATCTCGTGCGTGTGCAGGCCCTTGATTTTGTCTATTTCGTACGAGGAGTAGTTGCAACGTCCGCGTCCCACGCTAACGGTGCCCTTGGACCTGTCCCACTTGCCGGTCGCGGTGTCTTCGATTCCGACTCTGATATCCACACATTCAAGCTGTCCAAACTCCCCTTCAACACCAATGACCCCCACAGGGAGCAGTCCGGCCCGGTTCCGACGAGTTATGGCCTCGTAGCAGCCGGGATCAATGATCAGAGCACCGGCGGGCTTGAGACCGTGCAATAGCCAGAACTCCTTGTTTTTAACGGCATTTCTTGGCTGGCCAATGAATCGCGTGTGCAGCGGGATCTTCTGGTGCTGCAACTGGGAAAACTCGGCAGCATTCGTGATCTGGAACTGCTCGTGCGACTCTGCAGAGAGGATCTCCTCAGACTCTCTGATGTGAGCGTCCATTTCACAGATATAGTTGGCAATCCGGATCATTTCATTGGGCCGCTGCGAATTGCAAATAACAGTGGTGACACCCGCGTTGGTGGCCAAATCAGCAGCAATCAGCTTGGTTTCCATTCCTCCAGTGCCAATGCTCGATCCTGACGATTTAGTATTCACCTCCAGGCTGTTCATGTTCTTCACCAGAACGACCGGTTTTGCGTTCGGGTTCAGACGCGGATTTTCTGTGTAGAGACAGTCCACGTCGGTGAGCAGGAAAAGAAAGTCTGCGTTGCACATTCCAGCAGTGATGGCAGAAAGCGTATCGTTATCGCCAAATTTGATCTCCTGCGTAGAAACTGTATCATTCTCGTTGACAATGGGGACAACTCCCATGTCCAGCAGCTCGATCAAGGTATTTTCAGCGTTTCTAAACTGAGAAAAATCCGTGATGTCGTTCCGGGTGAGCAAGATCTGAGCAGTCTTTTGATTGCGGTAACTGAACATGCTGTCCCACAAAGATTGGAGCTTACCCTGTCCCAATGCGGCAAGCGCTTGCACGGCAGATAGACGCTTTGGCTTCTTGTCGACGCCCATGCGATGTAGTCCTATAGCGATGGCTCCGGAAGAAACCAGCACGATACGATGGCCCTGTCGTCTAAGGGCAACCAGCGTCTCCACAATCATTGACACATTGGCAATCCGTGGCTCGTGGGTCACTTCGTCGACGATCGACGAGGACCCCACCTTCACCACAATAGTGAACTTCTTCTGATCAGTCATAAATGGAAAAAAGAGATTTGGAAAAATCTATGCCACATCCGTGCACCGAATTAGACCCAGATCAGCATCAAGACGCCAGTCGTCTAGTCTCCTCCAGAAAGATTCTGAACGGACATCGCATCTGTGGTCTGCGGTTCCAGCATATCCGCGAGGTATTCTTCGTTTGTGGCTGTGACAAACCGGCTGGTTTCGGGCAAACTGACGCCCTTATTGACGTCCTTGTCCTTGTCCATGGTGAACGGCTGTCTGCACATCGGACACAGCCCTTTGGCGGTCTCTGTCTCCAACCACTTCCAGATGCAGTGCATGTGGAAAGCATGCTGACATTCTCCAATGACTGAGCGTTAGCGAAACAAAGTGGCTGTTGTACTTACCTAGTGGGCACTCATCTCCAGGGTATTTGCAAGTTGTGCACGTCCCATCAAAGGATACACGGCAGATACCGCAGACCTCGTCCTCGGGAATATCCCAGTGCCACGAATAGATGGCGTAGCAGCCATTGAGTTTTATTTGCATGTTGTACTTAGAAACTGTTTTACTCCAAGATCAAATAAAATAAATAAACGTCGCGTCTCCGAGTCGCTGTGCGGCGTAAAAAAATTTATCACTCCAAATTATTCTTGTTTCAACATGTCTAAGAAGTGGATTGATAAAAAGACCGCGCAGAGTTATGCGCTTTTGCACCGTGCGCACGAGGATCCGCTTTATTATGACGAAGAGGCCGGGGAACGAGTGCTTGTGCCGATTGAGAAGAGCAAAAGAAATGTCCGAGAGCGACTGGAGACGAAGCAGGACCTCCAAAAGGAACTGGACTCGAAAATTGCCCAGGGAGACATCAGAAAAAATGAGGGAGAGGCCGCCCTGTATGGAATCACGTACGACGACTCTCAGTACGACTACATGCAGCATCTGAAGCCTATTGGCGAGGACAAGACGGGCATATTCATAGCTAGAGAGGACAAACCAAAGAAGGTGGAGCTGCCCACGGCGCTTCTGCCGTCCAAAGAGACAGTCAAATATGATTACCAGCGTCAGCAGAACATCCAGGACGAAATCGCAGGTTTCAAGCCTGACATGAATCCAGATCTGCGAGAAGTGCTGGAGGCTTTAGAGGACGAGGCGTACATAGACCCTGATCAGGACGAGGATGACGTGGACGTTTTTGGCACGCTCCTGGGTGGAAAGCCTGAAGTTGTGAAGGATTCGGAGTACGAGGAATATGATGAATGGGATATGGACAATTATGAGGACGAGTATGGCGACTACGACTCCAACGAGGAGGGCGAAAACTTCGACTGGGAAAAAGATTTCAGTCGGTTCAAGAAAGAGCAGAGTCGCACCAAAGTGGCCAACGACTGGGACAGTGACGACGAATTCGACGACGAAGACGAAGTCGGTAGTCTGCCTGATCTTGGCGCCACAGCAATGAAGAGCAAGAGCTCCAAGAAAAAAGAAAGACGTCGTAAAGGTGCCAAGACAGATACCTCGTCGTACTCCATGTCGTCGTCTGCTCTGTGTCGGACTGAGCAGATGACCATCATTGATGACAAATTCGACGTGATGAAGGAGCGGTACGAGCAGGACGAGGAAGAAGAGTATGAGCCATTTGCGTTTGAGAATGAGCGTCAAGATCTGGCTGCCTTGGTGGACGATTTCCTGGATAATTATACATTGGAAAAGGGTGGTAGGAAGATCGTGAAAAAGGACAGAGAACTCGAGAAAATACAGCGTGCCGCCGACAGCGTGTCTCAGAGCAAGCTTGCTCTTCGTCGCAAGAAGGCAAGCAACGGGGGCGACGTGTCTACCTTCAAAGGTTTGGCTGATGATATGAGGAAGCTGCGTATGTAATCTGGGGAAGGTCGTGCGAAGATCTTGGGAAAAAAATTTAATTATTGTATAAAAAAATATTTTAGTATTAGACATGGCTAGAAAGAGTAGGACAGTGGCCGAGGAAATCGCCAGGGAGCTTTCGAAGCCTGTATTCAAGGATGTGGATATTGAAAACGAGCCAGACAGCTCCTCGGAAGGAAGCGAAGATGAGGTTCCCCGTGAACACTACGTTCAGAACCGCAGCAGGTTAAGGGAAGTGGAACTGGGCGAGAATTACAAGGGAAAGAAGGTGAGCCGCGGCGATCTGTACGATAGAGACGAGGTGAGAAGTGAGGGAAGTGAATCTGAGGACGTCGAGTCCAACGATTCTGATATTCTAGCAGACGTGACTGATAGTGAGATCGAAGAAGACAGCGAGGAAAGCGAGGATGACAAGAGCGACCAGGAAAGCGGAAACAACGATTCAGATGCATCTACGGTGGCCGATTCATACAAACGAGAGAGAATATCACAGCTGCTGGCCGAAGAGAAAAAGCAGATCATTTCGAGGCTATCTGCCACAGCCAAGAGCGACGCTATCAAGGGATACGCTATTTTGAGTCAACATCGAATATTCGATCTGATCTTAGACAGTCGAATTAAATTACAAAAGGCCATTGTGTCTGCCAACCAGCTACCACTGAACACAGAGATGTACGATTCGCTATCCAAGAAGGAAAAGAAAGATGTTGAAAAAGTGCAGGAGAAGGTGCTTGAGCTTTTAGAGAAGACAATTGGCGTGCGCAGAAAATTATATGCCAAAGACAAGATCGAACCTCCCGCAGGCAGCACCAAAAAGAGGTCACTGGCCTCTCTCTACGAAGAGACCAACGAATTCGATTCCGTGTTGGAACCTTTCAAAAAGGATGTGTTAGTGAAGTGGTCTGCAAAAGTGCAAGCTGCGTCTGGCTCGTCTGCTATTCAGTCCGGCAAATTCCAAACCATCAACCAAGACGCATATTCTCAAGTCCAAAACAATCTTCAGGACATGGAGAGACTGGTGAAGAGAACGAAGCTGAATAGGCGCGGAGTAACTCCACTAGGAATGGAAAAGGACCAAGAGCCAATTTTGTTCGACGACGACGATTTCTACAGAGTGTTGCTGAACGACATGGTGGATAAGAAGATTTCTGATAAAGCGGCTTCGTCTGCTGCGATTGTGACGATGAGCTCGAACAGAATACACAAGAATTACGACCGCAAGGCTACGAAGGGCCGCAAACTGAAATACACAGTGCAGGAACCGTTGCAACAGTTTGAGGTTCCAAAGAGGAACGAGTGGACATGGAATGACGACCAGATCGATGAGTTCTTCGCGTCGTTGCTGGGTAGAAAAATTGACATGGGTGAAGAGGCCGAGAACGTTGAGCCTGAGGAGGGAGAGGCTATACTGAATTCCGACCTCAAGCTCTTTGGATAAATAATAAATTGAAAAAAATACAGTATATAATTTACTAATTTATCGCTATTTGCAATTACATGCACAATTATTGCGAGCCATTGAATGACAACGCCGCCGTCTTCACCGTACTCATTAACGGATATAGTACATGATGTGCCGTTGACCAATGAGGACATTGCGCCGGAGCCTGCCCAGATATCTGCGATAGAGACGTACGATCTCAATTTGTATGTTGGGACGAGTCTTGGCGAACTGATCCACATGTTTTGGATTGATGACGAGACAGGATACATGGCCGTTTCAAGACAGCAATTCAGCAGCAAGAACAAGCCCATAGATAAAATTCTGCTTCTCCCACAGGTAGCGAAGATGCTCGTACTGAGTGGAGGAACTATACAAGCGTATATTCTTCCTGAATTGTCCCCAGCAAACATAGGGAAAATCAAAGATGTCAATGACATGTGCGTCGATTTGGACGACAGGAAACTCGACGCCAAAGAGGAAAATTACATTGGAAGCGTGAGCAATATAGACTGGCATGTGTATACTGACGTTACGGTTTTCACCAGCAAAAGCATCCGATTGGTTCGTATATTTGACGACAGCATGAAGCTAGCGAAAGATTTGAATTACCCAGGTACTCTGCGTGGCGTCAGGCGGTCCAAATATGTTGCCGTTGGCTCACAGACGAGCTACGGTTTAATTGATTTATCTCAAGGACAAGAAATCCCGCTTTTCCCCTCACAGGAGCCCCATCCACAGATAGCGGCCCTAGGAAAGAACGAGTTTCTGATGGCCTGTGGGTCCTCTGATGGCCCTTCAATGGGGATGGTGGTCAATTTCTCTGGGGAGATTTCCAGAGGCACTTTTACCTGGACAGATTACCCCAGCTCTCTCGAGATTGACTATCCGTACCTGATTGGCGCATTTGGCAAGTCTCTCAAAATATATTCGCTTCACGATCAACGGCTTGTGCAGACGCTCGAGTTTGAAGCTGAAGTGGGGGTCACCAATGTTAGCCATCTTTTCAAATCCGATGATGATGGTCTCAACTCACTACTGGAACTAACGCCAATAATATATCAGTCAACCGCAGAAGAAGTCCAGAAAATTGCAGAGGAATCTGATCAACACTACGGCACCAAGTCGAGCATTTTAGTATACGATAGAGATGGGAAGAATATCCGACTAATTAAACTTCAAGCCAAGCCTCTGCGTCTATTGCAGGTGTACCACAATGCTAACAAGGACAATTGTCTGGAAGTATTTGACGAGATACTGGACGAGTACAGGAACCCAGATGTTTGCAGCGAGGTCGAGAAGCTGTTTATTCTCCATCTGTTGGGTCTTCTCGGCCTCAAATATGAAATTTATGACCAGTGCTATGATCTCTGGGTTAGCAATCTCGACCATCTGGATCCGCGTCTGCTGCTGTATGCGTTGGGTATCCCCAAAAACGAGATTTTTGGCTCGGTCTGGATCTTTAGAGGACTTGCTGATGAGCTAGAAGACATTAGAAACAAATACAGCGACGGCGCTCGAGCCAGCGAATTTCTGCAACTATACTTGGCCACCTGTATTTTAGAGGCAAAAGACCGCGATCTTTTGAAAACCATCGAACTCAACTTGGCCAGACTGAATTTGGAGTCGCCTGAATTTCTGGCACAACTGAATAACATCAAGTACAGCAAGAGCGAAATTATCGAGATGCTACTTGAGACTAAAAACTACTATTATCTTGCAAAGTTCTATGAAAAGCTGGGAGACAAAAGCCACACGCTGTATTACTGGAGAAAGCTACTACAAGGGGAACTTACAGACCCCAAGTTTCAGGAAAGTGACCCTTTGAAATATATGGTTCACTATTTGCTCACTTGCGACGAGCCACTGGTTGAAATGCATGGCAAGTGGCTGCTAGAGAAATACCCTGAATATGGACTTCAACTGTTTATGCACCCTGAGCTGAAATACAATAACTTCAAGGACGTCAAAATATTGCAAATGCTGTCGAAACAGCACAGAAGAACGTATCTGCATTATTTGGTAACAGTCAAGGGAGAAAAACAATTTATGGGAGACTTGATTCTATCACTGCTTAGAGAGCTTATGGAAATGGGCGGTATGCCGCAGATTGTCGAAAAATACACATCATTACCACTTCCAAAACTTCAATTTTATGAGTTTTTGAGCCTGGAGTCCGCTAGGGAGCACTCTCAAACTATAGAATTGCACGATCAAATTTACCGCTATTTGCTGCAAATAAGCAAAGACACAATGTCCATACTGGATCGCAAAAATGTAGCTGAACAGTGTCTTGAAATAGTGGGGGCACATAAAGGCCTTTATTCCCTTTTGGAAGCTGCCATATACTACAAACAGGGACAGCATGAAAAAGTGGTGGCAATTTTTCTGAAATTAGAGGATTACGAAGCATGTGAGAATTTTGCTCGGACGTTGAAACTACCAGCAGACTTGCAACCAAGCGGCAGCGAGAGTCCGCCATCTGCGTCGTCGACTATCTCCGAGACAGAGTCTTTGCAGATGTTGATATTCGAAAAGTATTTGCAATTGGAGCGCCCCGAGTTGATAGAACGATTCCTGAACAATAACAACGTCTTTCAGGACGTTGACGACGAGGCCAATATTGCAGCAAAAATGGACAAATTTGTCAGTTTGCTCAACAGGATCCCAGATACATTCCCTATCTGTAGATTGGACTCGTTTTTGGTAAGCAATCTGATCAGCTTTCAGGACCAAGTGGACGAGACGACGCTCTGCAAAAACCTTAGCCGCGCCTTATATACCAACCTAAGGGAATTGAAGGATTAGAAACGCGATATGTGCAAAATGCATAAATAGAGGATCGGACGCTGTGGTGCTACATGGCTTCGATATAAAATATATTTGGAAAAAAAAAGATGGCGATGTAGTCGATACGAGGTTCGAACTCGTGACCTTCCCCGTGTGAAGGGGACGTCGTAACCACTAGACCAAACGACTTACTCACGTCCTGTTTACTATCAGGATAGTACATACAGAATATGGAGAGGGCACTGAGGCTCACCACCGTGCATACCAGCAACACCGCGCGCTACAATCCTACGGGTTGCGCCAGAATGGGCATATACAGTTGTCTGCCTGCAGCAGAAGTATGAAAAAACATTGCGCACAAAAATCTTCGTAAGGCCGGTTCCGCACTGGATGACCAATTTTCTCAGATTTAGTCATATATCGGTGAAAAATTTTTAGATTTAACAACTATCGTTGCGCATTTTTCTCCATCAACATGGCACAAACTAACCCGTACGGACCCAATCCTAGCGATTTTCTTTCGAATGTGTCCAAATTCCAGATCATCGATAGCACCCTGAGAGAGGGAGAGCAGTTTGCGAATGCATTTTTCACCCTAGACATGAAGTTAAAGATCGCCAAAGCACTTGACGAGTTTGGTGTGGATTACATCGAGCTGACGTCGCCTGTGGCGTCCGAGCAGGCGCGCGAGGAGGTTGAGGCCATCTGCAAGCTCGGATTGAAGACATCCAAGATTCTCACGCACATTAGGTGCCACATGCACGACGCAAAAGTGGCCGTGGAGACCGGGGTGGACGGAGTGAATATCTTCATTGGAACTTCGAGCTTTTTGAGACAGCATTCCCACGGTAAGGACATGTCGTACATCACCAAGTCTGCCATTGAGGTGATTGAGTTTGTCAAGTCCAAAGGTGTTGAGGTGCGGTTCAGTACCGAAGATTCGTTCAGATCTGACATTGTGGATCTGCTCAACATTTACAGCACCGTCGACAAGCTCGGCGTGAATAGAATTGGCATTGCCGACACTGTTGGTGGCGCCAATCCTAGACAGGTTTACGAGCTTATCAGAACGATCAAGTCGGTTGTTTCATGCGATATTGAGACCCATTTCCACAACGACACCGGTTGCGCCATCGCCAACGCTTACACCGCCCTCGAGGCCGGAGCCAAATACATCGACACGTGTGTGCTGGGTATTGGAGAGAGAAACGGAATTGTGCCGCTGGGTGGATTTATGGCCAGAATGATTGTTGCTGACCCAGACTACGTCAAGTCCAAATACCAGCTGAAAAAAATTAGAGACCTTGAAAACTTGGTGGCAGATATTGTGCAGGTCAACATCCCGTTCAACAACCCCATTACCGGATTCTGCGCCTTCACCCACAAGGCCGGTATCCACGCGAAGGCCATTTTGGCCAATCCATCCACCTATGAGATCTTGAACCCTGAAGATTTTGGTCTCTCGAGATACATCCACTTCGCCAACAGGCTGACCGGGTGGAACGCTATCAAGAGCCGTGTGGAACAGCTGAACTTGAAACTGTCGGACGACCAGATTAAAGAGGTCACCACCAAGATCAAGCTCATGGGAGACGTGAGGCCGCTCAACATTGAGGACGTGGATTCCATTATCAAAGACTACCACGCGGACGTGAGCGAGGAGCACGCGAACAAGAGACAGAAAACGAACTAGACCGGGCAATGCGTATGTAGGTGGAATAGATAAGTGGCGATTGCAAGGGTTCGAGTGTAAAGAGCGGGCAGGGAGACAGGGGGTGGGGGGTGGTATTCACGTGACTTGCACGTGATGTCTGATACTTGCAGTCGCGCCCTTTTAAAATAATTTTTCACGAAAATATTTCTTCATCCAACACCATGCCAAGTAAGTATCAGAAACATGACTGGACGTTTTCCAGTCGAGGTTTCGGGACCTCAGCTCTTTCAAACACTCCATGAGAAGCTTGCACTGAACCCCCGACACTTCAGTGCAAGAACCTGGCCCTCTGGGCGGGATCTCTATGTTGTATTTGAAGTAGCGTAAATCCCTGTTTCTCTGTTCTCTAACACCCGTAGGAGCTCCAAGAACCCACTCCAAGACCTACTCGGTCCCAAAGAGACCATACGAGTCCGCCAGATTGGATGCCGAGCTGAAACTCGCCGGTGAATACGGTCTGAAGAACAAGCACGAAATCTACAGAATTGGTTTCCAATTGTCCAAGATCAGAAGAGCTGCCAGAGACTTGCTTACCAGAGACGAGAAGGATGAGAAGAGACTTTTCGAGGGTAACGCCTTGATCAGAAGACTGGTCAGAGTCGGTATCTTGCCAGAAGACAAGATGAAGTTGGATTACGTTCTGTCCCTGAAGATTGAGGACTTCCTTGAGAGAAGACTGCAGACCCAAGTTTTCAAGCTTGGTCTTGCCAAGTCCATTCACCACGCTAGGGTCTTGATCACCCAAAGACACATTGCTGTGGGAAAGCAGATCGTGACCATCCCATCCTTCATGGTCAGATTGGACTCTCAAAAGCACATTGACTTCGCTCCAACTTCTCCATACGGTGGAGGAAGACCAGGTAGAAACAAGAGAAAGTCTCAGGCTTCTGCTGGTGGCGATGCCGAGGAGGGAGAGGAAGACGACGAGTAAGTAGATAATCGGAAAATACAGATTAGCAGGAAGCAGAGTAGCGTTGGTGCAGTTGCTCGTGATGTGCCAGGCAGAGGATTCGTGCTGGGCAGATAATATGACCACGTGATCTTGCGCTGGGCTGGACACACGAATCCAATTTTTTTACATCCCTGCACCGGGTTTTGATATGAAAAATTTTAAATCCGTACTCAATTATCACTCTATTATTAATTCAAGATGGGTAAAAGGTAAGTGACCAGCGCCTCCTCTGGGGCTCCAACGCGCCAGGCTCTTCCTCACCACTAACATACAGTCATGGTTTGAGATCCAGAACTCGTTACGCTTTCAGTCGTGACTTCAAGCAACACGGAACGCTGCCTATGTCCGTGTACCTCAAGACCTACAAGGTCGGAGACATCGTCGACATCAAGGTCAACGGATCCATCCAGCAGGGTATGCCATACAAATACTACCACGGAAAGACTGGTATCGTCTTTAACGTGACCAAGAGCTCCGTTGGTGTGATTGTCTACAAGATTGTTGGAAACAGATACATTGAGAAAAGATTGAACGTTAGAATCGAGCACGTCAAACACTCCAAGTGCAGACAGGAGTTCCTGAACAGAGTCAAGGAGAACGCCGCTAAGAAGGCCGCTGCCAAGGCTTCTGGTGAGCCAGTGTTGCTCAAGAGACAGCCAGCTCCACCAAGACCATCCAAGGTCGTTGCTGGTGTCCCAACCAACCTTGCTCCAATTGCCTACGAGACCTACATTTAGTGAGTAATGGATTAGTAGAGTGAAAATGACTGACTTGTAACATGTCACCAGCGAAAACTCTCAGATATTAGTTTGGCTGTGCTGAAAAATAAATTTTTATAATGAATAACAGCATCGAGCGATTAGAGAAGGAGATCGAGGAAAGTGTACCGTACTTTGCAAGCGACGAGACGTCTTCGGTCCGCAAGGAGGTTCCCGAGCTCTCTGAGCAGCCCTGTGAGGTGAAACCGTGGGTCCATTTTGTTGCTGGAGGCTTAGGGGGCATGTGTGGTGCAGTATTCACCTCTCCCTTCGATGTTGTCAAGACCAGACTTCAGTCCAGCGTTTACCGCGACGCTTACAAGAGCGGGCTGCGCAAAGGCGGCCGACTGAGCGGCGCTGCGCTACATTTCAAGGAAACACTTATGATTTTACGCAACGTCTACACGCTCGAAGGGCCTCGAGCGCTATTCAAAGGACTGGGGCCAAACCTCGTGGGCGTGATACCCGCTCGATCGATCAATTTTTTCACATACGGCTACTCGAAAGACCTCATAAAGAACTCTGTTGCGTTCAAAGGCGAGGAGAGCTCGCTAGTGCATCTTCTGGCCGGCATCAGCGCCGGCTTCGTGACCAGCACGGCCACCAACCCGATCTGGCTCATCAAGACCCGTCTACAGCTTGACCGCGCCACTACAAAGACGTACAAAAACTCGTTGGACTGTCTGGTAAAGATTGTCAAGCACGAGGGAGTCTTCGCTCTGTACAGAGGATTGACGGCGTCGTATTTGGGCTCTGCAGAAAGCACGCTCCAATGGGTGCTGTATGAGCAGATGAAGTCGGTTATTCACCGCCGGTCCGAAAGGATGCAGAACGAGGGCAGGAAGCCAAGTGAGATGATGGACTGGTTTGCACGGTCCGGGTCTGCTGGTGTGGCCAAATTTGTGGCCAGTCTGATCACGTATCCGCACGAGGTTGTTAGGACGCGGCTCAGACAGGCACCGTCGCAGGACGGCAGGCCCAAATACACAGGTCTGATCCAATGCTTCAAACTGGTCATTAAAGAAGAAGGTTTGGCGTCGATGTACGGCGGTCTTACTCCCCATCTGATGCGGACGGTACCAAACAGCATGATTATGTTTGGCACCTGGGAGGTGTTTACTAGCATTTTGTCTAAACTCTAATGTACATAGCAGACAGAATAATTTAAATGGCTACATTTTATTTTTGCTACCATGTCGTTCAAGTACGAGTTTGCCAAATACATCAAGGACCCGGGCTCGTGTCCGGGGCTGCTCTTTCACGATGACAACGCACTGATCATCAAAGACTTGTATCCCAAGAGTCTGGTTCACTATCTCGTGATTCCAACAGACAAGACTCTCGAGAGACCTCAGGAGGCCTTTGCAGACCACGAGTTTCGGGAAAAAATGGAGAAATACATCGGCAAGGCGCGCGAGATGGTGGTGTCCAACTGGCCGCCGAATTACGCCGTCCCTGGCGGCGAAATTGCAGACTATATTCTGGTGTGCTGCCATTCTATCCCGTCTATGGCTAATCTGCACATCCATGTGATGACCAAGGACCTGTGCAGCGAGAGGTTGAAAAACAAAAAACACTACAACAGCTTTGCAACGCAGTTTGCAATCCGGTGGAACGAGTTCCCGCTCGCAGCAGACGACCCGCGGTGGAACCAGGACTACTGCAAGACGCTGCTCAAACAGGACCTGGTGCACGGAGGAATAAACTACGGCAGCTCTTTCAAACGGCTGCGCGAGGAGTTGGACCGCAAACGGGCCCGCATCGTCTACGGGAAAAAATACAGGTCGTCGCACTAGTTGTATTATCGCTCGCTACTTGGCACCGCCGCCAAACATGAACTTGTACACGTCCACCCCCGGCGTCTCTGGCTTGTCGGATCCTTCGAGCGGCGTGCTGTCGTCGAAGGAGAACTCGCCCAGCAGCTCTTCCGACAGCTTCAGGTAATCTGCAGCGACCTGGTCGTCCTTGGCCAGGTCTTCGCGCGAAACGTCGGTCATGTTGTTCTCTATCCATTCTGCCACCTCGGGCAGGTGTTTTTTGCGCAGAAGCGTGGTCAGAAGGCCCTCGAATTGTGTTGTGTCAAACTCGGTGTTTGGATAGACGTTGGTGTGTTTGAGAACGTCCTTGTTGAGGTCCATCGTCCGACTGAAGGACGTCAGCTGCGACAGGATCACGTTGTACTGGTTTTGGAGGTTCGACCAGTTGGGCAGAGTCGCGCTTGCCGCCATGCTGTCTTCCAGCTTGCGAAGGGAATGCGTGAGCTGCGTGAGACGCGGCCGCAGCTGTTCTAAATTTTGCACGGGAACGTCGTTGAAATTGAGAGACATGGGGAAATTAAAATACTTTAATTATTTGGATTAAATCAATTTATTTAATCTTATGGCTAAAAAACTCTCTAAATTAGAGCAGCTGGTTGAGCGGTACGGCAAGCGCGGGAACCTCGAGCGCCGAATACGGAATCTGGACGCGCGCACTAACAAGACGATCTCCGACCGCAAGTACATAGAAAAACTCAGAGCAGACCTCAGCTACTGGCAGGCCCAAGAGACCAAGGACGAGCCGGATGAGGGGCCAAAGCGGGACATCAAACTGTTCAAAAACTCTCTCTACTACGACGAAGAGCTCAATCCGGCAGGAATCACGCCGCCGGGCGGGCTGGAACAGAAAGGCGAGTCAAAAGTGCCGGGCAATGTCGAGCTCAAGTATCCGCTTCCTCAGGACGAAAGACCGCGGTTTTGGCACATCCACCAGGTGGGCGCGTACGAGGCGGGTGAAAAACGCACTCAGCTAGTCCCCACGGTGCTACGGCGATAACAGTGTACAAATAGATGAATAGTTTAGTACGATGAATGTCATTCTAGGAATTGTAGTTCTATCTGCTCATTTCTCCTTAGCAAAAAGCCTCTCAACCTCCTCGACAGCCTGGGCAAGAACCTTGTCCTGGAATTTGGCGTTCTGCAGCTCGGATTGCACCTTGGAAATGACAGTCGATGCCAGTTGTTCTTGTTCGTGCTGTCTCACCTGGGCCTCATATCTGACCCACGAGTCCAAAACAGACTTGGCCTCGGACGCAACAGCAACTTTCTGCTTCAACTCAAAGGCTTCTGCCTCCAGAGCAGCGGTCTCCTTGGACATCTCGAAAAGAGCCTTGGTGGTGGAGACGACGTCCTTCAAGTTGGAAACCTGGTCAATTCTGGTCTTGACCGCATTCACGTGGTCTGCTCTGGCCTGGTTCAATAGTCCAACAACGTGGTCGGTTCTATTTTTGGCCATTTCTCCGTACAGAGGAGCCACGGTCTTGGAAATCAGTGCAATGAACCCAAGGAAAGTCACCAGCAAGATAGACTCGTCGTTGACAACATACAACTCGGAGGAGATGGCGTAAACAGAGGCGGCGGCGGTCGTGGCCAGAATGCCCGTCTTGGATAGGAACGAGTTGCCTGGAAGCGAGTCAATCAGAGCGTTGGCCTTGGTCTTAGGGTCAACAGGGGTCGACAGACATCTGATGCCGACGGCTCTGTGGCCGATCGTGGCCATTGGTCTTGCGGAAGCTGAATTGTTAGTCAATGGCGCGCGCGAAAACCTACCTCTAGCTGCTAGTCTTGCCAACATGGTGTTTTCGGTACAGATGTTTTAGAAAAATTTGGCTAAATTTCGTTGGTCAGAATTAAGCGGGCACATAACGCGAGCGTGGGAAAACACACACACACACCCGTACACAGGCTACAGGTAAGACCGTACGCATTCCATCATTTACCTATCTCTATACGCTCGCACCATTATGCGTACGTGGCGTCCATAAACTCGTCCAGTTCCTGCTGGTCCTGCTGGTTCACCCGCTTCAGCACCTCCGACGCGCTGCTCTCCTGTATCACGCCGTCGATCACGAGCTCGTCGATCACGTGATACGCCACCTGGAAGTTGAAGATGATGTCGAGCTCGCACACGCTGCCGTACGCCTTGTCCATGATTTCGACGTAGCGCTGGATGAGGTCAAGCGTGATGAGTTCGTTGTCGTCGTTCTCGATGCACGCGATGAAAAACAGGCTCGCGTATCTGCGGTATACAAGCTTGGAGTCCTTGTGCTCGAGCACGTTGCACATCTTTGGTTTGCGCAGCGGGATGATGGCAGTCAATTCCCTTATGATTCGTTGTTTCTCCTTCTGACTGACGGCAATGTACCACTTTGAGAGTCTGACTTTGCCCTGTTTGGACAGCAGAATAAGGTATTTAACGGCCATGGGGGGATATATAAAAATAAAATAAAATAAATAAATAGCAGGCAAAAATAACTTCATAGCACCTACCAACACCGCTGTTGCCGTGATTTTCGCTGCTGTTGGAGTTGTCAAATTTGCATCACAGAACCACGCACGTAGCAACGCATCGATGGACCAGTTTGTGAGCTACGTTATGGGTACAGGTGCCGACCGAGCAGAGCTGCTGCGGCTGCTCCGTGAAAAACACAAGGAGTACGAAACTCCCGCAGAGGAGCTCCAGCGCGCAGACAGGGCGTCCAGCACCGAGTCACTACCGGTGAAACAAGAGAGCGAGGACCATTTACACCCGCTTTTCCGCGAAAACATGGCCGATAGGTTCCAGGAGCCGGACCTGCACATGCAGTTGCAAAATCACAACATCAACCTGCCGTCGATGGACGATGCCCACGTGAAGGAGCTTAAGTCGCAGGTGGCCAAGGAGTACGAGACGCTGGCAAGGCAATTTGCGGCGGCCCGAATAGCCAACATCGACCAGCTCGTCGAGAAGATCGACGATGCCATCAGCTCAACCAAGGAGGATTTCGTCTATCTACAGCGGCAGATGGGCGCTTTAAACGCAGATGGGTTTGAGAAGCGGCCTGTGGTGGAGTCGCCAGCCTGTGACCCGGATCTTTTCTACAACTACTTCGCAACCAGTTACGCAGACAAGATGAAGCTTTTGAGCCAAATAGCAGCGCTGACGGCGTACCGGTTGGAGGCGATCGACCGCGAGACCGACACCAGCATCGACATCGTGCATAGCCAGTACAGAACTGCCCTGTTGGAGAACAGGGAGGCGTTGCAGCAGCAGATCCAGGCGCACATCGACGAGCTGAACGCCGGGCATCCGGCGCAGACGGGCGAGTCGTCGGGCGCGTGTGCGGTGCCCGAAAACGAGCTCAAGTCGCGCAAAAAACGCTCCAGCTCGCTCATAAATCTTGCCGACATCGCCCAGGTATACGGCGACGATAAATCCTGAGGAATGTGGATTATATAATCTCGAAAAAATATATTGTCTAATAAATAAATAACCAGATCTTTTGCCCTTGCTCCATGGACAACTTAGTTCCTTTGTTTTTGGAGATCACCAGCACGGACGATGTTGGGGTGGCACAGAGCTTCTTAGAGATGGCCGGCGGCGACCTGGATACCGCGGTGAGTCTGTATTTTGAGCACGGGACGGGCGCTGGACCTAGCAGGCCTGGTGACGACGCAGAGGTGGCGGGCAGACTGCAGCAGGAGATGTACGCAGAGGCCGATGGCGTGGACGAGGGCGTGAGACGGCCGCTGGAGCCAGTGCACGACCAGCTTGTGTCGGACTACACCGCGGTAGACCCACGTAGGGGCATGTTTGGACGGACCCAAGTGGGGATTTTCAACCAATTGGACGACGGGGACGAGGAGGACGGTGTGGAAGTGGTGGATCTAGACGATGAAGACGACGACGACGAGTTCCAGATGTTGGACGACGACGACGACTCGATCCGTCAGCAGAACAACCGACGCGCACGCAGACGCAGAGAGTTCCGCACAAGCACACAGAGACGGCTCGCGAACATCTTCCGGCCGCCCTGGGACATTATTCAGAAACTAGACCTGGACGGCGCGAAGGTGGTGGCGCGACAGGAGAAAAAATGGATTTTGGTCAATATCCAGGACATGACCGACTTCCGATGCCAGTGTCTTAATAGAGACTTCTGGTCGAACACAGAGATCAAAGAGATAGTGCGGGAGAACTTTATCTTTCTGCAGTACCACCATGGCTCGCCAAATGGCGAGTACTACATCAACATGTATCCGTTTTCAGAGTATCCGCACATTGCGATTTTGGACCCCATGACGGGCGAACGACTCAAGATGTGGAGCGGCGTGCCCAGTGTACACGCGTGGGTGGAGCAGGTGGTGGACTTTATGGACCGGTTCTCGCTGGACAAGAACAAAAAGAACCCGATAGTGCAACACAGCGTGCGGCCGGACGTGAGCAGTTTGAGCGAGGAGCAGCAGATCAAGATGGCTGTGGAGCACTCGCTGAACCCTGATGCGGCGCAGCAGCAGGACAGCGTGGACATTGTGGACCTGGACAACGGCGACGGGACGAAAGAACGGCCATTGGAGCTGGAGAGCGACGAGCAGTTGATTGAGGCCGTGGACGTGCCGGACCCGGAGGGCACCGACGCGACGCGGATCCAGATCCGGTCTGGCGACGGCCGCCGCGTGGTGAAGAAGTTTGCGCTACAGGACCCCGTGCTGCGTGTGTTCCAGTTTGTCAAGTACTACTTTGGCATAGGCAATAAGCCGTTCCATCTGACAATGCAGCGCGAAAACCTGATCGACAAGCTCGACCAGACCGTTGGGCAGTGCGGTCTTCGCAATGCATCGCTGCTACTGGAGGTGGAGGAGTGAGACGAAAGAGATATAGCAGTCGTAGCCTCGTTAATTTAATTTTCTAAAAAATCGCTGACTGGCCCGCCAATGTGGTCGAGCGCAAGCAAAAAGGTGTCGTGGCCGTAGAAGCTGTCTTCCTTGCTCAGCTCGACGTGACGGATGTTGGAGCCGTCGCCACCGCGTTCGCGGGCGCCCTGACGCAGCAGATCGACCATCTCGCGCTGCTGCCACGCCGGGAACAGAATATCGGACTCGACGCCGATCACAAGCACCTCCTTGGCGGCCAGCTTTGCCAGTCCGCGTTTCAGGTCCTCGGCAGCCTCCTCAGGCGTCATTCTTCGCGTGCGCTTGTTTTCGCGCATCGGCTCGTCGAACGAACACTGGTCCACTGGCTTGTACTCGAGCTCTGAATCCGGCACATACTCGCCGTTATACCGCGCCTCGGTCTGCTGGCGACTCCTAGCAGCCTTGGTCCGCGCAGACAGCGACATGTCAAACAGGTCCATCGCCTTGGAGATGTACAAGAACGAGTTTGGGTCGTATTCCAGACACCATTTTTCTCCAGCGTGGTCCAAATACGTCTCGATTAAAAAGTCCGGACACAGCGCAGGCTGTTTCGACGGGTCGGCCCGCTCAACGCCAAACCGCGACTCCCACTCGGGGCCAGACCGGTACGTGATCGTGGCGATCTCGCGGGCCAGCTTCATGCCCGTGTGGGGGGGCAGCGAACCGTAGTAAAAACCTTTATTCCAGTTCGGGTCGGTCATCAGGACTTGGCGCTGGCAATGGCGCATCGCAATCGAGTAGGGGTGCGAACGGGCACATCCAGAGATGCTCACTACCTTGGCGACCTCGTCGGTGAACTCGTGAGCGTATGCGAGACACTGCATTCCTCCCATAGAGGAGCCCATCACGGCGTGCAGCCGGTCGATGTTAAAATGCTCTTTCACGAGCCGGTGCTGCGCCCGCACCATGTCGTTCACAGAGATGATCGGGAACCGCGTCGCGTACACCTGGCCGTCAGATGGGTCGGTCGACGACGGTCCTGTTGAGCCAAAACATCCACCAATCACGTTGGTGCAGATCACAAAGTACTTGTCGGTGTCGAGATACTTGCCAGGCCCGATAAAATTCTCCCACCAGCCCTTGGCGGGGTTTTTCGCGGTCGAGTGGGCGTGCGATGAGGCAGACAGACCGGTCTGCAGCAGAATGGCGTTCGAACGGTTGGAGTTGAGCGTGCCCCAGGTCTCGTAGGCGACTTGGAACTGTGGCAAGTATCCGCCGTAGTCCAGGAAAATGGGGTCCGTGGAGCGGAAAATGTCTACCTTGTCCTCTGTGATTTTGGCGTACGCCGGCTCCGGCCCGTTTTCCTCCAAGGACTGCGACCTCTGCTCGAGTTTCTCAAGGCAGGGAAATGATAACTGTGGATTCGAAGGTCTGGGATAGGGGGTTGACATGGCAGCCGCACGGGCGGCGCTGGCACGCGGCTTGGATGCCACCACGCACCGCGAGAAGTGTCTTGCAAATGCCACGGAGAACAGACGCTGGCTCATGAGACGGGAAGAATAATTGGAAGAGTTTGTTTGTCTGGTAGCAGCAAGCTTTGGCTTATGTGCTTTCACGTGACCGGGAAACGCAGAGAAAAAATTTAAAAAAAATCTAAAAAAAAAAGGGAAAAAGGGCACCAAAAGGGGATACACAAGGATACGCAAAATGGACTACTGTGCTTCGCTTAGGGAGTGCGCAGTTCCTGAAAGACTTGGTAAGCTCTTCTTTCGCAAAGCTCCCGACACCTACATTCTTCAACTGTCCACGTATGCTGCTCCAAAGAAGAGATCTACTGAGAAAATGCCTTCACGGTGCACAGCAGACACCCTGGAGGCGATCTGTCAGAACTCGAAATTTGAGATGCCCACGTTCCTTTCGTCGCGCAGCAGCAATATCATGCTGCCAACAGAAGACGACACAAAGCTCACTGCAGAGTACCTGTATCCATCATCGCCGTACTGGGAAGGAGAAATACAAGGAAAGCCACAAGAAATCAAGAACGAGGACTCGGACGTGATTGAGTTTTGCGAGAGCTCTGTGTTCGAGAGCATAGGCTCGGAAAAATATTAGCACTATAAATCACTCTTTCTTGCCCATTGCATGTTGACCTCGATGGCCTCTAGCGATTGACGGACCCCTTTGTCGAAGCCGGTCAGGTCTTTCCCGGCAAAGAACGACTTGGCGTCGGCATAGAGTGTTTCGGAGCCAAAGTTTGGCAGGAAGTTTCTGAGAACTCTGTCCAGAGTCCATATCGACGTCTCCTTGTGGAAACGGTCGAAGTTGGCCTTGAAGAAGTTCCAGAAAGGTTCTTGGGCAACGGGGTTCGAACTGAGCGAGCCGCAAAGAAAGATGTAGTCCATCTCAGGAAGAGACTCGGTGAAAAAGAGCGCAAAGATTTCATCCAAGTACGCCTTATTGTTCACGGATCCAAGGGCACAGAGCGCGATCTCACGCGCGTCAACAGATGACGGGTTTTTCACCTCCTCGATGACCTGCAACAATTCTTCGCGGCTGCATTCCTTGGAGGCCAGTAGAGTGGTGAGCTTGGCGCGGCGCAAAGAAGGATCTGAGGTAGAGCGAGCGTATTTCAAGGCAAGCGAGGACTGAGATAGTCCGCATTGCTCAAACACCAGGGAACGCAACTTTGATTCTTGGAACTTGAGCTCTTTTTTCTCCATCAGTTTCTTCAGAACTGGCTCGTACACCTGCTTGCTGAATTTGACAAGAGTGTCCAGCTTTGCCGTGCCAAAGTAGACTCTCTTTAGAGCACCCAGCCGTTTGGCGATCTCTGCCCACACAGCGTACTCTTCATCGTCTTTGAACCGCTCCACAAGCTCCAAGCAAGTTTTCGTCGAGATGAGGCCGGCTTGGGCTGCGGCAAACGTGTCTGCCACCAGTCCAATCTTGTCTCTGGCGTTCAAATCAACCAAAACGTGGTCGAAGAGTGCAGGATCATAAACAACACGATAGAAGCCCGTGGTGGACTTGTTGAGCTTTGTGAACTGCTCCAAAGGGATCGTCTTGCTTTTCTCCGTCATGTTTAGCTCGGGAATCCACCAAGTTGTATCGTCAGACTTCCCAGCGAGCAGAAATCTCTGCTGTGCAATTTTGACCTGGTCACCTGCTATTTTAGCGTGCAGATATGGGAAACCAACGGCTCTTATCCAAGGAGCAACCAGCTTCGTAATGTCCTTGCCGGTGGTAGCGCTGACGGCGTCCCAAAGATCATCAGAGCGAGCATTGCCATAACTGTGCTCTTTTAAATATTTGGAGACGGCGCTCAGAAACAAATCAACACCAACGCTCTCAGCAACCATGCGCACGACAGAACCTCCCTTGAGATACGAAATATAGTCGAATATTTGGTCAATATCGCGTCCGTTCAGAACTTGGACCTCCACTGGATGCGAGCTGGTCAGAGAGTCCAGGTCCAAGGCCGCCTGAACAGAGGACGACACAAAGTCTGTGAAGACGTCCCACTCGGGATGCATGTTGTCGACGCAGAGCCAGCCAATATAGGTTGCAAATGATTCGTTGAGCCAGAGGTCGGACCACCAATTCATTGTACAATAGTTGCCGAACCACGAGTGGGCGATCTCGTGCGAAACAACATATGCCACCTTGGATTTGTACGCAAGATCTGATTTCTCGGGATCAAACAGCAGTGCGGTGGCTCTGAAAAGAACCAGGCCCCAGTTCTCCATCGCGTTGGCTCCAAAGGCAGGTACGGCGATCAGGTCCAGCTTTGGCAGCGGATAAGCAATGTCAAACACTTTGGAAAGATAATCAACAGCCTTTTCCGCCACCGACAGAGCATACTTACCGTTCTGCGACTGTCCAGGAACCGTATAAACGCGAATCGGCAATTCGTTCAAATTGGACTCCACGTATTCAAACTTGCCAATGCACCATGCTACCAGATAGGTGGACATTTTTGGCGACGGCAAAAATGTGACCGTCTTCGTCTTACCATGTGGCTCAATCTTATCGACTGGCATATTGGAAAGCGCGTCGTACTGGCTTTCGATTGTCAAACTCAGTCTGAATGTTGCCTTGAAAGCAGGCTCGTCGCTACAAGGGAAAGCAGACCGTGCATCCGTGGACTCAAACTGCGTGCACAGCAAGGTGTGTAGTTGGTCGCCTTCCTTATAGCTCGAGTCGTAAAAACCTCCCATGTCTGTGCGAATCGGGCCGGTATACTCAATGGAGAGACTCAACGGGCCTGGCTTCAATGGCTCTGCAAATTTGAACTCCACGGTCTCGTCTTTGTTGTTGGCAACGGTTTCCGAAAGAGAGATGGCTTTGTGGCTGGAGCTGGCAGTAGCTTTGCCTATTTGCAACATTTTCTGATTCAGGATCACAGACTTGACGGTGTCCTGAGCGTGGAAGTCAATCTTACAAAGTCCATGAAATGTCTTTTTGGCAACATCAATGTTGGAGATGCGAACATCATAGCTCACAGGCTTGATTGTCTCCGGCAATCCATGGTGGAAAGACGTGTCTGGATAATGCATTGATAGGCGTCTGGAAAATAATAATGGTCTAAATCTGAAAAACGCTAGCCCAGACAGAAATTGCATACCTACAATTTTTTATGGCAGGGTATTTTACTAAGTGAAATAGAAAACAAAGCAGACACAAGATTTTTGACGAGATGGCTGAAATCACTCAACAGTGACGGACTTGGCAAGGTTCCTTGGGCGATCCGGATTATTGCCGGCAGCAACAGACAAGTAGTAGCTCATCAGCTGCACAGGAATGATGTTCAACACCCCTTGCAAGCAGTCCACAGATTTTGGAACCTCAATCACAGCCGAGGCTTTCGATCCGTCTATCAGCTTGTCTCCCTCGGTTGCAATGATTATTGGACGGCCGTCTCTGGCTGTGATCTGTTGAATGGCAGAGTTCAGTTTCGCCGAATACGAGTCCTGCGTAGCAAATGCCACAATCGGCAGCTTGTCGTCAACGAGAGCCAAGACTCCATGCTTCAACTCTCCTGCCTGAATACCTTCCGAATGAATGTAAGAGATTTCTTTGATTTTCAAAGCGCCTTCCAAAGCAGATGCATATTGGTAGCCTCTGCCAACAACCAAGATCGACTGCTTGTTGTGCAGATACTTCTCGGAGATCTCCTTGATTTTCTTGCTTTGTTGTAGGATCTTCTCGATCTGGGTGGGAATTTCTTCCAGTCCCTTGATGATCTCCTGGTGGCGCGTGGCATTAGTAATCACATGGTTGGAGATCTGTAGGGCAAGCATCACCAGTGCAATGAACTGAGAGGTGTAGGCTTTGGTGGAAGCCACACCAATCTCAGGACCAGCGTTTATGTGGACACCGCAGTCGGTTTCTCTGGAAATGCTCGAACCAACAGAGTTAACCACACCAACGGTCAGGGCGCCGGCAGCGCGGCATCTTTTGAGGGCCATCATAGAATCTGCCGTCTCGCCAGACTGAGAAACAAAGATGCAGGTATCGTCTCTGAAAATAGGCGGAGATCTGTCTAGGAAATCAGAGGCTAGATCCACGGAAACTGGCACCTCTGTCAGCTCTTCAAACAAAGACCTCACAGCCAAGCACGAATGGTAGGACGTTCCGCAGGCAATCATCTGGAACCTTCTTGAACGTCTAATGCTGGTCAGAAACTCCTTGATACCTCCAAGCGTAATAGTTTTGTTCTTGAAATCGATTCTACCTCTCATGGTGTTGAAAGTGGAATCTGGTTGCTCAAAAATCTCCTTCAGCATGAAATGGTCATATCCCCCTCTCATTATCTCTGCCAGTTGCATCTCCAAAGTGTGGACGGGTCTGGTGGTGGACATTCCTGCTGCCTTGGCCGCTCTATGGATATGCAATTCTCCGTTGTCAATGTGGGCAATGTCGTCGTCTTCCAAAAATAGCACCTTCTTAGTGTGCTCAATGACCGACGAGGCGTCCGAAGACACAAAGAACTCGATTGGTTTGTTGTAGTCCGGCAAGATAGCTCTCGACTCGGATTTTCTCAGTGTCATTTCGCTATTAGTAGGCAGAGTCAGGAACGAGTTAGAGTAACTGGATCCGTTGGTGCCTTGGGTTGTTGTGGCGGGGTCAGAAATGAACTCGACGTCCACAAAGTCCACCTTGAGCTTCTGCTCGCTCTTGACACCAATCAACAGCGGAGAACCCTTCCTGGTGGCCACCAATTCGTTGGGATAGTGGATCGACTTGACCATCAGACCGTAGGAACCTTGCAGCTGGTACAGGACTTCCTTGGCCAGCTGGTAAAATTCCAAGTCGTTGTCCTTGTCGAAATAGTATTTGAACAGCTTGGCGATAACTTCGGTGTCGGTGTCCGATCTGAAGGTATGGCCCTTGCTCTTCAGAAACGTCTTGAGCTCTCTATAATTAGTGATAATACCGTTGTGGACCACAATGAACTCGTTTCTATCGTCGGAGGGCTGTGGATGGCAGTTTGTCTGAGTGACTCCTCCGTGGGTGGCCCATCTGGTGTGAGCGATACCCACATGATTGGCAAACGTCTCCGAAGTGTTCAGGTTCTGCGACTTGATCTCATCCTTGAGGTTTGCAACCTTGCCAACCTGCTTGTACACGGCAATCTCCTTGGTGGAGGTGGACTCGTCGAACTCCTTCTCACCATCGATACCAATGCCCGCCGAGTCGTAGCCTCTGTACTCAAGCTTGGAAAGCCCTTCGACCAGCGTGTCAATGATCTGGCCTCTGGATTTGCCGACGTTGTAGTTGGCATACCCGAAAATGCCACTGCGCCTGTTAGAACTCTTGTTCTGTGCCTGGTACTTACCACATGGTTTGTCAAAAGCGAATATAACTAAGCGCCAAAGAATATATCCGGGATCTATATGGATAGAATTCACAGACTCTAAACCGCCGAAAGAAGCACTTTTGTCAGCTGATCAATGCTCTTAGAACGCTGAAATCTGTCCTATCTTTGCAATGAAACAAAAGATTATTACTTAAACTTTTTCTTGTCTGTAAACTTGTTTACGTGTTGCCCCATGTAGAATTATTAGTGCGCACACGAATCGCAGAGAAAAGTCATGTTTTGTGCCTATATAAATTGGCTCTTTCTTAGCTCCTTCTCTTTATTTTGCCCTCGAAGCCAGCTCTTTTCGGGGCCCGGGTCGCACCTTTGAACGACCGCAGCTGTTTGGTCTGGTGCTTGCGGCTCTTGCCCTTGTTTTCGCGCCGGATGCGCAGGTTCTCCTCCCTTCTGTCCTGCTTGGCCTTGATCTGGTCTGCCACAAACTGCTTGCGCTCCCCCCACTCGCGCTCGCTCTTCCTCTTCTTGGCCTCCTTGCGCTTTAGGGCTTTTTTCAAGAGCTTGACGTCGTCCTTCACTTTAATTCCCTGAGCACCCGCGAGAGCCTTGTTCCACTTGTGCTTCTCCTCCGCAGCCAGTGCCTGCTCTTTGTCCATGGCTGCCAGCTTCGCCTTTTCTTGCTCCGCCTTCTTCAAATGCGCCTTGATGTCGTTGTTCGATGGCCCCTTCCGCCGCCCCACCTTGCGTACCCCGCTCAAATCAGACGTGGCTCTCTCTCCCTGGTTGAACTCGATATTATTGTACATCACCACATCCTGCTTGTCCTCTTTATCATCCATGTCCTCGTCGTCACTGCTCGACTTGTCGTCGTCGTCATCTTTGTCTTCCTTGGTTTTCTTCTGCTGTCTTCTAAGAGCCTCTTTTTTGCGCCTCTCCTCCAAAATTTGCTGTCGAGATGTCACCGTGGCAAACTTAGTGCCTGGTGCCTTGCGCTTCTCCTTCAATGTATTGATTTTCTCAGCCAGTTTCGCCCGCAACTTTGCCAAATTCTCTTCTTTCTCCTTCTTCTTGTCTGGAGTGAGCTGCTCTTTAGATTTACGTGGGGGTGGCGGTGTCGTGTCACCGTCGCCGTCGTCATCAAATACTATCGTAGCGTCGTCGAGTTTCAGTTCTGTGTCAGTGGTTGTGCTTGCAGGCTCCTGAGCCTCCACAGCAGCAGGCTCCTCCGCTGACACGGATTCCTGCTTCTTCCCCGGTATTATCACCGGCTTCGCCTCAAGAGCATGTCTGTCCTTCTCTTCCTTTGCACTTATGTCTTTAGTGGCCTCTGGGTCCAGCTTGGCTTTCTTGTTCTCTTTGGCCTGGCTCTTGCTCTGCTTCTTCTGCTGCCACTGATTGGACGTGTCCTCGTCATAATAGTACTTTGCTGGAATCAAAGACAGCAGTCCATCAAATGCATTGGCGTGCTCTTTCAGACGATCCTAACCGTTAGCGGGAAAAGTGGGGCGGCTGGACACTTACCTCTAAAGAGTTATTCCCCATCGTGGTTAAAACACAGCTTGAAAATTTTCAAATAAGTAAATTTTTTTGAGCCGCACATTTATTTCGAGCACAGATGCACGAAGTTATCACGATCTCGGTCGGCCCCCACGCCAACAACATCGTGACGCATTTCAATAACCTCCAAGAAGACAAGCTGTACTTGGCGCCGTCGCTGGCGCAGAATCCGATTGACCCCAACGTTCACATGGAGCCTGTGGCAGAGGGCTCCAGTTACACTTTTTACCCACGTACCGTCCATTGGGAGTACCAGAATGGGTATGGTGCTCTGGCACAGTTTGGTGTTGAGAACGTCGATAAGACGGGCTACGAGGTTGTTGAGCAGCCGCGTGTGGAAAAAAACAAGTACCAGGAACTGCTGGATTCTGCCCAGCCCACTAAGAGCGTGCTGGAAACGGACAGGGTGCGGTACTGGACGGATTTTACGAGGGTGTTGTATAAGCCTCGGGCGCTATTAAGTATTAGGAACTGGGAATACGATTACAAGAGCCAGGTAGGATTTCTAAAGATGCACCCAGAGAGAAAGTTTGAAGGTTATGATGTGGGGGCAGCGGAATATAAAAGCCAGCCAGACTTTGTCGACGAGACGTTGCGACAAACGACAGAAAAATGCGATCTGGTTAACGGCATGAACCTTGTCACAGAAGTGGACTCTGCGTGGGGTGGGTTCTCGGACGAGTTACTGGCTGACATAAGGGACGAGTACGCAAAGACAAGCGTGCTCACGTGGAGTCTCACGAGGGACACTGAGCGACTGAGTTTTGAAAGGCTAATCAGCCGTATTCGCGCTAGTGTGGGGCTGATGCGCAATTCCTCGCTATACCTGCCGCTAAGTACGACTCCTCCGCTGCCCAAGTGGGCGGATGCGGCAGACCTTTGGCACGTCTCCTCCATCCAGTGCATCCCGCTGGAGTTTGTCAACGGTCTGTTTGCCGCAAAGCCGGCGCTCCTGATAGCCGATTTTGTGAACGGCTTGAGCACGACGAGGGGCCAAAATGTGGTGTGGGACATAACCTCCGCACCCCATGTTTTTAGTTGCCGCCAGGCGTACGGGAACAAGGGAGACCACTATTTCGCGCAGACGGCAATCACAAGAGGGGCAGCAACCAAAGTGGACTTTTCCAGTCTTATCACCAACGGAACCCCGACCAGACACTCTGTCCAGTACCATTCGTCCGTCGCATTCAACAGCAGTCTCGACAGCTTTCCTTCAGCCTTTAGCAAAGAGGAGGGACGCACCCCTAGTTTATGCACCTTGGGAGTCACCAACGCGCCGCGCAGCTGGTTCAAACACATGGCCGCGCTGGTGTCGCGGCACTACCGAGGCGACGAGCGCGAGGAGCTCAAGAACGAGCTCGAAACTATGGGCGAGCAGTACGTGTGGGGGTATGAGTCGGATGACGACTATTGAATACAATGGATACATAATTAGTGAATACTGTCTATCTGCAAGCTGCAACTAAGCTACTCGTTGGTCAAGTCCCTGCCGAATAAAGACACCTTCAGCCAGTCGGCAGCCACCAAGGCTCTCATTCTGGCGGAGATGCACATGGCGATGTAGGAGGATCTCCAGATCAGGTAGGTAAAGGCACCGCCGGTAGAGGTGGAAGAGAAGGACCCCCACACCAAGTCGGCAACAGCCTTCTCTCCACCCACGTACGACAAGGATCCGAGGTGGTTGTACTTGAAAGGCTTGACGTTGGCCAAAGCGGCATCGAGTCTGGCCTGGACCTTGGCTCTCTCGTCGGAGTTGGAGGCTCTGGCAAGCTCGGATTGCAGGTCGTCAATGGCAGCCATCTTGGCAAACGTGGAGGCAAGATAGTGACCCTCTTGGTGGGCGACCTGTCCCGTTGGTGGGTGGCCCGTGAAGGCACAGTCACCAATGGCATACACGTTCTCGGTACCCTTGACCTTGAGGTTCTCGTCGACAAGCAGGCCTCTTCTGGCGCCGGCCTGAGCCTCGATCTTGCTGATCAGGTGGTTGGTGAAATTGGCTGGGCGGATACCAGCGGCCCACACAAGCATACCGTATGGGATCTCTTTTTGCTCCACGGAACCGTCCTTCTTTTTCGTGGAGGCGGTGATCGTGGTGGTAGTCACTTTGTTCACGGCTGTGTTGAGGATGAGCTCGATGTTGTTCTCGGCAAACGTCTTCTGGGCATACGTCCACAGGCTCTTGGAGAACGAGTTCAGCACGTTAGGGAGCGCCTCGATCAGGGTGACCTGGACCTCCTTGGCGATGGATGGCATCCACTTGGTGAGGTCCTCGTCCACATAGTCCTTCAGTTCTCCGGCAAACTCGACACCCGTAGGACCTCCTCCCACAACGACAAAGTGCAGCAATCTCTTTCTCTCCTCGCTTCCCTCAGGATACAACGAAGCTTTTTCAACGCACTCCAAGAAGCGCTTTCTGACCTGGATCGCGTCCGGCAGCTCTTTCAAGAAACAAGCGTGCTCGGCAACGCCTGGAATGTTGAAAGTGGATGGCTGCGCACCGACAGCAACGACCAGGTAGTCGTACTTGAGCTCCTTGACGAGCTCCTGCGCATCGGCGCTGGAACCGGGGAATTTGATTTTCAGAGTATTTTTCGTCACGTCGACATCTGTAGCGTCGGCCTCGATGTAAGTAACCTCTGCAGGAGTTCTCTTGGCGATCGATCTGATTGGCTCGACGATGGATCTGGCCTCGATGGTTCCAGTAGGCGCCGAGGGCAGCAGAGGCGTGAACAGAAAGTAGCTTCTAGGAGAAACAACGGTCACATTGTACAGACTGGTATCGAGATCTTTGAGCATCGATGCGGCACCCCATCCGCTCCCAAGAATAACAATGCTCTTTTTCTCTGCTCCGGCAGCAGTGAGAGGGGTTTGGGGCTTCTGGTTTCTGGGGTTAGCCTCTCTGTAGATGGAGGCACCCATCCAGGTGGTGGCCAAAACAGTGCCGATGGCACCAATGTCCAGAGGGATCCTGAACAGCTTGTGGAAAAGAGACTTGCGGTGAGCGGAAGTCGCGACGACGGACGAGCTGAAAGCTCTGGTGGCGACAGTGTTGAGGCGCACGGCCCGTCTTGCTGCCAACATAATCTAGGATAGTAAAATGTTCGGGTGGAAGTTTGTTTTTTTATACAAGGGTATTTTTTTTCAAGAAACGTGAGTGGATATTTGCGGACAATAGGACACAATAGGCCCGGTTGCCAAAACAGGAGGGGTTACGTTTCTTGTTATGCGGTTCGCACGTATGAGGTACGCCGAATGATTAATGGGGGTGCGAGAGCGTGCGTGAAAATGCGTTTGGGCCAATAAGACGGCCGCTATTTTTCGGCGTAACGAAAAATCCAGCTACTATTGTCCACCTATTCCGAGTCGGAAACTTAGGATGCTTACGTAATGTCGGTTTGGTTACTCCGGCCTGCACCTGCATCCCCGGAAACCGCGGGGTTTCACCCCGTGTTTATTTGACCTTGTCGTACTTGTCAAAGTAGTCTTCGAAAAAGCCTCTATAGTGGAATTTTTTTCCCGCGGCAGAGATCCTCTCCACATCGCTGGGCTCCAGCTCAAACTCCCACACCTTCATAATGTCCTTGAGGCGCTCCTTGTTAGTCGACGTGGTGATCGGCAGAACGCCTGTCTGGTACACCCATCTCAGCAGCAACAGCGTGTTGCTGACGCCGTACTTCGTCTCCAGCTCTTTCAAAACCGGATCCAAAGGTCCCTCCGTGACCTTTGTGGGGACGATCGGCGTCAGCGGAGAAAAGGCCTCTACCAAGATCTCGTTGCGCTTGCAAAAGTCAACAATTCCTGGCGACTGCTCCTGTAGATAAGGATTGTACTCTATCTGGTTGACCTGCGGCTTGTATTTGCAAACAGCGAAGATTTTTTCCAGCACCGGCACATCGAAGTTGGACACTCCGATGTTCCTAGCCTTGCCCTCATCGACCAGCCGTTCCATCTGCCTCCAGGCCTCCTCGACAGTGACGTCGGTGGTGTCTTTGCCGAAAAATGGCGCATGGATCAAAAACAGGTCCACGTACTCGATCTTCATGAGCTCCAGGCCCTTGACCAATGACTCGTACGGCCCCGAAGGAGTCGTCGACCGGTACTTACCTCCCCAGCCCTGGTTCCACTTGTCGGTGATCCAGAGCTTGCTGCGGGGGACTCCGGACTCGGCAATTGCCTTGCCGACCTCTATGCGGGTCGTGTACACCTCTGCCGTGTCCAGGTGGGTGAATTTGCCCTCCGTGAGCGCAAACTTGATGATGTCGACGAGCGACTCATCCACGGAGTCCTTGAGGACAGGGTCGCCCTTCTTCTTTTTCTGGTGCTTGGTGCCGCTGCCAAACGCAATGGCAGGGATCTTGTCGCCGGTCCGCGCGAGAGTAAACGAAGGTGTGGACATAAGATTACAGGGATAAGATTTTTTACGTGTTGATAAGCAGCCCTTGCGGTGCAAGTCGATGCGCCACAAGAGAAAAATAACTGGATTAGCTCCGTGCACGGGTTTCTTGTTTATTTATTACAAATGGTTAGTTGTCTCAAGATCGTCAAACTCGTGGGCATTGGCTCGCTGGGCCTGGCCACATCCAGCTTCGGCCTTGCCGCGTATAACACGGTGCCTGATCTGATTAGCTCCACCAAGCTGAGCATCCTCGACTCGCACGAGTTGCGCCAGAGGTTCCGTTGCTTGCTCGTGCAAGTGCGCTCGATCCTCGCTGTCTGTGGCACCGCGGCGACGACGCTCTTCATGATGGCATACACACGGTCTCCCGTCGCAGGCAAACACCCATACCTGATCTACGCCGCGCTGGGAGCACCGCTGTGCGCAGCGTACTACTGTTACGGCGTTTTGCCACTGGAACTCCAAATTTTCCAATCCCCGCAGAAACGCGACTCGGGCGCCCTGCCGGCCAAGTCCAGCAAGACAGACGATTTGACGTCGCTGCTCGACAACAGCGTCTACAACGACCTAGGAACAGAGTCCGACACCGTGCGGGAGGAACCGGCTGAGGACGAGCAGTTCCAGGAGCTCGAGCTCAAGACAGAAACGATCTCGAAACTGCAGTCGCTCAAGCTTGGCTACTCGTACTCGTCGCTCCTCTCTGGAGCCGCGTTCGTGCTCGCCACAATTGGTTATCTAGGCGACCCTCTATAATCTAATATACACACATCCTTAGCCAACTGTGGCTTATCACGTCAAAAAGTGCTGGAACCTTCCGATAAGGGTGACTCAGAATTTTATCCAGCGGTTACCCGGACGAGGGCTGCATTGACACTTGTGACCCACCCCCACCTCAAGTTATAAAGGCTTATCTATCTCCATTTTTATTACACTCTGTCATCCATTTTCCTTATAGAATCAGTGGCATCTTTATATACATGACATCGACGGTCCTCTCAGACAAGGTGGACTCCCAGCTCAAGCTGCTGTCGCAGGACTTGCAGGCCACCATGGACGAATATCTTGCGTACGAGAAAGGCTCGTACCTCAAGAACAAGTACAAGTTTGTGTCCAACTTGCAGAACGGGTCGTTCGGTCAGGTCACGTGTGCGCTCAACATGGTGGACAACACCAAGGTGGCCGTCAAGGCGCTGAAGAAAACGATCCCCGGTATTTCCTTCATGGCCAGACACGAGATCTCCATCATGCGCAAGTTGGGGTATCATCCGAACGTTTGCCAGCTCCTGGAGAGCTTTGAGACCAAGAAGTACATTGTCCTGGTTCTGGAGTACGTTCCGGGCGGCGACTTGTACGATGCCATCCACACACAGTCGCCTCTGGGGGTTGAGTACCAGACCAACCCGCAGATGTTTCTGAGTCTTGTCAATCAGCTGGCTGATGTTATGCGCTACGCCTACTCCCGTGGCGTGTATCACAGGGACATCAAGCCCGAGAACGTTTTGTTGATGAGAGACGGCAGCATCAAGCTATGTGACTGGGGTCTTGCCACTTACGCAGGCAAATGCAGAGACTTCAACGTGGGCACCGAGAAGTACATGGCTCCAGAGGCTCTTCGTCAGAAGAGCGAGTGGTACGACGCCAAAGGTGCCGACTCGTGGTCTCTGGCCATCACGTTGCTGTTCACGCTGTTCGGCAAGTGTCCGTTCCGCAAAGCAGACACCAACGACGTGAACTTTGTGAACTTCCTCAAGTCGAAGGAATTCCTCTACGACTACTACCCAAGCATTAACCAGGTCTCGTTCAAGGCGATTGTGGAGTGTTTTATGGTTGAGAGAGACCTGGACGGTGGCGTAGAGCTGCTCAACAGAGAAGGCCCTATCAAGGGCTTTACCCTTGACCAAGAGTACAAGCTGGAGCTTACTAGACGTCAACAGGAGTTTGCCGTCCAGTCCGATCCGGCTGTTGCATCTGTGCGCGACGACGATGTTTTGGGAGGCGAGTTTTTCATGTTCGACTCCGAGCCCGAGTACCGGGTGGAGATGTTGGAGGATCAGAAGCAGGCTTCTTACGTGGCCGCCCCGCTGCGTGCTGTGAACATCCGTCCCATTCCCGATTCCGTTGGAACGGCTTACTCTATCTTCGATACACAGGCGCCTCCTTCGCTCACTTTTTCGTATGAGACCAACGACGGGTTGGTTGGATCTTGGTGCGACGAGTTTGATGAAATGTGCGGTATGAAGCATACAAGGTGAGGACTATTTAACGCTAATGAATGACGAAAATGACACTAAACCAGGTTTTTCCGGCGTCGTAGCTTTCTCCTTTTCTCTGCTCTGTCGATGGCGAAATCGGCCACCGCCCGCGTGACGTATTTTCTTGAGTAGTCCAGTTTTTTGAACACGTCGCGCCACATCACCAGCAGAATCAGCCCAAAAGTAAACGGAATGGTCACTTTCCAGTAGAAGCCTACGCCCTTTTCCAGGTTCCCAAACCTGTCGAAATTCATGCCAAAATAGCCTGCCCAGAAGCTGAGCGGAAGGAAGATCACAGTCACCAAAGACAGCTGTTTCATGGAGTTGTTGGTTTCCACCGACAACGTATTAAAGATCAGGTTCACTAGGTTTTCGATCGTCCTCAACATCGACTCAATGTCGTCCACGTACGACACCAGATGGTCGTATATATCGTTCATGTACAGAACGCTGTTTTCAGACATGAACTTGCGGAAATTGGTCACCTCTCTCATCTGGTGGATCAGGTTGCAGACTGGCGTAATGCGCGACTTTAGGTTGGCCAGCTCGTTGATCATCAAATGCAGTTCCTGCGTGTGCGAGATGGTGGGGTTGGTCAGAATGTCCAGCTCTATCTCGTTTAGGCGTTGGTCGTACGCAGACGTCACGGGGTAGACGAGATCGACTATTGCGTCAAGAATGGAGTGTAACAGAATTGAGGCCTCGTCGCTCGTGCGCAGCAGCGTGTCCTTGGCCGCCAGACGAGCCAGAATGGCCTTGGTGATATCTCCTGCCGAATGCTCGAAAAAGGTGATTACTGTGTTGTCGTCAGTGAGGAAAATCGAGGCCTGCTCGATCCCAACAGCAAGCCCCTTGCTGTTCAACGGCCTGCGGATTTCGAGATTGCGCATTTTGCGGCTTTTCTTGCGCTCATCACAAAGAGACCTGAAATTGATGTCTGACAGCTTTCGCATCTTTCTCTCGTCGCTGATTCGCTCGGAAAGCGTCAAATCCACCGTGTGCACAGACGAGGCTCGCGAGCGCAGCGATCTCGAGTCGTCGTCCGACACATGGCGGTGTCCAGCAGAGTCCCGCGGACGGTTCGTTCTGACCACCTTTATCAGGGGAAGCACCGTAAACAGGTGGTTCGGATACAAATCGACCTTCGTGCGCTGCGGAATGTCGATCATATCCTCTATGGACAGTCTGTGAAGGTTGTAATGCTTGCCTATTATCGAAATGGCCTCCCACGAGAGCCCGTTGACGTTGATCCATCTAATATGCGACCACAGAGGCCGATTTTTCACTCCGCGCTCAAACGCCAGCTTCGACTGCGCAGCGCGTTTTCTGTACTCCTTCAGTTGCGCCTCAACAGCCTCTGGATCGGCGTCTTGTTTGCCCTCGGCATGCAACAGCTGGAGATCCAGAGCGTCGTCGTCGGCGCCTGTTTCGGACACAACCTCGTAGTGCATCACTCTGTATCTGTCAGGCGAGTAATCTGTCACCACGACCCAGGATCCCGGCGTGTTCATGACCACGTTTGTTGTCCGGACGTCGATTCCTGGCTCCCAGCCAGTGCGTTCCTTCTTCGTTCCACTGCCGGCGTATTTGCGCGACCTGGCCTTGTGTTTGCGCCTGTGGTGCGGTTTTGGCACCGTCACGTGCGGGCCTGCCGCCTTTTGGTGTTCCTGAGTCGGCTGCGAGACCGTAGGCGAGTCGCTGTCGGACTTGTGATTTATATCTATCTGGCCATCCTCGCTAGAAAACGGCACAGAGTCCGTGCTGGGCCCGGATCCGTCGTCGCTCGCGTAGTCTGAGTCTGACCAATGGGCCGATTCTGGCAAATTCGGCAGCTCAGGATCTGCCGAATCGTAAACAAGCGACATGAGAAATAATTAAAATGCCAGAAATTATTTAATTTAATTAATTTAGTATTTATTCTCGAATCTGGATGATTAACAGTGTGTTCATTTAAATGAGAATCTTCGCGCCTTTCCGCTCTGGTCAGCTTAAGTTTCTGGCTAGCCGCCAGCCGAGGTTCCCTGTTCCCGACAGCCCACGGAAGGCCAATCTGGGAACTATTATCCAAATGCTCCAGCTCAAGGTGCCCCATATTTTGCAGCACAACCTGCCGCAGGAATTTCTGGCCCAGGATATCGTTCTGAGACTGCTCCCCGGCCAAAAACCACACATACCGGTTATCCGCGGAGTTCTACTTTACAACACCACATTCAAGACGCTGCAACTACTGTTGACCTCGTTTTTCCTGAACCCGGAAGCAAAATTGCACATTACACATATGAACATCAAGGAGGCAAGAGGGTCGCTGTCCAACACAGACCTTGTCAATCTCTCGATCAACAACAACCTGCTGGATTTCGAAGAGTCTCCAGAACTGTCCCCATACACCACCAAAATCACCATCAAATGGCGCACCTGTCTCAACGGGTGCCCCCATCTCCGCGACAACAAAACCGCGGACGCCAGGCTCGGCGCATACAATCTGGACACCAACAGCCTGCTGCACCTGAAACTGCCTCTCCAAAACCTGACCAAGCTCGATGACAACTCCATCGAACGTGTGCTCACAGGCATCTTTGTGTTCGAATTAAACGACAAAAACGACAAGATCGCTGTACATACCATCGACGACTGCGAAATCATCGAAAACGAACAGCCGTCGCCAGACACAAACAACATCGGCTTTGCCCCGGGAGCATAGCCTCTGTATATAGCCTACTGCTCCGCAATGCGTCTCAGAAGCTCAACGTTGAGCTCGATGCTTTCCGCCACCTTTTCGCTGAGACACTTCATCCTGTACAGGAAATATAGCTGCAATAGCAGAATAAAAGTCACCAGTATTGCAAGCCAGTTTCCGGCCACTTGCTCCAGAACGAGAACGTATCTCGCCGGCTGCTGCGAAACGGACTCTGTAGGAGTCTCCTGCGGTTTCTCCTCTGTCTCCTCGGTGTCTGCGAGCCTGCCCGTCTGGATCTCTGGAAGAATCTTGTCTAGCTCTTCGCCAATCAGGTCGGCGGTTCTTTGCTGTCCCGACTTGGTGCTTTTCTCGATAACTCCCTTAATCCAGCTCGACCCGGTCCACACGATTTTGTAGCTGATTTTCAGCCGAGTCTGGCTGTCTTCCGCCCATGTAAAAATGTACCTCGTGACAACGTGGAAAGCAGTCCCGCTGGGGACGTTTGGCGTGCACGTGGTGCTCACCACTTCCACGTACTCGTTCAAATCTTTGTGCTGGATGAGCTCGGACGCCTCCACCTTGGCAGACTTGGGACCAATCGAGTTGTTGAGCTTTTTTTCGTACTCGAACTTGCGCACCAGCTCCTCATTTTCGTTCTCCTTAAATGGCCCGTAGTCGCTGAAATTGTACCCGTCGCTCAACTCCATGATGTGCTTGTGAAATGTGATTTTTTCGCCAAAAAGAACGTTGAACACCACGCCCATGGGCGCATTAAAAATCTTGTCCAAAATGATCGATTCACCATGCGCCTCAGGCTCGTAGCTGCACTCCGTCGGGGTGTGCTTGTCGGGGCCCTCGTTTCTATAAACAGGACTGGCCACCGCCTCCTCGTCTGTCTCTCCATCCATCAACGGACCGTTCTCGTCGATGGTAAAGATGTCGTCCTCCGAAAGCTGCTGGATCGCCGGTGCAGCCAGATTGCTCTCGATCAGGTCCAGGGCGCGCGACTGTTCGTTCTTGGCTTTGCTCAGAGCCACAGATTTCGACCACACGGTCTCCAGAAAGTTCAACGTCGAGTCGCGCGAGATGAAGCTCGCGAAAGTGTGCTTTCCATCCCTAGTCTCAATGACTATCCCATTTGGAAACAGCCCGGCCGTCGATTTGCGCTCAAAATGGACCACCTCGTCGTGAGAAATCACCAAGCTCGTCACCCAGCCCAGAAGGTTGGAGTTGAAGCAAAGATAGTGCTCGGATACGTAAAGTCGACCTTGCAGAAGGATTTCGCGGCTCAGAGCACAGCTGAAATCGTCAAGAAGCCGCTCGTTGTCCGGGATGTTCTTGAACAGCTCGTGGAACTCGACATTCCGCGTCAACGAAGCGTAACGGTACTGTGTGTCCAGATACTTTTCGTCCGTGTACAGCTTGTTAGAGAACTCTGCTGGCGACCGGTCAAAACTGTCGTTGGAGGCCTCTGTGAGGGGCGTCTTAGGTAAGGACGAAATGCTGCTGCTTTTTGCTCGGCGAGACGAGCGGCGGTAGCTGAGCATCTCTGTGTGGCCATTGACTACGTGTTCGAGCTTGCCTTCGTCCTCGCCGTCCTTTTTCGTGTGGTCCTCCGACTGACTGCGTAACGGAGTGCCCAGAGTGGAGGCTGTGTCGGTGGTTGTGTCTGCCTCCTGCTGTCTGGAAATGGAAGCAAGACTTTTGATGCTGGACATGAAAGTGGCATTCGGCGGCGGGACGGGCGTGGCAGGCTGCTCATTGGCCGACTCGTGGCTCACTTGGTCTCCGTCGCCATTCATCGACCCGTCGGTGTCTCCTAGGCTGTCGCCCTGATTGAACGAAAGAGAAACAGCGTCTGTCTTTGTTGTCTCTGGGTCTGCGGGCGTGGACTTTTTGATTTTGAGCGGCATCGAGGCTGTTGACGAGGCTGTGCTCGTGGACAGATTCGACGCTCCAGACGGACGCGGCCGCTCGGGAATGGCCATTGCGGAGGTGCGCAGCGACGAGGTGCTGTTGATCACCTCGTACGCGTTATCGTCCGGGAGGCGGGGAATATCCACCGAGAGTTTGTGTTTTGGGAGCGGCGTGGACACGGACGAGACCGACGAGGCGTGGCTGCGGGCCCTGTGGGAGTCCTCGAACGAGAGCGAGGCCTTGTTTGTGGGGGTGGGGCTTGCGGACTCCTGTGCATCATCCATCTCCACGAAAGGCCCTAGATCCATGGCAATTGGTTGCGGGTGTATTACTGCCACAAATTGAGTGTTGTGAGAAAAAGATTCGAGACGCTAGCTCCTTTTGTTAGGATCAGTATTTAAATTAGTGATTTTTTATTTTCAGCCGAAAAGTTGATCCTCAGATAACGTAATCGGTTGCTATGCAAGTTGGCAAGAGCCGCTCCTCACAATTTCTGCTACGGCAACTGCTTTAGCGCTGGAAATGGATCCATTAATGGCGGTATCTTGCGCGCTTTTTCCGCGCTTGTCGCATTATATAAATCCACCCCATGGCCAACAATCTTAGCTTCCTTTGATATGTTCTTTTCTCTACCATCGTTAAAGGACATCCGCAAACTTGGAAAGCTCACATACCCATGTCCCGAGTGACAGAAACCAGAACTGTTGCACCTATCCCAGAACTTGTTCCCGGACATACAAATATTCCTGTTCATATACTGCGACCGATTAATGGCTGTTCTTAGTGGACATGGTCGGCGCTAATTTTGGGAGCTTTTGCTCCGACCTGCTTGTGACAGCTCTAGGAGATTTCCTGAGCAGAGCAGTTTATATCCTCCCGGCGAAAATCCTAGCGCCGGTTTTCCTAATGGGAGGATACGTCGACGCGGCCCATGCTGCGGAGGGGACATATAGAACTTTTGAAATACTGAAAACTGAATTTGAACGTACCTCCCCTTACATGGAAAGGGAGAGCGCATCCCCCCTATGGAAGGGGAGAAGTATATCCCCCCCTTCAGATAGGGAGAAATATAAAATGCGTTCCCCCTATAGAAGGGGAGAAATGCATCCCCCCTTTCAAATAGAGGGAAGGCAAATTACATGCCCTCCCTGTTTGGGATGGGTAGCCTCTCCCCCTCCCCTATGGTCAGGAGAGCCGCATCCACCCCTAGTTTCGAAAGTATACTTCCCGTCTTTCTAGTACAGGGCAGTGGTGGAACCCCATACCGGACGACCTATGGCAGTATACTTTCACGGGCCTACCCCGTCGTGATAGTAGTAGTTCAATGTGTGGTATAACTGGAATCTTCCAATGCTGGAAATATGGGCGAAAAAACGTGATTTGGTAGCAAAACCTTAGAAATGTCACAAGTGTAGCAAAGTGTAGAAACGTCAAAGTAAATGAACATCCAATTGCTATCCTGGTAAACGTTATACACCGGAGGGGGCATCCCCAGCAAAACGCACCAAGTGGACGGTTATACTGCTGAGTTCTATTCGTTAGCGCTAACAACATCGTCAGCCAATTGCTAAGCAATTCTTCAGAGGAATTCGATATCTGCTGACCTCGATTCAAGCTTCCAGGCCGTACTTCGTGCCAAGCCTGTGCAAAGCGTCGCTCGGTAATTAAACCCGCGCCAGCATCCGCACACACATTGACAGGTTCCTAGTCCTTTCAGTACCCCCGGATCAGGTTATAGAACCTATCCCGTTTCTTGCAAGCCACAATGGATGCCCCACAGTCCAGTGTCTACGTGAAGGCACTGCAGGTACTGGACTGCTATCCATCTGGCTTACAAGATCCGGTTAATCAACGCAATGGGCCCAATTTATCTTAGACTGGACTCCAAGGCGAGGAAAACGGAGTCCTCCCAAACTAGCCAATCTGAGAGTATCGTCCGTGATGAACAGAGAGCTTCCTGAAAGGGGCACATCTGATGTACCAATAATGAGCAATCTGCTGTCCATGAAGTTATATTTTGGGGCGCGGGGCCCTATTTATACGTGGGCGTCTAGGTTTCCGGTACGCGCCCACCCTACAATGTGCTTCATGGCTGTGCACCGTATTTAATTAAAAATAATCCTGATAATAATTTTCAATATATTCTAGATTTTGCCATGGAGAAACTACTTCAGTGGTCGATTGCCAATCAGTCCGACGACAAGGAATTGCGGGCCAAGACCCCAGCACCAGATCCTGAGCTTCTTGCTCAGCTTTTTGGACAGGCTGTTGATGAGCCTACGCAGATGAAGCAAAATATGGCAGTCATTACAAGCCCTGAGATCGACTTGGAGAACAAGCTCGTTGCCTTTGACAATTTTGAGATGCTGATTGAAAACCTTGACAATGCAAACAACATTGAAAACTTGAAGCTTTGGGATCCCTTGCTGCAGCAGCTGAGCAGCCCAGAGCCCAAACTCCAGGCCTTGGCTTGCTCCTGTATAGGAACGGCCACGCAGAACAACCCTAAGTCACAACATAACTTCCTTCAGTATGCGGAGGGTGAGAACGGGATGGCAAAGCTTGTGGAACTGGCTTCGGACAAGTCTCCAGAAACGAATCTGAAAGCTATCTATGCTCTGGCAAATATCGTGAGACACAACAAGGAAGGCGTGGAATCTTTTGAAAAGCACAATGGATGGGACATTATTGCTCCAATTTTGAACAGCGACAAGTCTAGTGAAAAGCTGAAACTGAGAGCACTGTCGCTGCTGAATGCTGCTTTATCAACCTCAATCGACTCGGCTAGACTTGAAAAACTGCAGCAGGACCAGGTTGTCAAGTCTCTGCTCGGTCTCATAAAGGTAGACGGCCACATAGGATGCGTAGACTCTGCCACTAGCATTGTGACGACGCTGATGTCTCACAAGTACAGTTTTGACGACGAGGAGAAGAAATTGGTGGTCCAGGCAGTGGAACAGCTGGAGAAAATGAAAGACCAAATCTCGCACGAGGACCTGCAAATCTTGAAGTCAGTATCTTAAATTTGCGCTAACTAACCTCTAGAACGTATTCGAAAGTTGATTATCTGCGAAGCTTGAAGAAGAAATCAGGCTAGTCGAGCAACTCGTTGGGATCTGTGCTTGTGAACACTTTCCTGAGATTCTGCTCGACGTCAGTTCGGATGAGCGACGGCATTCCCGTCTGCAACTTGTCAGCCAGCTGCACGAGAGTGGGGTAGTTCCTGGCCAGCGTGCGTGCTGAAGAGGTAACTAGGTATTTAAGTTGTTTGAGCGATTCTTGGTAGCACTCTTCGGGCGTCTGGCCGCAGCGGATATTGCCTATGTTGGCAAGCTCTCGATTTCTTTCGTGCGGGTCGTAGCTCTTTTGTGCCATGGTGTAACTGAAAGACCTGATCCAATCCACAAGCTCCCGAAGACCCTTGATGGGGAAAATGTGGATTCCGAAAAATACCTCCAGTTCAACCAGCTTTTTGCGCACAGTTTCTGCGGAAACCGTACTGTTGGCAGGACCCAGTACCCTCTGAGTCTTGTCGTGGTCCATTTTCCGCATCACCTGGCTCACAAACGCCCTATTATGTTGTGCGCGCAGCGTTTGCAAGTGCTGTTGGTAACCGTTGATCATGAGGACAACGTTGGCGTCCTGGCGCATCCGCTTTACCTTGAGGATTATTGTGCGCATCGTATCATCCCTGATCTTGTCCACGAGCTCCGCAGCGTCGTAGTAGAGCACGACGGTCGACTCGGTCTTCATATACTTGTCAATAGGCACATACGTTCCTTTTTGCTCGTGGTACACCGCCTCGACCTGCCTTTTGAACTGGATAAGCGGTAGATACAGAGATGCCGTGTCCACTTTGATGGGAGCGAGGAAACTGTCGAAATCAGCGTTGATCCCGGCCAGCTTCGCGTGCAGTCGCGTCTCAACCTCAACGCTCATTTCGGCCAGCAACTCATCCTTTGTACGTTGCATCTTGTTCACCTGTTTCAACTCCTTGCTCTTGAACTTTTTCGCGTGCTCCAGTAGCGCATCAAGGTCCCCCTGGGGCCCCTCCGTGGCAGCAGCAGGGGTAACAGCACTGGCGGGCTGTTGCGTCTTTGAAGGAGTGATGGCGGTTTTTGTGCTTATATCAAAAATGCTCCCCAACTGGATATCGTCGGACGGACCCACGGGATCTATCTCCAGGACAGACTCGTCTCCAGCGCCCGTCGGAGAGCTAGGAAGGGCTATTTTTTTGCGTTCGGCCGGCTCTGAGTCCGACTCTGAGTCCGACTCAAGAACAATGGCGTTCGACAGCGACGACGGCTGCTCTGGGTGCCGCTTTCGTTTCGCAGGGAGCGGGCTGGAGGTGATTTCGATGATGCTCGGCAGAGACGAGGGGGACGACCTGGCCGCCGATCTGCTGAGTTTGGGCGCGGGCGTTTTGGCAGACAAAAGCCGTCGTGTTGTGGGGACTGGAGACGAGGACACAAACAGGTGCGCGGAGCGCGGTCCAGGCGGATCGGACGATTCAAGGTCGATGATGTCCATGTAAACAAAGGAAAACTGGCTGGGAAAAAGATTCCGATTAGCTAAGCAGCGCATGTTACGTAATCGCAACTATGGAAAACGCATGTCAGGGTCGAGAGCAACTTTTGCAAGAACAGCTTCAGCCGTGGCATGTCACGTTTGTCTCCGCCTCTTTGCTGCCCTTGTCCAGTGCTATTTCCGCTTTGAGCGATTGCACTTTCTATTTGCCAATTTCCCGATCCAGTAACGGCCCTGTTCTATTTCGAAAAATTTGCCCCCGTTTTAGTAAATAGTACATACGTCTTGTTTATGTATTTCTGTCTAGGTATAATTAGCTGAAATTCACAGGCTTCATATTGAAACAAATTGCTCTTATTTTTTTAATCAATCTCAATTCCTATGCTGCTCACTTCTCTTAACAGACTGCTCACTTTACTGTTGCTGGCCGGTGCGACGCTGCTTCTGTTGTTTATCGTCTTCTCCGGCTCGGTCTCGTCCTTCCCTTTCAACCAGTTTTACTGGGTGCAGGCCAGAACCTCCAACCTTAACCCCAGCGGAGACATTTCGAGATGGACTTTCTGGGGAATTTGCAACCCAGAGACTTACGACTCGCACTCCAACGGAAATTGCACAAACCTGGGTCCTGACCAGCCTATCTCTCCATACGACAACTTTGGGAACTCGACCTCGTTGCCCCAGGACTTTGTCACCAATAGAGATACCTATTACTACCTCTCGAGATTCTCGTTCCCATTCATTCTGATTGCCCTTGTGTTTGCTGGTGTCAGCTTCATCTGCACGCTGTTCCAACTGTGCTGGACAACCATGAAACAGGTTGTCATCTTCTTTGTCTCTCTGAGCGTTCTTTTCTGTGCTGCCGGTGTCTCGTGCCAGACTGCCGTCTCTGTGATGGTGAGAAACAAGTTCTCCGACGCCGGCATGAGCGCCAAGGTCGGCCCGTCCATGCTCGGCATGGCCTGGGCCGCCTTGGTGTGTCTGCTGATTGTGTTTTTCCTCACCTGCTGCAGTGGCATGCACAGAGCGTACAAGATCCACCGCGAACAGCGCCAGCTGGAAATGGGCCAGACCGGCCCAGCCGGCGCCCCGGTCTCGCAGCCCGTGTCCGGCCCTCTTGCCGTCGACGAGACCAACCAGGGAACGCTCCCTTCCAACGAGGGCGGCATCCGCTTTTTCAAGATCAAGCGAACCCAAAAGGCCATTGACGAGGAATCGTTGTAGATGATACCTGTATAACTAGAGCTCCGCTCGAAAATAATACCAAGAACTCACTTCACCTATGTACACTCTCTTATTCATTCTTCTGCTCCCGCTCGCGGAGAATCTCCTCCTGTAGCTTCCGCAGCTGTCTCCGCTTTTCCTCTGCTTTCAACTTGAGCTCCATCTTTTTTTCCTCCATCTTTGTCTGCGCCGTTTCCAAAATCCGCTCGTTGAAGCCGCTCAACGTGTCCTCGACAGTGTCCAGCGAAGGACCCTTGTTCACAGTGCCCAGGATCACCTCTGCAACCGTCTTGTCAAACTCGCCCGGGCTTGGTTGCGAGCCCAGACCGCTCAGATCCACGCTCAGCATGTCTTTCACCGCCTGCAGCTTTCTGTCCGAGAACGCGCTGTCCACCATCTCCTTGAGCTTTTCGTCCGTCACGGCAAAATTCGCCGCCGCGTTGTACAGTTCCAACAGCTTCACCGCCTGGGCCTGCTTGTGCTCCAGCTCCCGCGCACGCCGGTTCGCCTCCCGCTTCAGCCTCAGCTCCTCCTTTTCCTCCTCCGTGCGCGGCCGTATGAAAGGGCCTTCCAGATAGCTCTCGACGGTCGGCATCGTGTACACCTCGGCGTGCGAGGCCTTGTACTCACGCGCGGCTTGCTCCACCTTGGCCTGTTCCTCTGCCCGGCGGCGCTCCTGGGCCTCCAGTCTCTCCAGACGGCTCACCTCCGTCTTGTACGACTCGGCAAGATACTTTCTGCGGAGCTCGGCCTGTTTAATGTTGGCGCGCTGTTCCGCGGCCATTTTTTGCAGCTCAGACTCACTCGGCATCTGTTTAGGCGGCCTGGCCGTGCGCTGAAGCCGCTCCTCGGGCGTCACCACCGGCGGGCGGATCAGCTCTCTTGTTGTGCCGCGAGGGTGCAAGATCCCGTCGGCGTACCCTGTGTCCGGCTCTTTCTGGTACACAACGTGCTTGTACGGCTGTTTGAAAATCTCCCGTGGTTTCGGCAGGAATCCGCTTTTTCCTCCAAACCTCGCAGCTCCTTTTCCCATGGTGAGTTGAAAGTTGGTAAAAATTTTTATTTTTGATTAAACTTGCGTCGATCGTCCATGAGCATCTCCGCAAGACTGTCAATTGCTTGGGAGTCGTCTTCAAAGCCGGAAGAAAACACCTCGACGATGGTGCTCAGCACGCCGAGCGAGCGTTTTGTCGACGTGCGGCCCTTGCTAACGCCCTGCGGCGACTTCCCCTTCGAATGGGCCTTCGCTGGTTCTGCGCGGCTTCTGGCCCCTGACGGCTCGCAGATCGAGTTCTCGCACGATTTCTTCGACTCAGACTATATCCGCCGCTGGTGCGAGTGCAGGAAACGCGAACTGGCTGGCGAGACCGTGCAATACCCGCTCAAAAGCGACATCCCGAAAGATATCGGCCATTTCGAGACGTTGCAGGACGGCACTCGCCGCGAAACAGGCACCATGTACAACCCAGGCTCGGGAACTGAGGAGCAGTATGAAGAGAGATGGGTTTCTCTGGATCCGTGGAAAACGACGCCGCAACACAAGGTGCAGGCCGGGTCGACCGTCGCGGCAGAGTCGCGCCTCTTTGACGTGAAAAGTGGAGGCGAGGGCCGGTTCGTCCGCGTAGGCAACTGGGCCCAGGGTGTGTTCTGGAACAAGGACAACCTGGACACCCCGATTTCGGTCGTGAGGGTATTCTTCGATGGCCGTTGGAACCCTGTGCTACAGCATGGCGATTGCTCCATGTTCCCGGTGGGCGAGAACCCGGCAGTGGGGGCCATTGTTTCCAAAGGTACTGTTACGTGGGAGGTTTTAGAGTAAGCAACTTTTAGTCAATCCGTACTTAGACAACTCGACTTGTATTTCTCTAACGATCTACTCATGAATTCTGTGGTGCTCTGGCTGCTCAGTGATGTCCCGGCTCCTCCTCCTCTTCAAACACAAACCAGTCGTCTGGGTTGTACTCCTCGGCAGCGGTCTCGCCGGATGCCTCGACGACCTCGACCTTGGCAGAGTCGTACTCGGCTAGCGCGTCGGCGCCCTCACCCTCCAAAGATGGGACCTTGGCGGCCTGTGGGAGCTTCCATGGCTTGGTAGCGGCCTCAGCGTCGGCAGCAGAGGCAGGAGTAGGCTTGAAAGCCTTGAGTTCCTTGACGTAGAGATCGGTCACAAGGTTGTTTCTAACGGCCGACACCGAGAGGAATCTGGCATTCTGGCGCAAAAAAAGCTTCTGCGGGTTAGCAATGGCATTCTGGGAAGCACGTACTGAAGACCTGGCGACAATGTTGAACATTTTGGATCGGTCAAAATGGTGTATACGAATAAGAATGGAGAATTTTCGTTGGATGAGAGAGAAAGAAAGGGCTGCGTAACCGAACAGCTGGCGAAACAATTATTGGCTCTTCATCTCTACACCGCTCAGGACCAAATTACTTAACCTTACTCTATTTAAAGGTCGGCGTCATCCTCGTCAGGCAGTGGCATGGCCGCAGCCTGGTCCATCTCGGCCTGGTACTTGGCCATCAGGTCGGCGTCGACAGACACCTCCGGAGGAGCCAGGGCCGGCGACTCGACAAACTCGAGCTGGGAGTTGCCCACGAGCTTTCTGGCGAGCCACAGGAACGGCTTCTCGAAGTTGTAGTTCGACTTGGCAGAGATGTCGAAGTATTGCAAGTTCTTCTTTCTGTGGAAGGTGATGGTCTTGGCCTTGACCTTTCTCTCCTTGACGTCGACTTTGTTACCGCACAGGACAATAGGGATGTTCTCACACACTCTGACAAGGTCTCTGTGCCAGTTTGGAACGTTCTTGTACGTGATTCTCGAGGTGACGTCGAACATGATGATACCACATTGACCGTTGATGTAGTAACCGTCTCTCAGTCCGCCGAATTTCTCCTGTCCGGCCGTGTCCCAAACGTCGAATCTGATCTCACCGAAGTTGGTGTAGAATGACATTGGGTGGACCTCAACACCGGAGGTGGCCATGTATTTTTTTTCAAATTCACCAGTCAGGTGTCTCTTGACGAAAGTGGTCTATATTTTGTTAGTGTGCCAACGCCTGTATGCTACTTACCTTTCCGGTACCACCGTCTCCGACCAAAACGAGCTTGAATGTGGGAACTTGTTGTTGAGCCGACATATTGCTAAAATTATTGATAAACAAAGGCACGCCTTTCAGTTTTATCCAGCAAAATCAAGGAAAAATTTGTTGTTTCGCGCACGACCTCACATTAGGCCCCTCTGCAATAAATACTCTACACATTGCCCGGCTGCTGTAGCGACTGGCCGCTCTATTTTCTCGTGGGGCCACCCAATTCGGTCGCCGGCTCGGTCGCCTTCTTCCACTCGGCAATCACCCGCTTCTCCTCCACCACGTCGTAGTACGTTGCTCTGGGTGGCGGGTTGGGGAAGCCCTGCAACGTGGGTGGCGGTGGCAATTTCAGCTCGTTTTTCTGCGTGCGCAAGCCTGGCATCCCCGTGTAGTGCGTCTCCAGACTGTACTCCCACGGCAGCTCCTGGGTCTCCAGCAGGCCATATTCACGGGCAATCTCCTCGTAGTACTCGCAATAGAATGTCAGGTGGTTGCGGCCCTGCAAATGCGACTTACGCACGCTCAGCGAGTCGTGCGTCAGGTACGATTTGCAGTAGTCACAGTAGTACTTGGGCATACCAATAAAGTGCCTAGTTGAATTATTTTTTTCAATTTAAATAAATAAATTGATAATTTTATTTCATGTCTCTTCCTTTGGTCTACGATTCCGCCTCGAAGAAAGTGTCGTTGGCGGAAGACACGTCGGCTGCGGCGTACGAAGATTTGCAGTTGGAGGTCTCCCAACTAAACACGCTGATAAAGGACTACGTCAATGCCAACGTCGACGTTCCTCCATTGCCAACAAGAGAAAACTACACCAAAAACCTGAGCATGATGATCAAAAAAATGCACGAGAGCGCGGCTGCGTCGATGCGGACAAAGAAGTACGCGGATGCGGCCAAACAGTTTGGCGTTGCGCTCGGTCTGGCCGCCGCAAGACCGAAATTCGAAAATTTCCAGATGACGGTCAGCGAGGTGCTGATCTGTCTAGTTGGCCGCTGCGATGCCAACATGATGCTCGAAAACTGGCTCGACGCGTACGTGGATGCCGAACTGCTGTGCCAGCTGGCCGCCAACATCCCGGAAAACCATCTCCGGAAGGGTGTTTGTCAGATGAAGCTGGGCAACCTGCTCGCGGCCAAGTCTGACCTCGAAAGAGGCCTTTGCTTCAATCCGTCGCACCCCAAGCTGGCCGAGGAGCTCGGAAACGTCCAGCGTCTGATCGATGAGGAGAATGGAGACCTGTGAGTTACATAGTGTACCGGAGTAAATATTGTGGCTGTGTAACATGCCATTTATTTTGTATTAATTTTGTTTGCCATGTCTGCTGACGAGGTGCAAATACTCGATGTTTCCGAGCTGTCGCCGCGCCAGGACGACCGCCCCGTGCGCGACTCGTCTGATGCTTCCCCCGTGTCCTCTCTGATTTCGCCCCAGGTGCCTGCGATGCAGCGTTTTGTTGCGCCGTACAGAAGAAAGGATGGGATACGAGACGAGACGAAGCGGCAAAAAGTTGAGCCGGCGTTCAAATCGGAGGTGATCGATTTGACGTCTGACGCAGAGGAAGAGCCTGCGCCAGCCAATGAGAAACGGGAATACACAGAAAACGACGACATGGACCAAGAGGACGACGTGGTATTTGTCAAGTCGACCAACATCAGTCCCCCCACAACGAAACCTTCCGGCCAGCCGCATGATTTTAGGGAGTCGTTGCCGGCCACTGCCGAGGGTTTGCGAAACGTGCTTGTCCAGGCACGGGAGTACTTGCACAGGCTAAACGAGAACGTGAAGAGGCTGATGGAGCGACGCACGGCGGTGATCAAGTACCTGACGAGCGACGCATGCCGCAATGACGCGAAAAAGACCGATCATTTCCAGCAGATGGAGAGTGCGATCAGCGCAAAGATAGAACGCTATTTCCTGAAAATTAGAACCACGAGCGAAAAGATTCAGGTGCTGTGCCAATACGAGCACCACTTTAATCCACGGCCGCGGCCGGGCGTCCAAGGCGACCCGCTGCTGAGATACCACGCCGAGCCGGAGAATGCAGGCTCTTCGGCCAGAACCTACGATACCTACGCTTTCAATCCATATATGCAGCGATTCAACAATTATTCGGACGCAGATGATATCCAGCATCTGCTCGACACCATCAAGCCCGACGAGGTGTACGAGGACGGAGACGTCCGTGATCCTGAAGATCTGAGCGTGGCGCTTCTCAAGCACCAGAAAATCGGGCTCAAATGGATGCTAAGTATGGAGGAGTCCGCTAACAAGGGCGGAATTCTTGCAGACGACATGGGATTGGGCAAAACGATGCAGGCAATCGCGTTGATGGCTGCCAACAAGGCCGGTCCCAATGAGTGCAAGACGAATCTGGTGGTGGCACCAGTTTCGCTGCTCCAGCAGTGGGGGCAGGAGCTTGACTTCAAGCTTAAAAAACAGTCAAAGATCAGCTATTTTATCTTCCACCAGGGAAATAAGCTCAACACGTTCAAGGAGATGACACGGTACGACGTGGTTTTGGTGTCTTACAACACGCTCACGTCCGAGATGAAGAAACACTACCGTTTGGCTCTCGAGGAGCTGAAAACGAAGAAGGCCACGCTACCGGAACGCGACGACGGCGGCTCGCACTACCGGTCGCCTTTCTACACTTCGGACGCCGTTTTCCACCGCATAATACTCGACGAGGCCCAGGCCATAAAGAACAAGCTCACGCAGACGTCCAAGGCGGTCGCACTGCTCGACTCCAAATACAGGTGGTGTCTCTCCGGCACGCCTATCCAAAACAACATCGACGAGCTGTATCCGATTTTGCGGTTTTTGAAGATCAAGCCGTATTGCGAGGAGGCCCGGTTCAAAGAGCGCATCTCGAATGCATTGCGGAGCAAGTACGGCGGCGAGACGCGGGGTGTGCAGACGGTGCAGGCCCTGTTGACGGCGATTCTGCTTCGTCGGACGAAGAAGACTCTGATTGACGGCAAGCCGATCTTGCAGCTACCTGAGAAACACGTAGTGGTCAACCACGTGGAGATGAAGGAGGACGAGCGCGAGTTCTACTACAACCTCGAGGCGCAGTCTGCCGACACTGCAAAAAGGATTCTGGCCGGTTCTGGCGACGGCCACAAGCACAAAGGCGGATACAGTGCTATCCTCACGCTGTTGCTGCGACTCAGACAGGCGTGCGACCACAAGTTTCTGGTGAAGATTGGCGAGAACAAAGAGAGAGAGTTTAAAGTGAGCACGATCAAGAGCGGGTTTGAGACTGCCAAGAGATTTGACCGCACTTTGTGCGACCAGATCAACGAGCAGTGGAAGAATGGGTTTTCGTGCCAGATGTGTTTTGATGTGATCGAGGCGGACGCCAACGTTATTCTGCTTGGAAGCTGTGGCCACGCGGTGTGCAGAGACTGTCAGGAACAATTTTTCGAAGACAACACAGAGACGGTCTGGAACGGTGTGCGGTCTGCGCGGTGCAAAACGTGCAACAAATCCAGCAGCGAGAGTTTGTGTGTGGAACTTCTGGTGTTTGACTCGGTGTGCAACAAGCGGCTGGAATGGAGAGATGTGCAAAAACAGTTCAACATCCAGACTCAGTCTTTGAACAGTGCCCAGCGAATAGAGAAGGTCAAACGTTTGATAGCCAGCGAGGACGGCCAGCTGGAGGTGTCGGCCAAGATCGAGCGGTGCTTGACGCTGATCAAAGATATTTTGGAGACGAAGCCGGGCGAGAAGGTGATTGTGTTTTCGCAGTTTATGGTGCTCTTTGACATTCTGGAGTTGTTTTTGCGGGATCACGGGATCGAGTATCTGCGATACGACGGGTCGATGAACGTGGAGGCCAAGAGCGCGAGCGTCGCCACCTTCTACCAGGATCCAAATAAAAAAGTGATGCTGCTGTCGCTCAAGGCCGGAAATGTCGGTCTGACACTGACGTGTGCGTCGCACGTGATCATCCTAGAGCCTTTCTGGAACCCGTTTGTGGAGAAGCAGGCCCAGGACCGGGTCCACCGTATCTCGCAGGTGCGCGAGGTGTATGTGCACCGGATTTTGATCAGGAACACGGTGGAGGACCGGATTATCGAGCTACAGGCGGAGAAAGAGAAGTTGGTGGAGAGCGCGCTGGATCCAACAGCCCGCCAGCAGGTGAACCGGTTGAGCCGCGTGGAGCTGGGCTTCCTTTTTGGACTTAACGGCCTGAGCGGTCTGGAAAATGTTTAAGTGGGGTATGCTGCAGGGTTCCTCGCGGGGTGTGCTGGCGGAGACCGAAAAATGCTCTTTTTTTTTTTTTTTAGCCAATAGATAATAGAAGATAGGGGTGTCTACCGGGTGAGATTAGATGTCACCAGCCCAAATGGAATCGCTCCCGACGCTCTTGACGCCGCAGTCAGATCCCAACAGCAGGTCTCCAGCGCCCGTGCAGATCAAGGACAAGAAGGGCCGGTCCACGTCGTGTTACCTGTGCCAGAAACGAAAGCAGAAGTGCGATCAGCGCTCGCCTAGCTGCACCAACTGCGTCAAGTCGCAAACCACTTGTGTGCAGCCCCCGCGGTATGGCACGAGCAACAGGACAAACGTAAAGAGTGAGTACACGGTTTTCCTGGAGAAAAAGGTGCAGCAGCTGGAGAAGCTGCTGGAGGCCCGAAATAAAGAAGAAGTGGCAGAACCGCCTTCGAAATACAGAAAAATCCGGCCGCTGATGCGCACAGAAGAGCCACAGGTGTCGCTGAACCCCTACAAGGACACGCTGGGCAAGCCGTTTGACGAGTTTTTCATGGAGCACGGCGAGAAATACGATCGTTCCATGCTTGCCGGGCTGAGACTCAAAGTTTTTTTCAAAAAAGAGCCAATCTTCGAAATCGACCTGAAACTGGCGAAACAGCTGGTCGACATATATTTTGCGCTGCTGCAGTACAAGTTCCCGATGCTCAACGAGAAGGAGCTGCTCGACTTCCAGAACGACTACTATAACCGCGTGGCGCCGAGGTCTGCGGATGACTACCATTTCAACTGTGCAAGGATGTTTCTGGTGTTCACGCTTAGCTCGACGTTGCACGAGACGACGGGCAAGTACAAGGGCCCGGAGCCGCTGCGGTTCTTTTCGGCCGCGCTGCGCCACATCCTCATGTTCGAGAACGTGGACAGCACGCAGAAGATCGAGCTGCTGGTGTTGATCACGTGCAACCTGATCCGCAACGATAAGGACAGCAACGGCGTGTACGACGTGATTGGCCAGGCGATGCAGCTGTGCATCAAGCTGCGACTGCACAAGAGCAGCACCTACCAGAACGTGAGTGCTGCGAAGCGCGATCGGCAGATGCGGCTGTTCTGGTGCTGCTATCTGCTGGAGAAAGCTATAGCCATTGCCATATCCAAACCGTTCGTTTTGAAGGAGCGCCTGACCGACGCAGACCTGCCGATGTTTGAGTACGAGCCGTCCCGCGCGCTTCATCCGAGCGACAAGCTATTCATCAATCAGATCATCAAGATCCGTCGTACCGAGGCGCGGTTCATCGAGGAGCTCAATATTCTTGGCAGCACTTCGATAACCACTAAAGACCAGCTCCCGGCAGTCGAGCGGTTTTTCCAGCAGCTACAGGACTGGCGCAACGAGTGCCACGGGTTCAGCAGGGGCATTGAAAACGAGACTCTGAGCATATATTACTACCGGTCTGTGCGGAACCTGATCCAGCCATTTCTGGAGCTGTTGGACCCCGAGGACCGTCTTTTTAAGGAATGCCAGGCCGCAGCGGGCCAGATCTGCCAGAGCATCAAGGCTTTCCACCAGAAGACCGTGCGCGGCCACTCTGTCATCAACATCCATACCATATTTATTGCCGGAGTCACGCTGATCTACTGTCTGTGGTTGCACAGAAACCGCGACGACATGCGCCGCAAGCTGCTCGGAGACGACAAAAAACACACGCGACCGGTTGTGTCGGAGGCGCTGTTTGCCGGGCTCGACGATCTGCGTGCCTGCTCCATCTCGCTGTACGTGATGTCTGAGCGCACCAAATTCGCGCTCTCGTTTAGAGAAACGTTCGAGGAGCTAATGACCGCCACGATCGGCAATCTGATTTTGCGATGCGGGCCAGACTCGTCGGAAGTGGTGCAGACACCGCAGAACGCGATGCCGCCGGCCACGGTGCGCAAGCCGCTCCAACATTACACCGTGGAGTCGGAGCTGAACATGAAGCCGACCGACGCAGATCGACGCGAGGAGGAGGAGCTGTCGCAGCGGCGCGGCCAGCTCACGAGAAGCACGATCCCAAAGGGCCTGAGCCACCTGCTGATCCACTCGCCGCCGCTACCGCCGCAGAACTCGTATCTGGCGCCCCGAGTCACGTCGTCGCCGTCCAGCCTGCGCAGCACAGCCAACTTGTTCAATCGACCGCAGACCGGGTCGCCGCTACCGGCGTCGCCGCAGCCCCAGCTCCGGTTGCTGCAGCCTGAAAGCACCTTCAGCCCGCCGCAGCTGTCTGCACAGCCGCTGGCGGCCCCAATCACGCCGGTGCCCAACATCCCCGAGATGATGCCGTTTGTGGGGCGCACCACAGCCATGATCAACAACATTTCTGTCTGGACCGGCGAGAGCGGCCAGCAGATCCCGCAGACGGGGCTCGTGATGCTGCAGGGCGCCAACAAACAGTCCAGCGCGGCGTCGCAGCTGCCGCTCTACGAGGCGTGCTACGCCCAGCCCGAGGACCTGTTTTCGTGGCCGTGGCAGAACGACCAGCTCGCCGACACGGGAGACTTTGCGTTCCTGCCCTAGTAGCACTACATCCCTGCACCATGTAACACGCTCGAAAATAAAAAATTTCAGCCGCAAACGACAGAATAAATTAGTCTTCACACCTATCCCAAACAATGAGCGTGGTTGATGGTCTAAAGTACGCGTATGGGTTCTACTATTTCCTATTGCCCCACTACATGCTGACGAAGTACGAGTCGTACGCGCTCCACTTCACAAATTTGATGCTTTTGCTCGTGGTGGTGTACTGCGCCAATCTTGTTATGACGCCGGTTTTTGGCAACCTTGTGGACTCGGCCTCCAAACCGGTTTTGGGCTGAGACGCTAGCAGGTCTAGCTGGAAACGCTTTCATTGTCCCCGATGCTAGATAGTTTTGCTTTTGAATCAGATATTGGCTTGACCTGGCCGCTCTCTATTTTCGAGGCTGAGTGGGTCGACTCACATTCCGACTCGGAGATCTGTAGCTGTGTGAAGCTCGCCACCGACCCGTCCAGTATCTCTGCCGGCAAAGACACGGCTTCGCCGCCTGGGTTCTTGGCCTCTGCGGGCTCTGTGGGCTCTGTGGAGAGGTCGATCAAATCCTGCGGGAACGGGTTGTGCGACGACCATTTCGTGCCCGTCTTGGGCACCGGCTCGGGCACCGGCTCGGGCTCCACAGGCTGGTTTTCGGTCTTATTCTCGCCGCTCAGCTGGATTTCCGGGAACCGGTCCATGTTGAAGTCGACAAGCGAGTCTTCGGATGGAAGCGACGACTTGAGGTCCACAGAAGTATCTGTTGCCTCTGTGGGCTGCGATTTCTGCGGATCGACCGTCACTACCGGCACAGCAGGATCCTGGGGCATCGATTTGAACGGCGAGTACATTGGGATCACACTCGCCGTGAACTGCTCGATTGGCGGGTGCATCTGCTCTGTAGGCGGGTGTTTGTACTCTCCCTGCATATAGAAGTCCTCTATGCCCTTGGGAACGTCGATGTCCATCATGCGGCAGATCTCAGCCGTCACCTGGTATATGTTGGGCCGGTACACGGGATTTTCCTGAAGCATGATGTTGATGAGACTCTTCAGCGAAGTCGAGTATCGCGGTGCGGATGGAAACCGGTACGCACTGTGCAGGATGGCCAGCTCGCCGGCCGTCTCGAAAGGTGTGATGTAGTAGCATAGTTTGTATAGGAAAATGCCGAGAGCCCAGATGTCTGATTTTTCGTCGATCGGCAGTCCGCGGTACAGGTCGATCATCTCTGGAGGTCTATATTGCGGCGTTGTCTGTCTCAGCAGGTCGTTTGTGAGGATCTGGAACTCCTGGTGGTTGCGTGGCGGACGCAGCACGGGACACGTGGACCCGAAGTCGCACAGCTTGAACGTGTATTTGTCGTCAATCAGCACGTTCTCTATCTTGATGTCCCTGTGGATCAGCTTCAGTCTGTGCATCGCGTAGACTCCCTGCGAGATGTCCAGCATGATTTTCAAAATTTCCGGCTCTGACAGCTTGGTGCTTAGCCGGGCATTCATGTGATCCAACAGCGACTTGTTGGGACACAATTCCATCAACACCAGCACCTCGTAGCAGTGGCTGTTGGGCACTCTTGACGCGTGCGAGTCCAGATACTTGACCACGTAGTCGCAATGGGCCAGCCGCTGCATGACCTCGACCTCTGCGCGCAGCAGATTGAGCCCCTGTTTGTTGGGCACAACCACCCGTTTGAGACAGGCAAACTCCGGCTTCTCGCTGATCTGGACCAGATATACGTGGGCAAAGCCGCCGGCGGAGATATAGTTGACGATTTTCGCCTTGTGGGAGCCGACCTGAAGTTCTGTTCCGGCGGGTAACCGCTCCAAAACTGGGGGTTCTGACATTGCAATAAAAAGAATATTTTTCTGGCTACAATTAATAAATTATTGGACAGAAATCCGGCCGGACGGGGGAAGTCAACGGAGTTTGTGCTATTTAGACACAATTGTAGGGACAGAGACTTTCTTGATCCCGCTTTTTACTCGGCGCCCGTGTGCCAACTTTCAGAGCTAAAATGGCCGCTCAGATTTCTCGGTATACTTCTCCATAGTCAAATTATTTTAATTTTCTTATGAATCTCTCGCTTTTAGACCCCTTTGCGGTGGCTAAAGAATATCCCGACACACTCGCTCAGACGCTTGCATACGGCCATTCTACACAGGTACGGTACAGCTATAAGGGCGACTACCTTGCGTCGGGGCTCATCGATGGCATTATTCTCATCATCGACACGGACACCAACAGCACGATCCAGGTGCTCCGGGACCACACGCGCGCCATCACGTCGCTGACCTGGTCGTCCTGCGGACGGTATTTACTTTCCTCGTCCAAGGATTGGAAGGTGAACCTGTGGGACCTGGGAACGTGCAAGGTGATCCGGAGTTACAATTTCGAAGGGCCCGTCTGGTGCAGCGTGATGAACCCGCAGAACCACTTTCAATTTGTTGCGGCGCTGGTGGACAACGATGCTGTTTTTGCAGACCTCGAGAACGAGCCCAAAATTGCCAAGCTAGACACCAATCCGCTGGGCCAGCCAAACACCGTGAAACAGTCTACACTGACGGCTACAATGACCCCGGACAGTAACTACATTTTCACAGGTACCAGCAAGGGCTGGCTGAACGTGATAGACACGCATAGTCTGCAAATAGTGCGCTCGTTGAATGTTTGCAGCTCGAACATAAAAAATATAGAGATCTCTCCCAACTGCTCGAAATTGGCCGTCAACTCGAGTGACCGCATCATCCGACAGTATACGATGCCGGATACCTCTGCTCCGATAGAAGACTGGGAGTTTGAGCTTGAAAACCGGTACCAGGACGCCGTGAACCGACTGCAGTGGAACGCGTTGAAGTTCAACCACAACTCGGAATACATGTGTGCTTCCACGCTCGGAGCGACTCACGACGTGTACATCTGGGAGACCGGAATGGGATCGCTGGTGAAGATCCTGGAAGGCTCGAACGACGAGCTGCTGGCTGTTGACTGGAACTATCGCAAATGTTCTATTGTGGCCACCACGATGGACACCGGCACGCTTTTCATCTGGTCGGTGGTGATCCCGCAGAAGTGGAGTGCGCTGGCTCCCGATTTCGAGGAGATCGAGGAGAACATTGATTATGAAGAGAAGGAGGACGAGTTCGACTATGTCGACGAGGACGACATGAACAAGCAGATCGAAGAAGAGGGCGACGTGATCGACGTGATTCAGCGCGAAAAGGTGGACGCTCGCGGATTCCCGTTTGTGGACTCGTTTGTGATCGAGAGCGTGCCTGTTTCGGAGTGACTTTAGCAGCATTTGCTGGGTTGAGCAGTCGCTAGCGTGATGGCGTCGTAACTGAGGTCGCCGTACTGCACGCCGCTCGCGGGGTCTTGCGGGTCGATCTGCCCGAGCTCGATCTTTGTGACCAGAGAGCCGGCCACGGTCTCGAACACCGTGTCCACATTGGAATTGTCTAAAGCACTGGCCGAGACAAACTGGACGGTTCGTCCCAGCATCACAGAACTGCTGTCGACTAAGCCGGCAATCTCGCTCCTTGAGACCGCCTCTGGCAGGTCGTTCTTGTTCCCGACGAGCACCACGCACGAATCGGGCGGTGTCATGCTTTTCACGTCCTGCATAAACTCTGAAACGTCCTGGAAACTGGCTCTGGAGCTGAAATCAAAGACCACCACGACGCCGCTGGCGCCGCGGTAGTACGACCTAGTGAGGGCGCGGAACCGTTCCTGGCCCGCCGTGTCCCATATTTGCAACTTCACGCGCGTGCTGCCGTCCACAACGGCCACTTTGGAGGCAAACCCCACGCCGATGGTCTGGGACACGGCCTTCCAGTCTCGCGAGACGTATCGGTGAAGTAGCGAGGTCTTGCCGGAACCAGACGAGCCAATCAGAACGACTTTCGCCAAATACTCGTACTGCTCGCGCGTCCGTGGGATGGTCGACCGCGAATCGAGCGAGGACAAACTGGTCTTTTTCATGTAAAACAAATAATTATACACACGGCTGTGTAGATAAGACAAATATTATATATATTATTTCCATTTATTACTCTATCAGTTCTTAAGAACGGACGCATCGTGGGTCTTGGCGTATCTTCCCGAAGGGTCCTCGTGGCATCCCCATTCGGCCTTAGGCACCCATCTCATGACAGTGGAACCGGCAGCCTTGCTTGGGAACAGCTCGTCGAACTTGCAGCGGTAGAAGTAGGCCTCCTTGGTGGTTGGAATATCGTCGCCCCATTCTGGCTTAGGGTGGGCAAACTCCTCATCAGACACGGATCTTTCCGCAAGCTCCTTCAATCCGTCGATCCACGAGTAGCCCACACCGTCAGAGAACTGCTCCTTCTGTCTCCACAGGATCTCGTCTGGCAGGTATGGCTTGGCAGATGGGTCATCGCTGGTATCGAACGCCTTTCTCAGAATGTATTTCTCGATTCTGCCCGCCTCAGGAACGATCATCTTCTCCTTAGGGTCGATGTTCATGCAAAGCTCCAGGAACTGCTTGTCCAGGAACGGCACACGGGCCTCCAGTCCCCATGCCATGGTGGACTTGTTGGCTCTCAAACAGTCGGCGTAATGTAAGTTCTTGACTCTCTTGACGCACTCAGTGTGGAACTCTTCAGGAGACGGAGCAGAGGCAAAGTACAGATAGCCACCCAAGATCTCGTCGGATCCCTCACCAGAGAGCACCATCTTGACACCCTGCGCTTTGATTTTTCTCGAGAGAAGGTACATAGGGGTCGACGCACGGATCGTCGTGACGTCGTAGGTCTCCAGATGGTAAATCACGTCTGACAGGGCGTCGAAGCCTTCATCCACGGTGAAGGTGTGCTCGTGGTGGATCGTTCCAATGAACTTGGCCACCTTCTTGGCAGCAACAAGGTCCGGAGCACCGGGCAGACCGATCGCGTACGAGTGCAGCTTGGTCCAGCCCGAAAGAGCAAGCTTTCCATCGTCGTCCACACCGGTCAGCGTGTGCGACGCGTCGATGCCCTCGGAGTGAGAATCGGCCTCCTTGGCGGCCTTGGCGGTCTCTCTGGCGGCGATCGACGCGATCAGCGACGAATCCAGTCCACCAGAAAGCAGCACACCAAACGGCACCTCTGCCATGAGTCTCTTTCTCACAGCCATCTCCAGCGTCTCTCTCACCTTGGTGTAGTCGACAGGCTGAGTTGGGATTTTTTCGCCGTCCCACCACGAAGGCGTGAAGTACCGGGTGAGCTTATCGGTCTTCGAGTCGTACACGTGACCAGGCGGGAAATGCGTGATCTCGTCGCACTCGTCCGTCAGACATTTCAGCTCCGAGGCAAAAAACACTGTTCCTGGCCTGCGGGACGAACGGCCCATGTACAGCGTCGTGATACCAATAGGGTCTCTGGAGGCAACGACCCGGTCCTCCTCCTTGTCATAGAGCACCCAGGCAAACATACCATCCAGATATTTAGGGGCGTCCACGTCGTACTTCTGGAACAGCGGGATGATAGGCTCACAGTCAGACAGAGTCTTGAACTTGTAATCTTTGAACTCTTCTCTGATGTGGATATGGTTATAGATCTCGCCGTTGACGGCAAGAGTGTATCTTTCGTCTGGAGAAGTGATTGGCTGAGCACCCGAATCAAGGCCAACGATGGCCAGTCTCTCGTGGCACAGGATCGTGTTGTTGATGATCTTGTTTCCCGACCAATCTGGACCCCTGTGTCTGATTCTCTTCGAGTATTGCAGGGCCTTGCCCTTGAAGGCCTCCACCTCCTCGACGTTGTAAGCAGCAAAGATACCACACATGTTGAAGATGTTTTTCCTGATGAAAAATTATTTATTTAGTCATCGTCGTGCAAAGTCGAAATAGAGATAATAAACTCTACTGGCTGACTATGGACAGCACTGGCCAGGGTTAGGTTTGCTGTCGGGTTCATTGTATTTGTGGAACACTGACAGCGTATATGCCACATGATCTCCTACAAATGGCTAATCGCTATGCTTGCCGCGACGTCCGTTGCTCGCAACCACGACAAGCCCGGTGTTGTGTTACCCGGCGCGATAAGCAGTCGGAGTAGCTCGCTACAAACTCGCAGCAGGCACAAGCAGGCTCCCGGTGTCTATCTAGGGAGGGAGGGAGTGTTATGGAGATGGGAGGAAGCATTTTATGCGGTTCAAGACTCCATTCCGTTCTACTGGTTTGTCTTCAGTGATATGCAAATGCGACCACTGATCAGTCTGGTATTGATACAGACTGCCAGTCGGTGTCTTCAACGGTCCCTGGAAAGCGGGTAGGTGGCATTTCGGCCCTTCCTTTTTCCATTTCTTGCAATAAAAGCTGCATCAAGAAATTGTTTCCATGCTTAAATTTGTTCGCCCTCTATCGTATATCTCGAGAACAAATAAAATGAGTGTTTCTGAATCTGTCAAGCCGCTATTTACACAGATCGACAAGCTCAAGTCGGAATATGTGAGCAGACTGGCGCAGGCCGTGGCCATTCCCTCTGTTTCCAGCGACGAGTCCCTCAGACCCCAGGTGTTTGCCATGGCCGATTTTCTAAAGAAACAGCTGGAGTCTCTTGGTGCAGAGGACATCCAGCTGCGGGATCTAGGAACCCAGCCTCCGCCTGTGTCGGATCCAAAATTACAATTGCCACCAATTGTATTGGCTCGTTTCGGCAAGAACCCGGCCAAAAAAACCGTTTTAGTGTACGGCCACTACGATGTCCAGCCGGCTCTGCTTGAGGACGGCTGGAACTCAGACCCTTTCAAACTCGTTGAGAAAGAGGGCAAACTGTACGGCCGTGGCTCCACAGACGACAAGGGCCCTGTCATGGGCTGGCTTAATGCCGTCGAGGCCCACAACAAGGCCGGCATAGAGCTGCCTGTCAACCTCGTCTGTTGCTTCGAAGGCATGGAGGAGAGCGGTTCACTGGGTCTGGACGAGCTTGTTGCCCAGGAGGCAGACAAGTACTTCAAAGGCGTCGACACAGTGTGTATTTCGGACAACTACTGGCTTGGAACCAAGAAACCAGTCCTCACCTACGGTCTTCGGGGATGCAGCTACTACCAGATCACTGTGAGCGGGCCGGGCGCGGATTTGCACTCGGGTATCTTTGGAGGTGTGATTCACGAGCCAATGACTGATCTCTTTAACGTCATGTCCAAGCTGGTCGACACCCAAGGCAACATCCAGATTCCTGGGGTTAATGAGATGGTGGCCCCACTCACAGAGAAGGAGGAGCAGCTGTACGAAAAGATTGATTTTGATGTGGACGAGCTCAATCTTGCTTCTGGCTCCAACACCGCCATCTACCAGGACAAGAAGAACATCCTCATGCACAGATGGAGGTACCCTTCTTTGTCGCTGCACGGAATAGAGGGTGCTTTTTCTGGAGGAGGAGCCAAGACCGTTATCCCTGCCAAGGTTGTTGGAAAATTCTCCATAAGAACTGTTCCTGACATGGACCCACGCAAGCTGGACGAGTATGTGTTCAAGTTCTGCAAGGAGAAATTTGCCGAGCTCAAGTCTCCAAACAGCTTTAATGTCGAGCTGATCCACGATGGTAACTACTGGGTTAGTGATCCGTTCAATGAAGCCTTTACTGCTGCTAGAAAGGCAACGCAGCTTGTCTGGAATGTCGATCCTGACCTCACCAGAGAAGGTGGCTCTATTCCGATCACCCTGACTTTCGAAGAGCAGCTCAAGACCAACGTTTTGCTGCTTCCAATGGGCAAGGGAGACGACGGAGCTCACTCGATCAACGAAAAGATTGACGTTGCTAATTATCTGGAGGGTGTCAAGACGTTGAGTGCTTACTTGCACTACTACGCTGCGGGAAAGGATAGCGAGTAGCTGTATTGGATAGAACTGGAGGCAATATATAAGTGGTATGATGATGAGTAAGACTACTTCCAGGGATGTGCGATCAATTCCTGAACCCATTCCTTCTGTAGATAAGAAAAAGTAGACGGCTACCAAAATCGAAGAAATATACTTATTAGACCAAAAAAATAACTGAAAAAATAAAAATTATTTAAAAACTCAAAAATATTTAAATTTCAATCAATACTTCATGACGACCAGAAAGTCTCAGGTCGCTCTGCTCTGTCTGAAAAAGGAATTTTTGAGCGGAGCCTCCGAGGAACGGGCTATTAAACTGCTGATCAATGGCCAGTATGCCAAGCTCGCCGGCTCCGAATTGCGCCAGATATTTCATGAGCGAAGTATTCTTGAGCTATGCGATATAGGGAATTTGGGGGACCAGCAGCTGAAAAACGTCGTTGATCTCATTACAGATAAAATGATAGGCATCTCTGAAGACCTATCGTATGTATCGGCCATTTTGCTGCTCCAGGCGTTCGTCCAGACCAACTTTACAGGTCCTAGACTGCCTCTGGTAAGCGAGCTGGGCTTTCTCGTTAAACTCACAACCTCCAATCCAGCAGTTTTGTCGCTTCTGTCTCTGTCCGGTCAAAGGACCAACAAACTGGTGGAGTGGCCCATGCTTCTTATTCTATCGCTCCGTCTATTTGAGAAATTGCAACGCTGCCCAATCAGTCTTGTTGGAGCAAATCAGTCTATCGAGCCAGAAGCTGCCATCAGCCAATCAAACATCCCAGAACTCACTAAGGAAAACTATCTCCAAGCGGCTCTGTGCTGGTGGCGCGCAAGAGCCCTACAGGTCCAGCAGTCGCTGTTCCACGACCCAAATCCGGTGCTCTTTACACTGACGTGCTCGTTGCTTTGTCCTTCTTTGGTGGCCGCTCTGATGGACGATACAAATGCCAGTAGTGCCACAAACCAGTACATTCTAGTTTTATACCACCTGGAGCTGGCCAGAGCTGCGCTGAGTGCAGGATCAGAGACCCAGGCTGCAGAAAGCCTGGCCAAGGCGAAATCTGCTTCGGGATTGCAATTTGTGCTCACAGGCTGCAAGGCGAAGCGGACCAAATTCCAGGAGAAGGCATTTGCAGCACTGGCTGTTCTGGCTCGTTCGCAGGACACGCTATTGCGCTGTGGCTCGGAAAACAGACACAATCCGCAGGAAGTGGCTCTAAACGATGACCTATTTCTGGAGCGTTTGCAGTACGAAAATCTAGGAGACGATCAGGCTTTCAATGAGTTTGGCGACGAAAAACGAGTCAAGGTCGACTTCCCGAATTACGAGTCTACCGAAGACCAGGAAACAAAGCTGCTCCCGATCGCGGTCAAAGAAGAAGACATCCCTGCACCACTGAGGTCGCTGGACCCAAATAGCCAGCCTCCGCTCGCCGATCTCGACAGCGTGCAGCTTTTACTGCGTCTGGAGACCATCCGTGCAAATACCCCGGCCAATAACGCACTAGTGGGCGAGGAGCTGCGGGCCCTCGTGGAAAGAGTGCTGTTTTCACCGCCGGGAAGCGTTAACTGGCTCGTTTTTAGCAACGCTCTCTGGCAGCGGTCTCTGCTCGAAACCACCAGGCCAAAAACGGTCGAAAGAGGAGTTTTGCAGCTGTATTCGCTTGTTGAGGAGCTCGGCGTGCATGCGGAGCAGACCGCACGACTGTTCCCGAAAACCAAGGAAGAGGAGCAGTTTCCAGAATTTTTCACAGCTTCAGATCTCCAAGATGATACTACACTAATAAATGCCGTGAGATCTCAGTACATCTATGCTTTGTCGCTGAGCCCCAAGTGGTCGCTGGATTCCAGACTGGCAGAAAAGCTCATTGAACTGGGGTCCGTCAAATCTGCGCTGGAGATCTACGAAAGACTGCAGCTCTGGACAGACGCTGCGCTGTGCTACGGCTCGATAGGAAACGAGAGCAAGGCCGAGGAGTTGGTTCTACGACAACTTGCCGAATCGCCCGACGACGCGCGCGCCCTGTGCGTGCTCGGCGACGTGCGCCAGGACCCGGCGCTGTGGGAAAAAGCGTGGCAGCTTGGCCGCTACGCCAACGCAAAACGGTCGCTCGCAAAGTACTGCTACCGCCTCCCCGACGGGTCACGTGACTACGCCGCGGCGATCGGCCACCAATACGACTGTGTGCGTGCGAACCCGCTCAATTTCGACAATTGGTATTTCTACGGGTGTCTGGGCCTGGAGACGGAGAACTATGAGCTGGCCGCAGAGGCGTTCACGCGGTGTGTTGCGCTGGACGACAGCAGTCAGTACTCGTGGTCTAATCTGGCGTCGGCACTGTTGCGGCTGGACAAGCTGAAGGAAGCTTTCACGGCGTTGCAGCGTGCAGTCAGCTCTGGCGACACGGAAAAGGCTTCGTGGAAGATCTGGGAGAACTACCTGATTGTGGCAGCGAAGCTGGGCCGTTGGGACGACGTGCTTCTTGCCTCGCGTACTTTGCTGGACACCCGGAAGCATGACGGCGACGGCTCGTTGGATATCCCGATTTTGGAGAAACTGGCCGGCCTACTTGTTTCTGAACCGTATGACGAGGAGGCGCGACAGACGTATTTCGAAAGAACTTGTGTCAAGTTCCTGTGTCAGGAGGTGCCGGCCGTAGTCAACTACAGTGCTCGCGTGTGGCGCATTGTGGCTAAGGTTGACTTGTGGCGCAAGAAGCCTTGGCTGGCGCTCGAGGACTACGAGAAAGCGTACCGGGCGGCGATCAGTCGGCCCGAGCTCGAGGTCGATGAGGACGCGTGGCGCGAGGCGGTGACGGCGTGCGAGGATTTGGTGTCTGCGTATGAGAATTTTGGCGAGCTGCCGGGGAAACACAATGCCGGCGATGTGGTCTGCAAGGACTGGCGATTCAAGGCGCGGTCGACAGTGCGGTCACTGCTGTCGAAGGGCAAGGTTTGGGAGGACACTGCAGAGTATGCGAGGTTGCAGGAGTTGAGAGATGAAATGAAAAATAAATAGAGAATGAGCTGGAAAGTGGTAGCACGGAGACACCGTGAAAATAATTTAAAAAATAAAAAAAATGGTAGCAATAATTTGGCACTACAAAACGGCTTGTCACGAGCACGCGCTGTGGATCTTCTTCTTGCGTCTCTTTGGCTTTTCTCTCACAGGACTCCTCTCCTTTCTGAATGAGGCAGATTCTCTAAGTTCGGACTCGGCGGCGATCGTGTCGTAGTCGGTGATCGATAGCATGAGCGTGAACTTTGTCCTGGTCAGCACCCATGTTTTGTGCACGGCGTGTGGCAAAACGTCCTCGTTGAACGCCTTGTCGAGAAACCGCAGCAAGTTCGACACTGCGAGCCGACTGGCGTCAGAATACTCGACCCGCAGCCCCCATACAAAAATATAAAATATCAGCACGTACAAAGAGCCCAGGTTATTGGCCTCCTTGCACAGAAGCCCAATAACCGCCAGGTCCACGTGCGCAGCAAACAACAGCAGCGGATACTCAATATAGGTGACCAGCGGCGTAATTGCGAGCGACAACGGGTGTTTGGGAAACGACTCGATGATGCAGTAATTGGTGAGGTTGAGCAGCGAGTATGCGGCAAAAGGAAAGATCTTGAGCACATTGGTTGGCGTTGTGAGCCACAGACACGCATAAACCAGCAGATGTGTATTTTCAGACTTGAGAATCTCGGCCAGCGGAACTGTATGGTAGTCCATCTGGTGAGACTTGACCGAGCCCGAGGGAGCAGCCACCATCAGCTCCGGGTCCAGAATGTGTCTCCTGTACACAACTAGTGAGTAGGTACAGATCGAGCCCGCAAGGGAGAGATTATACCAGGGCACAGACGCAAAGATCAGGGAGGCTGGACTGAGGAATCTGCAAAAGTGCATCACCGCACCCAGAAACGTGACAAAGTGAGAAAAAATCCATATGTATTGCAGGCTGTCGTTGGGGAAGATGTTGAGCACGGACTCGGAGACGCGCTTCCAGGGAATCAGCGCCACCAGGCCGGCCATTTTATCTATAATCCCACTCTTCATAATAGCAAAGGTTGAAGAGTTTTTTGGTCCAGCGGGTGTCAGAAATATGGCGGCAGAATTAGATAAGCCACAGAGCCGGGTTAAATATATACAGGGCGAGGCAGAAACCCGCAGACGACTGGATGACAGCCAACCGTCCGCTCACTCCTTCAGCAGCGGCGTGCCTGGCTCTGACTTCTGTGGGGCATCTTTGGCGTGGTGGCCAATCAGATCGCGCAGCTTTTCGGGGATATCCTCAAACGCAAGGTCTTCAGGTGTCACAGTGACGCTCTCACCTTTCAATGCCAGGATGTCTTCTATGTTTATGCGATGGTCAGAAAAGATCTCAAGTTAGTTCTCAGTACTATGGAAAACTTACCTTTAGATGATCTGCAATTAGATGTCTATTCTTGCAGCCCGGACACTGTACCAACACGGTTCCCGAGGTGTAGGCCTGCTTGGAGATAATATGGGACGACCTCTCATGGCACTTTTTGCAGGTGAAAGCCAGCATCAGCATCGGTTTCTCCATCTTGACAGCCGACGAGTGCGGGCGCACGGAAAAGACGTTGGCTGATCTGACGGCCGGCTGCGGACACGGCAGCCTGGAAATTGGAGGAGTCCACAACCTCAGGATCCTGGATCCCACGGCTGCCGTTCTGGCGATTCTGCAAATGTTCCACATGAATTAGAAATAAATAAAATAAATAAAAGTGAAAAAAATTATTTTTTTATGCTACGAAGGTGGATTTTCGCCAGACGTTTGGCCACCAAGACGAGACTGCCGCAGGGCAGGATACCGGAACCTCCGTCTATGAGCGACGAGGAGCTGCTGGAAGCGATCGAAAATGACCCCGAGATCGTGAACGACAAAAAATGGCGAAACTCGTACTACCACCAGCTCTCGCAGCTGTCTGGAGTGCTGGACTCGCGATTTCAGGAACAGCTGCAGAAAAACCTGCGCAAAATCGAGAGCTACAACGTGCGCATCAACACGCCGATTGAGGAGCGCATTCGCGTGGATCTCACCAAGGAAAACCTCACGTTCAAAGACTTCTATTCCAATGTATTAGTTGCAAAGGCTATCGAGAGATCGACCGGCATCACTACGGCAACAGAATTCCAGAAGCGGATCTTTGCGCTGGCAAGCGGATACGTGAGCACAGTGGCGGTAGGCGAGCCGGGAACAGGCAGAAGCACAGCATTATTCACGCACGGTCTCTTTCTTCGCCGTGCTCCGGCTCGCGGAGAGGGAATAAACTCACTTGTGTTGGTGAACTCCGGGTTGCAGGCAGCTCAAATGCAAAAGTATGCGGAAAAAGTGTATCAGAGCATCCGTCGGGTCAAACCACAAAGCCTACCCAATATTCAGACGATGGCACAGTTTCTGTATCGTGCAGACCAACAAACAGAAGAGCAGCAGATCAAGGACCTTATGGAAACTCCGTGCCCCCACGTCCTTGTGTCCACGCCCCAGCGTCTGCTGGATTTGCTGGCCACTCGAGGCATGTATTTCATGAAGGTGAACAGTCTCGCATACATTGGAGTGGACGACATTGACCATATGATGGACGTCGGCGCGCCGATCGACGACCAACGCAAAACGCCTATCGTGAAGCTGCTAGATTACGTGCTCAAACTCCAAGACTACCGACGTTTTCACAACGAGCCGCATCCGCAGCTGCTGTTCACCACCACGCCGCCCACTCCGCGGTTGTTTTTGGACGAGTTGCAGGAAAGCACACAATGGTTTGACTGGAGCAAATTCCACGAAATGGGCAATTTCTCCAGGGGAAACATGGCAGACACTTGTGTTGTGCCCAAGAACGTCGGAGTAGGGTGCGTTCTTGTGCGGCCAAACATGAGCAAATCCAAAAAAGTTCGCACAAATCTGGTGAACATGAAAGCTCCTAATTATGGCGACCGCCAAGATTGGGAGCAGCAGGCCGACGGAGAGACGGCTTACGTGAAGTACTGGAAACGTAAACGCAGCCTAATGGATAAGCAGGTTCGCGAGGGCGAGCTGGCGGTGCTTGTTTCCGGACTGGTCAAGCTGCTGAAGAAGCAGAAACAAAATTTCCAGAAACCTGTCTTGGTGATAGTTTCTGACGAAACCAGTGTGATGAAGGTACAAGGTCTGCTCACAAAGCTTGGGAAGAATGCCGAGGTGTATCATGGCCAAGAACTTGGCACGGCTGCAAAAGAACTGCTGCTGGTGGCCAACGTCAGCACGGTCGAAGGCCTGACGTTCAAGTCTCTGGACACTATAATTGTTCTGGGCCTAGACGCGCTTCGCGACACAAAATCGTTTGTCAGTCTTTCTGGCAGGTTCCGCAACGAGACTGGATTGATTGAGCAGAACCAATTTGGCCTTGTGGAGGACGAAAAAGAGGTGAAAAATAAAATGATCATTTTGTCACCGGTTCTCGACATTGGCGAAGAAGAAAGAAACCATTTACGTCGTCTGTGTCTGCGTGGCGGCCTTGTCAAGTGGATTGACGTCGTGGGAGTTTCTGAATGAACCCTGTATATATGTATAGTAGTAGATAGTAATTAGACCCCTTCTAAAACGCTCTGTCTTACGCTCTCGACTATCTGCTCTCGGCTTGGCTCTGAGGTCTGCGAATTGTCAGTCTGCTCGAATTCCACGTCCTTCTCGCGCCAAACAAGCGACCGGATGCGCTCCTCCACTTGCAAACACGTGTTTTCGATTTTCTGGATCGTCTCTCTGTCATTTCTGATTTTCTCCTCCATCTTGAGAATCAGTCCCTCGCGCGACTGGTGCAGACGGTAACTGTTGAGCAGATGGTGCAAGTTAATCAAAATCACACGGATCTGCTCAATTTTCACGTGTGCCAAAGCCGGGTTCTTGGCCAGCAGACCCGTAAATTCCAGAAAGTTTAGCAACAGCGACTTTGTCATTTTCTTGAGTTCCTCGATACGTTCCACCGTGAACGTCTCCTCTTCGACATTCTCGGCCTCTTCATATAACTGCTGGATTCCCGACTCCTCCAGCGTAATGAACTTGTCCTCAAAGTTCCAGATATCTCCAAAAGAGCGGTACTGCGGCTTGTTAGGGGGCAGAGGAGGAACAAGAAACCGCAGATCTTTGGTCTCCGAAAGCAGCTTCTCTGCATCCGGGCCGTGTTGTCTGCGCAATTCAGCCGCACGCTGCACATTCTCGGCAGTGAAAAAGCGAACGTACGGCGGAGGCGGCGGATAAAGAGAGGATATCAAATCGGACATGGAGAAACTTAAATTTGGTGATTTTTTTTATTTGTTTAATTTTCTTTCAAACCGTTCGCCTTCGTGAAAATTGCCGACCAAATGGATATTGATTTGCCTGCGCCAGCGCCTCAACAAGCCAAGAAAAAGCGCTTTGAGGTCAAAAAGTGGACCGCAGTGGCCTTCTGGACCTGGGATCAGAACAACGAGACTTGTGCTATCTGTAGAAACCACCTGATGGAACCGTGTATCGACTGCGGCAATAACCCGAACTTTGGCGCAAACTCGAGAACAGCAACCCACACAAAGTGTCCGCGCGCTGTGGGAGTGTGCAACCACTCGTTCCACCTTCACTGCATCGATACATGGATCCAGAAAAGAAACTCGTGTCCTTTGGACAACTCAGATTGGTCAATTAAGGATATTCTCAAAGATTAGAAGTCTATTTACCGAGCTGTCGCCAAACATTCTTGAAGGCGCCAATCAAGTCGCAGTCTCCTCCAACTAGCTTTACTATTTCTCTCTTGACGACCTCGAGCTTGAGCATGAAGCGCATGGAGTCGTTTCTGGTTTGCAGTTGGTCCAACTCGCACAGCTCGGCGATCTTGGGGTCAACAGACTGATCGTGTGACTTCGGAACAGCCGCCAGGATGCGCAAATCGTTTGTGCGGCCGTAAAGCTCGGCGAACCTCGAGGCCTCGGCTCGGAAGTTTTGCACTGCTGCGTTTTCCGAGCCTAACTCGCCCTCCACGTATACCACGATTTTCTGGCGTTAGTTTGTTACTGTGCACATATTCTACTCACCTCGAGCTGCGCAAGCAACTTTGGATATTCAAACACACTCAACATGTCAACGTCAAGACCTAACTAAATTTTTTTCCATCGAACACCAAAATAAACATCCTGGCTGTGCATGGTTTTGGCGATTTTTCAGAGCTGCTCAACCGTGTGCACCGTTTGGTCTTTGTCAACGGAGGAGATGCCGAAAGAGTCGTACAGACCTGCGTGTGAGTCGGACATGTCCAACGATCCGTATTGGGCCTTGGCCAGGGCGCCGTGATTCTGTTTTGGTACGAAAAACAACCCCAGAACGGCGACAATGTTGAGGGCCTGCACCACAGCAAGCAGTGCGACAGAATCGAATAAATAACCAAACCCCCAATGTGTTGTCATAACAACGAGCACAGCTACCGTCTCTCCGACATTCTGGTACGGTTTCCTGCCACAGAAGTACGTGCTGTAGCACTCTGCTAGCTTGGTGGCCACCACGAGCACCATGCCGATCTGCGCGGGTGTTCCGGCAGGTATGGGCGGCGAGTTTTGCAGGCTGTAAGATAGTGGGCTTGCGTTTGACGGCACAGGCGACACGGCCAGAAGCGCGGCCAGGACAGGCGCTGTTTGCGGTTTGTGTTTCGGAGGGTAACTTCCCGATATCACAAGGTTGCTGTCGTTGTTGCACAGTGGCAGATGGTCTATTGTCTCTGTCCTGTTTGCGGGAATTGAGCTGGGCGTGAAAAAGAAGCGGTTTTGACGGGGCAGAGAGCCGGGTCTAGCGGCAGATATTGGGCTGTTTATCCGTGACTGTTGGATCCACAGGAACAGCAGATAGGCGTCCAGAAACGCACGGAGCACCAGAGAAAGAGCCATTTTCAGGTCTGGCTGCCATGCCGACGACAACACGCAGTTCGCCATGTCCAGCACGGTGCCCAGGATTGGCACTAAACTCGCCGTGGAGCCGACCGTCGGCATGGTGGCCACCGGCATGAGGGCGAATCCTAGCGTGTTTGCCAGCTTTGCAGCCTCGTAAACTGACATGGCGAAAGAAGAAGGAAAGGGCACTTTTATTTATTTCCTTCTGGAAGATGTCGAATTTCAACGTCAAAGATAAGAATTCTTATCTGTACGCATAATCATGCGTCCCAATAAAGATTTGCTTTTTCACCAATACGGAACCTGTAGAGAAGGACATAGTCAAGATACCGCGATGGGAAACTGCTATCGGAGCGGACGCGAGGTCCGGGCTGCGAGCAGCGGCAGTAGTCTCGACTTGTGCCAAGTTGTTTTCTGGACTTAGCAGCAGGACCAGCCACACCCCCTCCAGTCGCTGAGGCGGTGCTTTCCCTCCTCCCCTTCATGGAACGCTGTGGAACGTGCCTACAGTTTGTGGCTGGTGGGACAAAATTCGAGTCCCGCCGGGTAACAAAGTTTGTTATTTATATTTTATTATTTCGCTTCGCTGTTATTGCCACTATGGATGAAACATTAATCCAAACTATCAACAAGCTCCAGGACGCTCTCGCGCCTCTTGGCTCCGGCTCGACCTCGCCGGTTGATCTGCCGCAGATAACCGTTGTCGGGTCCCAATCGTCGGGAAAGAGCTCTGTGTTGGAGAACATTGTTGGCCGCGAGTTCCTTCCTAGAGGAACGGGCATTGTGACTAGACGGCCGCTGATTTTGCAACTGATCAACCGGCGCAGCAACAGCAAGAGTGCTGCAAGCGATCTGATTGACATCCAGACCACAGACGCGCAGGGAAACAAGACAGAGAACAACGCTGAAGAATGGGGAGAGTTTCTGCACCTGCCGGGCAAGAAGTTCTACAATTTCGACGATATCAGGGATGAGATCGTGAGGGAGACGGAGGCCAAGACGGGCAAAAATGCCGGAATCAGCTCTGTGCCCATCAATCTGCGGATCTATTCGCCACACGTGCTGACGCTGACCCTGGTCGACTTGCCGGGACTCACGAAAGTGCCTGTGGGCGACCAGCCAAAGGATATCGAGAAACAGATCAGAGACATGATCATGAAGTTTATATCGAAGCCGAACGCCATCATCTTGGCTGTCAATGCTGCCAACCAGGACCTGGCGAATAGTGACGGGTTGAAGCTGGCCAGAGAGGTCGACCCCGAGGGACTCAGAACCATCGGTGTGCTGACGAAGGTCGACCTGATGGACCAGGGAACCGATGTGATTGACATTCTTGCCGGCCGAGTGATCCCGCTGCGATCCGGATACGTTCCTGTGATTAACAGGGGCCAGAAGGACATTGAGAGTCGCAAGACCATCAGAGAGGCCCTGAACGACGAGAGACGATTCTTCGAGAATCATCCTTCGTATAGTAGCAAGGCTCACTATTGCGGTACTCCTTACCTGGCCAAGAAGCTGAATGCGATCCTGCTGAACCACATTAGAACCACACTTCCTGAGATCAAGGCCAGAATCGAGACAGCGTTGAAGAAGTATCAGCAGGAGCTTTCTGCCCTTGGTCCGGAGATGGCCGAGTCACCAAGCTCGATCGTTTTAAGCGTGATCACCGACTTCTGCAACGACTACACGGGAATCCTGGACGGACAAACCAAGGACATCTCGTCCAACGAGCTGAGCGGAGGAGCCAGAATCAGCTTCGTGTTCCACGAGATCTTCAAGAACGGAGTGTATGCTCTTGACCCATTTGACCAGATCAAAGACGCAGACATCAGAACCATCATGTACAACTCGTCAGGTTCTGCTCCGTCGTTGTTTGTGGGCACACAGGCTTTTGAGGTGCTTGTGAAACAGCAGATCCACAGATTTCAGGACCCTTCACTCAGATGCATTACGCTTGTGTTTGACGAGCTGGTGCGTATTTTGTCGCAGATTCTTGCGCAGCCAGAGTACGCAAGATATCCCGGCTTGAAAGAACAGATCTCCCAGATTTTCATCCAGTACCTACGGGAGTCTGTGCTGCCGACAAACGCGTTTGTTGAGGATATTATTAAGGCCGAACAGACGTACATTAATACAGCGCACCCTGACCTGCTCAAGGGGTCTCAGGCGCTTGCCATGGTCCAAGAGAAATTGCATCCTACGCCTGTCCAGGTTGATCCAAAGACAGGAAAGCCGCTACCTGCTCCAGCACACTCGGCCTCATCCGTCAACGACGAGGAGAACAAGTCCTCGTCGTTCTTTGGTGGCTTCTTCTCGTCCAAGAATAAAAAACGGTTGGCTGCCATGGAGGCTCCTCCAAGCGTGCTGAAGGCCACGGGCCAGATGACTGATAGAGAGACCCAGGAGACAGAGGTGATAAAGTTGCTTATACATTCGTACTTCAACATTGTCAAGCGGACGGTGGCTGACATTGTCCCAAAGGCCGTGATGCTCAAGCTGATCCAGCAGTCCAAGAACGACATCCAGAAGGTGCTTTTGGAGAAACTGTACGGTAACAAGGACCTGGAATCGCTTGTGAAGGAGAACGAGATCACTGTTGCAAGAAGAAAGGAGTGCAAGAAGATGGTGGAGGTGCTCAAACACGCTTCGGAGATCGTTTCTACAGTCTAGGCCATCCGAGATTGATACATGCACGACCACCTGAAGAATTAATCTGTGTTATTTTCAGTAAAATTGTAGTTTTTCAAGAGTGGCGAATCTAGACATAGACGGGTTAGCTGGCAATACGACCGCATTTTTGATACGCTAGCCGCTGATATTTAGGTTTATGTCTGTTACACGAATGTGCCGGGCGTTTCCGAGCCGGAACGTCTCTTTTTTGCGCTGTGGGGCCCGTTTACTGCTGAACAGGCAGGTATCCCGGACGGTGTCCAATAAGGTGTCCCCGACTGCGGATTTAGCCAATTTCAAGGTTCCGAGCACTGTTGGGCCCTCTGGGCGGTTTCTCAGGTCTGGTGGTGTTCGTTTCAACTCATCGAAGAAATTCAACAGCGACGGCGATCGTGAATTGACTGACGAGGAGGCCGAAGAGCTGTTGATCGATTTGAAGAAAATTTGGTACAAAAAGGATTTGAGCGAGGAGGAACAGAGGGAGAAAATCAGACAGCTGTTCGACAAGTACGAGATTGGTGGACTTATTTCGCCGTCCTCGACAAAAATGATCAACACGATTCTGACAGACGAGATGGCCACTCGTGCGGGTGAGAAGATGGAGAACGTGCACAAGTTCCACAAGTCGCTGCTGGATTACCATACTGAAAAGCAGGAGCGGTTCAACGAGCGGGAAGACAAGGACGGGTTGTTTGGCAGCAAGTTCAGTTCGCCTACGAGAGGCGCCGGCAAGGGCGACGGTTCAGGCGTGGGTGGAAATCCTACAGGGCCTATGGGTCCAATGGGGCCCGGATTGAGGCCCGACGTGCTGTTGTTTTGGATTTCGACGGGACTGTTGATGTACTATCTTTTTTCCCTGGAGTCGCACGAGCACGAGATCACGTGGCAGGAGTTCCGCACATCGCTGCTGGACAAAGGTTACGTGGAGAAGCTGGTGGTGGTCAACAACAACCTTGTGCGGGTGGTGATGAACGAGTTGGGTCGGAGCCAGCCGGTGCACGACTCGCGCACCGAGTATTACTTCACAATCGGCTCTGTGCAGGTGTTTGAGGAGAAGCTGAAGCAGGCGCAAGAGGAGAACAATGTTCCCGAGGAGTTGCGGCTGCCAGTGATATATGTGCAGAACGCGTCTGTGTTCAAGGCGCTGTACAATATCCTGCCGACGGTGCTGTTGTTTGCGTTCATCATCTGGTCGTCGAAAAAGATGCTCAACAGCGCTCCGGGCATTGGGGGTGGCTTATTTGGCGCTGCAGGCAACCGTTTCAAGCGGTTTAATGCGGAGAAAAGCGTCAAGATCAAGTTTGACGACGTTGCTGGTTGTGACGAGGCCAAGGAGGAGATCATGGAGTTTGTCAAGTTTCTGAAAAATCCAGAAAAGTACGAGCGTTTGGGCGCCAAGATCCCGCGGGGAGCCATTCTGACAGGCCCTCCGGGAACGGGAAAGACGATGCTGGCGAAGGCGACGGCCGGTGAGGCGGGCGTGCCGTTCTACAGCGTTTCTGGGTCTGAGTTTGTGGAGATGTTTGTTGGAGTCGGGGCGTCGCGGGTGCGCGAGCTCTTCAAGACGGCGCGCGAAAACGCGCCGTCGATTATCTTTGTGGACGAGATCGATGCGATCGGCAAGTCGCGGTCAAAAGGCCGTACTGCCGGCAGCAACGACGAGAGAGAAAACACCTTGAACCAACTGCTCGTCGAGATGGACGGTTTCACCACATCTGACTACGTGGTGGTGCTTGCGGGCACGAACCGTGCCGATGTTTTGGACCAGGCATTGCTCAGACCGGGCCGGTTTGACAGGAAGATATATCTAGACAACCCGGAGCTGGAGGGCAGAAAGGCCATTTTCGACGTGCACCTGCGCAACATCAAGCTGAAGGAAGGGGCCGACCTGGACGATCTCAAGGGCAGGCTTGCGACGATGACGCCCGGCTTTTCCGGCGCAGACATTGCCAACTGCTGCAACGAGGCCGCTCTGATCGCGGCCAGGCACAACGAGGAGTTTGTCGACCTGCACGACTTCGAGCAGGCGATTGAGCGTGTGATTGCTGGGCTGGAGAAGAAAAGCAAGCTGCTGTCACCGGACGAGAAGCGCATTGTTGCGTACCACGAGGCCGGACACGCCATCTGTGGCTGGTTCTTGGAGAACGCCGACCCGCTGCTCAAGGTGTCGATTGTGCCGCGTGGCCAGGGGGCCCTGGGCTATGCGCAGTATCTGCCGCCAGACATTTATCTGTACAGCACGAGAAAACTGCTGGACCGCATGACAATGACGTTGGGCGGGCGTGTGTCGGAGGAGCTGCACTTCAACTCTGTCACGAGCGGCGGCTCGGACGATTTCGAAAAGGTGACGAATCTAGCGCAGAAGATGGTGCTGGAGTGCGGCATGTCGCCGAAGGTGGGGCTTGTGAACTACAACGTGGACCGCGGCAACGACATGACGAAACCGTTCAGCGACAAGACCTCGAGCCTGATCGACTCCGAGATCCACCGCATTGTGGACGAATGCTACCAGCGGTGCAAGGGTTTGTTGATGGAAAAATCCAAGGAGGTGGCACTTGTTGCCGAGGAGCTGCTGTCGAAAGAGGTGATCACCAGAGAGGACATGATCCGGCTGCTGGGCAAACGGCCGTTCTCCAACAAGAACGACGCTTTCGACAAGTATCTGGCCGAGAAAGAGGAGCGGGAAGGGGAGGAGAAGTAATTCTACAATTGTCTTGTCTATAGTATGCTAGAGAATCTAGACCCGAATGTTTTGAGCGCTAGTAGTCGCCGTAGAGAGCCACATTGAAGCCGAGGCCGGAGCGGCCGCGGCCGGCGATCGGCAGCTCGTAGTAGACGTTGCAGTGGGCCACAGAGCCGACTTTGTAGGTGAGGCCCAACGCTGCGCCCGAGCGCCAGCTGAGCAGCTGTGCCGGGTCGGAGGCCACCTGGCCGCCGTTGAGGCCGACGTACACACGCAGCGGGTAGGCAGGGTCGACAAAAAGCAGTCTGGAGAGCAGTCTCAGGTTTCCACTGACATAGGAGGTGCCGCCAAACCGGGTCTCGCTGAGACTTGGGTAGCCGAGCGTTTTGGAGCCCAGCACGTCGAGATAGAACTTGTCGTGGTAATGGATGGTTTTGGAGCCGCTAAGGTTGACGATGTGGCCTGCCGCGAGCTGGCAGTCCAGCGTGAGGCTGTTTCTGAAGACCGACTTGATGAGCTGCAGCGACGACTCGAACTTGACGAATTTTTCTGGGCTGGTGTTGGAAAGCCCCGTGAGCTCGTTTCTCAGGCTCCAGTGGAACCCGTTAAGGGGAAGTGCGTTTTTGGACGCCGGCAGGTATGTGAGCCTATCGCATGCGACGGAAAGCAGCACCGACTCTTTGAAATGGTCGCCCGCGTAGGTTTTGATCTCGTCGCTGGCACCGTCGCTGACGCGCAGCGTCGTTCTCTTGACGAGCGAGATGGCTGCCGAGAAGGCAGCGGTAAAGTTCCTGAACAGCTTCAGTTTCTCCACGCCCAGCGTTCCCGAGCCGACCCATTGCTGCTCCGACTGGAAGCGTGCGTCGTTTGCATTCGACACAAACCCGTCCGCAAACAGTTTCAGCGACGTGTCCACCATGGGAGCCTTGTACAGCACGTTGAGCAGCCGCACAGGCGATTCTGGCACGAGTCCGGCCAGCGACGACACCTGTAGTAGCTCCGCGTTGCCAAACGTGTTGTTGTTGATGTAATTGAGCATCAATTGGTTGCCCTCTGGGGTGTAGACACTGCCGACGGTGGTGTGGGCCAATTTGGCGGGAATAAGGTCGAATTTCGCCGTCACACAAAGCGGGCTGTGCGGATCCTGCGCGGCGGGCTCCACTTTGGCCGCGACACTGTCGAAACAGCCTGTGAACGCGAGGTTTCCGAGGGCCGACTGACACCTGCTGTTGAGCTGGCCGACGGTGAGGTCGGCAGAGGAGAGCAGCGGTGACAGCAGCTTGTTGAAGAAGTTGTCTGAAAACTGCTCGCCGCCGGTGACGGAGACGGCCTTGAGATTGACTCCGGCCGTGGCGTTTTGTTGGAGCACTTCTGAGGGAGAAGACATGAGAAAAAATATTTAAATCAATATTTCAAAAAAATTGATTGGAGGGACAGAAAGAAAATGGGCATTATCTATGGGGGTAGCAGGAAGACGGGGTAGACAGATAGGTGAGAAGTGGACAAGGAAGCCGGTGGGGTGTGGGGCTTCTGGTGGCTCACTCCATGTATACCTCGCTCCACACTACTCTACGTCCTTCGGGACATTTGGTCAATCGAAAAAATACAGAGAAGATTAGCATGGCCCCTGCATAAGGATGACACGCTTTACAAAGAGATCTTACCATTTTTTTTAGCTAGCGAAAAAGCTCGGGCCTCAGAAAGTATACCTCCACGTAAACGAGACTGTGTGACTACTTGGTGTCTTGTAAGGCCTCGTTGTTTTTTCCCCTTTCCTCCGCCCGCGTTCAATTCTGGCCGTGCACAATTTTTTTAAGCAATTATTTGCTATGGACTCTTACCTGGCACACGCCCCACCATTCATGGTGCCGCCAGTGCAAATGCCCCGGTATGAAGAGTTCGACCTCGCACGAAAATACGACCGGCCAAAGTTCCGCACCAGCGCACGCCACCAGCAGTATTACCAGTACTACGATAAGCTCAACAATGACGGGCTTCTGTTCGAGCCGTACTCAGACTCGGCCACGGCCAGATACTACAAAGAGCATCGCATATACTCGGCACAGATGAATTGGCAAGCATTGACTGCCGACAGTCCCAGCCAGCCGGCCAGGGAGCGTCCATTGGAGACAAGCAATCTCGTGACCTTCCCCGACCTGTTCGCCGGCGACGGTGTCCCCCACCTTATCCACCATTCGCTCGTGCGCATGGGACACCGAATCTGTCTTTTTGGTGGGCTCGAGCTCATGCCGGACGCAGAGTATGAGCAGTACCTGCGAGAGCTCACTGACGACTTTTCCATCCCGCCAGCCAACATCCACATGCACTTCGACTACGAGCTGCCTGCGCCACTTAGCAAGTGCAAGCTCACGTCGCTCGCTCTGCGGCCCAACAAAAACGTGTACACTTACAACTCGGAGACAAGCACGCTGCTCAAGACGTGCGAGCTCGATTGCATCAAGACGCCGCCGCCGCTGCTGTGCTCTGGCTTGCAGCAGATCAGCGCGTACCATTTCATGCTCCACGCAGGGTTTGAATTGCACACCCACGTAGAGAAGCGCGATGGCCACGTCCATATCAGTAGGACGCTCGACCCGCAAACGGCTATGTGGATGTTCGATGTCCGCACGCAGGTTTTTACTCAGCTCAAGGTCATCCTCAGCTCCTCCATCTCCACTATTTTGCCCCACTATATTCCCCGTTTCGGCCACCAAATCCAAGGTATCACCATCGAACAGAACAATTCACCCAACGACGACGACAGCCTCCACTCTGGCCCCTCCCACGATCACACCATTGGCTCATGTTCGCGATATTCGCGTCCCGCCGTCGTCTTTGTTATGGGTGGCTACAAACTCGAAGAGCACACAAACCGGCTCGTGGCACTCAACGACCTGTGGAAGTGCGAGCTCTCGGCAAGCAACACGACGGACCCTTCTGCGCGGGGCTTCCAGCTCGAGTTCTCCACGGAAATGATCTGCTCACTTGTCGGGAGCCCTGACATCCTCAGCGACAGGTTTAGTTTCTGCTACAACGCAAGGGGAGAGCCTCTGGGTCCGGAAAAACGGCAGGTCATCCAGGGGCTGTTCCGCCACGGAACAGACGCGCAGTGGCCCAAGCCGCGTGGTTTCTTTAGCATGGATGTTGTGCAGACTGCCGACCTCGAGCAAATGGTGGAGGGAGAGTTGGTGGACCAGCATGCCCACATCAGCCAGCCCAGGCCGAAAAAGAGCCGCTACTTCACCGGATTGCAGGATGAGGCACAGTCCCCGTCGCCGACTCCGTCGCTGCAGGCCCAGCTGCGCGCCTCGTCGCCCTTGTCGGCGACAGAAAGAGCCAACATGCGCCAATTTTTTCAATATGAGGGCCGAATGCGGAGCAGGACTCCGTCGTTGACGGAGGAGACGCCGCGGTCGTCACCGAGCGCTGCGGCGGCACAGTTTTCATCGCGTGCAGTTCGCTCGACCTCGCTTGTGGTGTTTGGTGGCTCCAGCATCGTCCACGTAAAAGTGGTGGCCGACGACGGGTCAGAACTCCTGTACTCGAAAGTGGAGGTGTTGAGTGACATGTGGTGCTTCGATCTCAATACAGAAACCTGGACGAGCGTGCTGACAGTTAAGCAGTCCGATAATAGGCCGCTCAAACTCTGTGGCCACGCATCGGCTAGCGACGGGCAACAACTTATGGTGATCGGCGGGTTGCGGGGGTACCAGCTTGACGACCAGCTGCTTGCCATTCGGTATAGTGGAGACGCTGCAAAACAGTACCTGGACATCGCCGAAAGGGCGTTTGATGCGATCAGCGAGAAAGTACGGCCTGTAATCAACCGCGAGGTGTACGATTTCTTTGTGCTCAACTTTGCCACGCGGCAGTGGAAACACGCAGAAACACGGCTCTACAATGCCAAGGAGAACCTTGTGACGGGCCATTTCATCATCAACGTGCACGTACAGGCACTACAGTTCGACTCAGAGGTGGTGATATGTGGGGGCGGAGACGCGCGTGTCGTCGATAACAACCAACTGCTGCTACCGGACGAGCAGCAGGACCACTTGTTGGGTGGGGCTTTCGAAATATTATCGTCGCTCATGAAATTCTAATTACTCGTTACTAAGAAGTCGGGCAACCATCTCGTCCACCGGCACAGCGTACTCCTCGGCCATCTGCCGCGCTACCTGCCTGTCCGGCTCATTCAGACGTTGCACAAATTCGGCATATTGTCGTTTCTCCACGCCCTCGCGCTCCACTAGCTCTGCAACCTTATTCAGCCAAACAACGTACTCCACACGGCCGGAAACAAGACCATATAGGTGGCGCGACACCGCCTTGTTCACCTGTGTATACTTGGTAGCAGACAATCCCAGCCTCCTCAGCTTTGGTCGTAGCAGAAGAGCCTGGATAAGCGATTTCGGAGTGTAGCTCAACACAAATGGCGTCTCTTCGCGCACACGGTCGCCCAACAACTTGTTGTGCTCTGCCAGCGCGGCAGCAGAAAGCTGTCGCTTGCGTGACGCCCGTTTCGGCCGCTTGAACTTCTCAACGCCGCCGGTGTTGGAGGCATCCAGAGCGCCCATTTTCTTACCCCCACGCAGCGCATCCAGCGCCCGCCACGCAATGTCCTCCGTTGTGACCGTCTGTTGCTGCCGCTGCTCATCCACAAGAGCAACATAGTCGGGCTCGTCTCTGGACACATATACCCCCAATTGACGCTGACGGCCGTTTCTGATCTGGCGTCGCACGCTTTGCAAAAAATTCTGCCCCCGTCTGCCCCCACGAGACGGGATCACGCTGCCCGCGTCCTGCAATGAGTCGCACACAGGACAGTGGAATTGCGCGCCTTCAAGTATCCCTAAACACGCGGTATGGTAGCCGCTCGAGCACTCGCGGCAGATCGCGAACGCCCCCGTGCCCGATCGGTCGCACAGGCAGCATAGCTGATTATCTAGGTGGGGGTGATGGTGCAGAGGTGTGTTATCAACAACCGGCTCGAAGAGCTCTGGAGTCTGTTTTCTGTCTGGTATGGCGGTGGACTGGTACACACTATTGTCAGAAATGAGCTCGATGTCAGTAAAAGTTGCTCGACACTGTGGGCACGAGTTTGCCTTCTGAGCCCATTCATTGATGCAAAATCCATGGTAATAGTGGTGGCAGGGTACTGTGCGGGCAAGATGTTGCGCGGATCTGGTTTCCCGCACGATCGTCTGGTCCGGATGGGGAAGATCGTCCAAACATATCGGACACAGATCAGGAGGGTTCATAATGTCTGAAGATTATCACGATTTTTTTTTTTTTTATCTTTTTGGGTCTAATCGACGCAAATCGACGCGACAACCTTAAATCTTGAATTATTATACATGCTGCATGAGGTGACGCAAGTCAAAATATCCGAAAGGGGGCGTCCGGAATTTAAAGGCATCACTTGAGGCGCGATCGCGTTTCAGCTTAGTCTCAAAAGTTAAAATGTGTCGTAACCTTTACTATTATTGTTGATAATGTACAAATATATATTATATAATTTTCGTGAGAAACTTACGCAACCTTGCTAACTAAATCCACATTGGTTTGGATATTGTCTATCGTCGAGAGGTTGTGGAATGATGCCTAAACCAAGGAGTCTCTGCATGTCCCATTCGATGGTGTTTTCGGTCTTCCAACACCAAAAGACCCATCCTGCATTCTTTCCATACAGGAATGAATCCATCTGTGCCTCCACATAACGTCTATAATTAGAAATCACTTCCGGTGTGAAGTAGTCGTAGTTGGCGGTGTAGAGCTGGTCACAAGATCCAATGTAGTTTCCTCCACCGAAAGTGGCATCATATCTGGCACCTCTGCCTGCTCCGTTCAGCCATTTCGCACAGTCCGTCAGAGCTGCAGTCCACTCTCCGCATAAACTGTAGTGGTATTCGGTGTTTTCGGACTGGCCCCAGCCACAGGCCGTCGAAACGTGCTCGTCAATGGACTGGCTTAAAGATCCTTCGTCAAACACCTGATAGTGGTGGTGGTCAACAATCACTTCCCAAACGTTCGGGTCCTGTTCGGTATTGAGCACGTTGTCGAACGTGTGGTCCGGAAGGTACGCATCGTGGATGATAACAGGCGCGTTTCCGTTATTTCTGACTAGTTGGTAGCCCTTGTTGTAGAAGTCCACCAGTTGGTCGAAGTCGAGGTAGGAGCCCAACGGCTCGTTCAACAGCTCGATGCCAATTATCACGTCTGAATAATTGGAACCTCCGTATTTCGAAGTCAGTTGGTCCAAGACCTGGACCGTGAGGTCCACATAGCCCGTGGTGTTCTGCCAGCCAATTTCTCCCCGCTTTCCTGAGTTATCAAAGCCGTTTTGGGACCCTGGGGCACCGTGCAAGTCGACCCAAGCCTTTAATCCATATTTCGCACACCATTCCAATGCCTTGTCCAAATACTCCTGTTGGCCCTGCACATAAGGGTCTCCCTCTGCAAGCTGGAACGCCCAATATCCGATCGGGATTCTGACAAAGTTAAGACCGGCATTTGCCATACCCTTGAAGTCCTCCTCCTTAATCCACGTGGACCAGTGTTCCTGGAGACGTTTTTCCGCCTCTTCTTTTCCCAGAGCCTCAGTGTAATGGTACTCGTCCACAGGCACGTCTGAGGAGACGGCCTCGAACAAGGAAGGCGTGATGAAAGGTTCGAGAACGAGCCATCCTCCGATATTGACACCGTAGATCTTGTCGTTTGCGTAATCCCAACGACTGTCTCTCTTCAGAAGGGTGACCGGGGCGGCAGCCACGAGCGAAAGAAGTGAACTGGCAATGAGAGAAAAAGACGAAAACTTCATTGCTTTGGGTAAATGAAGTACGGGAAATAGCATGCCTTTTATATTGGATCTAGAACAAGGGGGAATTTCGTATAACCTTTGGCATAGCTGCACAAAAGGAACGCAAATCCGGATATTGCAGGTGCAGAAGCCCGAATTCAACAAGTCTAAAATTTTTGTCACAAACCTATTGCCAGTGGAAATGTACACCGTTCGTATGAGCCTCTAAACATTGTCGGTGCCTTTACTTGTTGTTCGGACTCTCTGTTTGCTCCATTTACGAGCTCTAGACGCTGGTATTTTACATACCAGTGATACCTCCCCAAAACGGATATCTAATTATATCTATTTACCTTTTGCCGATTACGGTAATTATGGACTAGCAGGGCAAAAGCCATTACTTTTCCGCTTTGGGATTCTTCATCACAAACCTTAGTTGGCACTGCACTACTCTCCATCTCAGGATCTGCACTGTTTACGGGCTGCCATGAGGCAGACGGACGACGACGCAAACTGGCGTCGATATTCGCCCTGCTTATCTCAGCCCTTTTTTTTTTCCTCTGCCTTACTCAGATGATTTCGTAATCAAACTTCTCTCTTTCCCCTCATTTATATGAAGCCAATCAGACCAGCACAAGTGGCCAGGTTTTCAACGTCCGTTTTGCGGGCCAAGACACAGCTCGAGGTCGACCGTCCTGTGCTTTCGGAACTGCCCCTGTCGAACTCTTTGGACTACGCTTTTACCTCTTTCGACAAGCTAAAAAATTGGGCAAGAAAAAGCTCCTTCTGGCCAGCAACTTTCGGCCTGGCCTGCTGTGCCGTCGAGATGATGCACGTTTCTGCGCCACGGTACGACCAGGATCGCCTGGGTATCATTTTCCGTGCGTCTCCACGGCAGTCGGACGTGATGATTGTGGCCGGCACCGTGACAAACAAGATGGCGCCGGCTCTTCGCCAGGTGTACGACCAGATGCCGTACCCAAGATGGGTGATTTCCATGGGCAGCTGTGCAAACGGCGGCGGCTACTACCATTACAGCTACAGCGTGGTGAGAGGTGTGGACCGCATAGTGCCTGTCGACATCTACGTGCCGGGGTGTCCTCCGTCGTCGGAGGCTCTGATGTACGGCATTTTCCGGCTGCAGAAGAAGATCATGGCCCACCAGACACACCGCATGTGGTACCGGGCGTACTAGGGGACGTACTAACAGCGGCTATTTATTGGGTGACTATGCGACCCCTTTCCACTATTCTATTTATTCATAACTCCGTATTTCATCGTACATAACCCACATCTGACTATACGCTACCCGTTTCCGCTAGCTGTTATTTGCGATAGCGCGTTTGAGGGCGTCGAACGGGCTTTTTCTGAACTGCTCGTCCTTCAGCACGGCTCCAAACCGCTTAATTTCCACTTTTTCCACGATCTTCGCCCCACGCTTGTGCGGATTTGGCGTGTGGTCTAGTTTCGAGTGTGTTGCCGTCGCCGGCACCTCCTCAAGCACCTGGGCGAGGTCCTCGAGCTTTGGTTTCAGCTGCTCCTTCATCTTGCGCTTGCGCCGGCGCAGAGCCGACTTGGAGACCAGCGAATCATCCTTGCGCTTCTCCACGCGCTCAACTGTCTTGGCCACCCCGCCACTCTTGACCCGTTTCTCCAGCTTGGCCCGCAAACTCGTTCTCTTGCCCACACCCATTACGTAAATTTTTTTCGATTTTTTTTTTATTTTTTTCCACTTTATTTCTCATGTCTAGAGCTCTTGGATACTCCGTCTTGGCGGTCGCCACCGCCGCCCTCGGCTACTGCATCTACTTCGACTATGCCAGAAGAAACAACCCTGAGTTCAGAAAGAAAATTGTCAAGAACAAGAAAAGAGCAGCCAAAAAGGCCAAGCTGGAGGCCGAGGCCGACAAAAAGCAGAAACTGGAAGCTCTCAAGGAGAAACTTAACCAGTCGCTCGCAGAGGAGCCACTGCCTAAGGACGCTGCCCAGAAGGAAAAATTCTTCATGACCCAGGTCACCATCGGTGAGCAGATGAGCGCTCTCGAGGGCAAGGACATCGAGGCTGCCATCCACTTCTACAAAGGCCTGGCTGTCTACCCTAATCCGACCGGAATCTTGGATATCTACCAAAGAACCATTCCAGAACACATCTACGAACTGGTCATGATGCTCACTGCGATCCAGCCTCCAGCAAGCGTGATGAACGTCTTCCAAGACAGCATTCCGTCGCTCGACCAGGACTAGATCCGTTCCTGCTTGTTTATATATAAGTACCAATCTACTCAGATGCCAGTTTTCTCCACGCCGTGAGCACGGCCACCAGCTGCGGCCGGAACCGGCTTTCCAGCCCGGCTATGTGTCTCCATCTGTACTGTCCCGTCTCGTCGTTCTTGCGAAACTCCTCGTCACTCACGCTCACCCGCTGCACCGCGCGCAGAAACGTAGCTGTGTCCATCTCGTGGAAAAACCCGTTCACCGGCTCCTCTGTGTCCAACGCGCTGTTCAGCTCCATCAGATCCTCGCTGCTCACCCCAACGTACTCGCCCAGCCGTTCTAGGTCTGCCATGTCGCCTGCGAGCCCCAGCATCTTGGTCTTCACCTTCTCCCAGTTCGTGTCCACCTGTGTGCGCGTCGTCTGCTGCTTCTGCGCCAGCTGCTCGTACCTGCGCCGTTTTTCCTCGATTTCCGCAATAATGGCCCGTATTTCCTTCCTCACGCCCTCGTCGGCGCCCAGCGAGCTCAGATCCAGCACCAGCTCCTCGTGGCCGTCCCTTACAAACCGCAGAAACGTCACAAACCGGTTGAACCAGCCCAGAAACCCGGCAAACAGACCCTCCTGCTGCTCCATGTCGCTCAGATACAGCCGGTGCATAAACCCGTACACCGCCTCCTGATATTTTTCCTGGAGCCCCATGAAGCTGGCCACCACGTTTGGAGAGAAGTGCTCGTTTTGGAAGTACTCTGCCAGCTGGATCAACTCGTTCATGTACCGCTGCACCACAGGGATGTACAGGTGGATCTGCGCGCTCTTGAACAGCCGGATCAGTGGCTGGAAGAAGATCGACAGCAGCTCCTTGATGAGGTCGATCAGCTCCGGCTCGTCCCACAGCTCCTTGAGCGAGATCTTGTCGAGTCGGCGCAGGCTCGCTTTGAAATATGAATGCAGCAGAAAGTAGACTGTATTTTTGTCGCTCTTGGACTTTTTCATTGTGTTCAGCACCTCCAGCAGAACCGACTCGTCCAGCTTGGGCGTCAGGTCGTTGTTGTTCAACAGTAGCGCTGGGAAAATGCCCAGTCCACTTTTCTGCGCCGTCTTCTTGACCTGCAGCACCGTCTCGTCCGACGCGGCAAAATACGCGTCGATCTTGTCCAGCAACGCGGCGTATTGTTCGCCCTTGCGCAGCACTGCTCTGTGCAGCTCTGCCAGCTCTCTGTCGCATTTTTTCAGATCGTCGTTCAAAACTCCAGCAAAAATCACCTGCAACAGCGACCGGCTTCTGCGTCCAAACCCAACAGGCATCTGGAATGTGAACAGGTCGATCAGTTTCTTGACGATTTGCATCGGGTTGGTGAATCGCAGAATCGTGGCCACCAATCCGTACGGAAACAGCCGATGCAGGCGTTTCACCAGGCCCAGCGTTTCGCGCGAGCTGTCACTGCCCACAAGCAGCTCGTATAATGTCGACGCCACCTCGATCTGCACGAGCTGGACGAGCGATCTGAGCGGCTTGGACAACTCGCTTGACGTGCTCTTCGTCTCCAGCTGCTTGAAAATGTACGCAAACCCTTCAGAATACAGCACCGCCTTGAGCTCCTCCATTTGGGTCTCCAGCTGGCTCACCGCACGAAGCGTCTCCTGCTGGAACTTGTAATGTTGCAAAACGGTGTAGAAGTCTAGCTGGCGTCGCTGCTCAATGTCATTTTGTTCTTCGGCAGTCAGCTCGACGGGGTTTGCCGAAATAAACTCCAGAAACTCGGTGCTCTTGCAGACCGGCTGCAAAGCCGCCAGCGACTGCAGGTAGCCGCGCAGAGCCACGCGCAGACTCTCACGCGGGAACTCGTGCTCGTTGTCACCCTCGACGGCGTGTTCGTCGCTGACTGTGCGCCGCAGCGCGCTCATAAACAGCTCTTCCAGCTTCGCCACGTCCACGGCGTCCATTCCCTGCGCCAACTGCTCTGTTTCTGCCGCAGACGGGAGACTCACCTTGGCCTTGGTCTTTGGAGGCAAAATGGGCAGGTCTGTGCCAGGAAACACTTTTCCGAGCGTCCTGTCGAACTCCGCAAACTGCGAGTACCGTCGTTTCACGTGCCATTCTTTGCCGTCCTGCGTGCGCACTCTAATGATGAAATTATAATACTTCGACTCGCTCGGGCCCAAAAAATAGCGGGCCTTCATCTCCTTGGCAGCAGCCACGCCAACAACATTAATCAGCAGCCCGTTCACATAATTCGCGTCTTCGCGCTGATCTAGCGTCAGGTCGCCGGCCGTCAGCTTGTTCATTTTCTTGTACGTGTTTCTGTGCTCGCTCGTTCTAAAATACTCTTCGTCGCCGCGACAGAGGATGGCAGAGTTGAACAACGTCAGCAGCAGCGACTGAAGCTTGTGCACCGCCAGCTTGCGCTTGCTGAGCTCGCCTCTGTCGTTACTGTTGCTGATCTTCTTTGTCCGCCATATCTCCCAAAACACCTGCACTCTGTCCCATAACTCGTTCTTGTTCTCCAGTCTTTCCAGATGCATTTTGATAAACGGGAACGTGACAAGGTATTCGGTGAACATGAAGCGCAGAAGAGGGAACTCGGCGTCGAATTGGGCCGCACATCCGCCTGTGGCTGTCTCTGGCCGCTCGCGACCCATCGCAGGCGGGCTGCGAGGATCGTACATCTTGAAAGGCGGGCCAAACCGGCGCAGACCGTACGCATCTGTGTACGTTGGCGAGAGTCTGTTGATCTCCTCCGTGAGCTCCAAGTTTAATAATTCCTTTTTCAGAAAATGCTCCTCAGCAGCAGATAATGCTGGCGCACAACCAAGGGCACTCATGGACCCAAGAGAATTTCAATATTAATAGAAAATTTAAATAATTGGAATTATTTTCATCTTGTTTAAACTGATGACACTCCATGAGTGATGAAAAGAAAACAATCACGTTTGCGGCCACGGTCGACAGCTGCCCGACGCCAGACTCACGGTCGAGGAAAAGCTCATGGGGGTCTCTGAAGTCGAAGATTAAGCCCGTGGTGCGCGCACGGTCGCGCGAACGACCGGCTTCGTGGCTTCTACCGCGCCGGTTCTCATCGTCGTCCCTGAAATCGCCGGACACGCCGGCCGGCGACAATCAGCCATCAGGAGCCGTGTCGGCGCCTCCGCTGCGGTCCTTGGCCTCCGACTCGTCGTCCCTGGAGCTCCGTCTAGAATCCAGCAGCTCGCTTGTTTCAGACAAGAGCAATGGCCAGCTGTCGCGGATCAAACAGCGCACAAAATCCATTCTTATGCTGGACGCGCCCTCCAGCTCGTCGGAATCCTCGTCCAAGCCGGCCACGCCGTCCAACGTCAAATTCACGCTCTCCCCGGACCCCGACGACGAGAACGAGATGATTCTCACGGTTTCGAGGCCCTCGTACCGGCGGTCGCACTCAATGAACGACGGATCTGAAGATAAGGAGCCTTCCAGCGTCCCGAGTGGCCGCACAGACACCACCACAGACTCGCCTGACTCCAACAAGATCTCCAGACAGCGGTCGAAGACGCTGAATGCTTTGGACGAGGAGAGGCGCGAGTTGAGCCCGGGAATCCTCAATTCGCTTACAGGCTTCATGAGACGGCGCGCACCCACATCGAGGACCACCTCCTCCAGCAGGCTGGAAGAGTTTGTGGAGCAGGGTCTGGCTGAGCTTCTCACCGTTGAGGACTCTGAGACACCAGCGCAGTACCTTGACCGGTTGCTCGAGAACTACCCTGTCACCAGCATAGCGAGCTTGCTGCTCTCCAATGAGTCGGAGTTCTTCAAGCTGTGCATGCGAGAGTTTTTAGCACGATACTTCGACTTTTCCCAGGAACCACTAGACTTGTCTCTGCGCAAGTTCCTCATGATCAACGAGCTGCCCAAAGAGACCCAGCAGATAGATAGAGTCATCTACGAGTTTAGCCGCCATTACTGTGCGCAACACCGGGACGCCGGGATAAACGAGGACTACTGCTACATTTTGACGTACTCGCTGATCATGCTGCACACAGACAAATTCAACCAGAACAACAAGAAGAAAATGGCCAAGTACGAGTTTGTCGACAATCTGCTGGCCACGCTCGAGCAGAACGAGAACTGGGGCAAAAGCGGCGAGCTCTCGAAAATCAGCATAAAAGCAGTACTGGAATATTACTACGACAACGTCACGTACACGCCGTTCACCAACATCACCAAAGACCAGAGCGATAGAGTCTTGGAGAGCCTCGTGAACAAGACGCCACTGCCATATCCGTCTGGGAGTTTTTTGAATGGTACTGCGTCCACCGCAGCACCAGTCATGATGACAAGGAAAAGAAGCAGCACGTTCCGTTGGAGCAGCGTGTCGATCGACCCGTACGAGTACATTATTAACCACAATGTGGGCGAGCTCAAGATGGACGTACCGTTTGACTTCAGAAATCCATTTCTGCTCAGCACGGCCGAGTACGACCCAGACGACATCATCCGGTCGCAAATTGTGCCAGATGAGCAGTATCTGGACGAACGACTGCTGGGCAACCTTCTGAACACATTAAAAGGGAGTCATTGCTCGATGCTGCTCAAAGTTGCCAAGAGTAAGGCTGCCTTCTTGCTGGGGAGCAGGACAGAGGTGATCAACTACGATTGCGAAGCCACAGGCGAGGAGTATCTGATTACGCGAATATTTAAAATTGGCATGCTGACGCGGCAGGAAACAAAACTCCTGTCGAACTACAAGTCCTGGAAACGGTATTTCTGCGTGCTCACGTCGGTGGGGCTGTTTTTCTTCAAGAACGTCTCGCTGTTCAAGATGAAGTACGTGATGAACTCCAAACGGGAGAAAACGATTGTTCTGGAGGAAAAGACGAGCAACACGCCGATCCTGGAGTCGCCGGAACCGAGCTTCACGATCCCGAACGGCGCGTTTGCCGTGCGGATGCGCAGAAACCTGTATTTCGACAGCCTCGTCAACGATAACCAATCGTCGCAGCTGCAACACTGCACCTTCTACATCTATGGGAAACACTCCAAAGACGTGTACATGGTGGACAACCAGTATGAGCTGGTTTCGTGGATAAACTCGATCAACTGTCTCTCCGCGCTGGACCCGGTGAACCTGCCGATCGAGAAGCTGGAACTGCCATTCACCGACGCGTCGATCGGCGAGGTGATCAATCTGCGAATTCTGACGGCTGCCGAGCGGCTCGAGAAACTGAACCAGGCGATCGACGCGTCGACCAAATCGCTGCAGGACTTCTTCCTTATGATCAGAAGGGTGTCGCTGCTGACGCCGTTCCAGGCCAAGACCCGAGAAACGCTCCACTCGGGCGTGAAGCTGTTTGCCGTGAAGATCGAATGGACGTGGTTCGAGCTTTCCCGAAACTCGCTGTTCCGGCATATTTTCGAGTGCGCATACGAGCATCTGGAACAGCAGCACCCTGAGTCCGAGGGCGAGGAGTTTGTCACGGCAATCGACCTTCTGCAAGAGTAGTTCACCTGCCCAGTCTTTTGCGCTCGAAAAACATGTCTGAGCGCGAGGACCCGATATTGACGACTTTGGGACACCCGTCTCTGTCGCGCTCGAGCATGACGCACTCGCGGCAGTAGTATGCGTCGCTGATGCCAGGGAGGCCGCAAATGATGCATTTTTCACGACCAGACCCGAACGCGCAGTCGTCGCAGATGCGTGCCGGTCGTGCCGCGTTGACGAGGGAGTCGCATGCGGGACACTTGCCGTCGCATTTCTCGCACAGCCGGCCGACTGCCGTGCCGGGCTGTTTGAGACATAGCACCAAATCGAGCTGATGGCGAGACATAAAGAAAATATTCACTACAAATATGTATTTTTTGATATTTTTTTTTTTCTTGCACAGCCACTACAGCTTGTTGCCAATGTTCAAGTAGATGCTCTTTGACTGCGTGTAGAGGTCGATGCCGCTTTCGCCGAGCTCTCTGCCGATACCGGACATCTTGAACCCGCCAAACGGCACCCTGCAGCTCTCGTCGTTTGACGAGTTGATGTACACGGAGCCAGCCTCGAGCTGCTCGGCCACGCGATGTGCTCTATGGAAATCCTTGGAGAAGACCATCGCCGCAAGGCCATAGATTGTGTCGTTGGCGTTTTTGACGGCCTCCTCTTCAGACGAGAACTTGGCCACTGCCACGACCGGCCCGAAAATCTCTTCTTTGACAATGGTCATGTTCTGGTTGCAATCGGCAAACACCGTTGGCGGAATAAAGTACCCCGTGCTCTGGCCGGTGGGCTCGTTTCCCAGGACGAGTCTCGCGCCCTCTCTCTTGCCCGACTCGATGTACCGCTGGATCTTGTCGTACTGGGCCTTGGAAATTACAGGCCCCAGTGTGGCATTTTCGTCGAACGGGTCGCCGACTTTCCAGTCCTCGAGGATCTGTTTCTTGAACAGCTCCAAAAACCGCTCGTACACAGTGTCCTGGACAAGCACGCGCGAATTGGCCGTGCAGTTCTGGCCAGAGTTGTACATGACGCCGAACGAGGCCCACTTGGCCGCTTGCTCGAGGTCCGCATCGTCAAACACCACGAGCGGAGACTTGCCGCCACACTCGAGCGACACATTCTTGAGGTTTGCCGCCGCGCTCTGCATCACCTTGGCGCCCGTCGCTGTCGATCCCGTGAACGCCACCTTGTCCAGGTCCGGGTGCTCGGCAAGTCTCTGGCCAGCCACAGAGCCCAGCCCGGAAACCACGTTGAACACGCCTGCAGGAAATCCTGCCTCTTTGACGTACTGCGCAAACAGCAGCAGCGACAGCGGCGTCAGCTCGCTCGACTTGATCACCAACGGACACCCGCACGCCAATGCTGGACAGAATTTCCACCCAGACATCGAGAGCGGATAGTTCCACGGCACGATTTGGCCCACCACCAATGGGTACCTTCTGGTGATGGCGAGTCGGTTATTACTGAGGGGAATTGTCTTGCCGTGTATCTTGTCGGCCCAGCCGGCACAGTACCGCAGATACTCCACCACGCCGTCGATGTCTGCACGGGCGTTGCTATGCAGCGGCTTGCCCGAGTCCAATGCCTCGACAGCGGCGACCAGCTCCGCGTTTTGTTCGAGGATGTCGGCGAGTTTCAGCATCTTGAGCGCCCGCTCCTCGCCCGGCACCTGCAGCCAGCTGTGGTAGACGCCTCTGGCGGCGGCGACGGCTGCGTCGACTTCTTTCTCGCCGGCAGCGTACACTTTGGTGATGACCTGCTCGGTGGCCGGGTTTATGGTTTCGAGAGTGGTGTTGGTGGCAACCCACTCATTGTTGATGAAGAGCCCCAGCGGTTGCTGGTATTTGTGGCCAGTCGGCAATTCGATCTCCTGGAATAACGACATGGGAAATTGCTAATTAGTAATCATTCAAATAATTGATTATTTAAATGTTTTCTGGGGTGATTAGAGTTGCCTCTTTGGGACAGACTCCACCTTAGCCGTTATCGCCTTGGTCCCTCGATTTTTTTTTTTTTTGTGCTAAAGTTCTAGCAAATTTCTAGCACGTTTGGATCACAAACTCTAATGGCTTCTATTTGCACAAAGACTCAAAAGCTCAACACTGGCGCCTCAATCCCTTCCGTTGCCCTGGGATGCTGGCAATCGTCCCCCGAGGACACCTACACTTCTGTTTTGGCCGCATTGAAGGCAGGCTACAGACATATCGACACCGCACACGTGTACCAGAACGAGGCGGATGTTGGTAGAGCCATCAAAGACTCGGGGGTTCCTAGAGAGTCGCTCTTCATCACTACGAAGCTCTGGAACACCAACCACAGAGACCCATTGGCTGCTCTGAATGGCTCGTTGGAGAGACTCGGCATGGATTACGTCGACCTGTACCTGGTTCACTGGCCTGTTCCTTTTGTTAAGCCTTCGCCAGATGCCGAGGAACAGTGGTTCCCAAAGGATCCTAACAATCCGGAAAAGTTCCACAATGACAAAGACTGGGACTTCATCAAGACGTGGGAGCTGGTCCAACAGCTGCCTAAGGACAAGGCCCGGGCCGTGGGCGTGTCCAACATGTCCAAGACAAACTTGGAGAAGCTGCTGGCTGCACCAACGACCAAGGTCATTCCTGCAGCCAACCAGGTCGAAATGCACCCATTCTACCCGCGCCACCAGCTGCTCGAGTACTGCAAGGAAAAAGGCATTGTTGTGGAGGCGTACTCGCCACTGGGCAGTGCTGGGTCGCCACTACTTAAGGACGAGGACATCATTGCTCTCGCCGACAAGAAGGGCATTTCTCCAGCCTGTCTGCTAATTTCGTGGGCTCTCCACAGAGACACTGTCGTGCTGCCAAAGAGCGTGACTCCGTCGCGGATCGAGGCCAACATCAAGGTCGTCGACCTCGACGACGAGACCGCCGACGCCCTGTCGGCGCTCTACAAGACCAAGGGCAAAAGAATTCTGAACGTTGACTGGGGTGTTCCAGTCTACAATGACGAGGAAGACAACTTTTAGCCTGAGGATATAAGATAAGTGATTACGTAACTGGATTTTTTAGCTTCTTTCTGCATCGCGTAGCTCCACGTAGCTGAGGTAGTACTTCTTTGTCCAGCGTCTCATTTGTTTTCCGTACAGCAAAAACGGGATAATGAATGCGAACGTGCCGAAGTCGATGATGGCCAGCATAATGTATGTGCGGACCGTGCCGAGCGCGGCAATCAGCGGCGAGCACGCAAACGTGAAAATGCACCCGATCATGTTGTTGATGAAGGCCACGCCCAACATGCCCTCGAGAATCATTTCCGGGTACGCGTCCATGAGATAGCCCATGGCGATGTCTCCAGCCGTGGCGAACCCAAACCCGATGAAGCCCAGTCCGACCGTGTAGGTGACCTTCCAGCTCCAGAGTTTGTCTGTGCCGATGCCGAAGAGCAGCAGGCCGATCGGCGAGATAATGGCTGCCGGAAACAAAAACCAGAGCCGGAACTCGGCCTCCTGGATGCCGCCGTTGCGTTTGGCCTTCCAGATCACAAACCAGTCAGAGAAGTAGCCCGCGTACAGACATCCGATCAGCGCTCCGATAACGCATGGCAGATTCATCAGCGCAACGCCGGTATCGGAGTAGTTCCACGGCTCGTCATAGTACAGATCGTCCTCCGTGGTGAGGTAGAACGTGAGAAAAGCGTCCTGCAGCCCCCACAGCAGCCCCGACAGCAGCACGGGCGGGAACCAGAACACACGCAGCATGAGCACGAGCCGCTGCAGGTACTGCTTGGCGCCCAGCCCGACAAGCGATGCTGACGGCGTGATCAGCTGCACCCGTTTCCAGTACGGCAAGCGCGGCTCTCCTGCGCCCGTGCCGTACACGCCGGCCACCTCGATCACGTCTGAGCGGTCGCCGGAGTGCGAGTCGGCGATTTTATCGTCCACTTTTTCGCGTTTCTCGCTAGAGTCGATCTGCCCTATGTAGCGGTGTCTGTCGAAATACGTTTCGTACTGTGTCAAAAACATCACTGCCAGCAGCACGCCCGAGATAATCACGGCGATCCAGCCCACCCACCGGAACGTAGTGTACTGGACAACGAAACCCGCAATCAAAGGCCCAAGATACGTCCCGACAGAGGTAGCCAGGATGTAGACGGTCAGAACACCACCGAGCTGGTGAGAAAAATACATGTCCGACAGCGAGAGCTGCACCTGGGCCTCTGCGCAGGCCTCAGATGCCCCAACAAACAGTTGCGACCAGATGGTGTCGCTGGTTCTTTTGGACAGAGCAAACCACACCGCTCCAACGAGGCCGAGCACTATACAGATCACGTAGCTGATTTTGCGGCCGTAAAGCGACGAGGCAGGCCCTAGAATGACGGTGGTCAGGCCGATCGACGCAAACAGCACGCCGGCACCGGTGTTCATCGAGTCGTACGAAATGCCGTACAGCTCGTTGAGAGAGTCCTGCGTTGAGCCGGCATCGTTCGACGTGGCCGCCGTGAAACCGGTAATGAACGCCAAAAGCGCAAACTGATAAGCCTTGGTCCAGAACCCCCAGTTGAGCGGGTCGTTGGGCGAGTCTGACGGCTGTGGGTGCAGAACAATGCCGTCCTTGGTTGTCTTGACTGTAGACGACTGGTCCCCCACAGCGGTCTGGCTGTGATCTATCTGATGGACTAAGATGTTGATCGTGCCCGGGACAAAGTCCGGATGGTACTTGTCGCTGTACTGGTCCATCGCTGCGCAAGATCTGAACGCAAAGATTGAAATTCACTTATCTTATAGACATCAATTTTTTTTCTCGATCCGCGCACGACCACGTTTTTTCCGCGAGGACATGCCAACAGCGCGGCTAGATAAAGCGGTCTGCGCCTTGGCCAGATACGATGCGAGCGATCTCTGGGGAAAATGCGGAAATTTGGCGGTGGTGGCAGGCAGCAACTGCAGCAAGGTTGGTGTGCCTTATTCTGTCTATGCAGATATATCAGGCTTTTCAGTTTGTGACGGGCATCGGTGCCCGGGACGCCACACCTCTGCACAGCGTGGCAAATAAATAAATCGACTGTCTTACTTCTTCTCCTCCGCCACAATGGCAATTGCTCCTAGATACGCCAAGTCGCACGTCTACAACGGTTCTGCTGGGCTCTCTAGTGGCCTCAAGCACACCGTCCAGCTGTACCTGGACTACAACTGTCCCTTCTCGGGCAAGCTGTTCCGCAAAATCACCGGCAACGTTATTCCGTTGCTGGAGAAAAAGAATCTTTTGGACAAATTCAGCTTTGTTTTCATGAACGTGATCCAGCCATGGCACTATGTCGGCTCCGGCGCGTACCACGAGGTTGCTCTGGCCGTCGCCAAAGTGTACCCGGACCAGTTCTGGAAGTTTTCCGGCGTGCTCTGGGACAACATCATGACGGACTCTCTTTCGTACGAGAAGAGCAAGAAGCAGGTTTTAGCTACGGCGATCGACCTTGCCGCACAGCACCTTGACAACGTCGACACTGAGAAGCTGTGGGAGCAGGTCGCTGTCCCACAAGGCGGTCAGAACCAGCTGCAAAAGGACATCAAGTATTTCACCAGATACCACCGCACGGTGGGCGTGCACGTGACGCCGACCGTTTTTGTCGACGGCATTGTTGTGGGCAGCATCGAGAGCTCGACGGAGCCGGAGAAAATTGTGGAAATTTTGGAGAGTCTGCTAGATTAACTATATGTATGTAGTTATTTCAAGAACGTTCTGATAGCAAAGTCTCGCCCCGCGGAACAATGCGCGCGTTCCCCAAGCGGACAATAGCGTGCGTTAGTGACCTGTACCGGGCAAACCACACGCTTGTTGGCTCTTCTCCTGTAATATGAAACACGCCACACCTCGCACCGCGTCCCGATTGCTATTGTGAGTCGCAAACGGCAACAGGAAAACAATACACGCCGCGAACGCGTCCAGACACAAAATTATTTCCCTTTAAAATCCACCTGGTCTTTCCCCGTTCTTTAGCCAACAGCTCTTTCACGATGAAACAGGAGCTTTTGCCGCCAGCAACGATCATCAGTCCCGTCAACAAGTCCTTCGAGCTGAAAACGCCTCCGCAATCCGTCGTCAGAAACGGCCCCGTCAAATCGCATGACACGCGCTCCACCCTCCGTACAAACGGGCTGCTATCGCCAGAGTTTTCGTCGCCACAAGTGACCCGCGGTGCCGACGACGACGATTTTGACGACGACGACGACTACGAGGAGCCTGGCTGCTCCAGAAAACGCAAGCTGCACTCGTCTCCGCCGCCGCCGCCCAAGTTTGCCCAGCCCGAGGGTGCCGCAAAAAGCCGCGCCGCAAACAAGACCAGACGGCTCAAGGGCCCGCAGAACATCGAGATACCCGACCCAGAAGACATGCCGCCTGTGATCTTCGACTCTCACGAGAAACCACCGTTTTCGTACGCCTCTCTGATAGGCATGGCCATTCTGCGCGCGCCGGGACGCAAACTCACGTTGTCGCAAATATACCAGTGGATTTCGGACAACTTCAAGTACTACAAGAAGGGCGAGGTGGGCTGGCAGAACTCCATTCGCCACAACCTCTCGCTCAACAAGTCGTTCGCCAAGACGGAAAAGTCCAAGGACGGCAAGGGCCACTTCTGGAAAATCGTGGACGGGTACGAGTACCAGTTTTGCCACATCAAGAATTTCGAGAAAATGATGGCTGCCGGGAAACTCAAGCGCTCCAGAGATTCCCAGCCGCAGCCAGCCGCCAAGTCGCTATCGCACACGCCGCAGACGTCGCACCGTCACCCGCAGTCGCCCGAGCTGCCTCTCAAACGGGCCAACACTGACCCGTACCATCTGGACTTCGACCGACAGTACCCCGCGGGCCTTCTGGGATCCATTCCGGAGCTCGCGGCCCCGTCGTCCACCTGGAAGGCGTCCGCGACGGGCGAGCAAATTGTCTTCAAAGAAGCCCAAATGTCTCCCGAGCAGTCGTTCTTGCAAGAATCACCCGGTGGGCCCATTTTCGCGGCCCGCTCTCTGCCCTTCACGTCTTCGTTCAGCTGTAAGTCCACGCTCGAGCTGTCACCAATCAAGTCCGGCGAAACAGGACCTTTGCTCGAGCCGCTCACGCCCAAACAGAACAGCTCCCTCAACACGTTGCAGAAGTCGCAATATCAGTACGACCAGCTGTTGCTGTCGAAGTTTCGGTCGCCTACGAGCGTGCTCAAGACACCCAACCTCTCGGCCACCAAGAAGCTGTGGACCTCGCCGTCCTATCTCGACGATTTCTACACCTCGCCCAGCGCCGGCCGCGGAGCAGAAGAGGACACCATATACGGCTCGCCTTTGGGGCCGGTCAAAAAACGCAAGACCGGCTCCTCTTCGCGGTACTCTGCAAACGAGATCTTTGGCATCGACATCTGCAAGATCCACCATGACGATTGAGGCTGTGGCCCTGTAATGTAGCGTATGTATATTAGATTTATCTTCCATTCTATCGTTTTTCGCTGTTTTGGTGCACCAGCTGCGGGTTCTCCTCGTACTCGGCCTTCGACACCCACATCTGCTTGAACACGCTGAGGCTCGCCAAAATCGACCCCCCGACAAAACAACTCGCGCGTCGTTCCGGCGACGCGTATATTTTCAGCTGCAAGTCAGGGTCCTCCAGCTTCATCTCCTCCAGCAGCCGCACGCCGTAGTTCCTGAACATCGTGGACCCGCCCGCTAGAATGATATTTTCAAAGAGCCGCGGCCGCAGGTCGTAGTTGGTCTTGCGCACAGAGTTCACCACTGCCTGGTGCACCGGCACCTCCTCGACGCCGAACTTCTCCGGCTGGAAGTACAGCTCCGTTGACTGCCACAGCGTCTGCCCGGCAACCCGCACCATCTTTCCGTCCGGCAGCGGGAACTCCTTGCACTCCTCGCCAACAGCAGGCCCCTTGGCGTGCTGCTCCGCGGGTGTCGGGTTCACGTGACACAGCCGTTCTTTCAGACTTCGCACGAGCTCAAACTCGGACGACGTCGATAGAAAGTACCCGTTCTTCATCAGGTCGCTCTGCACAAGCCGCGTGATGTCTCTTCCACCAAAATTGAGGCGTTTGATAGTGCCCGGAATCGAAAACCCCTCGTAGATTGGTACCACCGTGGTGACTCCATCGCCAGAGTCCAGCACCGTCCCCGTGGTCCGTCCCGAGGAGTACAGCGACAAAACCGCGGGCATGGCCACGTACAGCGCAGGAAAATTGAACGTCTCGAAAACAAGCTCCGCCAGCTGGTCTCTGTTCTTGCTAGGGTTCAAAGGCTGCTCGCTCACCAAAAGCGGATGCTGGTCGGTCTTGGCATCCAATTGCTGCACCACGTCGCTCCAAACCAGCTCAAGCGCCTCCCAGTCATCGACTATGCCGTTGGACAGCGGGTACTTCAGCTTCAACAGCCCGCGAAGCTGCTGTGCGCGCGACCCTATAAATGAATCTGTCTGCGAGATGGCCGACGGCATGATCTTGTTGTACTTAGGGCGGCCGACGAGATTCGAATGGTTGATCTTCGGCTTCTCGTCACCCGCAAAGCCTGCACGGATTGTCCCAGAGCCGTTGTCTATGACAATCGGTTGGTTGTAGATGGACTCCATGAAATAACAAAAAAAATGGTAAATAAAAAAATAATTAGTAGTAGTGTATTCAGATACAGTAATATCTATCGCCAAAATCTCCCAGACCAGGAACAACAAACTTCTTCTCGTCCAGAGCCTGGTCGATCATTCCGGTGATGACCTTGATTTTCGGAAACTTCTTCTTGAACACCTCGATTCCCTCTGGACTTGCCAGCACGTTCAGAAATAATATCCGTTCTTCTTTCACACCTTTCTGTAACAACACGTCCACGGCCATTGACGCAGAGCCACCTGTGGCAAGCAGCGGGTCCAGCAAAAACACATATCTCTCTGGAATGTCTTCCGGAAGCTTGACGTAGAAGAGTCTCGGAGTGGCCGTTTCCTCGTCCCTCTGAATCAAAATCTTGCCCAATCTCACAGACCTACAGCAGTCTCTAAGACCCTGCTCCATGCTCTCACCAGCTCTGATGATGGAAACACCGCAGATCTTGCCTTGGAACTTGTGCCCGTCGTAGGCAACTCCCAAAGGGGTCTGAATTTGGCAGGACTCGACGGGCAGCTGATTGAGACCTTCTTCCACCAGGAGTCGGATGATTCTGTCAGAATAAAAGATGAAATCTCCTCTACGGGTGTTTCTGTCTCGGATGATCGTGTAAAGACATTTCAGCTGGTTAGTCTGTGGAAGCATGATGACATTTTCGTATTGCGACATGATGAAATGTTGGGTGTATAAAATTTAACAAACGATGAAGTTTAATTTTTCGCTTATCTATAAAAAATTCAAACTCATCTCGTAGCCAATTTTTTTGCGCACCGAAAGAAGTTCTTGTTTTAGATCGTAGTTCGGCACTTGCCGCGAACAAAGCGTCTGGGCCGCGGCGAGAGTTTCGTCGTCTGCCTCCTTCTCAAACCCGTTCAGAACCTTAATAAGCTCCACAAACTCCTCAGTCTTTAGCACTCTCTTCCCCAAGTACGGCTCTATCAGCATCACCAGCGACATCTTGTAGTGTTTCGGCAGATACTTGAAGTTCAGCAGCTGGAAAAGATTTCTGAAATTCGGTTGGTCTTTCTTTTGTAAAAACTCGTCCAAAACAGCCAGTGGACTCAGTGCTTGTCGAAGAGCAGGCTCCGCAATCTCGTTGGACCGAATTTTAGTTATCAAAGTTTTGTCTTCTAGCTCTCCAACCAGCACCTTTTCGAATATTTCCCACGCCAGCTTGGTCAATCGCGCGTAGTCACCTGCCTCAGTGTAACAGTAGAGAGCTTCGTATAAATACCCCACTGTGGCCAGTCTTGCACCCTGGATCTTGTATATTTTCACTGCTGTTTGATGCAGCTTAAGCTTGGCGCAAATAGATAGACACCACTCCAAATCATCATTGCTCGTGATGTGGTATCTGGGAAGAAGCTCAGAAACAATTTCTCTGGAATTTGAGTTGTTGATCAGAATTAAAATTCCGACACCAATCGGAAACAGTTCACGATGGGTCAAATATGAGAAAGATAAGTCCTCCAGCATCTGGTCAATTGTAGAAATAAGGGATGCCTCTGTAAATGACACAACAGACAGGTATCCTTTCAAAAGACCAGCAGAGGCCATAAGAACTACCACGAACGTGGCAATTGACTTATCAAGCAACTCGATCGAGCTGATCACAGACAGAAACTTTCCTTGCAACAGCTCAATGCACATGGTTTCCCAGGACTGAGTGGTTTCCGGCGGGTATTTATCAATGGACACTTGGAGATACTCATCGAGGAGCTCCATGGACGGCAGCTGGAAGAGATAGTGTGCATAAAGTGCTTCATACCATGTACTGGAGGCCTCTAGTATACTATTTGAAGATCCAGACATGATGGTGATGAGTTCAGACACCTCTGAAGCCAGTCCTGCCTCGGAGAAACTCAGCGAGTTGACTCTCTCACGCAGCTCGACAACCATTTGCTTCCAAATCAGAAACTCCTTACAATCGACAGAAAACCTGAGCATATCGTAGGACTCCAAAAGATTCTTGAAATCTGTCAGGACGTTGAACAGATTAGCATCCTCGTGTTTCAAAGCGATCCAGTTACTTTTGTCCAGTGCTTCCAAAGCCTCCTTAAAAAACCCCCGGAGCAGAAGCTTCTTCATATACGTGGACCAGAATAGGAAGTTTTTATAAGGATGCTCAAAGCTCATCACCTCTTCGAAAAGTTCGTCGTCTGGCTGTATATCGGCGCGGTTGATCCAAACAGAAAGCAAGGCGATTCTCTCTTCCTTGTTGGAGAAATGCACAGCATTCAGCAAGTTGAGGACGTTGAGAATCTCCTCATAATTGAAGATGAAAGTTTCCTCAAAATTAGGATCAAGCTTGGACTTCATGGAGATTAAATTTTTGAGGTCTTCCACCATGGCTGTGATAATGGATTGTAACGTTTGTTTTTTCTCTCTCCGGTTCTCTTCAATTTTGCTTAATACGCCAAACGTCATGTCTTGGTCATCATCACTGAAATGCTTGTATGCTTGGTTTGTCAGTAGCGGCTCAAAAGTGCGGTAGGTTTTGGTGAGGAACTTGACGTACTCCTCAGAAGTGTCTATATTTGAAGGTATTCCAAAAGGATAAAGCTTCCGCTCGCGGTCGTTCAGAGGCTCCATCTTTTTTTCGTCTTGGGACGCCAAAAACAGCATTCCATTGTCGTGTGCCTTGTCCAGCGAAAATTGCAAAGTGCGTCCATTCTTCAGCCAGCTGAGATCACTTTCAGCAATGGGTGCATCATCATAAGGAAGTTTGGTGATTGGTAATTGCGTCGGTGGATCAATTTCAATTTCAAAGTCCAAGTCCTCCGGTTCAGCAAGTTGAGTCCCGCCATTCGGTTTTACAAGTGACATTGTAGAAAAAAGCTAAATAAACAATCAAAATTTTAAACCTTGCAAAATTGGCAGTGATAAAAAATTAGAAAAAAAATATTCAGACCACAGAGATTCACAGTGAACACACTCAGATGAGCTGGGAAGAGATTCGAACCACGGAGGGAATCACGAGGTTTTTGAGAAATCCAGAATGCCCAATCTTGGATATTTGCACGGTCTCTGGACGACTACTCGAGCATGACGAACCAGTGGCTCTTCCTGATAAAGAGAGGTTTATTTTTGAGTTGGTCTGTGATCGGTTGGGTCAGACGAAGAACAGAGAGTACAGGAGCAGCAGAGAATTCTGGGGCTTGTTTCAGAAAGTTTGGCTAGCATTTGATTCAGCAGAATCACTGAGATCAACCAGGACTAAGTGCATTAATAGGATTAGATTCAATGATCTGGTGGTGTACATGTTGAGCAATGTGGAATTTGAGAAAGACGTCGAATTTCTCGTCATTTTTGTCAACTGCGTGAATTTAGTGATGGATGAGCTCCGATTGGCGTTTTCTTCAGACACAAATGTCGAAATGGTGGCAAGACTTTTGGACCTTGCACTCAAGACAAAGCAGGACTCGTGCATCAAGTTAGCTTACCGACTTTTCAAAATGGCCAACACAACCACTCTTCACTATAATAAGAAAAACATAGCTTACTTTTGCGCCGAGTGTCTTCCCAGCTTATTGTGTCTAATGAAGTCCAATGAAGCCCAGCTACTAGAATCTATGTTGAGAGGAGTGCTACTGCGAAGAGACACTATCCCAGACCTTAAGGAGAATATTGGATTTTTCTGCAATTCAGCATTCGTCAAAAATATAGACGGGTCCTTGGTGGCAGAGCTATTTCAAAGAACAGCAGGAAGACTTGCAATCACCGATGTGGAACAAATTTACATGGAAATTGCTTCGAAGTTCCCGGACGTGAAAGTGGATCTGCTAAGGAGAATTGTGGCAATGAACAAGGTCTTGTCAACCAAGTTTCTCATGGACTTGGTGGAGTCTAGTAACTTGAATCTGGAAATCTTGCAACTTGCAATCAACAAAAATGTTGATGTCGGTCTTCACTACTCAAGCAAGATTTTCGAGCTGGCCAACACTGGTTTTGAAGAACAGAAGTTCAGAATTCTAACTACTCTGCTAGATGTTTACGCCAGAGCTCGTGAGATGGACGAGTTTTTCAGTCTCTGGCTCAAACATTGCAACCAGAACTCTGTTTTAATCTCCGACCAATTTGTGACACAGGTCTCTCAAGTCATCATGGACCTATCACAGAAACAAACGATTGCCCTGATCAGCAAATACGTCGAGACTTTTAAGGATAATGAGTGGAGCTCGGTTCTTCTTTCTGCAATTGCGAAATGTCTTCTTTCGAGTGTGACCGGATCGGCTCACACGGCCGTCACTAAGACACTGCAGCAGACCGTGCAAGAAGCCAAACCGCTGTTCCTTCAAGTCCTGGATTACAAGCAAGGTAATGCTCACTATTGGAAGCTAGTGACGATGATTCTGATGATATACGACGTCGAGCCTAACTTAACATCTGGCGAGGCTGATGAGTACTACTTTGCGTATCTTCGTCTCTGCGAACGCGACTTGTCACACTGCAACGAAACACAGACGAACCAGTTTATCAACCATTACAAAAGCTCCGATCTCAACTTCAAGCGAGTGATTTTCAGACGATGGTTTGTTCTCATGAATGCGATGCTTGATAAACAGCAGCTGCGAATTCTGGTTGAAGAATATTTGCGAGTTGAAACAGAGCCGGTAAAGGTGCTTTCCAACGGTGTCTTGCACGAGCAGATCAATCTGGTGAGAGAAATAATTAATTACATCGTCCATCATTTCAGTGAAGATCCGGAAAAGATGGCACAGTACACAGAGCAAATTCCAGTTAATTGTTACTCGCGCGCTCAGAGAGAGCATGTTCTGGACCTTTTGATTTCCGTGCCGTCTGATGCCGCCTTGGCATCCATACTGATGCTTCTGAGTCAGCCCACCTTGAAATCCAAACTGGAATCCAATCTCGACGTTCTGATATCATTTGTGGATGTTTCTGACGACCCTAGACGGTTGGAAATTGCAAGGAAGATCTTTGATGCTCATCTTCGTCAAGGGTCCAAATTTGTGTGCGACGCTGAAAATAAACTTCAAAGCAACAGTCTCAAGACGACGCTGTGTCTGCTGCGGGCAGAGCGTGGAGCGGGAAAACTAAACACTCAGCTATTCCAGGCCACAGTGAAAAGGTGTGTTGACAGTCTTTCTACAGGCACACAGTACTTAGATTATTTGGTGGAGCTGAAAAGTTGGAACAGGGAACCGGACCCATCCATAAAACCAGTCATCAAGGAGCTAGGTGCCAAATGTGACGACAAGACCTCTGAAAAGCTATTTGAACTGATTTGCTATTTGAGGGACACCTATAGCCCAACATATGTGCTTGCGTTGTACTTAAATCTAAGAGATTCCAGTGAAGTGATAAGTTCACTGCGAACATATTTACAGGAGCTTGATGTCGAGCAGATTTCTGCTCTGTGGATGTGGGTTCTGGACAGCGACGAGAATGCCAGCAAAGTGTGCTCTTTGATAGGCCTATTTTTACAGATCCAGACCCCTGAAAATCCGTACGCGCAAAAGCTGGCAATCGCTTCACTTTCCAAGCTTCTAGATTTGCAGCTCTCCACCAAAGACATGACGTATGTGGCACAAATTCTCAAACAGATATTAAGCTCTTCTCATTGGATGCTCACGCAGTACACTGTGGAGCTGATCATCACTTTTGTTAACCGAGTCACGAAAAAACTCCTGGATTTTGAGGGATCTCTGGGTGAGAAACAATCTCTGTTTGCTCTAAACTGTCAATTGCTATCGAATATCCTGCTTTTTCAACGGTTCAGATTTTCTAACAGACAGCATTTGATAACGCTGTCCTTTATTCCATTGATGGAGTGTCTGTTCAAGCTGAAATTGGATGCTTCTGCTGGACTGGCATACCAACGCCTAGTTGGAAACCTGTGCGAGATCTCGGCCTCCTCGGTCACAAATGCAGAGACCGACTCATCGCTGACAAGAGCCGTCTCATACATGAAATACCACCTACGGAAGTTTGCGTCCTTGTTGATCATGAACTATCTGAAGTTCTACCTCATTTATCGACTAGAACCAGCTACCAAGGAAGCATTGGAAGCCAGCATGTTTGTGATATTTGATCTTTTGACGACCAACGAACTGAACTACATCAATGCGAATCTAGATCCTCAAGCGAGGGTGGTCTACAAAGTTCTCTATGATGACTACAAGAAGTTTGGCAAATGGAGAGAGGAATGATTCTGTCCCGGTAGTAGAGGTGTAAAAATAAAAAAAAATAATAATTTATTCTTTCAGTATGGTGGAAATCACAGAACTGGACCAGAAAACCGACCAGCTCATTAGCGAATGGGAGAAAAGACGGTATATTCCCAAAGAAGGGGAGCCGGAATTACCACCGCAGCTTTCAGAACTTGCAAGCAAGCCTACCGAAGAAGTTATGGCCGACTTAAACAGACTGCCTCTGTTCATGACAGAACTCGATGAGTCTGACGGCGCGGGTGGTGAAAACTTACACGTCGAGGCCCTGAAAGCTCTTGCATATGAAGGAGAGCCGGACGAGATTGCTACCAATTTTAAGAACCAGGGAAACGACTGCTACAAGGCCAAGCAGTATAAGAATGCCGTGGAATATTACACAAAGGGCCTTGAGGTTGGTTGCAACGTGGATGAGATTAATGCAACATTATATCTCAACAGAGCAGCCTGCAACTTGGAGCTGAAGAACTACCGCAGATGTATTAACGATGCCAAAGAGTGTCTCAAAATCCAGCCCAAGAACGTCAAAGCGCTCTTTCGTGCTGCCAAGGCTTTTCTTGCCATCGAAAAGTACGACGAGGCCGAGCAAATTCTCCAATACGCATCCTCCTTGGACAACACCTCGCCTGCTTTCAAGTCGCTAAACAAGCAGCTCGAAGACAGACGAAGACTGCTCCGCGAATTGGAAGAGAAGAAACGTAGGGAGGAAGAGGCCGAAGAACGCAAAAAAAACAATCTTAAACAGGCCATGGTTCTGCGAAATTACCTAAACCTCTCAAGTGCGGAGCCCGCAGAACTTCCTGCAGGAACACAGATCCATTTGGAGGACCCGGAAGACATAGAGACACAGCTAATTATTCCAACCATGGTTCTGTATCCGACTACAGACGAGTTTGATTTTGTCAACGAGGTGAGCGAGCTTTCCACCCCTGGAGAGCTGATCGAACTGGTGATGGATCGTCCTGATTCCTACTTTGAGGATCCGAAGCATAAGAATTTCAGACAGATGGAAGCATATATGGAGACGGAAAGTGGCGGTTTGATCAAGGCCGGGAAGAAGGTGCCGTTTAATACGATCCTCTCTGCGGCATCTCCACGCGTGCCTTTGTTTGACGACGTGATGCGCATCTACTTTGTACCAAAAGCAGACTCCAAAACGTGGATCTCGAAATGGAGTAAGGAGGCAGCTTTGAAAAAAAGACGATAAATATGAAAAAAATTCAATAAAAATAATTTTTTTTTAGTAAAGAAAATGGCCTCTGTGAAAAGACAGCGTCCGACAGACGGACTTGCAGTCACGCAGAAAGTGTTTGTGCGGAGTCGCAATGGCGGGGCCTTGAAGATTGTTCGTGAGCATTATTTGAGAGACGACATACCGTGCTCTAGCGTCTGCTGCGACGATTGCGAGGAATACTACAAGCCTTCTCCTGATGGCCAACCCAGCGAGCCAATTTTGAGCGGCGAGCCCCTGGAGATCACCAAGAGTGACATTGGAAGACACTACTTGATTTTGGACACCAACGTGGTTTTAAATGCCATAGATCTGCTCGAAAGCGACAAGGTGTTTTACGACGTGATCATTCTGCAAACAGTGCTGGAAGAGGTGCGAAACCGCAGCTATCCTATATATATGCGTCTTCGTGCGCTGTGCAAGAACGACGACAAACGGTTTGTGGTGTTCCACAACGAGTTTAAGACAGACTCGTTTGTTTCTCGCGAGAAAGGCGAGTCTGCACAGGATTACAACGATAGACTGATCAGAAAGTGCGCATTATTTTATAGCCAGCATTTGGCAAAACATAAGATCTCGATCGTGCTGCTGACCAGCGACAAGAATAACATCGAAAAGGCCGTTAACGAGGGAATCACAACCATGTCCTTACACAGTTACGTTTCTTTGCTACCGAACTTCAACGAGTTGGAGGACATGTTGCCGTCCAACGAAACGTTTTCGCGCCAGCTCACAGAGATCAATTATCAGGAGTACTATTCACCTGCGCGTCTAATGGGAGGGATTAAGAACGGGACCCTGTACCAGGGCACGATCAACATTTCGTCGTACAATTTTCTGGAAGGCTCCATTTCCGTGCCGTCGATGCCCAAGCCGCTGCTCGTTTTGGGCAGAGAGAACTTGAACCGGAGTTTCAACGGCGACACCGTCGTGGTGGAGCTGTTGCCAAAAAGCAAGTGGAAAAAACCGTCCACGGAGATCATCGACGAGGAGACTATCAACAGCAACGAAGTAGGCGACGAGGACGAGGATGAGGTGGTCATTTCCGACCAGGAGCGGCGACTGCTTGCCGAACACGCGGTGGCTGCCCAGGGAGAGGACCAGAAGGTGATTCCGACCGCGCGAGTCGTGGGCATTGTGAAACGTAGCTGGCGACTCTATGTTGGGCAGCTGGCCCCAAATTCGGCCGCCAAAGATCAAGTTGGAGGCAACGCTGCGAAATCGTGCTTTGTCATATTGATGGACCGTTCGTTGCCTAAAGTGCGCATCCGCACCAGACGCGCGCGCGAGCTGCTAGGAAAGCGGATCGTCGTGGCTGTCGATTCGTGGAGCCCGACCTCGAAATATCCGGACGGCCATTTTGTGCGTGTTTTGGGCGACATCGAGGACAAGGACGCGGAGCAGGAGGCACTTCTTCTGGAACACGACGTGGAGTATAGGCCGTTTTCCAAAAACGTTCTGGACTGTCTTCCCAAGGAGGGCCACGACTGGAAGGTGCCGGAGAAACTCGACAATGGCGATCCGCAGCTGGCGCAGAGACGTGATCTCAGAGAGAAACTCGTCTGCTCGATCGACCCGCCGGGCTGTGTGGACATCGACGATGCGTTGCATGCTCAGCGGCTGCCTAATGGTAACTACGAGGTGGGCGTGCACATTGCGGACGTGACGCATTTTGTGAAGCCTGGAACGGCCTTGGACCAGGAGGGAGCTTCCAGAGCGACTTCTGTGTACTTGGTCGACAAAAGAATTGACATGCTGCCGATGCTACTGGGTACGGATCTGTGTTCGCTGAGGCCGCATGTGGACAGGTTTGCCTTTAGTGTTCTCTGGGAAATGGACGAGGACGCCAATATTGTGCGCGTAGACTACTTCAAGTCGATTATCCGGTCGAAGGAAGCCTTTGCTTATGAGCAGGCCCAGTTGCGGATGGACGATCCGTCTCAGCAGGACGATTTGACCAAAGGGATGCGGATTTTGTTGCAGCTGTCGAAGAAACTCAAACAGAAGAGACTGGACGCCGGCGCCTTGAATCTCGCGTCACCAGAGGTGAAGGTGCACATGGACAGTGAGACGTCGGACCCGGGCGAAGTGGAGGTTAAAAAACTCGTCGAGGCCAACTCGCTCGTGGAGGAATTTATGCTTTTAGCCAACATTTCCGTGGCCAAGAAGATCTACGACGAGTTCCCGCAGGTGGCCATGCTGAGACGGCACGCTCCCCCGCCAGCTACCAATTTTGAGGTTTTGAACGACATGCTGCGTGTGCGCAAGGGAATGTCTATTTCTCTAGAGAGCTCCAAGGCTCTGGCAGATTCGCTCGACAGGTGCGAGGACCCACAGGACCCGTATTTCAACACCTTGCTGAGAATAATGGCCACGCGGTGCATGATGGCGGCCGAGTATTTCTCAGCCGGCAACTACGGCTACGAGGATTTCCGCCATTATGGTCTGGCGACCGAAATCTATACCCACTTCACCTCTCCAATCAGACGGTACTGCGACGTTGTGGTGCACAGACAGCTTGCAGCAGCCATCGGCTACGAACCATTGCACCCATTGCACAGAGACAAGGCCAAGATGGACCTGGTGGTGAAGAACATTAACAAGAGACACAGAAACGCACAGTTTGCTGGACGGGCCAGTATTGAGTACTACGTCGGACAGGTGATGAAGAACACGCAGAGCACGCACGAGGGATACGTGATAAAAGTGTTCTCGAACGGGATTGTTGTTCTGGTGCCAAAGTTTGGTGTCGAGAGTCTGATTAAGCTCGAAAGCCTTGGAGATATCAGGACAAGCCATTTTGACGAGGACCTGTACAAATTGACTTTCACAGATAAAAATGGCAGCGAGCGCCAGGTGAGCGTGTTTGACCGTGTCCAGGTTTCTGTCACGTCGCAACTGGATGAGATGACCGGTAAGAGAAAAGCACAGCTGCTGCTGGCATAAGTAGAAATAATTATTTTTCACATTTTTTGTAAATTTTTTTCATATTTTCTCCCATGTCAAACTTTGGGCCACAGGTTAGACAGACGGTGCCGGCAATCGACCCGGTCGTCACCGACTATGCTATTGGCTATCTGGGCCATCTTTTCCACGCAACAGAGGACTCTGTTCTTGCGCAACAATTGGACATCCCTAAGGAAATACAGTTTCTGAGCCAGCTTCTGGTCAGTGCTGGCGGAGAGTCAGAAAAGGTGAATGGTCTCGCGGCAAAAGTGCAGGAGGCGCTCAAAAAACAATTGACAGACAACATGGCCAAGCTGGCTGTCACGGGAGACACGTCAAAACGGCTGCTGGACGTGGATCTGATCCATAATCAGCAGCGTGATCTTGACAGTTCTTTGGCTCTGCTGAACTCGACTTCCGATATCGCACACACCGGTAGGAACATGGAGACCCGTGTGGACAAGAAGAAACTGCAGAAGGCCGAGGCAAAGATCGCCAAGAAGGTGGCCAAGCGCGCCAACAAGTTTGTCCAGTACGAAGCTTCCAAGCTGCTCAACGAACAGACTAAGGAGGACTACGACTCGTTCTTCCTCAAGGTCAACCCTATTGATTTTGGTGCTGGCGCGGGCAAGTCCAAGGACATCAAAGTGGAGAACTTCGATCTGTACGTGGGGGCAGGAAAACGTATTCTTTCAGACGCCTCGCTTACCCTGGCCTATGGCCGTCGCTATGGTCTTGTTGGACAGAACGGTATTGGTAAGTCGACATTACTGCGTGCTCTTTCTCGCAGAGAGCTGAACATCCCTAA